AGTTTACTAATAAGTTTTATAAAGTAATATATATATAATTAGGATATAGAAAAGTATTAGTATAATTAATATTTATTAATAAAAAAAATATGATTAAGCAGATAATTATTAATTATAGAGCATTAAATAATAAAATAATAGATAATATGAATAAGATGTTATATCAAGAACAAAAAAGAGATCTCTTATAGAGAGCAAAGATTATAATAGTCTTTAATATTTAATAAGATTATTATAATCTATGAATAGCTAAAGATAATATTTAGAAAACAGCTTTTCTTATAGATAAAGGACTGTTTGAATAGGTAGTTATATCTATAGATTTGAAGAATCTACCAGCACAATTTATATGATATATGACGTATATTCTATAAAAATACTTAAATAAATTTATTACAGTCTACTTTAATGATATCATTATATACTCATAAAACCTAGAGGAATATGAAGAACACGTACGACTAGTCATGATAGTACTTATGAACGAAGGATTAATACTTAAGATTAAGAAGTGTGAGTTTGACACTACAACTATTAATTACTTAGGAATGGTTTATATGCTAGAAGGATTGAAGATCTAACTAGAAAAGAAAGATGTAATACTCGATTGGCCTATCTCAACAAATATTAATGAAATATAGTAGTTTTTAGGTGCAATAGGGTATGTTAGGAGATATTTGAAGAATTATGTAGAAATAATACGACTAATTATAGAACTACTATGAAAAGATTAAGAATTCAATTGGATAGAATGATAATGGCAAGTATTTGAGAAAGTTAAGGAATTAATTAGGGAAGTACTGATTCTTATGCTTTATAATTGAGAAAAACTGAATATGATTTGATTAGATATATTAGGATATGTATTAGGAATTGTTTTAGAATAACTAGGAGATGATGGAAAATTGAGATTTGTTGTCTTCTATTTTAGATAATTTATTATTGTAGAAAGGAACTATGATGTTCATAATAGAGAACTATTTATAGTAGTTGAAGTATTTAAGTAATGGAGATACTACTTGTAAGGAGTTAAGGAAGAAATAGTTGTGAAAAGTGATCATTATAATCTGAAGTATTTTATGATGATAAAAGAGCTTACTGGTAGATAAGTTAGATGGTTAGAGTATCTATTAAGGTTTAAGTTTTGAATTAAACATATTAAAGGAAAAGAAAATATTATTGCTGATATATTAAGTAGGAGAGCTGATTATGTAATTGGAATATAATAGTTATGAACTAATATATTAGTAAAAGATGAAGATGGAATTTGTTATAATGACAAGGTAATATTAGCGATAATGATTATAATAGAAAGTAAAGGTTTTTATAAAAAGATGGTAGAAGCTATTAGGAATGATAAAATATTGTAGATAGTACTATATAATGATGAAGTAGTAATTGAGAATGGATTAGCTGTTTGGAGAGGATTAATATTGGTATTATTTTTAATGATTATAGAAGTTATTTAAATAAATTATGATTTGTTAATTGAAGGATATTATAAAATTAATTAAATAATGGAAAAGATATAGTGAATATATTATTTTCTAAGAATAAGAAAATTGGTTGAAGATTATATTAAGAAATATGATAGTTGTAATTGTAATAAATTAATTAATTACTGATTATATGGAAAGATGTAGATTCTAGAGACATTAATGAAAGTATGATAAAAGATTATGATGGATTTTATATAAGGCTTATTAGAGTTGAAAGATTCTATTTTAGAAATTATATATATTAAAGCTATTATAATTGTGGATAAGCTTATAAAATATATTATTTTAAAGCTAATGTTAAAGAGTTTAATAGTATAATAATATGTAATATTGATGTTATAAGAAGTGTTTATAATATTTGGATTACTAAGTAAAATTATATCTAATTAAAATAAGTTATTTATATTTAAATTTTGATAGATAATTATAAAAAATTATAGAATAGAATATAATTTATTAATTGTATATTATTAATAGACTGATGGTTAGATTGAATGAATAATTTAAGTAGTTGAATAATATCTAAGATATTACTTGGATTGGAACTAAGATAATTGGATAGAGCTATTATTAATTACTTAGTTTATAATGAATAATATAATAAATATATTAATAGAATAAGTACTGTATTTTATTAATCTAGGAAGGATTCTAAGGATGAGTTGAAAAAATATTAGATGAGAAGGAGTATTAAATGAAGTAAATATTTAAGTAATGTATATATAATTGATGTATACTAATTTATTAAAAGATATTAAATAGATAGAAATGAGAATAAAGAAGTATTATAATAAGAAATATAAAAATATACTAGTACTTAAAAAGGGGGAGAGAGTTTATCTTTTATAATAAATATTAGGATTAAAGAATTTTAATATTAAGAGTATAAGACTAAGTGATAAATTTAATATAGTTAAATTTGGACTATTTATTATTAAAGAAAAACTTATTAATAATAATTATAAACTTTAGCTATTAGTAAGAATGTGAATATATTTAATATTTTATATCTTATTATTGGAATTAATAATTAACTTAATAAATAAAGATAAAGCAGTAGATAATAAGAAATATGAAGTTGAAAGAATATTGTAGTATAAATTAAAGAAAAAATATATTTATTATTTTGTGAGATGGAAAGAATATAAATCTAAGGAAGATATATGGGAATCTGTTAAGTATTTGAATTGCTCTAAGAAGATTTAGGAATAGAGATAAAGATATGATTAAGAAAGATAGAAGGATTAAAGTAAATACTGAGAATAAGATTGTTGTTTTGCAAAGTAAAAGTAATAACTAGAAGCTCTTTAGTCTCTTATTGTTCTTTTGCTTGTCTTATTTTTACTTTTTTTTTTGCTTTTTCTAGTTTTTTTAACTCTTTAATATTTTTTATATTCTTTTAAAAAAATTTATTAGCTTGTTTCTTTAATAACTTTTGCTATTTTTATAAATGAAGAATTTTAGCTAAGGCTTGCTCTTCTTTTTCTTAAAGATACTCTTAGGTTTTGGAAAGGTACTTTTATGCTATCTTAAATATAGATATATTAATATAATGATAATTATTTATATAAATATATTTGTTATAATATTTAGAGAATTCTGTTTTAATATAAGTTTTTTCTAAGTTACTATACTAGTTATATAGAAAATAATAGATAATACTAAATTGCTTAACGCGCAAGAGAAGAGAGTTCTTTGAGATTATTTTCTTTAAAGATATAGTTAGTATAAAACTATAAGATCACATATTTGGAATAGTTAGGAAGTTAGGATTAATTATCTATACTTTAGAGGATATAAGTTATTTATTGAGCTGTTGAGACGCCAGTCTTTAGAGGAGGGAATTATTAGAGAATTAGAATATTATAGCTAATAGATTAAGTTAGTTATTATAAGACTAATATATATTAAAATAAAGGATTACTTGCAAAATCTTAAGATTAGAGTATTAGAGAAATTAGAGGATTTCTATAATGGCTATAATAGAGGAAAGTTATATAAGGATGCTTATTTATTATGTATTTAGTTTTCTTCTATTGTCTTAAATTAACTGAGATAACTTGAGTATATGATCTTCTATTGATTAGGATATTCTATCTTGTTTTAAGACTTTATCTGTTTCTTTACAACTTTTGTATATCAGAAGCCTATTAACTTCGCCTGTTAATAGCTATCCTAGCTATACTTGATGGTAGTTAACTGAAGTTTCCGACAACTTATTACTATAAGATTTATCTATTAAATTAAAATCTTTGTATTCTTATAAGATAAGAGTATAGATATACTTATCTAATTTAAGAGATTACTAGAATAAGTCTATAAATATATGATAATTTGTATAATCATTACACAGATATTATAATTAAGTAATAGATTAAAAATATTAGACTTTATTATTATCTAAAAAATATTTTAAATATAAGTATAATAAATTATAATTTAGAGCGTATTAACATCTTAATTTTAAAATATAAGCTTGTTCATCCTTAGAGTTAATTATATAGAGCTAAATATAGATTATAAAATTATAATTAAGATTCATAATAATTTAGAATGTATCCTTATAAAGAAGCTCTAATCTAAGAATATTATAAACTAGACTAAATATACTAGAGCTTATATAGTAAAGAGTACTCTAAGTCTAACTCTTATTAATTATACCTTTATTTATAATAAAAAAAATGGGATTAAATTCTAATATTATAAATTAGATTTAGTAGTAGAGTTATTATAAGCTATATATATATAAAAAAATTAATGAAGAAAAAAAAAGAAAAAGTCCTTAAATATTTCTAAATCTAGATAATCTATAATCTAAAGGTCTAAAACTATGCACCTTATATAGTTATATAAGGGTAAACAGGCGCAACCCGAGTACCCATCTATGGGTTCAACCCGTCACAATATATTCCTATTATATACTTAATAGTTGTTTTTTTATTATAGGTACTCTTTAGTATGCTTTTAGATATATATAGTTATATATCTCTTTATATAAGCTATAAGTTTATGTTCTTAGCTATCTTCCTATATATTAGTGTGTAGTAATAACTGGTTATGATCTTTGCTGTTATAATATAATGCTTTCCCTGAATAGTACTAGCCTGAGCTAGTGTCGTGCAAGTTGGTTTCGTAACAAATCCTAAGCTACGTTCTTGCAAGTTGCAACCCTCGTCACGGCGGGATCCCTATTAGGATATGGAGAATTACTTATAGTTTTAACAGAATTGGCTGGCAAACAGTAGTACTGTTAGATCCTTATTAAAAAAATATACCGATGTAAGCGTTACGAATGGAGCGCGGGAAAAAAAAAAGACGATGAGGGTGTGATTCGAACACTGTAAATTGAGTTAGATGGTGTTGTTTCCGATGATGGAGAAAGAGAAGACGGACCACGCTCCCGAAGGAACTAGATTTCTAGTCTAGCGCCTAGGAAATTATTAGTCTTCAATATCATTGTTAATAATCATGGAATAGCATACATTAGACCACTCTGCCACCTCACCATGTTGCCACTAACGCTAAATACCTACCCATAAAGAGTAGTTGTTTCTATCATTAGGCATGCAATAAAGCGAGAGGTTAGAGACAGCAAAGGATGAGCAGTGAAGCCCTTCAGGAGCAATGCCAAGTAAAGAAATAATTTTGAATCCGTGGTTGAGAGCTAAGATCTCAAAAAGTGCATAGAGAAGGATAAAAATACATTATACATATACATTGAAAAACGCTCAAGTGTTGAAAATTTCACACGAGTTATTTAATGAACTCTGGTCTTCTCCTCAGATTGCGAATGTCCATTTTTCTCATGGACATACAAGTGTGTCAATCGCGGCCCAGCATAATTTCTGAGACCATAAAGAACCCACCAAATACCCGTCAAAACGACGACTCCTACGAGGATGACACTATTGTAATTCATAGCCGCAGTTGTCGTAGGGATTGAATAAGCTAGAAGAATCCCGTCAGTGCTATCAACGAACAGAAAGGTGAAGCGAGATAAACTCACGGAAACAGTAAAAGATGTCGAAAAAGACAATCAATACAACAGCCGCACCGTTCACAAAGATAGCAGACCTTCCCAAGTTGAATGAGCCCTTGGGAAGGTAGTTACGGCCAGTGGCCATGTTGGCTGCAATGGGGATCGCGTAGGAGATGGAAGTAAGAATAATAAACGATCCCGTTAGATCGATGAATGCGGTGCTGCTGCCTAGAGGGATGGCGCCGATACCTGTGGCCAAGATGACTATACAGAAATGAGCTTACTCGTTCCCAAGCTAAAACAGTTGACTTACCACATAGCAAGGTTGCCCAAATGGGGCAGCTCAGTCTCTCATTGACTTTTCCGAAAACAGAGGAGAATGGCACTGCATTGTCGCGTGCAAGTGCCCAGTAGATACGGGAGTTCTGATTGTGTTAGGGAAAAGGGATATCCAATAAATACTCTGGGAAGAAAAACTTACGGTTAATACAGTGCTGGTAGAGCACAGCAGAGATGACCCGAAAACAATGAAGAGTAACCCAAAGGTAGCACCGGAGCTATTTGTAGCCTGCTCGTATATGGTGGCGATTGGGAAACTATTAACTCCAGATAGAAGGGCATTTAAATCAGTGATCGAATAGCACAAAGCGATGGCAAAGCAAAAGGCATCTAGATAAAAGTCATAGCATGGTCAGAAATGGTCTCCTATGACAGGGAATGTAAAAGGGGGAGAGAGTTTTACAGAGAAAACCTAAGCCAAGCTGTAGCCCAATAGCCTTTGGAAGATCCCTCCTAGGATGAGGCAATTCTTCCGCCATATGAGTGATTGCATCTGGAGTTCCAATGGTAAATGCACCATTGAGTACTCCGCAGAGAAATGAAACGCCACCTGACCACCCAGTGAGATTGTTCTCGCCGAATGAATTCCAGACGAAGTGGGAGGAGGCATGCGTCTTGGGCATAGCAGCAAGAACGATGATGGTCACGACTCCTCCCACAATTATGAAGAGCATTCCAAGGTATTGCATATAGGGCAGCAGACGGTTTGCAAAGATAACGATTGCAGTGCATAGCCACAGGACCAACACGTAGGTAATATAAGTCTCCCACGCCCCCTGGACGAAGTCTGGGTGATATGTTGCGTACATCTGGACAACACAGTTGGCTGTGATTTGAACCAAGGAGGCGAGATCAAATATCCAACCGAAGAAGTTGATCCACCCTGCGAAGAATCCAAGAGTCCTTCCCCAGCGTGGGCCTCCTGTGACTGTAGCCCAGTGATATACACCACCTGCCGAAGGAATGGCCGAGGCAAACTGTTCTGCGTATTAGTATATTACTCGACACACGGAATGTATCAATGTAGTCGTTACCTCTGCTAGGTTGAGACCAACTAGAGTGTAATATGCTATTGCCACGATGAGTCCGAAAATAAGACCGGGAGGCCCGCCATTGACTAAGTTCATCACTGTCAGGACATCGCGGATGAAGAAGAAGATAATGATGACGCTAGGGACACAGGCAGAGAAACGAACCTATAGAAACGGATATAGAACTTCCCAAAGCAACCCACGCATTGTCGACTGTTAGGGCAATACCGCACAAACTGAGCAGGCCATATTGACGGTCTAACTCATCCTTCCAGCCTGATGCATTCACAACAGTGCCATTGTCGTCAACGACCACGACCTCATGGTCCCGGTTGTCGGACTCTGGCTGCAGTTCTTTTTTTGTTTCACTCATCGTTCTTTGCAGGGAGAGAGGAATGATGGAAATTGTCGGTTGATCATATATAGAAACAAAAACACGTAAATAGTATTACGATCAGTGTGATCCATGGCAATTCAAATTACTCAAAAAAGGAGCAGCCAATCTCGTTTTTGTACATAGAAAAGACGCTATCATTGCTCTTGAAATGCACTGGTCACTGTGCATGATAACAGCTTTGTCATGCAACTAGTATCCATGCACGCGTAAGAAATAAAACTTCAGTTCTTCGGTGGGCCTTGCTTGCGATCAGGGACATGTCGCGACCTGACCGAGAGTTCCTATCAAACAACTCACAGTGCATGATAAGGTACGTACGTGGTTGTTGTGGTTGATTGGCCGCCATGTTTCTTATCGCAGCCCTAACCGCGCCCACCCTGGCTTCTCCTCTCGTTCACCTAATCGGGTAATGTTCCGAAATGCTTAATCTATAGACATATCCGATGCTCTAGGACTGGCATGATAAAAGTCAGGAGTGAAGTATCCGGAATTATCTGCATCATCCCCAGGAAACTAGAGAAGATTGGCACTGGTTGTTGCCTCTTCGCATAGCTGGGGCCGAGTCATAGCCTTAGCCCTACATAGCCCTTGGTGGATCCCGAGCCTCCAATGTTAAGATGGTGGACCAATGTAGAAGAACTTGGTAGTCTTAAGTTGATATTCACTTTCGTAAGCATATGTAAGCCTATTGTCTAGGTACGCAAGTAGACTCGCTTTAAAACTCGTAGCATTTGATTGATCAATCGTGATCTAAGTTACCTAACTAGACATTGGTATTCGACAGTAACAAAAATATATTTTGGAATACCACTGAGTGTATAACCCTTTTTTCTTAAGACTTGACCCTCTTTAAAGAAAATCTAGACAGATGCATTGCACCTATTTACAGCTCATTACGCCCTGAAACGCTCAATGGTCCGCTCTTCACCATCATTGTCATGACCTCGTACAGAACATCAGCCGCCGCCCTATCGGCATGTAGTCAGTAAACAATGATTTAGATATAACCACGAGAAAGGAAAGGATAGCGTACATAGTTGTAAGCTCGGCATTGGTATCATAGGCTGGAGCAACCTCTACAATATCGGCTCCGATGAAATTCAGTCCATCGAGGCCGCGTATGATTGTGCGGAGCTCGCGAGTCGACCAGCCGCCGGTTTCAGGGGTACCAGTAGCAGGTGCAACTGTATATTTAATGTATCAACATCAATAATAGTTGGAAAAGGAAAAGGCGGAAAACCTACAAGCTGGGTCAAGAGTGTCAATATCAATGGACAGATACACAGGGTTAACGGTTCCGACACGCTCTCGGATTTTCTTAATGATGCCTTCGGTTCCTGCGGGTGAATCATAGTTAGCAAATCATATCCTATGTAGATAATTAAGAAAAACGACAAGACTTACCAATAGTGTCAATTTCTCTGGCTTCAACAATTTCAAAACCAACGTATCCATCGTTCTCGTAGTCCGAGGGACCGGACAGAGTGGTGCGGATACCGGCATGGATATTAGTGTCGTTTTTCAACAGGCCTTCCATAGCTGCATGATAGAAGTATGTGCCGTGGTTGATGCTGGCAACTTCAGAAGGGGCACCGCCAAAGACCTTTGGTTTCCACGAGTCCCTAGAAATATGTTAATGTAATAGCTCTTAGAAGCCAAAAGGAAGCTCGTACAGATGACTGTCAAAGTGAACCACAGATACTGGGCCGTAAGCCTTGTTTATACTTCGTAACAAAGGCAAAGTGATAGTGTGATCACCACCGAGTGTGATCACACGAGGAAGTGTCTTTCCAGCTTTAGAAAGTCCCTTCTTGTCTGCATCGGTAAAGGGCTTGCGCATCAAAACACTGTTGTGTCCTTCTTCGATTTGATGGATGGCCCAGCCGTTGTCATATCTAATTGATAAATGTGAATTTCTAGTTTCAGCGGACTGGAGGTGTTGACGTACGAGGTGACAGGGATGTCTCCGCAGTCCAGGACTCTGAAGTCGCTCGAGAATGGATTGGCTTCCAATGGGACATTGTATCCTCCACTGTCATTGTAAACGCATTAGACATGGATATTTTATGGCGGAAGATTATGGAAGGCAAAAAATACGCACTATAAGTTGAGGCGACGAGAACCCTGTCTGATACCACTGGGACCGAATCTTGCACCGGGTCTGTATGAAGTTCCGGTATCGAACGGAGCCCCTGCGTGTATTCCAAGACCTAGTTAGCACTTGAAACAACAGATGCCCTAAAGTAAACGGAATTTTTGTAAAAAAAAAAAAAATTAGAAAAATACAGACCTAAAAAGGCGATATCATATCTCTCCGCCTCACTAGCAAGACAGGGGAAAAAGGGAAGTCTTCCGAATGTCGAGATTCCAGAAAAGACAGAGTCGGCCTATCGAGTGTTAATCCCTTTTTGAGATATAAAGAAATCATGGTCATATTTCCCACTCACTTGAGTACCACCATCTCCAGGGAGAGTGTTGTACCACAATTGCTGATGCGGACCAGCAATGGGCTTCTGCTGGTGGTCTCCATGTGCGGATGCAATGGCAGAAAGAGCAGCGAGAGTCCACAGCGAGGCGTGCATAATTGATGCCTTCTTTGCGCCTTCGAAGGAAATAGACCAAACCGGGAAGTCAGCAGGAAAAGAAGAGCAAAATGTACCAGTAACTCGAATTATAGCTCGAATTATAGCGACTGCAAGCCGTTATATGTTTCAACGTCCAGTCTCCATGAAAACTCGAAGGCAGCAGATTAGAACAAAAAAGAGCCCGAAACGTATTACACTAATAATACAGTTCTGTAATCATATTTTTTACTAATATATCCCTGAATAGTGCTGGCCACCGCGTGCATCGAGACAGGATGTTCTCAATCGACCTACCGAATTAGGGCAACGGCGAGAGTTGGTTGCTTTTCTCCCGCCGTTGCCCACAATAGGCATAACGCCTCTGCTTGCCAGCGAGCATCTTCAATCCCGCAAACTAATCGACAAGCTTTCTATCATGACTTAATCTGAGCCAAAGCTGGAGTGTCGCTCTTTGATAAGCCTCCTGGCCATAGTGCCAGAGCGCAAAGATGTATCCATTTCGTGCGTTAGCGTGGTGAGCTGTATAAGAAGTCTAGCGACTGCCCATCCAATCCTGATGTATCGCCTTATCTCGATATAGAAAATCCGAGAATTGAGGCAAGAATGACATGAATTATCTTTATTCGTAGTTGAATATACAAATGGGGAAGGCCGGAGGAGAATTTGAAGCATGTTTTGTATGGCTATGGGTATCCAACTTGCGCGCCATTCCGAATCTTCATTATGTTCGGCTGTTCTTTCTTTGATATCGCCGATGACGGCGTGTGGAATCTTCTTTCTGGCATGAGATGTGCCAATTCGTGTATTACAGCGGAATAGTAACAGGATGCTCGATAAGTAACGTAATTGGCTTTGAATTGCCATCGATAACTCGATCTTATCAACCTCTCATATGGATTCTAAGCCGAACCTTGTCTAGCCCTCGGTGGATCGGTCAAACACCAGACTCAAGCATATCCTGCACGTCCATTCTTTGAAAGGCCTTTTCCACTTCCTTGTCCCAATTGCTCAGATAAACAATGCCCCATTCCAAGCATCCAACCGCATACAAGGCAATGCACTGGCCCACCCACAATCCCTTCAGGCCCCAGCCATGGAAGGCCAGCCAAACACCCAATGGCAGTGCACCACAGTAGTAGCTCACTAGATTCACAGCTGCACCGACATGCTGTCGACCCATGCCTCGGAGACTGCCTCCGCAGCTACCGTTCAACCCATCCGCAATCTGGAACAATGCAACGTAAGGGAGCACTTCGGCGGTGAGGCGCACTACCCGATCGTCGTCATTGAATATTCTTCCAAACGAGTTTCGTGAGCCCATCAGGCCAGCCAAGGCCACCCCACCGAGTAAAATACTAAGCATAGCAGCAGTGTTGGCAGCGCGTGATGCAGCATGGGCATCCCTAGCTCCGAGAAGGTTACCCACTCGCGTAGATGCAGCAACACCCACACCAAAGGGTATTGTATTCAGCACTTGATCTGCAGTCATAATCACGCTTTGAGCGGCTAGAGAAATTGTTCCCAAGCGACCCGCAGCCAGAGCAACGACCTCAAAGGCCCACCACTCCGTCCCGACATGGATGATACCCATGAAAGCAAGACGGGCAAAGGTGCTCATATTTTTAAAGGCGGTGGGCGACCATCCACCCCAGCATTCAGATCCATCAAAGAAACGTGTATACAGAACGAGTAACAAAAAGGACAGCCAGTATGAGATACTAGTAGCAATCGGAGCACCGAGAAGTCCGATTTGAAACGTGTAGGTGAAGACATAGTTGAGACCGGCATTGACCGGCGAGGTGATCATAAGGACGTATGTTCCAGGGTTCATGATTCCTACAGGGGAATTAGGATGACGACTCTCTAAGAAGACGAACACAAAAAGAAAAGTCACCGACCTTGAGCCTGCAAATACTTCTTCATACATTCAAAGTAGATATAACCCAACCCGCCAGGAATAAGGCATGTCAAAAACCTAGCACTGTCCTTGGACAAATCCGGGTCTTGACCTAAAAAGATGAAGATATCCTCTGAGCACATCCAGAGAATGGCAACCGGCAAATAAAATAGCCCGAGAACAAACAAGCTGCGCTGGAGCAATATCCCAAGATCGTGCTTATTGGAACTTCCGGTAAAAGAAGATGATGCCAGGGTATCCAGAGCTGTGGTTCCTCCCAGAGCGATGAGCCACGCGGTGCACATGGCGAACATGTAAGAAAACGCAGCTGTTGCCAGGTTCTCCGGCGATGACCGCCCAACAATCAAAACCGATACTGTCTGCAGACTATTTTGTAGCACGTAGGCGAGAATGACCGGCAGGCATCCTTTGAGAAGCACGCCAATTTCTGCCAGTACAAGACGTCTTTCATTATCGTCCCTCGGGTCATCACCATCATCATGATCACCTTCATGCTGGTAGATATTCGATTCGCCAAAGTTGGGCGGCTTTGGTAGAAGCGATGTATACTCATCCGCGGTGCTTGTAGCTTCGCTGGCCATGTTGGACTGAAATTGCACCTGGAGTCAACTGTAAGATCTGGAGACCTCGACCGTCATTGAGAATATATTATTTAGAGTAACATCCTGTCGGGTGCAAGGAAGGACCTTGATTGCTTGGATGATGGATCAGAGTATGCTGGCGGAGGTGGGTCGCCCTTAATCCCCATCTGGACAATAAAATGCATTGCTTACTGGATTGGGCAATTCCATCTGCATCCATAAATGATAATGTTTTAGCGAACAAGCAGCGCATGTGTAATAAATATTATAATTCATGACATTGACGGGTATCCGGCCTAGGGAAGATAATCCCGACCTGCCAGAGTAAGTTTAGACAAGAAAAAATATGCATGTCGCTTCCTATCAGCCCAGCGCAATACGTACCACAATATGACTAGCAGAGAGTAAATTCGCTTATACAAGAATGCTTATCGGAAAATATCACAACAAGAGCACATCTAGGCCGATGGCCACCGATTGGTTCGTAATAATGACTGCTCCCTTCTCTTCCCTCCTTCGTCTTCTGTTCAGCTGCATCTGTCGTCCAGCAATACATGATAATGTGTTGATTTTCTTCACATAGGGTAGTCTTCAGCTCAAGCGGGTCAGCTTGATGCGGTCTTTTGCATTAGTAGAATTGAATAAAATCACAAGATCTTCTTTGAGAAGCCCTAAATCCAGCTAAACTTGGCCTTCACCGACTGAGGCACTATCCTCTCAGGTTCCTTGTCAAGGACTGTCAAATCTTCCTCAGCGAGCAACACAAGCTCCGGAAACCAATCATCTAGTTTCGTATCTTCTACAAGATGCCGCAGCAAATCGATTTCCGTATGAATATCACGCTCAATGTGAGGCCACTGCTCAGCTCGGAAGCGACTTCGGATAAGCTCATAGGAACCGATATTTATGAGATCTGATGGCTTTGGAATAGGGTAGATATCTCCTTTAGGCCGTTTATAATATGCCTCTGTTCATCCGTTAGTTATCTGCCATAGCACAAGATAAAAATCAACTTACCTTCCAAAACACAATCGGACAATGTCGCTGCCAGCGCTGTATTACGATATAGTGACTTGCGATCAGAGTCGGAGCGAATGTCGGCACTGGCAATCGCACGCCAATCATTTCGAATGATACACCTCCTCCAAATTAATTTTAGCAGAAAATCATGCCTCACAGGGTCGCTTGATGCATATCCGCTGAGTTGGAGAACCCGGAGTGCAAGATAGAATTCGTGTTGATAAACGGCGCCTTCTTCCCCCTCGAGAAATTGAACTTCATCAATTAGTGTGAGAAGATTGATAAGCTGGTCGGCATCGAGTGCGTGTCGGCGTATCAGAAGCGCCAACAATTCCTCAAGAAGATCCCTAAGTGCAGGCCGGTCAATGGTTTCGTTCCCAAACTGCTCCATTGCTAACTCTATTTCGGCCTTTTGATCAATCGCGCTATGTAAAGCAGGAAGTATATGTTCGTATGTAAGATCCTGGATGCCGCCGATTTCCAAGATATCGTCGAGTCTTTGCAAAATGGTAAGTGTCGATAAATTGTTGTCGGAATCGGTTGCATTTTCCATAGACGCCAACTTTGTCAACTTTGCTAAGGAGAGCTGAACTCGCTGGTCCCATAACTTTGCATTGTGATCCAGTGCTAGGCTTTCGAGAGCATTCGATGCCGCGTCATAATCCTCCTCGCCAATCACATCATTTATCCAAGACAAGGACAAATACGAGGAATCTTTTCTTAGAAATCGGGTGATGTGACTCTGGTACTCTTTCATTGATAGGAGAACTCCAGGCTGACCGGCAGCAATTTGTCGCGAGAAGAAGGCATCAGCCCACAGCTCGCCAAAGCAGTCAAAATATCCTTGAATTTTCTGTTGCAGGGTGGTCGTATTGTACACCGTGGGGGAGATTGGGGCCCCCAGAGAGCTACTGTTGCCTCTGATCTGATCCTGAAGTTCTATCATGAGTTCGACCAACGCTTCCACATCACGGAATTCTTCTGCTAAGCTGATCGCTCCCTGAAGCTCACCGATCCCTGCCATCTTGTAAAGCTGCCACCTTCGTTGCTGGTGGCTGGATTCGTTCAAGGAAATAGCTTCGTCTCCCAGTTTTGGGTCATCTTGAGCAGACAGCCATCGAACTCTCTCCAAAAGCATCTTATTTAGAGCACGAAGCCTGCGGCAGCTGTTCTTTCCAATATGACCAAGAATATCGTCGTCAGCATGCGCCACTTGGGACACAGGTTGCTGCATCCACGATCTGGTACTATCAAGCTCCAAGTCAAGCATATGTATGGTTTCGTTGTACACCATGTTTTCCGATGTCCAGAATTCAGGAATTTCAATATATGGGCCTAGAAACACACCATTGTCAAAGTTTTCACCACCGAGGCCATACTGCAGCGCATGGTCCTCTCTGAAGCGATATGCTTCCTCAAGGATTGTAAGGGACAATTCACTCGCTTGATAAACCTGGGTCATAAATGCTATACCGGAGCGCCCAGAAGGCCCTTTTAATCCACGGATAGTGTTGAATATCCAAGGAATAATGTGCTGCATCTGGAAAGTATCGCGTATAAACCAATGGCGTACGGGATCGTTCTGGTTAATATTATCGGAAGGTACATATTTCGTTTTGAATTTGTCGTTCATGAGACCTATGACTCGAGAAAGGAAAGTCTCAGAATCCCACCTCTTTTGAAAGCCCTCCTCGAGTTTCCATATAGACCTCTGTGCAGCCAGCTTTTCTCCAGCCCACATTAATTCCCACTGGACTCTTTTTGACAGAGGTATTCTACGGCGAGCCAACTCGGCAGTGAGATCAGCCAAAGCTTTCGAGCGTAGACGAAAGTTCTGGTCCAGTGATATACCTCCACGAGAGATGAATCGCGAAGTGGACCGGAGAATTTCACTGCAAATTTCCAATGCCGCCTCTTCAAATTCTATCACGGTGAATGTCGGCTCACCCTCACTGCTGAAACTAAGTGGCGTATTGGACATTGTGCCATAGAATACAGCTTGTTCAATTTTCTGTTTCGCAGTAACACAAACATACTCAGTGGAACCCAGCCTGGAAGGTGTTGCCGAAATGCGAATGAGACCAAATCCCCGAATCATCAGAAGGCAGCCCGAACCCTGAGATTCCAAGGATTTTTCCTCCACGCCGCTTCCAAGTATCTCATATTTGTCTCCTGTCTGGAACTGAACCCGGTCCTGAAATGGCTTTGAGATGACACCATCTAGAAGTTGCGCGGACGGAGATGGTTCTATTTTACATAATGAGAGAATCCACAGTTTTTGGCCCATAAGTATAAAAGCTGTGTCCCAAGATTGTGTCACATGCAACTTCGGCTTCTGTTTGTCGAGCTCGTCAGTTGTGACCACGTTCTCTAGTATGTGCGATGACACAAGGTTCATGTTGTCGTTCCATAGTTGTGCTTTTATCACGGCGTAAGTCTTTGTAGATGCCTTGCGATATATTACAACAAGAATAAAGAGTGTTGTGGTTTCATGCTGCTCTTCGGAATTGGAAGACAGCTTTGTGTCCCTGTGAGCAGCGACGAAATCCAAAACTTTAAGGCTGTCAGACTTGCTGTCACCCCCCATGCCTAAGAAAGAACATATGTCTTTCTGTATATCAATCTCGGCACGAAGACTATTCACGCTATTCCAGTGGGAGTCCCAAATTTCAAGCAAACCGGTTGTTGATGCAACAATAATATCACGTTGCCCTCGAAAAATTGAGCTCCCAGCTCTAACGGCAGCAATATCTTTGCGCCAAGCTGAATTTCCCAAGACGTTTCTGATACCATAGAATAGTCCACCTGCCGCAAGTTTCGCGGTGCTCTGCAGGAAATTCACGGACAAAGCAGACTTTCCTTGGGGATCTCGGAATGTGATTTGTGCCACCCTTCCAGTGGAAAATGTCAGAATAACCCCAGATGGCTCCACATTGATGACGTCTGTAACCCTTTCTCCGTAAAAAAGACCGGAAATCGATCCTTGAAGGCCGCTCTGCTTTTGCTTTGCAATGCCTATAACAGTGGCGTTCGACGCAGTCTCCCAATACAACAATTTTCCAGTAGACGGCGCCACGATGAACAGGCCAGGAACCGTACTGGTAATGTTCGATATGAGTGTCCCCATTGGGGCTTCTCCGTCGCTTTTACACCATTCGGGGATCGATATTGAAAGTTCAGAACCTTGTGAAGGGGCACTTGGATGGTATTGCCATATTAGGGCTCGAGATTCGCTTAACAGAAGTGAAAAACCGCTCTCGAAATTGAATACGCATCTTGCCGGACCTATGTAGACCATTAAAAAATTGTTATCTTTGAAAAAGTGGCTTTCGGGGATGCGAGCTAACCAGAAATTGCCTCCACGGGTTGATCTGCCCCAGTTGAAATCTGTGTGACGGTATAATAGTCGTTTGACGACTAATTGACTCAGTTAGCTTAAGAAAAACATTTGTCAAGACAAGACCATACCAAGACAACGGTGCGATCATTCTGGGCTGTTGGTTTGCCAGTCTTCTCCGAGCTTCTGATCGCGAGATTCCATTCTAGCCCAAGCTCATTTTCATTCTCTATGCGTTTTCTGAGATCAGAATCAGGTTTGAATTCAGCGTGTTCGTCGAAGTCGACATCTATGTTCATCGAAGGCTTGCGTGGTTCTCGGCGTAAAGCAGATCGCTGGCGCTTAGCATCCGGAGGCTTCACAGGATCTTCGAGGCTGGTTCTCTGGCGTCTCCGCGGGTTCCGTAGTGAGCTCACAGCGTGAGTTCCTGACTCTGGGGCAAACATCTTCGTTGTTGTAGCTTGGGTATCAATAAACAAGGATGGCAGCTGCCAGCAGAAGTCCCGTTTTGGGCTACAGGAGGCAGCGGCGAGGAATCACTTCTTATTTCAAGCGCGACGTGGATAGAGAGAGAATTAATCGAGATCCGGAGATTATGCTTGCTGGTTGCGCGGAGAAACGACGCGATGAACAGAAGATCGTTCACTTTCTCTATTTACCTTTGGCATTTGCCTTAGATGAGCTAGCCTATTTTGTACTAGCGTGAACGCCATGGTCGACCATCGAAGCTCTTTTTAGCTTTCCTCTTTAGAACTACGTACGTAGTTCATATCAACAAGAAAACATTCTTAGGGACAGTTGAAACTTGAAAGGTGAATTACTGCTATTGGAGCATTTCGAGGTCAACAAGCTAACCGGCTGCAATAGTGACACGCACCAACAGTGGTCTGAACCTGTGGAGGGCTAATCAAAGCCAACTAACACCAATAACTGTTGCTTTCTGTACCAATTACCATCCACATAAAAAAACATTAGGTAAATTGACAGCCTACATATGTAATTCTAACCAAAGTGATCTGATTTACAGCGAGACGAATGACAGACAACAGTTCTATGACTACGCCACATCGGACTACGGGGAAGTACCATATGAAACCAACCAGGCCCAAGAGGGTCGTATATTGATATCGGTACTGTGAAGGTAAGAGCAAACAGAGCCCAATAGCAATTTACAGCTAGCCCATTCCTAATCCGTTTAGCGACAAGGTCCGAAGGCCATGGTGTTAGTGGTGAAGTGGTTAAGCTTGGAAATAGGATAACACCCATAAGCACATTCAGGGACCCTTTCTTTATTTGTTTCCCGACCAATTACTGAGTCATGCATGACATTCTATCTATATTTTTTCCATACTATACGTCGTAGCCAACCGATTTACAGACCATCCAGCCCAACCCGCCTGTCTGATTAGCTATACCCAGCCTTTTCTACTTTGCGAAGACCATCAAAGGTTCTCGTGGATTTATTAATATTCATAGGGCTATAAATATGTGCATTTTAGGACCCTTAGAGTCCCAACATCTGTATATTCTATCACACTGGTTTGCATATAATCTATCTGCGTCCTGCTACTTTACGAACTGCTTTCAGACTGGCTTCTATCGCCTGTCTATCGACGAAATTCACGAGGGCATGCGATTCCCAGGCATTCTCACAGACTTAATAAAAAGTGGATGGATCTGAGGGAAGTAATGATACCACAGAGGCTATCTTTGTATAAGAGCGTATATAATACATGAATAGGTAAACAATCTACGAGAGTCGATAGTGTTGCATTCACTGATGAATACGATAGGCAAAGCATATATATATGTATCTTAGACATCGTAGACGATAGTGAGTGTGTGGTTGGCGTTCGAACAAAGCTTGCGCACAACAGCTGAGACGCAGCTTCAGCCTGGCTCGCAGTTGGTGGGATTACTAAGGCTGTCCAGTGTCAGGTGATGCTGATGCCTTCCTTACTTGGCTTAGTCTCATCTGTATGCTACATGCCTCGGACTCACCAAGTACATCTACCATCATTGATAACCTGAAGCGAATGAATGAATAAACGACGAGGAGCGATCATTATCATGAAATGTGCATCCTCCAACGGATTCTTGCTATTGACATCCAGCTAACTGACATAGCAGGTAATACCAAGTAACTATAGTAGCTGCTTGCAGTGCCAAATTCATAGCTTCCAGCCAGCCTGCCAGCAAGCAAGCATCAGTGGGAATATGAAGAAGAACAGCAGTCAGCGTACAGAATTACAATGAGATCAGTGGTTCTATCACTTTCAGAATGTCGCGAGTCGCCGTTCAAGCTATGAAGTGCACTCGAAACACCATGCGCAGCTCGTTTTCCACGCTTCCCGCTCAGTCTCTACGGACTGCTCTTTTCTTCCCTGGTTCGTATCTCTCACCAATGGTAGGACTTAAGAAGGTCTTTTAATAATCCACAGGCCACGGTGTCCATCGTGTCGGCATGATAACGCCATGGGTGAAAGCATTTCCAAAGACGGCTGGGCCCTTCACGGATGAGATGGATAGCACACTGGGGTTTCCCCTGTCTCGTATCATATCGCAGGGGCCTAATTCAGAATTAAACATGACTGCAAACTCACAGCCATCCATCATGGCAACTTCGATACTGATTTTGCGAGTGCTAGAAAAGGAGTTTGGCTTCCAGACACAAAATCGGGTTGATGTAACTCTCGGGCATAGCTTGGGGGAATATGCTGCCTTGGTTGCCGGTGGATATCTTGAATTCTCATCTGCTCTCAAAATGGTCCGAGGACGAGCCGAGGTGATGGCAGATTGTACTCGCAGGGTTCAACAAAAGTCTGGGGGCAGCTACGGAATGGTTGCAGTGATTTGTGAACCAGATCGTCTGCATGAACTGATTGCAGCCATACAAGAATTTCTCGGACCTGGGTTAGCGGGCTCTAAGGATGACTCCAGTTACGAAACACCGCCCATAAAACAAGTCCTTATTGCCAATATAAATTCAAAGAACCAAATTGTTCTAAGCGGCAGTCTCGAAAGGATTAGGACGCTTCTCATCCAGCTTCGCCAATTTGGTGGCCATGATCCACGCGCTGTGAGGCTGAAGAGTGACAGTCCGTTTCATAGCCCGATCATGATTCCCGCCGCACGATATATGCGTGCACAATTAGAGACCACCGACATTACGTTTCCCGCGGCAATGCCGTGTGTCTCCAATGTTTCTGCATTGCCTTTTACATCCAAAGACAATCTCAAGGACCTACTCTCAAGGCAGTGCGTTGAAACGGTGAGGTGGTGGGACAGCATCAAATATCTACATCAAGAGCGAGGTGTCAAGCGATGGATAGGACTTGGTCCGGGAAAGGTTGGAAGGAATCTAGTAGGCAAAGAGGTCGGGCGCATTTCTGCAAGAGGAGGAGGGGTTTGGGCTATATGCGATCCAAGGGAAGTGGAGGATATCGTGCGATCGCTAGAGGAGTCCGAACTGGAAGACTCCTGAACGTGTGTTGGCTATCAAATGTCTACTGAATTTGATAAATGCATTTTTGTTCTATTTATGTATGTGCGTGTGAAATTGATACCGAGGCGGACCTCATCTCTCGATTGTATGCAACGGCAAAGGGTCCCTCGCCATCTGTGAGATAAATTTTCGACGGAATGGCTGGTATCATGTTCAAGCACTCTCAGTTCTTGATGCTTTGACTAAAGTATAAGACCCGCATTACTATCTACAAGAATTCAGGTTTCAGGACCTGCGGTCCTGAGAGGTCAGCTTTCATGCGTACTTCTCTTACTACATGTATAGAACCGGGGACCCCTCGCTGAGATATGGTGTCCATATAAGACGCGAATATGTAGCACGTCGCCAGCGCGAGTTATTTGGTTCTTTAATAAAGATCTGGACGGATCGTAAATGGAGGTTGTAATCAGGCTGCAGGCTCCTCCTGTATGACTAGATACTGGTCAGACCAGGACGCCACGAGTCGCCAATTCGCTTAACTTCGGTGACGAATTTCTTATCAGTGATACCCAGCGGAGCATCATCTGGTGGGATATTTTGAGGAACCACGTTCTGTTTATCGGGAGTGTAAAAGGGGTTCTGAAGTAGTCCGATGTATGCGGTTTGTAATGCTCGAAATGCCTTGTAGTGTTTGGTTCCACATCAGTACCAGGCGCAAAAGAAAGCTCCTTCGAAACGTACAGGTTTCAATTCTGAATGCTTTATTCCAGTTACAGATGTGATATCGTGCTTCTGAGGGCTGGCCGCCAGATGACGTCCTGCGAGATCAACGATGATGAGGATCTTGACCCCCGTGTTGGTCAGCCATCCGTAGACCGCCAGCCGTTCATCGAGCGCTTGCAGGAGACCCAGGTCTTGGTCTATAAAGGTATTCCTCGCTCGTAAATCGAAAATATCAAGACATGAATTGATTAGAATTAGAAATCTCAGGCGCGATTCGCGAAAGGGCGGAAATACGGTGACATGGAGGGGATGGTCCTGAAGATGCAGAAGGTCAGTCACAGCAGACAACAGTCATATGACTCGAATCTTCCTCTTGCTTACATTCTTCGCCACAAAAGCGATGCAGGCGATGAAAGGGAGAGCCATTGTGTTCTGACGGTGCTTGGGGGTTTGGACCGTCGACGCAGGTGTTCCCTCCGCACGTACGTAATTACAATAATTACAATACGTACCGCGTATCGTCAATACAAGCCAAGAACCCGCCCGAGCCACGCCGCCACACGCTACAGAACTTCATCCTTCCAATCCCGACCGACACAGTGCTGCTGACCAGCTACATAACTTAATTGATCGATCACCTCGGGTGACTTTGATCGCAGGACGGGTGGTATTCCCTGTCATACTTCCTTTGGAGGTAGTTGAAATTTTACATTCCTCGAGCTCTCTCAAAATGAATTCTCTTACACGAGTTGGGGGGCGATTTCGCCGTGAGTGCCGTTCACCACTTTTGACTTCCATGAACCTACTGTACTCATTCGCAGCAGCATCCCTACACTCAATTGCTATCGCCAAGCACCTCGAACAACGGGCATGGATTTCGCGTTCAGCAGTGATGCCAGCGACTGCCATTCAGGGACAATCAGAGTCGACATCATTGACAGCGTCCGGGAAGACACGCCGCGAGGTCCCTCTGCCCAGCCAAGAGAAGAAGGAAGGCGCTATGCAATATGCCTTGTATGTGCGAGAAGAAACAAATTTCCATGTTGGCTGCAAGAGCAAGAGGATTTACTCACTGTATTAAACAGGACGACGCTAGATCAAATTACGAACTGGGCTCGCCAAAGCTCCTTGTGGCCCATGACATTCGGTCTAGCTTGCTGCGCCGTCGAGATGATGCATTTGTCTACCCCTCGTTACGACCAGGATCGTCTTGGAATTATTTTTCGAGCTTCTCCCCGCCAGTCCGATGTCATGATTGTTGCTGGAACCCTGACAAATAAAATGGCCCCCGCTCTGAGACAGGTCTACGACCAGATGCCAGACCCTCGCTGGGTCATTAGTATGGGAAGTTGCGCCAATGGTGGTGGATATTATCATTATAGTTACTCTGTCGTGCGTGGCTGTGACAGAATTGTCCCAGTGGATATCTATGTTCCTGGCTGTAAGTCTGATCCTGCTCGGTGTCGGTCGAGCGGCATGCTAATGCTACCCTACAATAGGTCCCCCAACCTCCGAAGCTCTCATGTATGGGATTTTCCAACTGCAGAAGAAGATGCGACACACCAAAATTACCCGTATGTGGTACAGAAGATAGACAGGTTTCTATGTTATGTGATTTGAATGTAGTCTTTTGAAAAATGGTCAACCCAAAGCTGTACTCTAAATTGAATTTCAAAGGATGGTTCGTCTGTCAAGCCCATTTTCTTATGTTTAGAATATTCCCTTTGCTATAGAAAGAAAATACATCAGCCACATGTATTGAAATAATTCGGCCATGCGTAGCCTAAGCGCCTTTTTTGAGTTACAATGAGTGAGCACGGGTATCAACTTTGAAAAGTATTTAACATTCTCAGTGTATGTTTAATAACCTAACTTTAGACGGTTTTTAGGTGATTGATCTAGCTACCAACAACTACACCTCCGTTAGGGTGTAAAGACTGTCCAGAGATATAGCTGCTATCGGCGCTCGCCAGGAATACGAAACAAGTCGCAACTTCGCTTGGCTGGCCAGGACGGCCCATAGGAACACCACTGAACTGTTCCATGGCTTCCGTCAGCATAGTCGAGGGGATCAGGGGCGTCCATACTGATGAGCGTTAGCATTGCAATACCAATTGCAAGTGGAGAAAAGAGGAAGGCTAGCTTACTCGGACCAGGGCAAACGCAGTTGACTCTGATGCCCTTGCTTATTTGCTGGTTCGACAATGCCCTTGTGAACGCGACAATGGCCCCCTTGGTGGATGTGTAATCCAACAGGTCGCCTCTTCCGATGTAGTGATTCACTGATGAGCAATTGATGATGGTTGAGCCTCTTCTAAGATGAGGCAGTGCATATTTGGACAGATAAAAGAAAGGGTGAATATTGGTATTGAATGTATTCTCCCATTGCTCCCTGACCGGGTGTTAGGGATATATGATGAGCTTATACAGATTTCCAGCGAAGGGACAGACTTACTCTGAAAGATCTCCAATATCTGGGACCATGTTCTGGAAAGCCGCGTTGTTCACCAAAATATCGAGGCCACCAAGCTCCTTCACGGCTTTGTCAATGATTGCTTTGCAGTTTTCTTTCTTCCGAAGATCTGTTGGGAAAAGGACGCATTTAGCTCCATATTCCTCGACCTTCCGTTTCGTTTCCTGTGCATCCTTCTCTTCAGCGGGTAGATAGACGATTAAGCTTGAGGCTCCTTCCATGGCGTATAGGATAGCAACTGCTCTTCCAATTCCGGAGTCACCTCCAGTGATCACGGCACGCTTGCCCTGCAGCTTGCCGGCTGCTTTGTACAGTTGATATCCTCCGTCATCTGTAGGAAGTTGGTCCGAAACTGGTTTAGGATCGGGAATTTGATGCTGATATCCCGGCTTCTCCTGGTGGTGGACCGGGACCTGATGGCCTTTAAACAGTCAATAATCCAACTCTTGAGTTCCAAAGTTGGTAATCCCGCCTTACCAGGTTCAAATTGGGATTTACTAGTCATGATGCTGGTCGTGTGGTGTAATGCACTACTGGTAGTTGTCTGAAGCACCGAGAAGAAGAGGATGGCCCTTTTGATCTATGAGGATAATCGCATAGAGTGGCTTCGATAGAGCAATATATGCTTGCCAGCGACCCTTCGTCACTGTGACGTTCCTCCGTTTTCATAAACTTGTAAAGGAGTCGCCGCATGTCAAAACCTTGGAAGACCAGGCCACCAGACATATTGTTGTGCGGTCAATTTGGGCTTTGTGTACATTTCGTAGACATCGGGCATAAATGATCTTTGGAGCTCTCGATACACACAGGATGGGAGCTATGCGAAGAAGACCTGGCAGATTCATCCCGGGAACCGTAGGGCATTGACAGATCAGTAAGACCGCATCGTTTTGCAGTATATCAAAAAGTAAACAATAAAAGAATCACCCCCCAGTACTCCTGTATTTCGCTTACCTCGATATCTGTGCATCCCAGAAGGAATCTCAACAGACACATATCGCCATCACGACGAGCCACACCCACCGCCACACCGCAGCTGCCAAGACATCCATCGGCGGCGGCGCGGAGTGGGGCGGCAGAAATATGATTAACTGATTGGGACTTTTTTTTTCTTCTTTCTCAATATGATAGATTTCAAAACAATGCGTGAAGAGTCTCAAGCAACTATGGACGCTTCAGCTTTATCCAATTCGATTCTAAGCACACCGCACGATTTCTTGTCTCCTTCCAATGAACTGCACCTTACCTCGCGACTCGCGACAAAGGCTTTTCTGGACCCGCTCGCGTCTAGTCTCTCTACGCTTCAAGACGCACGTCTCAAGTCGCAGAAAAACGGCAGGAAATCCGGTGCATATTCTGCGAAAACCCGGTTTCGCGTGCGGAAGCTACATCTCGATGGATTTTCTGTGAGCCAGGTGTGGGAACAGGTGGTGAGAATCATAGACGAGACCAATGAACAACTGAGCGCCGATATTCAAGCTGCTACGAAGGTTCCTCAGAAGGGAGAGGCGGGCAAACAAAGATCGCGTCCATCGCAGCCCGCCATATCTGACCAGGATGTGTCTGAAGCTAGCCAGTCAGGTTCGGAATCAAACCCTGACATCGACTCAGATGAAGCTTCCGAAGACATGGAAGATGATGTCAATGGCATGGAGGAAGATTTCGAAGAGCTAGAAAATGAGTCGGATTCGGACCTCGAAGACAAATCATTAGCGTCAGAGGACGCCCCCTCCGAGACATATTTGGAAGATCGGTTCGGCTTGAACGACGGTTTCTTCTCGATTGACGATTTCAATAAGCAGAGTGAATACTTTGAGAGATTAGATGAGAAGGGGGCCCAAGACGAACTCAGTGACGGAGAGGAGATTGACTGGCATGCCGATCCAGAGGCAGTACGAGGATATACAAATCAGCCATCTGAATCGAATAAGCAAAACCTCGATGAAGATGAAGGGGACGATAGCCTAGCTAGCGATGACGGTCAGGGATTTAACAATGCAGGATTTAGTGAAGACGATAGCGATGAAGAACTGGAAGATGCTGAGGATTGGATTGACACCAACGATATAAAGTACGACGACTTCTTCGCTCCGCCCCCTCGGAAAGCTTCCAAAAAGAAATCCAGACCACTTCCAAAGACACAGCCTACAGAATTACCAACCGAGGATGATATGGAACGTGCTATCTCAGACGTTCGCCGTGACTTATTCGAGGATTTCTCAGACGAAGCCGAATCTGACGCGGAATCTGCGAATGCAGGAGAAACGGGTGCAGGACGCTCAACACATGAAAAGCAAAGAGCTAAGATCGCAGACGAGATTCGTCGATTGGAGTTAGCCAATGTCACCAAAAAGGAATGGATGCTTGCTGGTGAGGCCAAGGCAACACAGCGGCCACTGAACTCCCTAATAGAGAATGATCTCGAATTTGAGCGTGTCGGCAAACCAGTACCTGTGGTTACAAATGAGACATCAGAAGAAATCGAGCAGCTTATCAAGCGAAGGATTCTAGCCAAGGAGTTCGATGAAGTCATTCGTCGTCTACCAGACTCGCTCAGGTCATCTGAGCTCAGTCGCGGGCGTGTTGAAGTCGACCAGACCAAATCCCAAAAGAGTCTTGCGGAATTGTATGAGAATGATCACCTGCGGTCTAATGATCCTTCTTACGTGGACGAGAAAGATGAAAAACTTAAGAAAGAGCACGCCGAAATTTCACAGCTGTGGAAGGATACCAGCTCCCAGCTTGACTCGTTGTCGAACTGGCACTACAAACCTAGCATCCCACAGGCAAACATCAACGTTATTACAGATGTTGCCACGGTTATGATGGAAGATGCACGCCCCAGTGGTAGCACGGGCGTTCAGGCGACTCTCGCTCCTCAAGAAGTATACCATCCCAAGGATGCTAGTGGTTTCGGGGGGGAGGTTGTGCTGAAGAACGGCGTGGCCGTGGCTAAAGATGAGATGAGCCGAGAAGAAAAGTCTAAGAGAAGACGAAACGAGAAGAAGAGATCCAAGTCTGCGTCGCAACAGCCTGGAAAGAAAGCCAAGACAGACGAAGGGCAACAGATACTGACGGATCTCAAGAAGGGTGGTGTCCAAATGGTTGGACAAACAGGTGAATTGCAGTCTTTGGATAAGGGGCGCCATAAATCTGGCAATACCGGCGTAACCCAGAGTGATAGCTTAAAGTTATAATAGATATGGCGTACTAAGGAAGGAAATGAGAAAAGTCGAGTTATTTTTTTTTTGTATATAAAATTCTTTCAATTTCATACATTCTAGGCATCTAGTCAACGCTAGCTTCTTTGTCGTAACTGGATTTTGTATAGAAAGAGATTCTCCCGGTTATATCCCTCGCAGTTGGAGAAACTGTTTATTTCCTCGACAAAAAACAATTTCTTGATCATCTTCAAACAACGCAGGTCAGCTCGACGTCGTCGCTTGAAGCAGAAATAGCATATTGTCTGTGGGCCCAGCAGCCTCTGTAGCGTGGATATCAGCAAGGGGAAAGCAGGCTCGAAGTATATGCAGTCTGCAGCGAGCACAATGGCAGGATATTCTGGTATATCTGCTGGGGGCGGAAAGGCCCAATCTAGCAATGCAGATTTCACCTTGGACGACAGATTATTTATCGTGATGTTGGACTGCATCAATTGCAGCATTGGCTCCTGGTCGGTGATATAAATGGGTTCATCGGTCTGGCAGCCTCGTGCCACGGCGAGCCCAACTAAACCGCCTCCTGCTCCCAACTCCACTCTAATCGTAGCCAAGCAAGTCAGAAAGAATGCAGACCGGGAATATCTGCATATATTGGGGGATGGATCACAAACATGGTCTTACCAACGAGATCGGTGGCATGTTCCTCCAGCATGTATCTCGACAGCAGCAACCCTGCGGGCCAAAGTTGTCCTCCACATCCCTCTTTCAGGTCCTCCATGAGGAGCAATGGATCCTTCAATAATCCATCAATAGTGACGACTGTGGTGCCTGGGGGTTTCCTTTCCCGGACGGGAATCAAAGATTCGCCGATGAGCAAGTGCGAGCCCTCCGAGTCCGAGCCAGGTTCTGAAGGGGTTGGAGTGTAATCGTCTCCCTCGACCGTATCCGGAATGTGGTGATGTCTGGACAAGTCGCTCGCCATTTCTTTCTCTCTCTCTCTCTCTCTCCTATCTCCCTGCCTGTCTCGTTACTACTGCAGGAAATTTTCCGACGTGGGGAAGACTTGGGTGAGCGTTTGGTGGTTAATGTTACCCCGCGGCGTATTGCAAATACAGCACTCCTTGGGCTATACTACACTTCTATTGGCTGATGTTAACCAATTGACGAATGATGATGCTTTTTTACGATACCATTCGTAAATTAAGCCCAGAGCGTGAGATAACTGTTCGTTATCTTACTGAGTTTACTATCACCCAACTACTCCCAACCATCACCTCGTTATTAAGTACCATCAGACAATGTGAAATAACAACAGAAATACCCGCTTTACCTAGGCACAGTGCGTAATATGCCCGAATAGGAAATTCTGTTTTTGCAACTTCTGTTTTCGTCCATGTGCTGACGTCACCTCGAACGGTCATGACCTCAAAGGCTCCGCTCGTTGATTGGCCGTCCTGCTTTGGCTTCAACCTCATTGCTGGTCATGGAGACGTCATAAACCAGATATAAACCATGTGGCAGCCAGATCTTCCTCTTAGATGTCCTTCCAACTCCTAGCAAGCTTCTTGAACAATCCAACAACTACTGCCACTACTTCATCTTCGTCTTCATCGTCATCTTCAGTCTCATAAAAGACCTACGTGCGCGCAGTAATCATGGCCACATTGCACTGTATGTTCCAAGCGTGGACACTTCAGAACCACTTGAATCCCTGCTAATCAATGTGAGCTAATATAATCAGATCTTCCACCCGTCAAGCCTTCGGCAATCGCCCTGGGCACTGTCTTCACTCACACTGCTTCTCTCGGCATTCTGGCCCCGGTCTTTGGTGATGCCTACCACCGTGCTCAAGCAGCCAACTCCAAGGAAAGCTTCATGAAATCCAAGGAGACCAGCAGCGCCGTCGCTGCATGGGGCAGTTCTGTTATCGGAAGCGCTTTCCAAACCTATGGAGTTGCTGCCCTCATCAACGCCACTGGTACCTTGACATATAAGGGAGCTGCCTACCTCGGAACTCTGATTTTCTTCGCTAGCTCGGCTCCAAGCGTAAGTTATTTTCTTTTTTTCTTTTTGTCATCAATATTCGGGTCTTTTTAAGGATCCCTTGGCTGACTGGCATGCTAGTTTATTTCTCAAATCTTCACTGAAAAGCGCCCATTAGACACAATCGCTATCGGCGCCATTAGCAGGGTGTTTGAGACTGTAGGTCTCAGCTTGTTTTTGACATGGTGGGGAACTCGCACAAACCCTTTTGATTAAGGCGGTTTAGGCTCTGGGGCCTTTTTGCTTGTGGAGATATTGCTATATTAGTTCATAGGTCAAATTGGTTCAAATGTATTATAAACATGAAACACTAGCAGTTGAGCTTCAATGTTGAGAAGATCGTGTAGCCTATTCAGCTAAATAGAACTCACCATTTGAATAGCACGTGAATGTATAAAGAATTGTTAAGTGGAAATTTCTTTTCATCCACCATCTTCACCCAGTTATGAGAGGGTAAATTAGTTCAGATCGGTAGAAAACCAGGCAACTTGTAAAAGAGAAAACTTCATTTCTGTGCTGTACACTTCTCTTCTAGTTCACAGGCAAACGAATCCAGAAAATAATACACCTAATATCAGGTACACGCGAGGCCCACAACACCTTGTCCGAGGGTCTAGACAAATGTTCGGCATGGATATCTAAGACATCAGATTAGACAAAACACACTTGAATAATCAATAAGTAACGGGACCACATACTTCTCCGGGTATCCTTGACCACCAGGGCTAAGTTCATAATTGGATGACTTGTTGAGTTTGGCTGGGAGTGGGGGTAGACCATCCGGTCCCAAAATTCCTTGAATGCTGCCTTTATCCTTCTCGAAATGTGCTGCCAGACCTCGCTCTTCTCCCTCTTCCTTTGCAGCAATCAGCTGCTTCTCGCCGGCTTCTCCGATCTGAAGCACATCATCCTTGGGTGCTTGCTTGTTTCCGAACGTCAAGAGTCCCGCAACATCGCCCTGCTTGAAGACGCTGAGCTGCGGATAGTTGCGACGGACATCACGTTTCCAGTACGGGTTATCTGCGATATCTGCGGCAGGAAGTGTTACTGGGTCGTCATATGATTGCGGCGGCAGGGCACCTGGCGTCGGGTTGCGGAATTGGGCGTTCAAAGGTACACCAGTAGACCTGTTGGGGTCGATAGACAACGCACGCCGGATGACTTCCCAAATTCCCGTCGATTGAACAGTGTATTTCTGCATGGAAATCAGTGTCCGCGGTCCAGAACTGACTCTGCCTTTTCACAAAAGACGAAATGGAAAATAGTTACCTTGTGCACGGCGATGGCATTGGAAGCGGACTTGGCCGCTCTCGCTACTTCTCGCGACATTGTCTGTGTGAGGGTATCAGTACGGTCGTCCATTTTCGTTTCAAATGACTGTATGAAAGTCCGGTAACTCACCAATTGATTGCTCAATCAAGTCTCTGTCTGGAAGACGCATGTCGTCGACTTCGGGCGGGAATGAAGGTCGCGGCTGCTGGCGGAATGATTTTCCGATCCGGGCGTGAGCGTTACATACACACAAATCTCATTCAATTCGTATTTTATATTATAAGAATTACACTGTTGCTCTTATGATTACACAATGTGTGCTGACTGTCTTGAATGAAAACAGCCAGGGAACCAGAGCACTGATACTAGCCAACCTTGACACGATTTGATATCTAGACAATATCAATTGCCATCTGTCTCCCTCACATTCATTATTTCTCATTTTCAGTGGCATCTTCCTTGGGTTCCTCTTCAGCATCTTCTTTAGCCAGAGATTCTTTCACAATCTTCTCTACAGCATCGACAGTTCCAGCGGGGCTGCCAGGCTGTAATAACAGAACTTTACCAGTCTTATCCAGCACACAGACGCCTCGAACAGTGCCTTTTGGTGACTTCTTCAGACCCAAACTGCCAATCAAAGTGGCTTTCGGGTCGCACAGTAGTGGATAGGGCAATTTCTGTTTGGTCTTGAAAGTTGTGTTTGATTTTGGAGAGTCGGTGGAAAGACCATAGATTGCCAGCCCGGTCGAGGTGAGATGTTCATATCTGTCACGAAACAAGCAAACTTGATTTGTGCCTATGAAAACAGTCAGTTGTTGTTATCTTCTAGATGGGTCGTAATAGATGATATGGGGTCGAAGACCCGTTGACATGCAGCACCATCACGCATAATGATAGTTATGATAGAATGACAAACGTGAAACATATCCGGATTAGTTTTTGATGTGATCTGCTTAACCGAAATTCCGCTAACAATACAATGCCAAAACTACAAGCAACTTACATCCTGGTGTAGAGGCCCGCGGGTATGTGAAGAGAACAACTCCAGTTTTACTGGAAGTCAGCAAAGACTCCAAAGTTGTCGATTCGCCATCCTGAGTCTGTATTTCTCCTCCAAAGCCTTCCAGGGGGATAACATCGTCGACTTTGGGGACTGATGGTGATGGCTTCGCGGAAGGGGCATCCTCGCTTTTCGTCTTCGCAGCAGGTGTTGCTGACTCGGAAGATATAGCTGTCTTCGTTTTCTTCGTTGCTTTGGCCGTCGCCGTCTTTTTTTGCGCCGGCTCTGGCTGGGTTGGCGGCGCCTTGCGCTTCCTCAGTTCGACGACCATTTTGAGAGAAAATTGAGCGTCGAACGTGAAATGGATGGGTAATATAGATGCGTCTGATCGCAGAAGAAAATTTCTTGCTTTATCCCTCTCTGTGAATGAGAGTTTTGATGGATGGTAGTTGACTACAAGTGCAATATCAGCCACATAACTAGTTATTTTCCAGTCGCGATTGGTCATCGCGACAGACAACGCGTTTCCCCCCCAAAGGCTAAACTAAATTAGCCCGGCCCAATTAGGAATAATTAATCTGCTTTTATCTGGCCTGAATCTTAAGGTTGAATTATTATTTATTATTTTTTTTTCCCCTTCCCGCCCATGGTCAGAAATATACCCCGATATTGAATAATGGTATTCCAGATGGCGACGCGATATGATAAGTTATGGAGCATTTTCACATGCTCGCGCCGCATTGGTGATGGTGGTAATATAGATACACCACAAATACGTATAAATACGCAAACAGGGACAGCAGGCGGGCGATTCCGTAACTCTCCCATACAAAAACGCGTAATTGCGTGTTTTTGCCGCGGGACGAGTCGGGATGGAGCCAGGGCCCAGCCAATGAGAACGCCTGGCCGGACCCAGAGAGCAAAAAACCTTGACCGTGACTGCGGGCTGGTTCCGGCCCGATGGCAAAAGCTGACCCATTTTTTTCCATCATCGCCAAATCCATCCGCCCATCGTCCATCGATCAACTCATCTGTGTTTCTCGCCATCCTAGAGACGGCAATGCCTCTCCCCCGACTATAGAATAATAGACTCGCTTGTGCTTCGTTTTACCGTCAATCAAAACACTTTTCTTTCTTTCAGTCTCAGACGATTAGCCTGCGACCCAGATCGTTATTGAAAGGAAACAGAAACAAACCCTAAGCAGCACACGACCATTTCAGTCGAGCGATTTCCTTCCCTGGAAGGCGAAGTAGGATAAGATGAAGGTCTTTGCCTCTGACTACACCTTCAACTACTCGTGGGATGAAGTGTCCACTGCCAACTGGCGGAAATATTGCCCCTGGAATGATAAATCGACACATGTAAAGGCTGTTGATACCCTTTCCAGGGCAATAGAACCTTCCACAGGCATCGTAAGTCAACATGGTCATGACCGATTACTGGCTTTTCTGGATGATTCATTGACAATAATGCCCTCCTGTAGTTACGCACTGAGCGTCTTATAACCTGCCAGCAGTCCGTTCCACAATGGGTCTTATCTCTCCTCGGAGGTAGCCCTGTGTCATATGTCTACGAGGTTTCATACGTCGACCCGATTACCAAAAAAGTGACCATGTGCTCGACCAATCTGACGTGGTCCAACGTTCTTAATGTTCGGGAGACAGTAGTCTATCAGCCCTCACGGTCAACGCCGGATCAGCAAACCGAATTTCAACAAGAAGCCACAATCACCGCACTATGCACTGGCTGGCAAAAGATCAAGAATAAAGTTGAAGAAGCCAGCATCGAGAGATTTAGTCAAAACGCCAAACGAGGACGTGAAGGGTTTGAGGCTGTTCTCGAAATGAGCCGACGCGTGTTTGGTGAACAGAAAGAGCTCGAGAAGAAAATGCAATCGTCTTAAACAACGATGCTGCCGCTTATTGACCTTACGACACCTTTTATCCTGTTTCTTTCTTTTCTCAACTGAGCGACTACATTTGCTGCATATATTTGCATTGGGATTCTGATTTGGCGTTGATACTTGATACTCGTGAGCCGGTTATTTGATCAGCATATATTTACTGTACATACGATAGGAAAAAAGCGTTTTGAGGTTTTATGGTGGGATGGCACGATCGATTTCTTATTCTTTTCTGCTGCCCTACTTTCTTTTTTTACTTGAACTTCATACTGAGCGTTCTCACCACTCGGTGGCTAGCTGAAAGGTTCGTGATAGTTGAGTATAGACTATTATGTGATTGATATATCCACTGTGCATGGTTTGAAACTATTAGCAATTATTTGAAGTCTGTGGCTAGTAACTTTATATTTACATGTAAAGCGGCCGTCTTTAACGAAATGTATTCATGACCATGTTCATTTTCAAGCACGACAGTGAGTTACGGCTATTGCGTCGTCTGCGAAGCTTGCTCTTTATCCTTGGATTCCTGCTCAACAATGCCCTTCTTCAGTTTTGCACGTTGCCTTTCTTCATAGGCATTGCGGCTTTTCAGAATTCTTTCCACAATTTCACCAGCATTTACATGCTGGAATGGATGAGTGTCGACTTCCTTGAAAATACCCATCTGCTTTGGGGCCACGTAGGGATCGTATGTTAGGGGAATGAATGTTGTTGGTCCGTGGTAAACTGCGTCGGGCACTCCCCATGGCATTGCTCGTAGAAATGATTCACTTGGCGTGAAGGGTGTTGAGAAGACAATAGATTGAATATACTATCAAATAACGATTAGCAGTCAAATCTTGAATGACCACAGAATTGACACTAGCTTACCCTGCATTGCAAAACGCACAGCCCTCGCTCGAATATATTCATGATGGGATAGTTGAGGCCTTTCCAGTGATTGATGACCGAATCGTCATGGATACCAGCGACAATATATGCCGGGCCATAGTCGTCACCATGTTCTGCGATCCTTTTCTCCTTTTCTCTTGCTTCATACCATCCTCGCTTCTGACCTTCGACCTCTTCCGCATCCCTAACTCGTCTAAGGAATTCAATGTGTCCCGAAGAAAAGAGGTCAAAGCCACCGTCGACATATATGATACGTTGTCCCGGCTTCGGCGGGACACCTTGAATTAGAGATTCGAAGCTCCCGGCAGCTTCAGTGACTTGGTTAATCTTGGCTGTATCACTGCCATTCCAAAGCCATACCTCTGGACCAGGCTGGTGTCCGCTCTCATCAGTAGCATAGTCCCGAAGTCTCTGAAGGAGGTCCGCCCCAAACGCTTTTCGATCCTCAGGGTTGTCAGATCCTTCGTTACCCTCGAGAATATCCTTCACTGATTTCACGAAATGGTTCTTTGTGCATAGAAGCATTCGACCAACTAGATCGGTTGTGGATATGCCTGGTGTTCGCTTCACGACCAAAAACCGCCCGGCGGCCTTGACGAATCTATAGCAGTCTTCGCCATTACTGTCTGATGTAATATCATCTCCGTGAACAACGTATTGGCAACCGTAGTGTGAAATCCATGGCAATGTTGTGACGTAGGGAGCGTGGGGGATGGACTTTGTGGCCCACCTGCACGCTTCGACAGCGGCGACTCTAGACGTAAGAAATAAGACAATTAGGATCGCGTGAACTGGGCCTCCAAAAAAGTGCGTTTCAACTAACCGCTCTGGTAAAGTCATCACAGTTGGCCCTTTGTTTTCGAGAATTGCCTCGTCCGAGTGAATGCCAACCAATAGCTCCTTTCCCAACCTCCGTGCTTGCAGCATGGCACCAGCGTGACCTAGAAAATAATATCGCACATGTCAGCCTACATGCGAGTTTGTTGAAGCGATTGCGCCGCACCGTGGTGGCTGAAATCAAAGCATCCATCAACCCAGATGCGGTCCTTCGATATGGGAACATCTTCCTGTGGATCAACCGGCCAATGGCCAGGCTGAGGGACCACTTCATCTTGCGCGGAACCAGACATGTCTGTCAGCTGTCTGGCTGAAAGCAGGTAAGGACGAATGGAGTCGAGGAGAGATTTATTTTGTCTCTGGCTGGATGTAGATACAATGACGCCGACGGCAGGGCTTGGCTACCCCTTTTGGGGGTTAGAGTTGTGGGGTCGGGTCCTGCTTGTATCAGTCGATTTAAACCATCAACATCCAAAGAAGGAGTCACCCATCTTCAAAAGGGCTCACACTCGGATTACTATGCAGGTATTTGCCCACTGACAGCTGTCTTCACCAAAGGAACACCGCCTGTCGAGTTCCTTCGTCTGATTGAGCACTGAGAACTCGTCTGAAGTTCCCCCGCATTACAGAGCATGACCCTTCTCCCTACGCAAGACATCAATTGTCCGCGCGTCTCTCTCAGCTAAATACTGGCTGATACATTATGGAATCTTGATACCAGCGCCTGGTCTTTTCATGAAACATCAACCATGGCCTCAATACCTCCGTTGCCTCCTACCCAGCCTGGAGGGCTAGCTACTAGCCCTCAGAGCGCGTCCTCTATCTTTCAACACATCCACGAAATGTCTTCAAAACGCATCTCTACCTTGGATTATTTACGCAAAGCGTAGGTATTTTCCATGTTCAAGCTAAATTGTTCTGAAGCTAATGTGTTGTCATGCTGCTTCTCCTTAGCCACGAAGGCCGAGTATACTGGTTCAATACTGTCAATTTCTCGAGGAACGATCTCATGCGGATGCCTTACTTTGACCCCCGAAAGCTCTCCCGTCGCGCCATTAATTTCTTACTCCTCGGACTCTCGCTCCCCCCGATATTAGACGTGAACTCGACCCCGCTGGAATACCTCCGCGTTCTCCATGCGCTCCTGATTGAATTCGAGACATTTCAACAAGTTCATTCTCCAGAAGGGAACTTCTCTTCCAATCTGGTGCGAGCAAGACTACCCCAAATGTTCAAGAGGGCTACATATACTGGAAATAAGGCTAGGAGAGCAAGCTCGGCTACAGAGATCGGCCTGCCTATGCAGTTCAATGACTCGTCCGACGTCAAGGCCATGACGGGAAATCTTGCTTCTTCGGCCACCGCAGCATCTGCGGTCACATCATTCCCTAATACTGACTCTTCAGATCTGCTTCCCGGCGAAGAATATACGTATCTGTTAACACCATCGCTGCCGTTTGACCCTGACTTCTTTGAAACGTTTGTCACTCTTTGCGATGTCTTGATCGACTGCTACACCAGGCTTATCAGTCTGGTTTCAACGCCAGCCGTTTGTAATGCCGCTTTGGGGGAGCTTTTCACCAAGACTGATACGAAGCTACGCAAAGTCATGGTCACGGGAGTCGTTAGAGAATTCGAAGACGCAAGCAGAGGCGGTGCGAAGAGCGAGATTGGCGGGGTCAGTAGGGTTGTCCTTGGTGGATTGCTAGGATGACCTGTGTACATAGATAACCATATATAAAGCCGCGGAGCACATAAGCGTCATTTGATCTCTGATTTGAAGACAGGCGATTGGTCATTAGATATAAGTAACTTGGTGATATTATGGCATCCCGAGGCCATCTTTTAAATACAGGTATTTGAATTGGTACATGCGTTTGAAGTACGTGAGCGATCATTCTTCAGCCGCGACGAGAACGCCTTTTTCTTCCAACAATTTAGCCAGTTCACCGTTCTGGTGCATGGACATGAGAATATCGCACCCGCCCACAAATTCCTTTTCGATATAGAGTTGCGGTATCGTCGGCCATTCGGAGTATTCTTTGATTCCTGAAATAATCCAAACACGTTAGCAGATAGTAATTGGCCATAGATACAGCATTGATTCCCAGAATTGGAGAAGGAAAGAAAACGAAAGGGGAGATGTACCTTGCCGAAGCTCGGGATCCTCGAGGACGTTGAACGCAGTGAACTTCTTAGGATCAACTCCCTGCAAGCCCAAAATCTGTATACTCGCCCGCGAGAATCCGCATTGTGGTGTTTCGGGAGTTCCCTTCATGAATAGCACGACGGGTGCTGATTCGACGGCCTTGTCAATGGCCGCTCTGGTTTCTGCGGAAAGTAGACGCCGGAACTGGAGCGCAGCTGGGCTGGAAGCTATTGACCATGGACTAGGGGTCTTCACTGTGGTCGTCAATCGCGTAATGCCGCGAGCTGGCTGTGGATTGTGCTCATGAGTCAGTCATGTAAGCCATTCATTCACTGGGAAGCGCACTGACGAGGACATACCCTTGCAGCGAACCTTGAGAACATGTTGAAAATACTAAGAAGGAATTGAAGTAGTGCGTGCTCGACGAGGTTCAAATGTCAAGGTTGATTCGTTATTAATAATGCAAGGAAGCTAAGTCAAGTTGCTTTTTTTGCCTCCGCGGATGACTTGCGTCGAAATACTTGGCATGGCGTGTGCCGCGGAACCAACTCAAAGACTAGCTGCAGCTCCAACGTGCACGACATTAAATCGTACGACTTTAAAAGGACGTTCAAGAATACTCTATAGCTCTATAGAAGAAAAGATTGGATTTACATGCTTGATCATACACAAATACACCCGTAATCTTACAGTCGTTCTTATGCAACATCTATAAAGACGCAGAAATGGCTTCTTCCTGCTTCTTTTCGTCCTCTTCTCCTTGATAGTATCCCAAATATTGGCCCAGATACTCCCCTGCCATACCAAGGGCTATACCGCCGCCGGTCAGCCAACAGCCATTCTTGAACCACCACCAGCAGTTCTTAACATCCTTCAGGCGCACTCTCCAGATCATAACACCCAGAGAGACTATGGCGCTCCCACAAGTACCCGCAAAATATATGGGTCCAGCTCCGGAAGCCCAGCCAGCAAGTGCCAGCAGTGATACCTGGGTGACAGCTAAACCCGAGAGGACTGTCTTGGTGTTGTGTTCGTGGCGCAGAGCGATAGACTTGATTCCAGCAGCCACATCGTCTTTGATGTCCATGTGCGCATATATCATGTCATACAATACCGTCCAGGCCACGCAGCTGGAATAAAGAGCCGCCGCAGTTGCCAGAGCAGCTGGCTCGCTCAGTAGATCCACGCCGAGCGCTGGAAAACCCATCATTGCCCCCCACGAAAAGGTTAGTCCAAGAACAGCCTGCGGATAATTCGTGATTCGCTTGGCTAATGGATAGGTTGCGACAAATAGGAGACTTGGAATCCCGTACCATAAACATTGTAGAGGGAACTGAACAAGTACTGCGAGACCGGCCAGGAGTTGGAACCCGGTGAAGACAACCGCCTTCTGGGGTGTTACTGCGCCTCGTGCAATGGGTCGGAATCGAGTGCGTGTTACGTGAGGATCAAGATCTTTATCCCAAAGATCGTTTATCGTGCAGCCCGCACCTCGCATAATGAGCGCACCGCTGAAAAATAGCCCCGTAGTTGCGAGAATTTCCATGGGTGATGCCATTGGTGTAGCAAGCGGAGCTGCAAGTAATGTTGAGAATAGACACGGAAAGAACAGATAGTAAGTTCCAGTGGGTTTGTCGAGTCGTATCAATTCCGCATATGGTATCCAAGCTTGCGGCAGCGAAGCAATTAGACCCGTCTGCGGAGGGCTATACACTGCTGGCGCAAGCGACGCCTCTGGTTGGGCTGATGAGCCTTGGTGTGAAGACTTATGAAAATTGCGTGCCTGCAAGCTCCCAATGGTGTCTTTCCTGCTAAAATTGGGCACCGAGGAACCCGATGTTCTCGAGTGATACTGGGAAAGTGAACCACTCAGGCGAGTAAGGGCCATTGTGACTGGAAATCTGCTTTGGAAGTGCAAGCCAGCACATCGTTTCGACTGTGATCGAAGTGCCTCTGCAGAATACAGCAAGGAAGCCCTCGCCTTGATGCTCCTGGGCCGCAAGTGCGTTGAAACTGGCATTGTAGCTGTTGTATAAGATAGGAGAAACGGCGTGTTGGGAAAAAGCTGATTGACGTCTTGATTGCCTTCCTCACGAGACGAAGGGGAGCTCAGCTTGTCAATGACATATTCAATTGGCGCATAAAATGCATCCAAATAATCTTTCTCGAGGGACGTTGAAGCTTGAAATTATTTTGGACGAACGGACCCACTCCGGACCGGCATGGATTTGGATTTAGTGCAGCCTCAGGCTTACTTACCATCCATCCCCAGCGCGGATCCTCTCATCGCGACAACTTCCCCAACCTCGCTGCATCCTCCATCCCCCAGGAGTTGATGATGATGATGATCAGTGTACTTCCAGCTTTACTCAGTTGACGCGACTCTCATACAGGTCACAACCCTGTCGAGTACCTTACTGCGCGCATCAACCTGGAAATGCGACTTTGGTTCTGGGGCTTTCTGCCTTCGCTCCTTCGAGTCCCTGCCCGGTCCCTCACTTGCAACTTCGTCGCTCACATGCCTGAAACCACGCATATGTCCTCTGGCTGAACCCACTTCTGGCTATCCGCAGGGAAACTCGCGCATAACCATTATCATGCCGGCCCAAAGACCGCAGGCCGCTTTCGAGCCAATCTCTCCCACCATAGATATCCCTGCATTAGTTGAGACGACACCAAACTTTGAATGGGTTGTTAGGATACACTGCGATGCCATATACGACCAGGGGCTGGATAATTTTGAGAAGCTTATTCGCCTTCATGTCATAAGCGGCGGGAAGCCGTTGGTCGTTGAAGGCTATGATAGTAGATTCGAAAAGTGGATCTTTGCTGAACGGTGGCTCAGGGATAATCACGCAACGAAAAGTAAGAGACCCCATGTTTTGCGACTACGTATCCTTAGCTGAGGCTGACTTGATCTCAAATTCTAGCGGAAAATGCCAGAAATTTGGTAGCAAAGACGAACATCCCTCTGTCAATCGGGCATTATCTCAGCAATATGCCTATGCTGACCGACCAGATTAATGCGCAAAATTACACCGAACCCTCGTGTCAAAGGATATATCTGAAGGATATTGATTGCCCGGATGTCTGGTTCGAGAAATTGAAAGAAATCATACCAAGCTTTTTATTGTACATGAACGAAACAGTCGCCGACTCGGATGCGGCGAGCATGTATCCCGGCTTAAATGCTCACGATCCGAGCCATCAAGTTGCTCAGGACGTTGCAAAAGCTGGTGACTTAATGAGTAGCCTCCCATCCGCAATGCGCGCCGAGAATCTTATGTGTTACATCGGTCACGAAGGAACCTATACTCCTTGCCATCAAGAAATGTGCGCAAGTCTCGGTCATAATATAATGGTGGAAGCCTCGACAGGGCTTTCTGAATATGGAAAACGAACGAAGCCCGGCTCCTCGATTTGGTTCATGACTGAAACCAAGGATCACCACTTGGTTTCTGAATACTGGTCGTCTGTTCTTGGTCATGATATCGATCTTGAAGATCATTTTGCACAGATCAGTGCTTGGAAAGCTGCTCCTTTCAAAACGTATGTGGTTGAGCAGAAAGTAGGCGATTTCATTCTCATACCACCCCTTGCACCCCACCAAGTCTGGAATAGAGGCACCCGAACAATGAAAGTTGCTTGGAATCGTACGACGGTTGAGACGTTGGAATTGGCCCTCGAAGAAGCTCTTCCGCGTGCGAGAAATGTTTGCCGAGATGAACAATACAAAAATAAAGCAATCGTCTTCTATTCCTTGGATAAATACTCAAAGCTACTCCTGGCTGCTGAGAAATACAACGTCCGCAGTCCCAAATCTCGCCAGGTACAAAAGGACTTCAAGAAACTATTCGCCATGTTTACGAAAATCATGCTCTCGGAAAGTTTCTCTCATGAGCTTCCGGAAGAAAAGTCCATTGAGTTCTTGCCGTTTGATAGCAACGTCACGTGCTCTTATTGTCGGTGCAATATTTTCAACCGTTTTCTCACGTGCACCCATTGTGTGGGAAAGTTCATAAATGGTGAAAATGACTGTTACGATGTTTGCATGGAGTGTTATGCCATGGGTAGAAGCTGCGCGTGCATATCAGACCTCCAGTGGGTAGAGCAATTCCGGTGGCCCGAACTGGTCGAGAAACATGAATCATGGGGCAAACAAATCTGCAGGCTTCAGGGTCAGAAAGAGGATAATTATATCTCTCTTACCGAGGAACGACAGCACTTGGGCTACAGGACTCTGGCTGAAGTCTGCCAGCGGGAATTAAAACGAAGACCGTTCGTAGACATCACAAAACAAACTTTTGATGAAAAGGAGATCGATAGCCAGGAAGATGAGGAGGATCAGCAGAGCGCAGATGAGCGACCCGTGAAACGAAGGAAAGTTCATCCGAGAGACAAGTTATCCAAGGAACAGGCGCGGTGTCACATCTGCAAAGCACTGGAGCCGACCTGGAAACTAGCGTCCTGCCGAGAGTGTGGTTTAAATTATTGTTATGGCAGCCTCTTTAGAGCATTTGAAATTAAGCCCCAGGTACCCATGCAAACATATCGTTGGGAATGTCCAAGATGTCAGAAAATTTGCAGCTGCGGTGCATGCCGGCGGAAATTCACTACACAACCCTACGAACCGAAAGGCTTAGCACTAGGACATGACACCAAGAAAATTGCTGATCCGCGAAGTGTTGAGGCTCTAGTGAATTTCAGCCACTCTAACATCGGCTGGCTGAAGAAAGCCGGTGACGGTACAGCCGATTCAACACGGCGGTTACAAAGGCACCAGGAGGAGGCAGAAAGAGCTAAAATGCACGATGCTCTTGCAACTCAAGAGGACGATGGTGATTATGGCCAGCCCATGCATGGTGCAAATGCAGTGGCTTCGGCACCAGCTTATAGCGGTATCCCGATTGACCCAGCACTTGGTGGAATGAACAACCCAGTGTCCAATGGGTTCGATATCTACGATCCTTCTATTCACTTGCCTGAATTGGCCGCAAGAGTGCATCAGCTTAGTCAGTCAAACGCTGAGAACCTGCTACACAGAAGCGAAGAAGAAACTTTGCGAGATGCTGCTGCCATACGATTTGAGTTTCCTCCGGAGAATGCAACCCCTCCTTCAGCAGCTATAGATCTAACGCAGGAAACAAACAATTCTGTTGCCATAGACCGAAGTCTTCTAATAAGCCCCGCCAATGACCACGGTTCTATTTCACATGTGGAAAACGGTAGACCACATGCTCGAAAACAGGGAGAACTTGTACGCTTGAGGCTTGGTCGAGAGCGCATGGAAACCCTGGCGCAGTCACTAAAGGCATTTGTAAAGGGAGCAAGCGGGGTTCGCTCAAGTCTGAACGGTGCACCTATCGTTGTGTCCGATCTCTCATTCCATAACCAATCCCTGCCGACCCCAGAGAACACAAAGAAGAGGAGACGTCGCGGTGAGAAAGATGATGATTTCAAGGGCAGTCGTGGTAAAGGAAGAAAGCAACGCACGTCGGAGACTGATCAGAATTTCGAGAAACCTAGACGAGTCACGAGGGGGATCAATTACTTCGAGGACTCAGATCCAGATCTCTCCGATGGGCTGTGAGCGTAAATACCAGCGATGTTCTGGAAGAGATGACAATTGTTTCACTTCAATGTACCGTACTTTTCTCGATGTTAAATGATATCATCGGCTGATAATACCTCCCAATGTCATTGATATGTAGCAGGACGAACGGACCGATTGCTAGCTTTTTCTAATTCATTACTCCCAACAGTCTTGAAGACGAAAAACGTTTATCGTGATTATAGTACATCAACTAGCTGCTAAATTCAGATTTATAACATTCGCAAAGCACGTAGTGCTCACCTAAGCGCCTTTGTATTCGTACCGAAGTTTCTCGAGTTCTCCAATATCGACTTCAGTTGTAACGCGCCTAGCCAAGAATATTATAGCCAAAAAGACTACGAAGAAACAGCAGACATGTCAGCACATTTGCTAGCTAGATATCGAAGTTGATAGTTCCTGTATCGTTGACAGCGGAGCTTACCAGCAGGAAGAAGATATAACACGCTACCACGTTGCGTATCGACTATACGCAGCAAAGACCCCAAAGCCAGTAGTCCACACAGGGCAGAATTAGCATAAACAAGGCATCTCCTGTTAATCCCGTCCAAGGCTGCTGGGAACCACCTAGGATTCGTCACAGACGGAGGTCGGAGATCGTCGTGCCGCCTATTTGTCCTTGATGGATGGAGGGAACCACTGCTTTGCATGATGTACGCTGTCACCAGAAGAGAAATTATACACACGACATATATCAGTCTTTGCCCGACGGCCACTGATGACGAGACCAGTGCAGGGATATAGGCGATGGCGGCAATGAGCGGGACAACAGTGAATACTGTCTATTTGAACACCATGATTAGAAAACCAAGATCTAGCTTCGCTATACTCAGTTCTTGAAGCACATACGAGGTAGAAACGATTGTCAGTATCGTTTTTCTGGTGTAAATTTTGAATAATGTCATCTTGTTCTATTGCGAGCGAGTATCAGCATCTATCTAGCTAGACCTGTACATGATGCGAGGTTTGCAGACCTTCCTCGTCCAATTCTTGCCTGGCACTGCGATCATGACTCTCGTCTTCATCATCCGGATAGCGAAACGTTCTTCTCAGAGTTGCAGCCATAGTGCAAGGTTGGAATATGAAATACCATGCGGGAGTTTGACATATGATGGGATGGGATGATGGGGATTTGACTTGCAGTTCCGATCCGCAACGCCAAGACCTACATCTCCGTCCGCATGGCCTTAAATTCTTCAATCAATTAACCAACAGTCGAATCTTCACGCCCTCTGCCACCACAACACATCACATCCCGGCCATTCCGGAATACAACATAGAAAACAAATCATAGATGAATTACTCGAGGCTCCTCTTACCCAGGGCATTGGGCAAGTCAGCCCGCGGAGCATCACCACTAAAAAATGCGAGCCCATTTCGACTTCAGCGCCGTTCATTGATTCCTGCACCATCAGCAAACTCTGGTCCGCTTCTAGATCGTCGCGCCGACAGAGAACTACCGAGTCTGGAATCACAGTTTCGATGGACCCGGACGCTGCCTATATTCGCCGTCCTTGTCGGAGCTGCCATGCTTGGAATCTTCAACTACCAGAAATCGTCGTCAAGCGTCGTGAGCAGCACACTCTACGCTTTACGGATGTCAAAGCAAGCTCGCGATATCCTCGGAGATGAAATTTACTTCGCGCACAGAGTTCCTTGGATTAGCGGCACCATGAACCAGCTACACGGGCGAATTGACATATCGTACTGGGTTAAAGGCACAAAATCAAAAGGCAAGATGAGATTTAAGAGTATCCGGCCTGATCGCCTGAGCTATGTGAGTCTACCATAACATACCAATTCTTTTTTTTTTTTCCCTCGAAAATAAAAGTAGCTGATTGTTGTTGTTCCAACTTAGTTCCGTACCGAGGAATGGACTTTGGAGACTGAGGATGGAAGAGTCATACAACTACTCACGCCAGATCAGGACCCATTTGCGGGTTTGTCTGACTAAAGAGAGGATTCTCAGCACATATGCCACATACTCGCGGTCTAAGTTGATTTTTGTGTGTATTGTAACATTAAGGGTAATGAACTGAGAGCATGTTCCAAAAACAAGTTCTTAAAAAAGCCCGACGCCCACCTCAAAAATTTGTATAATAGTACATTTTTATAGACATGAAATTAATAATGGCTTGCTATGATTCTTCAGTCACCGTTTCCAGCTTAGGTTGTGCATCAACTTTTGGCCATGGCTTCTTGAGTGCATCTTGAAGTTTGACAAGACAGCCCTTGGGTCCGCTGACAGAGCCTACAACGGAACACCCATGATTAGTATAAGAGAGCTCTTCCATAAAAACGAGGGGGTGAAAAAAAATTCTCCAACGTACCATTCACAACAATCAAGCCGTTCTCACGATCGACTTGTAAAACCTTCAAGTTCTGCAAAGTATTCTGCACGTTGCCCATATTTCCAGCCATCTTCTTGCCAGGATAAACTCGAGAACCACCTCCTTGACTTGGACCTGCAGAACCCATAGAACGATGGGTTAAACTGACACCGTGGCTCCTATCCTGACCATGGAAACCGTGCCTTTTCATCACACCGGCAAACCCTTTACCTTTCGTATTTGAGCGCGCATCGACAAATTGTCCGACCTGGAACCAATCCGCATGTAAGGTCTCGCCGATCCCAAGCAGCCCAGACTCGTCTCGCACCCGGAACTCATGGACGTATCGTTTGGGGGCAACACCGTTCACCGAAAAATGACCGACAAGCGAATTCGTCAATCGCTCAGGGTTTTTAAACCCGCTTCCTATTTGCACTGCGAAATATCCATGTTTATCCATTGTCTTGTGGGAAACGACTTGGCATCGATCAAGCTGCAGAACGGTGCATGGAGTGCGCTTCCCCGTCTCGGGATCGTATAAACCCGTCATGCCCTTTTTGATGGCCAGCAGACCCGTTCGGAGCGGCATGGTGTCTGCTTTTATTCGGCGTTCCAAGGCGGCTGCCGGTGTGGATTTGAGTACAGGAATATCCGGTCCGGCATTATATCGACTGTGTTTGGGCGGGGTGAGAGACCTGATGCCGAAGAAACGCTTGCTGGTGGTGTCGATGAGAAACTGCGCAGCCCAGCCGGAGCGATTGAGGGACAAGGCCTCGGGGTGCGGGAGCCTAGGAGGCATGTTTTTTTCTTTTTTAGGGAAAAAGATCGCTTCCGGTAGAATAAAAGGATTCAATGATGTGTGTGGTGGGTGTACATCCCAATGGCCAGCAGGTCAGTCAATCAATGGAGAGTGAGTGATAGCGACGCTGGACAAAATAAAATGCGGCCGTTCTTGCTCGAATACGGTTTAGTCCGGACATTAGCGTGTGGTATTGTATTATTGGTATTGATGTCGTTAAATTACACACTCTGCGGACTGGCCGGCCGGCGTTCGGAGGTTCGTTCTTTCAAAAATAATTCTTGGAGAATCGAGAAGAACCGCAAAGTTGAACCAATCGATTGTCGACTGCAGTCATTTATTCTATTTACGTATAATACTCAACATCTTTAATTGCTAATACCCCGCACATCCAAAACATGCCGCCGGTTCCTGCATCCATACCGCGACTGTTGCAACGACAGGCGCAGTCAATCCTACAGACGAACAGCCCTTCCCTAGCTCTAATCCGTTCTCTGCGACAACCATCGCAGCAGACGCGCACGATTCTGTCACAGCAGTGCTCTCGGTCAACAAGAACAGGCGGTCAGGTCAGGGCGCAACGGCCTTCGAGATACGTCAACAGGCCGCATAATCAGCCAAAAAACACTTTCTTCCAACAACGCTTTTCATCAACGAGTGCGAATGCGAGCAGCCAGCAGACCCAAACACAACCACAGTCCCTTTCGCAGCGCCTAAAAAATCTCACTCGCGAATACGGCTGGTCGGCGCTAGGCGTTTATTTGACGCTTTCAGCGCTGGATTTTCCTTTCTGTTTTGCGGCAGTTAGGCTACTGGGTGTTGAGCGGATTGGGCATTATGAGCATCTGATCATTGAGAAGGTTAAACAACTCTACTATTCTGTGGTACCTCTTGAAAGACATACGGAAGGGGAAATTGAGGGTCGGCAGCAGCATGCGGAGGGTGAACATATTACCGACGAAGGAGCCAGTACGTTTCTCCCTATGTCAGTATAACAATAACAAATAAAGACTAACAAAACCCCCCCTTCTTTTTTTCTGCTTCCAGGCATATGGACTCAACTCGCCTTAGCATACGCAATTCACAAGAGCTTGCTCATCTTTATCCGAGTGCCGCTCACCGTCGCTGTGACTCCCAAGGTCGTTAAAACCCTAAGAAGTTGGGGATGGAATATTGGCAAAAAAACTCCTAAGAATCCCAACTGAGACAGACAGCCTTGCAGGCACTTAGCTAGCCAGCCAGCCAGCTCCGGTGTTCCATTGCATTACACACCAATCTCCCGATCTGTCCAGTCTGTCCACCTTTTTGAATTCACTTTTTTTTTTGATTGCTTGATAAAATCATGCCATTCTTTCCAGCCAGCCTACTTCAAATGTATCATCACCCACTCCACTATTTTGCGTCAACTTTTTTTTTTTCACGCCACTACAACCCAAAACAGTCCTAAGGGCATGGCAAGCAGTCTCGTTGCGGTCTTGGGCTTTGTTGTATACTATTATAATACATAGATGAAAGAATTATATTGAATATTAATATCAACATAACGGAGTTAAAAAGAGGAGAGGGCATGAACGTGGAAGGTTTGATATATCATCTATTGTTAGCTAGTTACTTGACAAAAGTAGTATTTACACATCAATTTTTTGCTTTCCTTCCTGACGCGAAATGCTTCCTAGTACAGAGAAAAGAAGGAAAGGAAATCTGAACTATTTAAATATAAACGAAAATTTCATCACAATTTCTATGGCCTCATGATTTTACGCAGAGCTATTGGAGAAATATGCGAGGGGCTAACCACGTCTCGACTTCATCTATCAAAAAATAGTAACAGGTATCCAAAGCGAAGTAAAAAAAAAAAAAAAAAGGAGGCATAACTCGTTTCCTATTCCTACCCCGCTCCTTCTTCATGTTTGCCCTTCCATGTCCTCTTTCTGTCGTTAATCACATGTCGATACTTTCGTTGAAACGGAGCACTCCGGAAGATTTCATTACACCGTTAACGCCATCTGGCGTTCTATATGCCCACTCTGTGGCTGCTCTGATAGTATTGGTCTTCGACGGAGGATCGTCGATGATATTTGTTGAAGCTGTTTCCTCGGATGTGTCAGCTATCAATACCAGACCCTGTTCTTTGATCGTCTCGATGAGAGCAGGCATGACGTTCTAGACCAAGAATACGTATTAGTCACGAGTTTCCGGGTTGAAAATAAGCAATGGCAAACAAAATATATAGATAAACATACCAATAGACTTGACCGGCAGATCAGACCCATGAAATTATTGGACTGGGCTATACGCGCAGCTTCTTTGATAGACGTGGATGCATGACCGCTTGACTGGATTGCCGAGCTGATGTTGAATTCTCGAGTAAAATCTCCAATCTGTCCCAGGTCATTGCATAAAAGGACGGGATCTATAATCACGATCAAGATAAGTACGAGCCACAGAAATACATCAAGTGTCAAAAGGTATAGGGGCTCGCTTACAGTTTGGTTGTTTCCAGTTCAAGGCAGTGCAGATGTTGGGATTATACGAAGTGAAAACAATGGAGCGCATGAAATCTGGACTTTTCTCGCGCGAGGCTCTGGCGTGATCGAAAACAACATGAAGAATGCAGTCCGCAAAGTTGTTGATATCTGCCAAGGAGGCCAGGCCGAGGGCTTTTTCTTCCGCAGACGACGGATAGAGAACGGAAAGATTCACGTGGATGCTGGTAGGGAGATGTAAGAGAACATCTTGTAGAGACAAGAAGGATGTTGCAAGTTGTTTGTGGACAATAGCGATGTCACTGGGTGTTTTGGTGTGCAAACTTTCGAGTATTGCCGAAGAGTCAACGCCTTGTTCACGGGCGATGGTTGAGAATTGTTCAAAGGTGATTGTGCAAATGGGCACATCAATACCGTGGTGGTTGATAGAGAATTGCGGGTACAGTACAGGTTTCTTGTCCTTTGTGAGCTGCAAAAAGAGTTGCACATAGTCTCCAGACAGACTTGAGCCTGTAATCAACCCGTTATGGTCCGTATCAATGGCGTTGGTTGCTTTCCAATAGGTAGCAAAGTGTGTAATTTCCAGTGGGTCTCCGTAGTATGGTTTTATGACCTGGAAGTTGAAGCGGATCTGACCTATTGAACGTAACCTTGGGTCGAACAATGGCAATGAGCAGTTTCCTGCACTCGAATTCTCGGCAGCAAAGAGTGATGGTAGAGCCACGGTCTTTGCTATTACTTTAGAACCAAATGTGGGGAAGATCTCGAATTCTATAACAAAATTGTCCAAGGAATCGACTTGGAAGGTAACAATTCGTGAATCTTCCTGAACTGGAAGCATAATGGTGCGCGGAATCACATCCGACAGTTTGGATGAAATTGTTAGACGGGAAGCGGGATGACGCCCGGTCTGGTCGAACATAATCGGCCCCCGATTCGACAAGTCGAAATAGAGCTGAACAAAAGCTTTTGTATCCAGAAAGTTATGTCCGTATCGTCTTAACGGGATGATAGGAGGAGGTAATTCGAGATCAGGAATGCCATCAGCGGCTTCAGTGCTCAATGCGGATGGAGCGGTGTCAGTGCGGAAGCCATCGTACCCAATGGCCGTACCGCCCATTGGCAGCGCTACTTGAGGGCTAACAAGAGGACGGTGAGGTAATGATTGATCCTGCTTAGACCAAAGAAGGGCCATACATTCAAGATGCCCTTCCCACGCAGCGTAGTACATCGCCGAAAGCCCCTTTTCATCCAAAACTGATGTATCCACACCAAGATCGAGAAGGCTACGCAAACAGCTCACGCAACCTTCACTGGCAGCATGAAATAATGGAGTCCACTGGTATAACTTATCATTCTGATTCAAGTCCGCGCCGTGGTCTTTAAGTAACGATAAAAGCTCTGGCGCTCGACCTGAGCGAGCGACAAGGTGTTGAGGGTAGAGGCCTTCGGCATCTGGAAGCAGAGAAGCCCCTTTCTGCAACAACAAGTTGGCGATGGAAACCGTTCCATGTTGGCAGGCCATATTCAGAGGAATATGATCAGCCTCAGAAATGGGTTCAATTCTTGCTTTGTTATTTATAAGTTGCTCTGCACATGCAAATTTATTCCGCACGATGCTGTGGATAAGGGGCGTGAAGTTGTCATGGTCAAGACTGTTCACCGTATCGGGCCCGGCAATGAGAAGTTTGCGAGCCATTTCGACACGTCCATACATACAAGCGTAGTGAAGGGGAATCCTTCCGTAAACGTCGGGCCTTGAAATGTCGACACCATTTGAAAGTCCGGCCTCGAAGACAAACGTCTGGTCTGAGATTGCTGCCTCGTGAAGACAGTTTCGTCCGTTGATGTCATCTTCAGCATGCAAATCCACTAGACCACTTTCGAGTATAACTCCTAGAATATCGTTTGGCACTTCGTTGAGGGCGGCTAAGAACAAACGTGTAGTGCGTTCACGAGCATCAGAAGTAGCTCGAACCTTTGTGACCCATTCTTCTAATGCACTCAGGTTCCCTGCAGCCGCGATGTGGACGACCTGAAGATCTGATTCATCATCTTCACTCGGATACCCGGTTTCTGTTCGTTCAGTTGACCGAGCAACGTCAAATCGAATATTCTCTCCCTCGGCCCACGCTTCCAAATCCAAGCGCACAGTGGTCGCTCTGTCCGATAGGTCACGCAGAACTTCTCTGTTGAAACATGGTTGAACTTCAACGGCGCGTTGGAGGTAGAGCTCTTTCATTCGAGACTGAAGAGCACGCAAGTTAGCTTTTCAAAATGATACAACATCTAGATAAACTCCGCCCCGCACCTTTGACGTTTTATCCCACTGCAAAAACAGTCAGTCAGTCATATACTAAAATAGCCCGTAGAAATATAACGACGAACCTTCTTGAGTATCTTTGAAACTGCAGTCTCATTCACTTCAACGAATTGCTGTTTACCCCCTCGGCGTTAGAATGAGTAAGGTAAGATCGCAAGAACTACCAGCCTCACCTGCAGCTTATTCAAATCACTGTCGAATTGCAGAAACCCTTCAAACAGAGAGACGAAATATGTGGGCGCTTTGGAGTCTCCATGGGTGCGAGTCTGGACAACACGTTTCTTGTCGAGTAGTGTCTTTAACCGGGTTGAAAACTGCAGTGAATCTTAAGCAGTAATTCACTTTTAAAGAAACGATGCAGCCGTACCTCTGACTCTTTTTGCAAATAGAATGCATTTACTTTTTCAATCTCGCGCTCCTATGTCCCAAGGTAAGTATATGTCGGGAAAAAAAAAGAAAAAAAAAAAAAGAAGAGGTGCTGCTACGGAGCGATGATATATTAACATACCAAACGAAAGAAGAACACTTCTTTATTAGCACGCAGGGCAGATTGGGGATCAAGATCGGCTAGTGACACAGGAGGAGGAGGAGCACCTTGTGCCGAGATCGTTGGCGTAGCGCTGAGATGTTTGATAAGCTAAAAATTACAGCCCAACAGAAGTTAGTGAAGAACTCAATCAGTGAAGAAATGGACTTTGCCGGAATTTTCCAACCTTCTTCAAAGCTTTGTAATTGACGAAACTAGCCGCATATTCGGGAAGATCGAGTTGTCTGCGTTGGATCTGTTTTCCAAACTTCCTTCATGATTGTTAGCCATAAGAAAGGTAGATCGGACTCCGAAATAGAATCGGGTCGCAAAGACAAAGCGAGTTCTCTTTCGTTTCGTCGAAAGAGTTTTTATAAAATTCATAACAAGACGAATCGACCCTGTCGGAGCGGCCAAAATATACGTACATCTTGTAATGTTGGGCGCGGCAACGTCCAATGGTACACGGTAAACGTATGTAGGGTTCTCGAGAGTTGGAACTGACTTGAATGGAAAGCGACTGTCTATAAGTCTTTCACGATAGAAATGCAACCATCAGCCCTACCGCCAGAGATATATAGATATGGATATGGAAAATCGTACCACGAATAAAATTTGAGATGACAGCCCGATATAAAAAAAAGCGTTTTTCTTATGTAGACATGGCGACCCAAAGGATAAGCTAGCCTGACACCTGATGAATGCAAGAGTGACCTAGGGCTTGGTCTTTTTTCCTATTACTGTTATTGTGATCCCAGGAGAAGTAATCGACGATAGCAATGACAGGATAGCTTTGCTTGTTCGGTCCTAGTAGGTCCGTTGTTGCCTCCAGCGAAGATCAAGCTAAAGTTGGGCCAGCCGGTCGAGGGTGTCACTGCCACCCGGTATGACTTCCTATGTGCATGGGTTAGATTCGGGCCTGGTGTTACATGCAACTAGGGAAGTCTGGCAAGGATGGCACGTATGGATCCTTCTCTCTGAGTGGTCCAAGAGATGGTACTCACTTCTGCAAAGGCAGGAAGCAGCGAATCGAGTGCGAAGAAATGGGCTGATTGATAAACCGATTGACTGATTGATAGCAGCAACGAGCGAGCGATGGTCACACGCAATGCATGAGTTGTCAAGCGGAAGAAGACGAAAGAGGAGGACGAGGAGTTGCAGTTCCACTGGCTGTGGAAGCGAGGGGGTTGTTTGTACGTCGCGGCTGCTGCTGCGATGGGCAAAACGGCTCCAGCTCGCTCTTTCCTTCTGCTGGCCGTTCCGTTCGTTCCTTCCCCTCGCGGTGGGGATGCAATGGGATGCCTCAGGAACGTTCAGTGCGGGGCACACAAGCTAAAAGGGCGAAGTGCCTCTGCTAAACAGGACAAGCTTGCTTCATGTCGCGCAACGAAAAGAACGTACAGAGAGAGAAGGTGCCGAAGTACTTTGACGCGCAGAGCACCTCTGCGCTGCTGATTGGCTGCTGCGCGGTGGAGAGCACCCTGCAGCAGCTGGCCTGGCCAATCGCAGGCGGGGGCGACAGCACGTTTTCGGCTCCATCGCTCGATGGGCTACGGCTGGCGCTAGTCCCAGAGAGGTTTGGCGCCGCATATTTCGAGTCTAGTCAACTTATGGCTAAGTTACTGTCTATATGCAACAGAGTCATGCATTATTTTTTATTCTTGATGGATTGACTATTGCCAGAGAGACATTCACCCAAGCTTCGCGTCCTGTCCTTGCGCGACATATCGACCTGCACGAACATCTCGAGCAGAGAGCAAGACGGAAACGAGAACAGACAAAAAAACAAATTGTTGGAAAGTCAAGTGAATGCAAAACAATAAGTCCTGAATGAAAAGAAATATCTTGAATGTGGGCTATACAGAAGAGAGACAAGCGATCGCTTTTTGTAAGGATGAAGAAGAAAGCATCAGTCACGAGGGAAGCAAAAAAAAAAAAAAAAAAAAAAAAAAAAAAAAAAAGAAGGGGGGGCATTGTCTAAGGATCAATGAAAGGAGATTGGTGAATACGTGTCGGACAAGCTATAATCAAGAAATCAAGAAGAATATGTTCACAATTACAAAACAAGAACACGCATCCATTGATCCAAAGAGAAACGATGGAAGGAAAAAAAAAAATAACGTCACCTGAAGCGAATGTGGATAGAAATATTACAGTCCGAAGATGTATGGTGTATGATTTATGCAAGCAGAAGTGAAATCCAGACAATCAACACGTATATAAAACAACAAGTGCCTGGCCGTCAAGGCTTAAAAATTCTGAGCGATGCCGGCATTGCCTTGCTGCGGATAGACGCCCGGGTTTTCAATGCGAGTATTTCGTCGTGCTTGGACATCTCGGATCACTGGTCCCCCCATACCGTAAGCGGGATCGCCGTAGGGTGTTTGTGAGTTGTGAATGTCATGATAGTACGGATTGCCCTCGTCATAATATTGATTCGGTACTGAGCCGCCCATGTGCATATCCTCTGACCCTTCAGAATGAACGCCCGCTGAATAAGCCGAAGAGGCATTGGACGTGCCACGACGAATATCGCTATTCTGTGCTCCGGCTACTGCGGCTCCCATGGCGCCTGCTTCGCCAGACTCGGGCCTCATAGAACCTTCATTATACTGCATCGCACTAGTTTCTGATAGGGGGATGCTGGATAGATTCGTCGACGGCTTGCGAGGATGAGAAGTCGTTCCCCAGCCCCTATACCCGGAGCTGCCATCCTGGGAACCGCCGTATGAGTTGCCCATGGCGGCACCTCCTGCTGCGACGCCCGCAAGGCTTGAGTCGTTATTCGGATTGAATCCATACTCCTCCACTTCCTTCCGCCTTTCCTCCTCTGCCAGCTTATTGGCTTTGCGTCTTCTCCACCACCATAGCAGAACACAAATAATAATGGCAACTGATGCGACAGGGACCACAACCGCTACTGCAATGGTACCTCCCGCTGAAAGTCCACCGGAGCCTGAGGAGCCAGAGCCTGTATGTGTCGGTGCGGCAGTCCCGGTAGATGAGGAGCTGGTAGTAGAGGAAGACAAGTCTGAAGTCGATGATGTCTGAGGGGACGTCGAAGTCGAGGTGACATATACGGTGGTCTGTCCAATCGACGTAGTAGGATCTGACGAGGTCGTTGAGGTGGAAGAGATACTTGAAGTAGTGCTAGATGTCGTTGATGACGAGCTGCTTGTTGTTGATGATGATGACGAGCTTGTTGACGTCGGCAGCAATGAGGTCGTACTCGAGCTGGATGATGTTGATGATGATGATGAAAACGAAGATGTCGAACTAGTAGAAGAAGTCGAAGTTGAGGTTGGAAGAGATGAAGTAGTAGATGAAGAACTGCTAGATGAGCTGATTGATGAGGATGTGGCCGTTGGGACGGCAGCTGGTCATAGACAATGAATCACGTTAGCGGTTGTTTGATAGTGCAGCTTGGCTTTTGAATCTAGCGTCTTCTTACCAGTAGAGCCAGGTGATGAAGCCATCTTGAGAGTTTTGACTCAGCCCACTGATATCACGATATAAGATTTCTTTGTCGCAAGATGATCGGTCCTGGAAAGTGGCACTCGGTCGAGGTCGGGACGTATGACTTTAGCGGAAAAGAAATAAACGACAGTCTTTACTCTCTACACGCAGATAGGGAATAGAAAAGAAAAGGCCTTTTCGCAGCTCAACAGTGAGCGACAATGTTGTGGAAAGTGGTAGACAAATGCCGCAACCGGCTAGATCTTGTGCCGCGCAGGTTGTATGAATCAGGCCTATCTCACTATGCGAGGATGCGTGGAAGAGGAATCCAAAAACCCCCCCGATGTCTATATTCGCTTTTGAGAGCTTTCGTGTGGCGTGTTTTGATGAAAATCCTGCTTTTGTTCGATCGGAGCTGAGAAAGTGCTTGCGACGAGACCAATCAACGATACGCTGGTGGTTGATTTTAGGGGGGGGGGCCGGGAACTTGTCTTCGCCGGAAAGTGTGGGAAAGGAAAAAGAAGATTCAAAAACGTAAAAAAGCAGTATAGATATTATACATAGGAGAGAAACCAGACAATGTCAAAAGCCCCCCCTCTCTGTCCTCATGGGAAAACGAAGGTGTTGAATGATGAGCAACTATTCAGAGAGACGACCGGCCTGGTTTGCGGTCTCAGAGGTGAGACTAGCCACGAACTTTTCCCTTTTTTCCCATTCGTTTTCAATAAGCTGATTGGTTTTTTACCCAGCGTTACCGCTGGGGTCGGAGCGTGAAGAAAGAAGAGCGATATGATTGGTGACCCGGTCTTCTAGACTACCTGCAAATTTGGGCTAAGGCCACTGCGATTGTGCAGGCCGTAGCACTACAGCCAATTATTGCAATAGTCTACCCAAGAGTGGGGCCCTCCCAGTGGCCGTTTTTGGCCACTGATACCGCAATAAGAGGATTGATTACGTCCTACCTAAGACGCAATTACCGTTGTGGAGTAACCTTTCCTTACTGGGAAAGGCCAGCGACCCGCTTACATCATTTAGGAGACTGTCACTGGACAGGGCCAGCACAAATATTGACTAGTGTGCCTGAGCGGCAGTAACTCAATTTCCAAACAAGAGTGGATCTCACATTAACGATTACGGCGATACGCCATGAGACGCGCGCCACAGTTTGGTCCAATAGAAGCACGCGGTTCTCGAGGTGAGACAAAAATAGAGTTGCGTCTTGCCGTATTCAGTAGATTTGATCGGAATCGACGCCACGAATCATCGTCATTTCTGATTCTGACTCCATACAGAGTGCGTATTGCAAATCTAATGTCTGCATGTGTGAGATCTCATTATTTACGTTGTGAGGCAAGGCAGAGAATGAATGCTGTGCATTGTGCGGATTTCATAATCTCCGTATATAAGCCGGGCTGTGCGTTCGCAGTTAGCCAGCTTGGCTGCTTGCGGGCAACCACCAAGTGACCAAACACATCAAATTAACTGCAATATTATGTATTAAGTATCAAGACAAAGGCCATATGCAAAGAGCCATCTAATAACTACTAGTCAGTATTAATTAAGAAGTAGCAGAATCGTACGTATGTTTTTTGTTCGAATGATACATGCTAGATGCCGTCATTATTTAGATCTCAGACATTATGTACATAGTACGGTGATGTCAATGCTCTTCAGATTGACACGAAAAGAAGAATCAGAAGATTAAAGAAACAAAAAGCTTCTCGCCCATGATGAAATGAAATGAAATGCCATGCATGATGACTAGATCTCCATTGGGCAACAGGTCGGCAGTGAGCTGAATTGTATATGAGATAAATCCAAAGGGAAAAGGGAAAAGAATATAAAAAAAAAAGAGCAACAGTACAGCACATGTCTATTAATTAGCGCCTTGCCTCCAAATTTAAAAAGAGAAAAGAATAAAAGGAAATCCAGAATACCCCCCAAAATTGCTCCTGTTCTACAAAATCCCGATTGGTCGATAAGAATAGCTGCGAATGAAGACGAATCATGAACGTGACCGTTAAAAGGTATAGAAGAACCATCATCAAGGAACAACGTTTAGAAAACGATCAATCGCACGACAAAAAAAGTTGTGGAAGGAACTGAATAGTTTCTTCTATCGGTTCAAATCCATACTCGGCTTCAGGCTTGCGAAGAGGTCATCCTTTGTGCCCACCACTCCTGGGGGAAGGCGACTGACACGATACGCGCCTGTACGAATGTTGTGTGTGTGAACAGCCGAAATACCGGTACGGTTGCTACGTATGCTACCGGCATCGCTACCAGTATCGTTTCTAAATCGGGCAGGAGGTGCGAAGTCCAACGTTGTGTATAATCCGGATTTTCTCATAGCGTGACTAGATAATCAAGTTAGGTTCCAGTCTGACACTGAAAAGGGAAGGGGGCAGAAAGGGGAAGCTTACGGGCTCGGAATAGCAGCAAGGTCATCGAAAGATGATACCAAAGGAGTATGAGAACGAGCCGATGGTGTGAAGGGGCGTAATCCCCCATGAGGACTATCAGGGCGACCTTCTTGCCGCTCCTTGAACGTTTTAGCTGGGGCGTAATCCACCGGCAGCACAGACATGTCGTCCTTAATCAGGTGAGGTGAGGGCAAAACATGTAAGGGTTCCGGAGGAGGAGCTGGTTTGCGAGGTCCCTGGTTGGCAGGTAGTCGGGCTGAAGCGGACGAGAAAGCACGAGGACCAGGTGCCCTCATTCCTGCAGCTGAGTGCAAGGGCCGAGGAGGTCCTTGGAAACGGGGTGGAGGCGTCATTGCGCGACGAGCCATAGGTTGAGCGAAGGGTTTCGGTGGTCCCACGACATAGTCACCAGTGTATGGGTCGTAAACGGCAGCATCGTCGTAGAACTCCGAGCCAAAGTCCTCGTAGTATTCTTCAGGAACACCCCTAGAATCGTCGAAGTACTCCTTGTAGAAAGAACGAATTCTGTTGGCTCTCTGCTCGGCGTTATCGGAAGGGTCTTCTGGGGGAAGAGGTCGGATACCGACAGTTAGCCTGTGTGGATCGAAACCTTCGTCGAATTTTGTGAAGGCTTGGGTCGCACGGTTGTTGACAGGCTGATGGTTATCTTCTGACTCGCGGGGCTGATCTTCCGCCTCTGACACGTTTACTGACGGCGACAAGTTCGACTTTGGTTCATCCCCATAATCACTCGTTTCACTCATAGGGAGAGACAATCTTGGAAGGCCTACTGGAGGGGTGTCTGTAGTGGTCTCCTGTATGATGGGAATGTCGTGGTGCTCGCTATTTGCATCATTGTTACCTGTTCCGAAATCAAAACCGTTGAGGCTAGAACGAGTAGTAGTGTGAGATGTTTCATTGGGGACATGGTTTCCTTCAGCCTTGTCAGCAGTGAGGTTTCCTGCTTTTTGTTGTCCATAAGAGCCCAGGAACATCTCATCGTTATGTGCGGAAGGTACAGAAGACTCCAACTCCTTAGGTAAATCCGCACTCGAGTCAGTGACGGATTCAAAGTCTGGAGGCGAGCTATCCATTGACGAATGTTTCTTATCCATCGCTTTCGGTTCACTTGAGTACTTTTCATTGAGGATGGGGTCTGCAGCTAAAGGAGATGTTGGTATGCCGCCTACCGGAGGCGACCTCGACATTCCGGAAGCATTTTGTAAAAGGCCTTGGTCCATCTCATCGGCCATTGTAGGCATCTGCCTAGTGGATCCTACAAAACTTGACGCATCATCGTTGCCCCATCTTGGGTTGGACCGGAAGGATCTTAATGACCCAGCATCACTATGAGCAGCTAGACGATATTTGTCGTCTTCCGGACTCGTAATCAGTGAGGGTGATCGGAGAGATTCTTTCGAATCATGTAGTCCTGGCGGCAGCAAATAAGGACTGTTTCCAACGTCCAAGGACAATCCGCCCCGTTTGTGAGGCTTTTCTCCCATTTCCGGATTTGCTCTCACGACTTCCATCCCAAAATCTAAGGATTTGTGTTTGTCATGGGCATCCTCGTAGCGGAGTCGATGGACATAACGCCTGTGTAGAACAAAAATGGCGACGATGGCGCAAACACAGGGGATACTGAAGGAAGGTCAGCGTTGGAATGAATCTTGAAAATATCTTTCTTTCTACCATTTTTTGGGGCTCGGGGATTCTCACACTACTCCAAGAACTACAGGTAAAACATTGGTGAGGTTGGAGCTCTTGGAAGTTTCACATGATGATGATCCGGTGCATGTTGAAGTGCCGGTTGAAGTTCGACGAACCAACGTTGCTGACTCGACTATAGTGGCATCCGGCGCATATGTTGAGGCTAAGGATCCAGGTTGATTTAGATTGTCCAAAACGTGCCGGTGCACATGATGTAGACTATGCCGGTGTATCATCTTCCACTCTCTTTGGAACACAGCACGGCTGGCTCGAGATTATTTGTTCGGAACGATCAGATCGGCAATATCGGACATGGGAAATACGTCAAGTCGATTATACAGGAACAGGCAGGTATTGTCGATTACACTGGTGGAAAAGTGGAAGGTTTGTGTGACTGATGCGTGGTAAAGAGTGTCGGTACGAGAGAGCGAAAAGGAGACAAACAGTCGACTGATTTCCCCTGAAAGTGTGAGCGGGTACGGGAATACTATAAAAGAGTGTGTTTAAGGAACGGCCAGAGGGTACATCCTCCTGTGTGAGCAGAAACGAGGGCACGACAGATGGAGTCGGAAAAAGCGAACAACGAAAGGATGCAGGAAAGCAAGAGTTTGATGGAGAGAAGGGGAAGACAAACGAGGGCGTGCTGGTTCTTTCCTGCGGGCTGCGGACGGGGTTGAGCTAGCTCCTTCCTAATGGGACGAACTAATTAATTTTAATTACTGCTATATGCACCACGTATGATTCTTACAGCCTGCGTACCACCATACACACTGCATCGTGCTGTTGAACACGGCCATGAAAGGTGTTCCTGGAACGAATACACACGGTGGCAACTTGCAGGCTGCATGCAGATGTACGGCCCTTGCTTCAGCCTCCAGGCCGAGATGTGTCGACAACCAGCCAGAATGAATGTTGGCTATTGATGAGTCTGGACTGTCGTACAATTACGGCGCGGTAAACAAAACGGTCAGTGTTTCAGGAGCCCCTAACAGGATTAGCGCCAGGAACGCCATCTGCACGAGCCAATCAGAGAGGGCCTTGTTGCAGGCCACCACCAACAGCCAGAATGTATGCGAAGACTTGTACGTAGTTGGATTATAAGATCAATTGCAGGGAGGGTGCTGCCGTACCTGTAAAGTACAGAAGTACAGTAAGAAAAGCGCTAACTAGGCTGGAGCCCGCTCCCTGGTTGCAACAATAAACCATGGTGTCACGTGATCCATCATTGTATCACATGACTGCGCCTGCGGAGCCAAGGCTCTTTACCCCGTGATTAGGCGAAATATAGTTATGAATATCCAAAAAGGAACATGAATTGTAGGATAATTTGATTGGCCACATATTGAAATACATGGTCAAGTGTTAGATCCTTAGTAAGCAGAAGATCATTGGTTCGCGATAACTAAGCAATTTACATAGTTAACAATGTTGGTTAAAACGTGACTAACCAACCCAGGAAGGAACGGAAGAGACGTCATGGGCCGCTCTTGCCTTCGAGCGAGAAGCATCCAGGGCGTTCTAGCAGAGTCTTGCGCCATGACCCTACGCCATGCTAGTTGCGCTCTACGCGAGCTACTTCAAAATTCCTGCTGCTTATTGCCATGATGGATCCCACAGCTTGGCTATAACGGGAAGTTCTTGGTTCCGGGGCCATCTAACTCCAGACCCCCGCTTTGCCAGAATTTTTGAGATTGAAAAGAATGCTACACTCTCCGCTTCCTCTCTTCCTGTCTTCCGTGTAATTCCCCACCAGAACTCATACGCAAACACATCGCACCCGCTCAAGCACGAGTCATGGACGAGGTTTCTCGCGACTTAGAGAAAGCCGAGGTTGATGCCAGCCATCCTCACCGCGCTGGAGATGTCCCCTTGGCACACTCGCGGACCTCGTCTTCCTTGGGGTCAATCTCCAGCAGCTCGTCTTCCTCCTCCTCGTCGGAAGTCCAGCAGAATGCACCCGTGATGTATCGGATCCAGACCGTGAACGACTTGGAAAGACATCCGACTGCCCTGAGCCGCATTGCTACACAGCGCTCCCAACATAGCGCCACAGTCGGTGCTAGCTTGAGATCGCGCGCCTCGAAGAAGCCCTTGCCCCCATTCGGCGCTGGAAAGCCCTATCCACCACCTCTGCCATCCAGGGAAGAATATGTGGTGGAATTCGATGGCCCTGACGATCCTTTACACCCGCAAAACTGGTCCACCAAGAAAAAGTAAATCAAATCTTACAGTTTGCCCTTTCTGTTGGCTGTATTAACACGTCTCTAGGTTGTTGACAGGTGCCACACTTGCATACACCACTCTAGTATCAACATTTACGAGCAGCATCTACTCCGATGCTACAACTACCCTCGCGGGTATCTTCCATGTCTCCTCTGAAGTCACCCTACTCGGTCTTTCGTTTTATGTGCTCGGCTTTGCAACTGGTCCGATTTGTTGGGCCCCCCTTTCCGAGCTTCGCGGTCGTAAATTGCCCATCTTGATCGGCATGTTTGGTTTGACACTCTTCGAATTTGCAGTAGCGACTGCCAAAGACCTGCAGACGGTTCTGATCTGTCGCTTCTTCGCCGGCTTTTTCGGCGCCTGCCCTATTGCAGTAGTTGCCGCGGTTTTCTCCGACGTGTTTGATAATCGCTCTCGCGGCGTGGCCATCACCGTGTTCAGTATTACTGTATTTATGGGTCCCTTTTTGGCGCCTTTCATCGGCGGGTTTATCGTTGACAGCTATCTTGGATGGCGCTGGACTCAGTACCTATCCGGCATCATGGCTGCAGCCGGTCTTGTCCTGGATGTCTTCTTCCTCAATGAGACGTATCCTCCTGTGGTCCTAGTCGAAAAAGCTGCAGAACTACGTCGTCGAACAAGAAACTGGGGCATCCATGCTAAACAGGAAGAAATCGAAGTCGATTTCGGTGAACTGATTTCAAAGAATTTCAGCCGTCCCATAAGGATTTTGGTTTCAGAGCCCATTGTGTTACTATTAACTATATACATGTCTTTCATCTATGGACTTCTCTATCTTTTCATGACGGCATATCCAATTGTTTTCCAAGAAATTCATGGCTTCAACAAGGGTGTTGGCGGTCTTCCGTACTTCGGAATGGTCGTCGGTGAATTGTTTGCTGGTATATTCATCATCTCTCAGCAGCCATCGTATAACAGAAAGCTTGCTGCCAATAACAACATTCCCGTCCCCGAATGGCGCTTGCCACCTGCAATCGTCGGCGGCGTCGCGTTCTCTGCTGGTCTCTTCTGGTTCTTTTGGACTGGATATAAGGCTTCTATTCCTTGGATTGCTCCTACTCTTTCCGGTCTTTTCACGGGATTTGGTCTTCTCACGATATTCCTCCAGTGTCTCAACTACATTATTGATGCTTATTTACTCTTGTGCGTCATCATTTGTCCCCGGCCTTGGCTGAAACTAATCAGTATTTCGTTCCAAGCTGACATTTCTTCTTCTTCTTTACAGCGCTGCTTCCGCCGTTGCTGCAAACACTCTTCTCCGTTCTCTAGCTGGCGCAGTATTCCCATTGTTTGCGACTTACATGGTTCGTATATAGATACCATTCCACTTCTTTCTTACCCCTAAGGACTCACTTCATTATATCAACCAAAATCGAGAGAAGTCTTCAAGCTAACATATATTTACCAAAGTTTGACGGGATGGGCGTGAACTGGGCAGGAACATTACTCGGTTGTGTGGCAGCCGTTCTCGTGCCTATACCAATCATCTTTTATTTCCAAGGCCCCAAGATTCGAGCAAGGAGTAAATTCGCGCCAACTTTGCCTGCCGAGCCGCAGCCGCCTGCTGAATCTGAAGAAATTCGTGGGGAGTGAAACTCTTATTTTTGTTTATATATCTGTTTATATAATGTATCTACAAACTAGCTATGGTCTTGTATCTTGACAGAGCGAGTGATATATATTTTTTTAATTTTTCATGTATATTCTTGGTTTTAATTGGTAATAAATAAATATATCTGTGTTTCATAACCATATGGGTAACCCCCAACATGTAATTAATTGTATAAGGACTCTTGTTGATCTGTGGTCCCCAGATTTACATATCTAGCACACGGCTATCAAATGTAATCCGAAACTAGGTACGATATTAAACGAAAATCATTGAAAATTCTTTATATCATTCATAACGCCGTAATATTAACAAAATGGAAGCGAAACAAGAAAAGACAGACGCTATTTATTCTAACTTGGACAATGCAGACACCTCGATGCTGAAAAGAAAAACCCCCAAAAAATAGTATAGACAAACAAGCACTACTGTTGCTTCTTCATGATCAATTGTTTACCCTGGGGTACATCAGAGTATAATAGTATAAAGACGAGTAGTGGGTAGAAAGAGAGAAGGGGAGGAGGAAAAGGAAACAGAGTCAACTTTTTGTCGTCTGGTACGTAACATAAGTCGTAATTTTGTGAACCTCGACAAGACCTGAAGTCTTATGTCCGATTGGTTAGGATGAAGGATAGTCAATGGGATAATAAAAAGGGATATGTGATGCGTATGGAGGGTCACAAGTAGTTATATCAATAAAAGTGATAAGGATGAAAGAATACAGAGGAAAATCAAAGATCATTACACCAGAGCCAAACCAAGAAGTATCTCAGCGTTGGACTTTGAACTGGTTTTCAGGTGGCTCGCTGTGGGAGCCCATACTCAGGAAAAGAAATGTACAGAGAATAGTAATGAGTTACAGAGACTGATATCTGGTCTCTGTTGACGGCAAAAATGAACACCGAACACAAACGGAGCAGTTCCTACAAGCGCCTTGAAGACACCAGAAAAAAGAAATTCGTGTAAAACATCATGATGAACTTTGAGCGAAAATTCGGCTGAACGGAGGATCTGATGGGATGGCGGGTTCATCGGTTGTTGTGACGCCTTCGGCTCGACGTATAACATCTTTCAATGCACGTGTCACCACACCGGCTCGAGTGACCAATTCTTTGAGGGACTGGGTATCAAATGGAAGTTTCTGTTGCGGATGACTTGCATTTTCATATGATTGAGTGTCCGATGATCCTCGTTGCTGATAAATTGTTTCTAGAACAGACTTTGCCTTTGCTGACGGATCTTTGTTACCAGAAAGCTTTGAGTTGTGATCCATGTCGCTCCAAAAAGTAAGTGGTGGTCGTTTCGTATCATTATCATTATTATACTTCCAGGCTTTCTGTGGAGGAGACGGCGAGGTGTCAAAATCATCGAAACTTCCACAAGATGACGGTGAACCAGGGACCTGCCATGAGTTCTCATCGTCTTCAAATGTTGCAAGGTTAACGATACCCTCTGCTTCCTTCCAGAGTCCACCAGATGCGCCGTGGATGAGATGCAACGTATTTCCCTGGGCCCGTAACCGTTTCAGCTCCTCCACCAGAAGTGTCAATTCCTGCACATGGCCGTACTGGCCGTGGACGCTGGCTTGTGTTTCCATAATAGCCTGTGGTACCTTCATAGTATGCATTGAAGATGTGTTTTCGCCAATTTCCAAATCGTCATCGCCAAAGTCAAAATCGCCATCCCAATCCTCGCTCACTCCTTTTTGACCCAAACCCCAGGTGCCGAATTTGGCTGAAGGCTGTCGACTATCACTTGGCGTTGGGCCGTCCCGCGAGACTGGTACACTCTGGCTCCGCAGATGGATGGCGCTCGGTACCTTACGAGTCGCTCTACGTGTGCTTCTCGGCCCAATAACTTGCTTTCCGTGTACAGTACTTGGTCGAATCTCGTGAGCCTGGGGGTCACGCTCACTCCAGTCGAAGACACTTGCTCTTGTACCTATCCCAGAACTCTGTCTTGTTAGCGAGGGAGTGAAAGCGTCGTGATTGTGCCGAGGCCGAGTGACTGTTAACCCCTCTTCAAATGATGCATCCAAGTCAATGCCTCCATCATCCATCATTGCATCGTCACTTGTGCTAAACACCGATTCTCGAATACGATGGTCCACTGGTTTCACGGGAGACGAATAGAGAGATGTTTTCTGGGTGTTTCTTGTAGGAGGCGTTGGCGTAGCGTCTGCATCTTTTGCTTCCGATAGCGCCAACGGCGTGCTCATGGAGTTTACATCACTTAAAGAAGATCCTGGTGTGAATTGCGACAAGCGCAAATTTTCAAATCCGAGGTCGTCGACAGTAACAGGAACTCCTTTCTTGAGATCACCATCTGAAAGATCATTAAATATCGTCTCAATATGTGGACCCCGGCGGCCCGGATGGCTGCCGGATGACATTCGCGTGCGGAACGAGTCAAAAACCGAGTCACTCTGGTCATCTTCATCTGCTGAAGTGAAAACGCGAGTATCATCCGAGCCTATGAGGGTTGATGCCCAATCAGATGTAGCCCCAGAGAGACGCTGGTTGCGGGAATAGCGAACAATTGGAGGTGAAGTACCAGTAGAAGGGAAGCTAGTTGGAGAGGCTTTGTTATCATAGCTTTCAGTCCTGTAACGTATCGACGAATCAGTTAACTTTAGCGAGTCGACTGGAAACCCAAGGCTTCTAGAGAAAGGTGCATCGGCATATGGTGATTGGGAATATAAATGAGGGGCGTTAGGCGCAGTCTGAGGTCGGTTGAAAGTGTCAGACTCGGTGAAGTTCCTTTTGCGCCTTAGCCGAGGACTTCCAGCTTTTCCCGTGCCTGAGGTTCTTGGGAAAGGATTAGACACAATCCTATCTTTGGAATAAAAGCGAGAGGCAGCGGTCGGGCTTTTGTTATCGCCCTTTATAGAACCACGGCGAGTTTTGCGGTTGCTTCCGGACAGATCTGAAATGGATGAGGATCGAATGGGTCTGCGTTTGTCCTTTGGGTTAGAAGTAGTGATGTGATTAGCATTATTGGCGTTGATATGTTGAGAGAAAGGGTCGCGAAAGGGAATAACGTTGGTTGGCTGCGAGGAGTTGTGATTCGTTGCCATGTTCCCATTAACAGGAATCTGAATAGAGGAAGAGAGCATTAAAGTTGGATAATCGGGATAATACCCGGAATTGGGTGGGCGATTCGGCTTGATCGTCACAATGGCATTGCTTGTCGATTCTTTGCGTCGTTTATCATAGGCGGAGGCGAAGAAAGGCTTCCAGCTGTTACTGCCCAAATCAGAGCGATCGTTTTCTTTGGCCAGTAGACTCTCTAGAAATTTTGGTGGAACAGACAAGTCCAGATCCTGGCTTATGCTTGCCCTATGGTCGACTTTGCTAGATCGTTGGTGACTTGTTGCCGGACGCCGTAAGCCAAAGGTATTTGATCTAGGTCGGCGCGGGACGTCTTCCGGTTGTTTGATAGAATGTTGCGAAGCAGATCGCTTTATTAACTTATTCGGTGCCCTATTAATTGAATTTCGTCGGCTCGACGTCTGCGCATAGGGTCTATTTACAGGCGGAGAGGTGGTTGTCGGACTGGGCGTTGAGCTGCTCGTGTTGGTAGAAGAAATTATTGAGATGCGTCTCAGCCACGAAGACGAAGGCCGGCCGCTATTTGCACTGCTCTCCTGCGCAGAGGCCTCGCCAGCAGATAGCTTTGAAGGGGGATTCGCGTAGGTTTGCCGGCGTCGCCGTTCTCTTCTTCTTTGCGATATCACCAGGTTCGGCTTAGAATCCGGAATGCCCACCTCGCTCTGTGTCCGCTCCGTCGGGGATCCTTCAAATTTGGTCTGGCTATGGAATGGTTTCAAGTTAACGGTTTCGGTGGGTATAATGTGTGGGAGAGTCGAATGTCTCGAGCTTGAGATCGACTGGGACCAGTTTTGCTGTTCTCGGCGGGCTAGAGAAAAGCCAGTCGCAGCAATGCCGACGGTACTCACGGCGCACAACTTAATTGAAGTCAGTTTCTTGAAGTTCATAGATACGTATATGCTGAGAAACAGACATGAGGCTTGATAAGCCAGATTCAAGCAAGGTGTTCGTGATCTGTTCAGGAATAAGAAGTACTTACTGTAGAGATGTGCTCCATCCTGGTCTCGATCTGGTGAGGCGGCTCGAAATTGCTGACTTTAAGGGAGCATTGATATCGTACAAGCATCCAAGCTTGTCCACATTGTGATAAACTAAGAAAAAAAAAAAAAAAAAAGAGCGACACAATCTAGAATTCTTAGGTTCAACAAGCCCCGAGTGATTTGATATGGTGCACGACTTGGGCGAGGACTCCGGACAACGGTCAACACGGAGGCGGGGCAGCCTGGCAATGAACGAACGCTTGAGAAGGCCAGAAGCGAAGAGAAAGTCGCTCGCAGACAGGTTCAGAGCCGTGAAAATGAAGGCACCTCCCTCTGCGAGACCGTGGGACGCATTGACGCGGAGAGGGAGAGAGGGAGGGAGAGAAGAGAGATGTCAACAAGGCTGGGGAAACTTCGCGCTAGGGACGACACAACAACACACAAGGCAGGAAGTCGCCGGGCAGCGGGAACCAACCAACCAGGGCAGCCACGGCTCGCTCTAACTTGACTTGTCTGGAAGGGAAAGAGGCTGGCGCCTGCTTCCTCTTTTATTTCTCTCTTTCTCTCCTTTTGCGCGCTTCAGTCGTTCATTCAGTCAATCAATCAATCCATTGGTTCGGCATTGCCAATATTACGGTACATAATGCGCATTTCCTTGCAAGGGCCTGCTTCTATTATTCACGACACGGCACGAGTAGACCACCAGGCTGATCGGAAAATGGGCACATACAACGCGGCTATTGGCATTCCCCGTGCAGAGAAGAAACACTAATGCCAGTCTTCCTTTACTTGGTGGAAATGGAAGGCCTGGTTTCGCTTAGTTTGTTGCTGATTATTGCTTCTTCCAGCTTGCTAGCGTATCCCTTACAGCACTGGAGGTGCCTGTCGCAGGGGCAAGGGTGGATTCGCGATCGAGATCCCAATCAACCGCAGGTACCGCAGTGCACAGAGTCTATGATTATGTACGCCTACGGAATGCTCCCGTACGCCGTACAAAGTGTTACTTGCGCCCATGTACGTACGGATAGATTAGCGCTTCGCCAATTTGGATCTGGGAGGCCTGGCCGCCGGCCGCAACTAAAGTCTAGTACTAGCACTAGTGCACGATTGGTTTGCGATGGCTTGTCGTCGACTCGTCGATGATGTGCTGGGCTGAGACCCGCTCATAACTCTCAGTCAGCCCTCTCGACGCCCGTACACACCGCGGAAAGAATATACCTTTGCAGAGTACGTCCTCCGGGGTCCGTACTATTGGGAAAAATTCGATTATTACTGGCCCCTTTTCTTTACCCATATTGTGCAAGAGGAAGAAAAATTTCCGAAACGGCCCAAGGACCCACGGGTGATCAAAATACGGAGACTCCGTATTTATAAGAACCACATATGTCCACCACCAAGGTCACTATGAATCGCGCTGAGAGATGTTTCCAGGGCCAATTTCTCTCAGCTGGTGGAAGCTAAATCGTCTTCGAGAGATCTCCCTCTCTTGCGTCACAGCGGTGGGCCAGTCGTGGAAATTGCAATCTAGCTTGGCTATTGACTAAGTTACGAGAAACTTGGAAGCCAAGTTTAGCGTGCCGACGAGGTTATACGCACTAATACCTCATAGATTAATGGCTTGCTCAGCTGTTGACTAACGTTAACTACGTCCTAGTTAGGCTGTTACTGATGCCGACGACAAAGGAAGCTCACGTTCTCAATCGTCAGAATAATGCTAGTTAGCACCAATATGCAGTCTCAGTACACAGTCTCTTGCGTGCTACGTAACAAGAATGTGCTGCGATGTTTGTTCCGATAAAGTAAATTGTACTCTGTGTTGGGCAAGGCTGTGATTGGCTGGCGGCCCGGCCGACCGCTGGCCAATAGAAAGCTTGGATCTTGCTCCGCAGAATCACCCCACGAATTGATCAGAAACGAACATGGAAGAACATATCGGATCGAGCTTGTTAACCCGCCGCCACTCAACACAACGTATTCAGAGCCTTTCGCCATGGAGGCTGACCTAAAAGCACAAATCCCCGGCATTGACCATGTCATTTCAGAATACTCCCTTGTATGCCTTTTCCGCGCAAGCAATGACTAAAAATCCCTAAAAACTGACACGGCAAGTTTTTAGGGCTATTTGACTCACGCTTCACATGCATACGTCGAGGATGCCGATGCAAACGCACCTTCTCCGCTAGCTGAGGCGGCCGAAACAGTTACGGAGATCCTTGTCTCGGCATCGGGCGACTTTTCAGCTGAGAACGAAAAGGCCATTCGGAACCTGGTGGAAAAATTTATCTCGACATTGAATTCTGCTGATGGCATCGATGCGGAGCGCCGGCAAATACCCTTTGCTGCGAAGAAACTCGACCAGACGATCCACGTGGGCTCTCAGAGAAACATCTCATCCACACTGGGGTTGGCAGGCGCATCGGTGGATCTGGAGGCAGCCGCCTCACGGAAAGTAGAGTCTCGAGTCGACCGCAAGAAGCTCGAAAAGGCGGAACGAAAGATTAGAGCCAAGCAGGACAAGAAGTTGATGAAAAACGTTGAATATGAATCGTCACGTCTGCTCGAGCAACCTGATAGCACTCAGTCGTACGAAGAGTTTTTCATGGCTGTCAACCCTCTTCAACTGGGAGCCGACGCACAGTCCAAGAGCAAGGATATAAAGGTCGACGGAATAGACATATCGATAGGCGGAAAAAGAATCCTTACTGATACATCGCTATCAATGGCTTATGGCCGAAGGTATGGTCTTGTCGGTCAAAATGGTATCGGAAAGAGTACACTGCTCCGTGCCTTGAGTCGCCGAGAGGTGGCAATTCCAACTCATATATCTATCTTGCACGTTGAACAAGAGGTTTGTGTCTGACTTAGTAGACTTGCTTGACAAAATGCTTATTTCATGTTGCAGATTACGGGAGATGATACGCCTGCACTGCAAGCGGTCCTAGACGCTGACGTTTGGCGTAAACACTTGCTCCAAGAGCAAGACGTAAGTTGAGATCGTGTTTTTTTTTTTTTTTTTTTCTCTGAGTGTTGACTGATTTTGAATTCCAGAATATCACCAAAAAATTGGCAGCTCTAGATGCCGAGAGATCATCCATGGCAGATACCTCCAAGGACGCTGCTAGATTGGACCAAGAAAGAGACGGCCTAGATATCACACTCACGGATATTCACGCAAAGCTTGCCGAAATGGAATCAGACAAAGCCGAATCTCGCGCTGCCAGCATTCTTGCCGGTCTTGGATTTTCTCCAGAACGCCAAACATTTGCCACCAAGACATTTTCCGGTGGTTGGAGGATGAGATTGGCACTTGCCCGTGCCCTTTTCTGTGAACCCGATTTGCTTCTACTCGATGGTAAGCGTTATCACATATTTGGCATCCTAGGTCCTTGATTTAACATAAAACACAGAACCGTCGAACATGTTGGATGTCCCGTCTATCACCTTCTTATCCAACTATCTTCAGTCGTACCCAAGTACAGTTCTAGTTGTTTCGCACGATCGTGCATTCTTGAACGAGGTTGCGACGGATATCATGCATCAACATTCAGAAAGACTGGATTATTACAAGGGGGCTAACTTCGGTACTGTTTTGCCCTTTGTGGAGACTCTCTTTCGAATCCTATCAACCTTTGCTAATATTTCCCATCTGAACAGAGTCGTTCTATGCAACCAAGGAAGAGCGTAGGAAGAACGCTAAGCGCGAGTATGAGAACCAGATGGCGCAACGAGCACATTTGCAAGGTATATTCATGGGTTTCAGCATACAATACTTCTCTATCTCGTGACTAACGTATTTATAGCCTTTATTGACAAGTTTCGTTATAACGCCGCCAAGTCGTCGGAAGCGCAATCAAGAATCAAGAAACTGGAACGCATGCCAGTTCTTGAACCGCCAGAGAGTGAATATGTTGTACACTTCAAGTTCCCTGATGTTGAAAAGCTTTCCCCTCCAATCATACAAATGACTGGAGTCGCTTTTGGCTACACTAAAGACAAGCCTCTCCTCAGTGATGTTGATTTGGATGTGCAACTCGATTCTCGTATCGGTATTGTAGGACCGAACGGTGCTGGTAAAACTACTGTGTTGAAACTTCTTATTGGACAGCTGCAACCTACAAGGGGCCTAATTTCTCAAAACCCCCGTTTGAGAGTTGGATACTTTGCTCAACATCACGTTGATGCTCTAGATCTTAACGACAGCGCAGTGGGATTCATGACAAAGAATTATCCCGGCAAGACTGATGAAGAATACCGCAGACATCTTGGAGCGTAAGTTTCTCTTCAAAATTGTGGGCCAGTCCCGGCATTCATGACAGTGTACTAACGACAGAACAGGTTTGGCATTACTGGCATGACAGGTCTTCAGAAACTTGGCCTGCTTTCAGGAGGTCAAAAGTCTCGTGTAGCGTTCGCCTGCCTGTCCCTGACGAATCCTCATATTCTCGTCCTCGACGAACCTTCCAATCACCTTGATATTGAAGCCATGGACGCCTTGTCCCAAGCTCTCCAAAATTTCCAAGGTGGTGTTCTCATGGTGTCTCACGACGTGACCATGCTACAAAACGTCTGCACCAGTCTGTGGGTGTGTGACCACGGCCGCGTGGAGAAGTTCGACGGGGACGTGAAGGCCTATAAGAAGAAGATCTCTGCTCAGGCAGATGCTGCAGGAGTAGCTAGGGCCCAGTAGCTGTCACTCACTAGTATTTACCCTTAAATCTAAACTTTGTACAGCTCAGTGCTTAGACACATGATGAGGATCAATATACTTGATGCGTAAGGACCTTCCTGATAGACAAGTACTGCAAGTGGCCTGCCCTACTGACAGTCTTGTTCATATCTCCCAAAGTAGGGAATCCCGACGTAGTAGTTGAGCTATGGCCAATAGGAGGCAGTGTTACAGACTGGGTCACTCTCCCACCAATAGCATTTTGCATGGGACAACTACAGCTCCTTCATTTCACCGTCTCATTCCTCCTTATAAACATGTCTTGAAATGTGCATGGGCATTACAGCTCAACGGGGACATACTATTATATTTCATATTGCATTATTCACCTCATCTTTGCTATTAGTTTAACGTCGTCAGACCAGATATGGAGCGCCGTCTAACTGCCGACGAGCCGCTTTTGGCCAACGACGGCGACATTTCAGGGGATGCTGCACATGAATTGTCAGACGTGTCTCCTGAGGGACTAGGTGGCCTATTTATCTGGGCTCTCACATTTTCCGCAGGAATAAGCGGTCTTCTATTTGGTTATGAGTATGGAAAAAACCCAAGCAAATAAAGTCAATGCATCGTCATTATGTACTGCAGTCATACTGACCTTGGTTTGATATAGTACTGGTGTCATATCGGCCACTTTAGTGTCTATAAAAACAGATTTATCTGGAGAACTCTTGACGACATTTGAAAAAAGCATCATTACCTCTTGTACCAGCCTGTTCGCGCTTATTGCTAGCCCCTTGGCTGGAATTTATGCAGATAGTATTGGCCGGAGAAAGGTTTTACTAGCTGCAGATGCTCTTTTCACCATTGGTTCACTGACCCAAGCGCTTACATCTACTGTAATTGGTATGGTCACTGGGCGTAGTATTGTTGGGCTGGCCGTGGGAGCTGCTAGCATGGTATCATCTTTGTAAGTCCAGCTTCTCTACTTACCTCTTGCCACTCTCTTAACTTAAACATATATTCCTTAACCTTTACTGATGACATAGCTAGATATATATCAGAATTATCTCCATCAAACCTACGAGGAAGACTGGTCACGATACTGAGCCTCTTTATCACCGGAGGCCAAGTAGTCGCATACGTCGTTGGCTGGTTATTTTCGTCTGAGCATGGAGGTTGGCGATGGATTGTTGGCTTAGGAGCATTTCCTGCAGTTATGCAACTAACAATCTTACTTTTCCTCCCCGAGTCGCCTAGGTGGCTTGTTCAAGCTGGCCGAAAGGCAGAAGCGAAGGTAGTCCTGACCAAGATCTTTGGTTCGGACTCACAAGCTGCATACATGGCAAATACTGTTCTGAGGGATATTGAAGAAGATGTTGCAGGAGAAGCAGCCGAACTCCATCACAATAATTCGGAAAGTAACTTCAACCGAGCTTTACGAACGATGATCGAGCTTTGGGGTGTGGATGGCAATAGACGAGCCTTGATCATTGCCATGATGTTGCAGGGCTTTCAACAGCTTTGTGGCTTTAATAGCTTGATGTATTTCTCTGCAACTTTATTTGAATCCCTCTCGTTTTCTTCCCCAACCCTTACATCCCTCACCGTTGCGGGAACCAACTTTGTCTTCACGTTATTTGCGTTCGCCTTGATTGATCACGTTGGGCGTCGCCGTATCCTTTTATTTTCCATACCTTTCATGATCTTCGCGTTGCTCGGATGTGCTCTTGCCTTTTCGCAGCTTGCTGCTTCGCCATCATCTGATCAAGACCATGCGCAGTCGTTGGGTACATCTTCTCTACCTACTCTCATTCTAGTCTCTCTTACTGTATACACGGCTGCGTACGCTTCGGGTCTAGGAACAGTTCCCTGGCAACAATCGGAATTGTTTCCCTTGTCTGTGCGTTCCCTTGGGTCAGCTTTGGCTACAGCTACGAATTGGGCTTCCAATTTCATTGTTGGCTTGACTTTTCTGCCTATGATGGAAATGCTAACTCCGGGTTGGACTTTTGTTATATATGCAATGGTGTGCGTTTTTGGGTGGTTTGGCGTGTGGCGCATCTATCCGGAAATGAGCGGTTTGAGTCTTGAGGAGGTAAAAGACCTCCTGAGTGATGGTTGGGGTGTCAAGGCAAGTGTTAGGATGCATCAGGCTAGGCACACATAATACGTTTCTTTGATCTATCTGTATATTACGAGTGGTCTCACTTTGACGAACTTTTGAAGCTGAAACCGAGTTATTGGACACTGATACACCTCTGGCTAGGGTTGTGAACATTTCCTGTCAGATCTTCATATTTGGGCAACGTACACTCTTTCCAGAACAACTTCCTCCTCCAGAAATTTTACCTCTTTTCTCCTTCATACATTCACTTTCTGAAAGTTCGAACCAGCTTCCCCAAAAAGCTCACTCCAGGCGTACTTCCCACTTACCTGCGGGCACACCGGTGCGCCTTTCAGTTTGTGATCGACATCTCTGACTTCTTACAAGATCACTCATAATCTCCCTTTGGGCTATGCCTCTCGTTCGCACCATGGCGGACCAGGTGTCTCCAATCTTTCGCCTTCCAGGCGAGGTAAGGCCGAGGAGTGAGACCTAATTGAGTGTGAAAAGGCTCTCTAATGACATAAACATCTATAGGTCGTGCAGCACGTCGCCAGCCTGCTTGGTTCTGACGCAGATCTACTGTCTTTTGCTCTCACATGCCGATGGTTGGCAGAACACGTGCTTTCACCTCTATCAGGTGTCTGGAGGAACATATTTGAAGACCAATACGACTCGGCATGGAAGTACCCCTCAGACTTGCTAAAGATCGAGTACCAAACACGAGCCTTCGTTCTCGCTCAGAGGGTCTTTTCGCGGCCCAAAGAATCAAATCGCGAGCGCGTGTGGCTGGAGGTAATCCAAACTCTCCTGCTAGAGTCATACTTGCCTTCAAAGAACGGCTCTTTACCTACTTTCTCCAAGAACATGCTGAAGATTGCCGAAGCTGTTCGAAAAACCAATTTCCTCAACAGGCCAATGGTTTGGGAGGATGGTCAGAGAAGTAATCCCAACCCATCTGACCTCTTTTGCTCAATTCAACTAGTCAGTGTTTTATATGCCCCTCGCAGTGGAGGTCTTTTCACTAAACAAGTCTTTTTTGTTTTTCCTGGTGGAATAGTGCCTCACTCATCTGTGTCTGAATTCTCATGACGCAAGGCCATGCTTACGAAGCAATTATGACATTGCGCAAGTCTACGCCTACCAAGACCTGATACGCGAGCCCCTCGTGCAAATGGGCGACGTAAAGCTAGAGACGTTGTTGCATATACGCAACTTCTGGCAGCGACACCTCCTTAGCTCTCGAGAGCAAACCTTCGTGTCGTCTTATTTGGACACCGAGCCAAAACCAAAAGCGTGGAATCGCCCTTTGGAACAGGTAGAGATTCCAACCGGCTGTTGGACTGGGTATTACTGTCAGTGTGCCTGCTTTCTTTATTATTCCAAGATACCTGCAAGTCTCGGGACCAACGCAGGAGGAGGTATCAGAGTGGAGTTTAAGACCTACTACCACTTATTTTACTTCCAAGAGAATCAGACATCCTCAGAATGACTAACGCAAATACTCATCTACAGCTTGCATTCATCCTCACCCATCAACAGTCGAAATCTTACAGGAAGAGCAAACCTGTGCTGGCCCAGAGAGTGAGCACGAGGCGATCAAGATGGTAAGCCACATTTCAAACTCAAACTTTCCCTAAACATGTGAGATGTTCAATAATATATTAGTTCCTAACAATGAAGACCATCGATAAAGAGCCTTTACCTTGGTCCAACATATTCGATGAAACATTCCTCATGACTGAATTACACCCAAGAACCTTTTTCGCCGGCACCCAAGGTTTCTACATCACTGATACAGTCTTGTATCGCGTACGGGGATTTTGGGAGGCGATTCCTAAACCACAGGGACAAATTCCCGGCTGGGTCCGTATCTGTTTCATTAGTTATATCAGGTATGGTCACGACGGCGGTGAAGTTATTGATGATGCTGAGGAAGAGAACTGGAATCCCAATCTCTACGAAGACTTTGACTGCGTGTATGGCTTTGAAGGCGTTCTTTTGCCAGGAGGCAAGATTATGCTAGGCCATTATTTTGATATGTTAGGTGAAGATCACCCAGGGTCGGAACGTGGACCATGCATCTATTGGGAGGATAGCAAAGACAAAGACTTGGGCATGCAGTTGGCACATGTTTTTGGACCTGGAATACTGTGATCTGGCTATTTCTATTGCTGCTATGGACTAGAACGAGAATAGGTACCTAATTTCCAAGGATATATTTTGGGATGTGCATTATATTCCTCAGCTTATAAACGCCATCATCCTATATCACTCCTGCGCAAAACTTGACTGTAAGCTATATAAAAGAAAGGCATTGATAATCGGGTGTTGTATCATTACGGTGAAAATGGCGAGTGACTTGCTGTAGCTGCTCTAAAACGATTGGGGGAGGGAAAAAAGTACAGAAAAGTGTTATGAAAAAGTAGATCATTTTCAGCCACCTGCCGTTCAACTATTCGTTTAATCTTCAATGTCTTTCACTTTCTCCCACTCGCCCTTGAGATTCTCTTTCCACAATGTCACCTTATTGTCGCCTCCGCTCACAGCGAGGATGTTACCGCTCAGGCTCCAGCTGACTCGCCATAAAACCGAATCAAATTCGAGCACGGTGCTCGTCCACTGGCCAGGGGCTGAGGCGTCGGATGTCCAAATCCGAACAGTCTTATCCTGTGAAGCCGAGGCAATGTACGACTTAGAAAGAATGCTGGGTGACCAAGCCACATCTCGCACCCAATCCGTATGTCCTTCTAAGGTCTGGACGGGGTTGTATGACTTTGACTCGGGGCTAAAAAAAGAGAAAAGAAAGAAACTGTTAGTGCTTAGAATTGGGATGCTGTTGATGCGTTTTCATACCTATAATCCCAAATCTTGACGAGGTTGTCACTTCCACCAGTAACAAACCTTCGTTGTTGACCCGGTCCGGGATTCGCACTTATGAGACTGCCTGGAGACGCAGCCGGTGCCCAGCTTACAGCGTTAACACCCATGCCGTGAGCATGGAACATTTGATGAGTCCAGCTATTGTCCCGGAATTCCAGCACGCTGACCTGACCATCCGAGGAGGCGCAAGCAAGAACACAACCACTTTCATGCGGGGCCCATGACACAATATTCACTGATGCAGTGTGGAGAGAAAAGTCAAAGACCTTTGTCCACGGGCTGCCGTTGGTTGGGGCACTGGAAGGCTGTTCGCGCCAAATCAAGACTTTGCCATCGTAGGAAGAGGATGCTAGGATTGTGCCGAACTTCGGATGTGCCTAATTGTAGGTTTCCAGATCTAAGTATTTGTTCTCGTCGAGAAGTCGAAGAGTCATAACGTACCCAAGCCACACACCATACTGCACCTTCGTGTCTGTCCCAGAGGCAATATTAGAGATTGGGTCCAGCTTGTCACAAAAAAACTCGGCCGGGACTGCTCTCACCCTTTCAAAGTATCAACCAGTCTATGTGTTTCCCCTTCAACCTCAAAAATCTTGATTGTTTTGTCTGATGAGCATGTGGCTAGTCGCCGCCCGTAGTAGTCAAGGGTAGCATCGTGCTACACAATCGACTTCAGTTAGCCGGGTGCGCATGTCATTAAGCAAGCTAGAGATTGTGGAAGAATTGAAAATTCGACAATGGACATACAATCATGTCATCGTGGCCAGAGTTGGAAATAACTTGCGCCTGTGGTCGAAGCACATGGGGTCAGTAAGGCCAGATCAATAGTCAGTCGCCGGGATAGGAGAGCTGTTCACGAACCATGACGTAGAAATGTGCACAGCAGAATGCGCCGCAAATGCGCCCTGGAGCTACTTGCAGCTGTAAAAGACAATTGGAAGGGGATAAAACAAAAAGCAAGATGCGTGGTATGCCAATGTTTTGTAGATACAGCGACTTGCGGGCGACTTGGCCGCACTTTCCTCCGGCTGCGCTAGTACCTGCTTGGAGCCTGGAATTCCAGGCATCAAGCAGGCTACTTATCTTATCGGCCAGGCAGCAAGGCAGCAAGGCAACTTCCCCACATTCGGCTTTCAAGTGCCACCAACCAACTTCCTACCTCGGCTTGACTGACGACTTGATTCATCTAAGCTAAGTTGACAGTCCCTGGCGTTCATTATCCATCTTCTTGATTGTACTCGAAACAACATTTGGTTCCATCGTGCCGCAACTTGCCCACCGAGTCTTACGGTGCTTGATTCTTGACTAGGCCGTCAACTATATCTCTATAGCATCGCCCGGAAGTTACGCTTAATAGAGCTACCACGATGGCGGACGCTCTGTGTGGACCGTCAAATGCATTACAGAGCTTTCAAAAGCATACAGCTGTCGACCGAACCCTACAGCAAGATCGCCTTGTGAATCGTCATCCGTCTGTTCAGCCGGTACATTTGTCCTCCACGTCCGTCTCCGCTGTATCTTAGAGGCTCACTTGTATCATTTAGAATTTCCGCTCGCAACATCCCAACGCTGCCGCACTAGATCCTGAATTCGAAGCTTTCGAGAACAATTTCTCAGGAAATGCAGCCCCTCAATTAGGAGTCAGCGGCGCTTTCGACGCACCGCTTCGTCATCAACCTCCACCTGCGTTCTCTGCTTCTGATAACGTGGATTGGGCCTCTGATTTTCAGAAGCTACAGGTTTCCGGTCCTCCTCAAAATTTAATGCAACACCATGTCATGCCAGCCCAATCCTTCCGTTCAACTCCTATGAATGGCTGGCAAAATGAATTCGCCCAACAGCAACATCAACAGCAAGTGCAACAAAATACTCAAACTCATTTCCAACAGGCAGGCACTATGGCGAATTATCAAGCCCCTTTCATGTCTACTTATCCCGGAGTAAATGGCATGGTAGCATCTATACCGGCGGGACAAGGGTCAATACAAGCACCGTCGACTTTCGATAAAGCTTCAGTCTCCTTTGACGAATCTGCCTTCGCAGCTGCGTTTGATCAAGCCCAGGCTGACATGCACGAGCAAGAAATCGCAGGCTCTGAGCAGCACCAAATATTAGAAGTGGATATGGGCTCGAAGAACGAAGAGTCCACATTACAAACAGAATCCCACGAGGAAATACGAATTGGCTCTGACTTGATTGGACCTAATAGCGAAACAAATATTCAAGAGCAGAAAGAAGACTCTGACGAATTAGCAAGAACTGCTGGTCATCTACTTGACAGTCTCAGTCACGACAATAGCCAAAAATTCAAAGAAAGCAACTTTCTTGCTTTGATGCGTCGCATCCGTGATCGCGAGGTGCATATCGAGGGTGACGAATTCCGCGAAGTCAGTACCCTTCCGTAATTTCGAAACATTGTCCTTCGGAAGAGCGGCATTACCGCCGGTATACACTCAGATATCTGCATGCTATGTGGCTTTGCTAATGATTTCCACAGACGACACAGGCCCTACACCCAGGTGGGAAGGATTATCCCGGAAAATGCAAGACTGGCGATGCTGGTAGTAATGCGAACGATAACCCAACTAGCAAATCTATACGTAAGTCGGGTTTACATTAAAGGTCCTTGCTAGATCAATCCTTGGCTTGCGCCCAAAGCCTCTATGACTTTGTTTCTCTAATATGTCTACCCACACAGGCCCGGAATAGCATCAAGGGAACGGTGACGGAAACTTCAGCCGTCTCACCATAGATATTGCAGCATATCTAGATGCGAGCATACCCAACTTAATACGTTCGAGTTGTTACACTTTTCGTGGCCCGTCTATTTCTTCGCCATCTCGCCTAGTTATCAACGAGACATCTGGCGTATCGGGAAATGGGAGCTATTCGGAACGTGGAATATTCTCTCCAGCGAACTGTCTCTATGTGGCAGATGACAATCCAGTCATATGAAGTTCATTTCATTTGGCTAATTGCAATGATGCGATCTGAATTGTACATAGCTGATCATCAGCATACTTTCTGTGTATATATCTATCTACAACAATGAGAGCTAAATAGACATTGGATATCCAGTTTGAGTGTTAACTAGCTAATCATGAACTAACTCATCAGACAAGTGGCAACTAGCTTACCACTAGTGATCTTATGTCAAGTATACCTGAATAAAGGGAACGTGCGACACTACAGCGCGCAGTGCTGTGTCACTCTATGCCCAGCTTACTTTGTGAGTGCAGCGGCTAGCAGCACCCCAACTAATGCTACTCACTAGGCATTATGAGATGATGCTTGATATTTCTCTAAGACATAAAAGAAATGGATCTTTTTTTCACCACGGCTCTCAGAATTCATATGAATGATCCAGGCCACCAAAAACAATCTGAGAAGTTCCAGGCCTAATATCAAGTCACACAGATCATTTTTGTTTAGAAAATGGACTCCATTGTTTGACGAAGATCATATCTTCAGAGAAAGGCTTTCGCATCAACCACCTGGTTGAACTAGGCTGAGGGAGGCTTCGTGGCCCTTCATCTCTGCTGCGAGCAATATTCGCATTACTTCATCATGTCCATTCTGAGATGCTGCCTCAAAACTTTCCACCATGAGCTTTCACATCTGCATTCCTGTTCAAAAACGATATTTCAACGTAACTTAGTCCAAACGATCGTTAAATATCTTCTTGAAGATGTCAATTTATGTGACAGTGCTAATCCTAATCTTACTTCAACCAACTGGGGTGCAGACTCACAAAGAGAATAGACATGAAGAAGGAAGGAAAAGGAAAGAAGTCAAAGTCCTGTGTGCGCCGCTCATGCTTCACTTGGTATCCTACCTACGAAAGTCGTAAAGAAATACATGACATTAGCTTCTGATCGAAGTTATTCAAAGATTATAAAAGTTCAACACTGCCATAAAAGGGTGATACTATAAGGGCGTGTAGCTCAGCGGTAGAGTACTCGCATCGCACGATGAAGGATAAAGCGAGGGGTCCTGGTTTCGATTACCAGCTCGTCCAGTAATCTTTTTGCTTTTGCAAACAACACAACTTTACTTTGTTTTTACCCCAAAAAAGATAACATCTCTACGTTATCAACGAAGACTGTTTACACGAGGTTCGGGTAGTGAGTGAGTGGGTAGCATGATTGAGCCAGCATTGCTACACACGGTCATAAGCAGAAATTGGTTTATAGCGGGTGCAAATGCAAAAGTAAGAATTCATATCAAGTTAAAACAATAACGGGAAACTAATCCAATCCCAATGGTAAAGAAGATATTCGCTCCATTTGATTAACAAGTTGACTGACTGACTGACCAACCCAAAGTCAAGCAGATGTTGTTGTTGTTGTACATGAAATAAACCCCATCCATCATCTCACAAGACAAGAAGAAAATAGGAAAAAAATAAAAAATAAAAAATAAAAGCACTAATATAATAAAAGTAGTAGTAAGAAGGACGTGGATACTGTCTGGAGGACCCCCCTTTTTTTTTATCAAACGCCGGTACCAAGATGAAAGGAGAAAGGGGGAAGGAGAAAGAAGAGGGAAAAGATAAAAGTTGACCCAGTCATACATCATTTCGAGGTGTAGCAATTGCCGAAAAACAAAAAAAGGGGAAAGATGGATGGAAGTTTAAAAGGTGAAAAGATACGAAGAGAAAAGGATTAGAGCGGGTCTGGTTCTGGTACAATGACCGTATTCGAATCTGGTGATCGCAGGTCAAGGAATATAACATTTTCATGATTGTAGTATACTGAGATGTGTCGCAAATTATTGGGTTTCAAATATGCCGATTCAGAGGTATATCATGTCTGTGAAGGCCCCTAGCCCATTCAGGAAGAATCTTGTCACGCTCGTACAAGAGACCACAGTTATGACAAAGTGTCTGCAAAACAGTGTTATTTTATAAGCTTCATAAAAGCATGGAGATGGTCGGCTTACCCTTGGCCCAGTAGGACCATCTCGCACTGTCCAGACCGCATGGCCGAAGACTCCGCAATTATAGCACCTCCAATGAGCACGTTCACTGAGGCATTAATGATGAATTAGTCTTGCATGTCCACATCAGGAAAAGAAAAAAGGCGATGGTTTGACATAGCGTACCTCTCCAAAAGCGTTCCACCACCGCCACCATATCCAGCTCCAGAAGCCGTGTCAGGTGTCCCACGACCCCCTGGAGTCCCAGAACGGCCTAACGGGCTAAGGCTACGGAAACGTCGTTTTCGTTTGCTTCTCTCGCCCCTGCCGAGCGGCGTCTCGCTGTCGACGTCGAAATAATTTGTTCTCGATAACTCTGGTGTAATGCCAGCTGTGGAAGAGAATCTGGCGGTTTCCCTTCGAAGACGCCGAATCTGGCGTTCTCTGTCTCCTTCACGTTTTTCAATCTCCTCTTTAGATAAGGTTTCAACCTTAGGCTCCCATTCATCACCGAGACCTTCAGGGTCATACCGCCATCCAGCTTCGGCACCATTCGCGGCCTGGTTGTCGATTTCATTTCCATAGGCCCCAACACCACTAACCATACCACCACTTTCGCAAACTTCTTTCTTGAGTTTCAAAACCGCTTCGTAAATTCCATGTGATATGGCACCCACCCATTCACCTGCAAGACCAAGGTCTGCGCAGGTGACTTTGGCAAACTCTTCAGCCATCCCTGGGGGATGAAGCAAGGACCACTCAAATTTGTCGGTATAAAGCTTGTTCTGAAGATTGATATTCAAATTAACAACACATCGATATGCGTCGTCAGGATTCAAGAGGCTGTCGTTAACAAGAGGGTCCTTGGTAACGCTCACAATATTATCCCGAGCGTGACTGTCGGGGGTTGCAGCATTCATGGGAGCGGGCGTACTAGAAACATCCCGAGAGAGCCCGGCATTTGGGTCTGTCGCATTTGCAGCGGGTGCAAATTGGTTTTGTTGGAATAATGGGTGTAATGCAACGCCTGCATACTCTTCAAGTTGTTGCCGGATTTGGGTGGAGATGGCATCAGCTAGACGTGCTGGTTCAGGCAAGTCGAGATCACGAACAAAGGCGATAGCGAATTCGTCAGGGGTGGCAATAGCTTCATGCAAATTCCAGAGAAATGTGTCTTTGACGCGATAAGCTGGAACAGGCTCGGGGCGTCGGTAACCTGGAAGAGTTGAGTTTAGGGCTGGGTCTGTGGCAGTTCGAGGTAGTGGAAAGGGTTCAAGCGGCTGATGCGCGGGGACTTCAAGGTCGATTCTAATCGGAACTAGAGTTAAAGGCAAATGCGATTGCACTTGCAATTGATCTGCAGCACTGGATGAATGCGTTAGAAGATTCCAGAGTACAGCGTTTGTAGCAGGGCAATAAAGCGTATAGACCCATTTGTTCACCAAGTACGTGGATCAAATTCAAATACTTACTCTGAGCGATATAGTCGCCTTATCATCCAGTCTCTGAATATTCCTTGAACCTCGACTGGCGCATCGATTTCCTTGCCTACTTTCTCCGACAACGGGACTCTATCTGCGCTCGATTCCTCTCGTCGAAGGCTTCGCAGTCCGGTTGGTCGACGCGGGCCATCACTATCTTCAAAGTCGTCGTCGTCAAAGCCATCTTCGGCATAATTGATGGTTGTTGTACCACGCTTGGTAGTTCGCGACGGCCCGACTTGCGAGGGAGGGATGACTGGAGTAAGCAACGCGTTGCTATATTGTCGAAGACGGGGAGCGTAAGAGGTGATATAGCCTCTGACAGGAGACATGATGGCGAGTGTGTGTCAGGGTCGCTTAAAGCATGACCCCGAAGGGGATAAGCAGCGTAATGCGATATAACGTTGGAGTGGAAGAGTCGCTGATGTCGCTAGCTCTTTCCTCGATTGAAGCTTGCCAGGAACGTAGCGCAGCGCAGCGCGAATCTGCCCGTCGAGACCACCACAACCACTATGTGACTGGGCGGAGAGCAGATGGAAGTTTGCCAGTCACAGCTGAGACTCTTGAGCAGGCAGTGAAGCAGCAAGTGAAATATTCTCGACAAGATATTGGGTCTGGCGCCCTCTTCTCCTTCCCAATCGCTCACTTTCCCGCGCGTGTTTTCTACTGGGCCCGCCCGGTGGGCCCGGCTGGCCAATTGGAGGGCGCGCTGTGCATGCCGTCACGTGACGCTTCCGCATACAATTACAACGTTAAGAGAGAGACCTCCATGAATATACGCCGATACGTCGTGTGGCTTGAGCTAATGTGCCAAAAAGGAAGCGCTTATACACTCACGCTAGATCCTTGATTGAGGCCGGCTAGATCAATTTAAAGAACATTCTTGGATATCAGAAAGCATTCAATGACTGGGAAACAAAGGGAAAAGAAGCTGAAAAAGCAAGAATACAATTGCGCTAAGAAGGGATGGGGATAAGTGCTGGTAGGAGGTAGGTTTGGATCGAATGACTGGAGCAATAGGCATGTAGAGAAAAAAAAAAGGGGACAAAATATATTGCCTTTCCAAGGCGAGCTTTCTCTATCACCGCAACCCGATTACGCTCTGTTCGCATGGTACGTTAGCCATGACCGTTGCAGATAGAACAGGAGATCACTTTACCATCTCGAGAGTCCAGACTCGGCGGATCCAGACCTTTAGTTTGCCCTCGACACCATCAACATTCTCCAGTTCGATGCCTTCCCACCAGCAACGTCTAGCAGGCTTCCTCCAGAAGAGGAGAAGCTTTTGGGCCATGCCCACCGACGCGTTGCTATTGATATCTCCCCGCACATCCGTACGCAGTTTTGCCAGCGCCAAACTAGAAATGACTGCCTTGTTGGGCTCGGGAGCACGATGTCCCCACGAATCATCGTGGTTGAAGCCACTAATTATATTATGTTAGTGAAAGAGAGCGAAGATCACGGAATCTGACGACTCACCCTGCAGTCAACATCTCAATGAGATGCTGTTCAGTGCTGCCTACTTCATCACTTTTTCGGAGACCGGAGAAAATCCCGTCCTGACACAGGAGAACTTGAGCTGCAGCCCGCTTGACACTGGTCATCTCAGACTGTCCTAAGTCTGCCCGCGGCGGGATAACGTAGAAATCCAGATCCTCACGAAGAACAATGATACCTGCCCTGTCCTGCAACATGTCTCGTGTTGAGCTATACATCGAGTCATTGGCATCCATTTCAGGCGAACCTGACGGAGACGGTGATGCAGAAGGGATTGATTGAGCAACCGCGCGGAAGAAATCCAGCATGTATTGCAGGGAGCTTGGGTCATACTATACAACACACAATACATCAAGTTAGTCAATCGATCAATTGCCTCCTGATAAACAACAATTTGCTGTAAAATGGTACGTACATCCACAGGATAGATATCGCCATCATGAAAGCCCCCCATGTGACCGTCAGGAAGCAAGCCATTAGGGAATAAAGAAAGCAAAACAAACTCCGGTAGCGTCAGGAGTTCGTCTCGAGAAAGAGTGAACCGGGTGCCCCTAAAAGTAAATATTCCTAGTCAGCTTCTCCCTCTAGTAAACTCCCAGCGACTTCCCCGAAGAAGGTTAAGTCAAGTGCCCACCTGAGATCTAATGTGATGTGCTCGTCTCCATTCACATCTTGACATAATAAGAATTAGCAGGCGTCTTCGCAGTCAGAAAATGGAATCTCAATCCTTACCCCCTAGTGTGTTTATGGGAGGACCACCCGTCTGTTGCACCTGGGTAATGATGCTTGCGGCACCGCCGGCGACTGCCATGACGTAGGAGAACGATTCAAGCGGACTAAATCCTTCGGTATAAGGAGGAGGGGGTTCTCCGTCGTCTGGAGCCTTTCCTGACGATTCGCCCTTCTTGTCTGCACAGTCAAGATCCGCTTTCGTATCCGCGACTACTGAAGAAGATTCCGGGAGCGATTGGTCTTCGACTGGTGGCGACGGGGCGAACGCGCGTAGAGAGGCGCCCTGGGCCTCAGTAACGGCTGCTTTGAAACGATTGACTTCCGAGTTTGGCGCAATGTATAGCGATGAGAACGGCGGGGGGCGCGGAGAAGAGGCGCGGGACGAGGATGAGGACGCCTCGGAGAGAGGTGGGTGAGCTGGCGGCGACGTGTATGGAAAGTCCTCCACGGTGGCAGTAGATTCCAAAGAAGGCAGCGCTGAGGGGCGCGCTACCGGTCTCGTGTAAGTTCTTCGAATCTATTGGGAATATCTGCGTAGGTAGAGACAGCGAGAAAGCAACTTGCTGTTGGATCGTCTGATAGGGGGTAGCCTCGCGGGGTGCTATTTGGGTTGGCGCGGAAGTGGCAGGATCATAGATGAGATGGAGAGTTCGGCTATAGCAACGCAGGTTCACTTTCGTCCAGGGGGGCTTATGTACATGAATAAGTATAACGCGCAATGAGGTGTTGAGAATGATGATCGACTGGGTTGTTTGGAGTCTGGAAAGCACAAATCATCAGCCAAGGTTGGCTCCGCTGCCGTAACTTAGTCTGGTGGAACCGCCTCGATCTTCGTTCCGGCAATATACAACTATAACTAATGCATGCATAACGAGTACTCTGGACTTTGCACAGAATGGTTTTGATTGACTCAGCCGCTTTTTGCGGTTCTTATCAAAGCTACATATAACGCTGCCCATTCTCTACTACTAGTGGCAGTGGCAGTGGTGATGGTGGTGCAATAGTTGCCTTCGTCTAGACGTCACGCTCTGCATAGCTTTGTATCATTCCTTCAAGAGTCGGCTCATATTCTCTCAAAACCACCCTGTCGCCTTCAAGTCGGGTGTTGGCCTGGACAAAAACCTTTCTGGGAACCTTCTTTTGCAGCACGACGTTTCGTACCTTGGTTCCCCACCACTCGTCAACCGATGTTATGTCGTTGTACAGCTGGGTGCCGCCGACAACATCAGCTGTAGACTTGTAAACATGCAGTTTCTGCAAGTATCTCTCCACAGCAGGCCGTCCGTGAGTAAGGATCTTGGACCGATCCAGGTGGATTTCGAGATCTGACAGATCTTCCTTGGAGTGTACCAGCTTGACAAAATCGTCGCCTGCTTCGAGGAATGTTCGTAGAATACTGTAGCGGGCTTGCATGTGTGCCTGGCCCCATTTCTTGCTCTTGGGATCCCAGAATTCCAGAGCAACAACGCCAGCTCGTGCCATCTGCAGGTACGCCACAAACAGTACGTCACCGGCATCATTGCTAAGATCGGTTTTGCCATCGCCATGGCCGAATATCTTGAGAATATCAAAGTCGCAACTCAAAGCCATGGCTACGCACTCTGCACGGCACTCCTCGTATGAAGAGGCAATAGCTCCAAAGACCGAGCTCCACGTCTGACCCGGCTTGTACCAGGTAGAAATGGGTTTATTGGTAATCGGACTAGTGGGTGGGTTGGAGATATCGAAATTGTACACTCCCGGGGCAGTCTCTTGCAAGAGTTTTCCCGTACCATGTCCAAGTAGCTCGTGGAGGCCTACCTGAACCTCAAAAGCTTCGTCCCGATAACGCTGGTACACATCCAAATCTTGAGCAGCGATGAAGGGAATTGGTTCGTTCGGGGCTTTTGCGCTTAGAACATTGCCCAGTGAAACATTCTTGAAACCAAGATTCTGTCGAATATCATCATAATTGGGAATATTGATACCTGCCGGAATGCCGGATCCAGCAAAAGTCATGACTTCAAGGGATGTGAAGTCTGGGCTCAAGAATTTGTCCTTCTCGAATTCTTTGCCCCAAGGTAGCCGGACGATGTATTGTGCCGCACCGTTCACCAGGTCACTAAAAGTCCTAGTGCGTACCAGATTAACCTACACAAATTAGCCATTCGCATGACCCGGATAAAAAGGAAATAAATCGGCTTACCATGCTAACAAAACCTTCCCACTCTCCTCGAACGCCATGAGGGTCTCTGTAGGTCTCAACGAAGCCCAAGTCTGTCTCAACCGCGGGCTTCTGATCTTTAACCCACAAGCGCTGGCTTTCTTTGTACGCTTCAATGGACCCCGTGCCAAAAGATTTGGCATATTGTTCCAACATTTTTTTCTGTGTATCGTTGGCAGCATTCAATTCTGCCTGCTTGACACTATGGGCAATTTTTGCCATTTCATTCTGATAATCACCAAAGACTAGACTAAGCTTCTTTCCTGCAACGGGGCCTTCTAGAACCCATGTATCTTCCTCCCCAAGGTCTCGGTCATGCGACGGAGGTGAGGAGAGACCGGATGCAATTAGAAGCTCGAAATCCCCGCCCGCCGTTTTCCGTAGCCTCGTGTTCTCAACTGGCAGCCCTTTTTTCTCGAGGAAGTCTCCCACGGCTATGATTTCATCTTTGGTTATTCCGGGAGAGTCGGGGTAGTAGGTTGTTAGATGGCCCTTGTCTGGATAGCCCAGATGCATCAAGCCAACATCGCTGGTTTCATAGATTCCAGCACCAGTGCCGTTGGCCTTGTCAAAAGCCGCTTGTGTCTCAGGGGTGACGGAAGCAAGCGATTTAAAAGCTTCGACAGACAGTCTTGGAATGAATTTCGAGTCTCCAAATCCCTTATAGTTTCCGCAATTGCCGAGGAATTGAGCGGCATATTCTAGGAAATATTGTAAGTCCTGGTCGCTGACTCCAGTCTTCTCTGCAAGAGTGCGCCAGTTTCCGTCGACTGCCTTGTATAGAGAAATGATCAAGTCATAGATGGGCTCCGACTCAGGAGATATCTGGCGTAAGGTAATGCGCGTGCCTTGAAAAGCAGCTCTAATAGATTCGAGCATATTGCAGTTAGTTCTCAAGAATAGCTCAGTTCAGATCAACCGTAACCTACCTGCTCATGAAATGAGCATAGCGCTTCAGACTCTCATCCTTCAAAGCCTCAAAATGAGGCTTGATCTCCAGCCTCACAACACTGGGCGGCGAGTCAGCCAGGTAGTGCTGTCTGGTCTGAGCATCCATGTTTGCAACCACCGCAGGTCGACTAGCTGTAGCAGATGTGGATTCTGTCCTTCTTGTTGTATGGCCACTGAGCTGTAGCGACCGCTGGAGAGAGAATACTTGTTGACGCGATTGCAAAGATCGAAGAAATCGATGAGGGGTCATTGCCAGGTGGTCTTCGAGGCATGTGGGGGGGAAGAGCTAAAGTTCCCGCAGAAGCTTGTTTGCATCGCGGTTATTTGCGGCGAATGGCTTCCTAGTTTATGTAAGCGCAAAGTAATGTCTTTAATATATATTATGCTCGTACGGTTCTATCTTGCAGGTGAGTGATATCCACAGGATCTGCCTTTGCCTTCTAGTCTCTAAGGCAATGGTATATACAACGAAGAAACGGCTGGCCACAGCCTACAATAAGCTCGTATACTTGTCCAGGCCCTGTTTTGGTTGTGCGGGGGGCTGCGTCACTTGAGCAGTGTTAGATGTTCCAACGGATGCCCAAATGTTTGGCTGTACGGCTGTTGGAGGCTTCTGCTGGTATTGAGTTTGGGTAGCGGTAGTGGTAGGGGGAGGGGGGATAGAAAATGCTGAATAGCTGGGCCCGGATGGAGTGATAGGTGCTAGATTAGATGTGGGCATAATTGGAGAAGAACCAAAGCCAGGAGGAAGCGATGGTCGACTTATTTGTTGAGATTGGTCCCAGGACGTCTTCGTAGACGGCTGGGGCTGGGGTTGAGGTTGCAAAACACCAAAGGACGTGTTCATAGATGACCGTTGGCGATTTGGCTCAAGCGATGGGAAGACGCCGATATTGCTGTCCGGGGTAATAGATCGCGAATTCTGTCCCGTGGATGAGATAACACTCGAGATGCCACTAATACTAGCCCTGTTTGCGGGTTGTGATACATTAGACGACCACGAAAACGCTGGTGAAGTGACTTGGTTCGCCGGTTTGGCTGTTGTTGTTGTGCTCTGGGATGACCAGTGATCCCAACCGCCATCTCCGCTTGTGTTACTAGTGCCATTGCGACCAAGAACAAGGCGTTCAAAATCATTTGATGTCTCTTCAACACCAGATGATCCAGTAGCTCCGACTGTAGCCTGCCGGGATATAGTGGAATCTTCCCTTGACGAGAGCTCTCGAAGTTTCCGTATTTGCTCTCGTTCAACTTTGGTTGAAAGGGACTTTATAAGTGCCATAAATTGTTCGAATTGCTTAATATTGAGCAACGGGCCAAGACTGAAAGTCCATAATAAGGGCAGCACCTCAATGGCTATGAACTCAGTATCAACGAGCTTTCCGACTTGTCGGAAAACTTCCAGGGCTGCCATCATAACACCTGGCTCCTTCGTTTTGATGGCCTTCAAGAGTGGGACAAGCTTTTCTTGCACTGTATACTTATCGAGTATTGAAGGGGAAGATTTCTTGGTCTTTTTCTTGTCTTCGACTATGCCAGTCAGGTCGTCCACGGGCTCTTCTTTCTCAATGGAACCCCCACAAAGAACAACAAAGGCCTCCAAAGCTCGGATTTTGATATTCAGGCTGTTTGTTTTACTGAACGTAGAGGCAATTGGTGGAAATATGTCATTCTTGACTGTGCTGAAGTCAAGCACTGGAAGCATGACGGCCAAGCACTTCATAGATGCGTCAACCAATGAATGCGTACTGGATTCCATGGCTAGTTGAACCATTGGGAGGATATCTAGAGAGCAATTAGCATTAGCAAGCGCCACCAAGCCTGACTACGACTCATACCGACCTTCTTTGAACTCTTTGCCTGAACAATTTTCCGCAATCACGTTCAAGTTCTCAAGCACAACCATGAGACCTGCGTCTTTTGTCGTATCCCGCTCTTGAGCAGCAGCTCTATTTCCATTTACCAGGAATATCTCCTTCAGTTTCGGAATGATCAGCTCGGGACAGACGCGTCGTCCATTTGGCACCTTCTTTAGAATGTGAAATACGTTCTGCAAGATAGGAGACAGCAGATCACGATCCTTTGTCTCTTCCAAGAGTACTCCAAGTACTTTCTTCTCAAGCACAGACGGTGGAAACTCTGGGATGACCCGCTGCAAGCCGCGCATGAACTGAGACTTCTCATTCTGGGTCTTTGCTGGTAATGATTCCAGAAAGCGAATGGTAGACACCAGAATGTTATCAAAATAGGCAGATTGTTGGAACTCGCGCGCATTCAACCGCCCGGCAGGCCGCCTAGTTATCAGTCTAGGAAGGACACTGGCAAGAAGATCCTTTGGAATAGGCCGTGTACAGAGGAAGCTGTTGGATTGAGAAGGCGTAGTGGAAGGAGTAGTGAGGAGCTTCTTATATGTGGATGCATTGGAATTCGTTTGTAGAGGAGAAACATGCGGTGAATTATAGAGGGCAACAATGATAAGACCAAGAGAAAACAGGTCAGCTGCAGGCGTCACATTGGAATCCATTACGAAATCCGGCGACGTGTAGTCTAGGTTTAATTGCACAGAAGGAGGGAGCCGTGCATCTTGATATAGAACCTCCGAAAGCGCCAGAGGTGGAAGGGTCGACTGCGTTGTAGAACCATCGGCTGGACCAGCAAATGCAAGTCCAGCTATCTTCCAGTCGGATTTAATGTTGATGTAAATTGCCTCCGGATTCAGATTGCCATGGACTAGACCGGCTGATTCATGCAAGAACTCCAGGCCTTTAGCAATCTGGAGTAAGCCCTTTTGAATTTCGAGCTCATCAATTTCCACTTCCCGACGTCTTCTCGTTCCATCTGGAGACTCTATCATGAACCGACTGGGCCTCGCACCTCCTTCCTGTGCATCCTTTTCTTTCAAAAGACCACTAAGAGAAGCAGTGATGGGCTCAGTAGCAAACATCAACCCGCCGTTGCGAGTCTCTTCTACCGGCTCCAAGATCTGGAGGACCGAAGGGTGTCGTAAACGCGTTAGGCTGCTCACTTCCCGCTTCAGTCTCTCAACCACCTCCTCGTGAAGTTTTTTGGTAGACGAGGAGCTCGACCGGCCACCAAAACCACCAGACCTGGGCTCTATTGTTTTGCGTTCAAATATGAAAATAGAGGCCGCAGTGCCGGTGGATTTCTTAGTTCCATCGTGGACCTTCCACGGGCCGGATCTAAAAGCAGGCTCGGGAGAAATCTGGTAATGAGATGATATGTTGGAGCTAAACGACTTGAGCGCAGACGAAAACATGATGCCTAGGAACGCTCAAATGGTTCATATCAGGAGAGCACGGGCCGGAATGGCTTATTGATGCTTTTTATCGATGCTCGATATTGGCATAAGCATGTCGATCAGTTTAGTGCTTTCTCTTTTTGGGCCGCACTGAATGATGAATTGCGTCGCGACTGAGACACTTATCGTTCTACCAATCGCCGACAGGCGATGTAAAGAAGTGACTATGCCGACACTCGGGGCTGCGTCGTCGATAAAACCGGAGAGGCGACAACAACAAATTGAGTTGGCCGCATCTCCTTGGCAAACCAAGCTAGTGCGGTGCCGCATCACGTGCACAACTAACGTGAACGAGACGCAAGTATCGGCGAATTATTCTTCAACTGACTTCTCAACGAACATCACTTACCGAAGAGAGAAAATAATCTGTTTCGATCGAGGCTTATGCTCTAAAAGAAGTCCTCCAAAGTTCGGAGAACATCAATCAGGACTTCTCTATACATGCGCCACTTAACATGCAACATCATGACGGAACGCTTGCTAGGCATTCTCGATATTTCTCCACCACAACAGTGGCCCTAGAGAACAATAGACACAACACTGGAAAGACACTAGGCCGACATCCTAGGGTATGTACACATGTATACCGTGGTAATGACCAATGGTTGGATTCACCCCCTTTTTCATTGAACCAACTGGAAGAGACGTATACAAGGAATCCATATCAGGATTGACTTCATGTAATGAATCATACCCAATCATACCACGTTCTGACTCGATTTAGTCTATAACTGCACCCCTGGCGGCATTCACAATGGCCATTCTTCTGGCGTCATATTGTGTCAGTTCTATTAGAGCAGCTCGGAGGGAGGCTCACTATCATCCTTCTTCCTCCGCTTCACCCCCCTTCTCTAAGATGCCCTCTGAGGAGAGTACAGCTGCCGGCTCAAGCTCAGGGTCTTCTTTTACCTCGGCAGCATGGATATCGAAAGCGCTGGATGAAGAGAGGAGAGAAAAGGAGAATAGAAAATAAAGGAGTTATACCCACCTGTCCTTCCAAAGGGAAGAATGGCAGATTCCATATTTATGAGAATAAGGGAGATTTTATTGTAACCAAGCAGAGAGTCTGTACCACCGATTGTGGAGGTTGTATGTATGTATATAATATGTATGTACTAATGATCACGCCTCAACACAGTTGCTAACAGAAAAAGACATCATAATCTACAAGGGAAACAGTAATAAGGAAGGCAGCGAGAAAGGCACATAAACAGAAATCCTGGTGCTACATTTTGAAACCAGCACGAGCTGCAGAATAGAGAGGGAAAAAAAATCCCGAGTTGTACTCGACCAGGGAAGGTAACAGCAATAATAGCATGGCTGATGTTGGGGGAAAAAGAGAGGCAGGGAAGAACAAAACGAATACCAAAAATTTTTCCTTCTAATTTCCCAAGCCGCTGAGTTTATGGCAAGAACAGTAAGCTAAACAAGGGTATCACCGGCCACATTTACATTGCCCAGCTTCTTTTGTCCTTCATGCTGAAGTGTGCTGATGGTCTTTTTCAGATATTCGTATGTGAGCATGGTCGTCATAGCTGCAGGGACGGCTCGAATCAAATTAGTGCCGATTCCTGAATAGAATGCCCGCCACCCTTCCTCGCGAAGAATGGTCTGGCATGTACGCCACACGCCGGCATAACGAGGCCGGTTTGGCATACCGTCAGATGATGCCGCACCAGGTGGTCGTCCACGATCAACTGGATGGTCGAGTCCTCCCCGAAATGCAATTTCTTCAGGCGACGACGCTGGTGGGTGCCGCTGCTGTGTTTGCAGTCGTGTGCGCAGCACCTCGTGTGGATATGTAGCAGTGCTAGCACAGACCTTGCTAAGGAATGTTGCTAGAGAAATTCCAACCCAATGCGAGTTACCGCCATCTGGGTGCTCACCAATGCCATAGCCCGTGAACGCCATCTTGAAATATTCGTAGAGCGGAAACTGAATAGCCACATGTGACAAACCTAGCAGGGCCGGTGTGAGGCCAGAGTAAAAAGCCCGGATGCCTTCGGTCATGTACATCTTACGCGCAGCATCCCACGTGTTCCGATAATGCCATGGAATGAATCCGTCTCCAGAAACCCTGACACCTTGCGACATCAACCTCGTCTTGATCACCCAGATAGGGTTCGTTGCTATTGTTGAACACGTTCCAGCAGTAACGGATGCATATGTCCTTGAGAGCCACCAATTATCTGTAATTGGGAATATGTAAGCAATTTGCCCAGGCACCAAGGTTTAGAGACACTGCTCACCTGTTGTCTCTTCATAAAATGCCCTTGTTTTGTCGTATACTGTAAGGTAGACAGCCCATGTTGGCAAATAGCCAAGCAGCATTGGCCCCAATCCTTGATATAAACCTCGAATTCCGTCGTTCCTCCATATTGTCTTTCCCGTACCAATCATTCCCCGGTATATGTGCACAGTTTCAGGGAGTTGGGTGGGACGTCGACGCATAAAACCACCCTGTGCCTGTAGCTTGGTCTTGATCACATCGAGAGGGCATGTCACGACACCCGAAGCCATGCCGGCCATTGCGCCACAGAAAGGTGTAACATACATTTCTGGAATGTACGTGGAATAGGTTTCGACACGCGTTAGCATCGTGCTAAAAGGCGACGGTCCGCTAAGGTGTTTCTGGTGCTGGTGTTGGTGTTGGTGGTGCTCGGGTCGAACAACCGGTCTCGATGTGTTGTCGTCTGACGACATTGTCGCTATCGTAAACAGCGCTCAGGTAGATAGATGAGAGGTCCCGTCTTGATCACCGGTCATTCGCGGATTCGAGCATACCGGAAGCTCGAATCCGGAACCCTGACGCCGGTGATTCCCTCTCAAGATATCCCTAGAGTAGAGAAGAGAGCCACCTTGTACAACGATGAACTGGTAATTCCCTTTATTTTATGACCACGTGAGAATTCTTGGTCTGAGAGGACGTCGAAAATCGAAACTTGAGCCAGTCACAGCTTGACGTGGTTGAGTGTGTTCCTTTATGCCTTCATACGGACCGGGAAGATCGCCGACTTGGATGATTTATACGAAGTCCAGTAAAGAATAAAGGTCGGATAGCGCGGGGTGTCACTCTCTACCACGACAGGAGTCCGCTTGCGACTAAGAGGAAGTATCCTGGAGAAATTGGATATCCGGCGCAAAGCGATGTATCCAGAGATGCAAATTGGGATGACTTTGGAAGTTTTTGCAGGAGCTGGTCTCGTATGAACAGAGAGGACTTTTCTTTTTTCTGCTTGTGATGGTTCGGAGTTTTGGCAACCTTGAACGATAGGGCGGCTCAATGGGCCAATCACGTCAACACCTGACCAAACCGGTTAGCCTGATATCATGTGCCGGCCCGGTTCTCTGGAAATTAACGGTTGGAGCCGTGAAGCCTCGAAGAGAACCGTTATGATAAGTATGTTTTGAAAACTGATGGGAGGAGGGAAGGTGTGGCTTTTATATTTGCTTGGGCTCATGGTGGTAATCAGCTAGTTGTGTAGTGATACATAATGATCAACAGCGCTGTCCAAGTGAGCAAATCAGCAATTCGTTGTCAATTACACTGGATAAAGGACATATCATTTGCCTCACAACGGACAATGCAGCTTTTAGAAGATCGCATGCCTCATGACCTGTGCCTTGCTAAGTGAAAATGCCTACGCAGTGCAGCCTCGTGAAGAGGTGTCTACCATGAAGAGGAAGAAAAGTCAAGCCAGCTCGGGTTGTTCCGGCAGTCAGAGTTGCGGATGCCTTACTGTTTCTGGTGCCTCAGGCCACAACGGAGTTTTGCCGCACTAGTGTCCGAACGAACGCCAAAACGTCCAACGACGACAATCCTTTGAGCTTGCTCTGCCTTTCGACTCCCCTCCCCTCCACCCAGCTTCAATTGGGCTCAGATACCAGCTCTATCGAATCCGTTGCCATCATGTCTGTTCCTTCTCTCACCAGCTACGTCGTTAAGCGACCCTACCTCAAGCGCTGGCTGCAGCCAGTTGCTGAATGGTACACCAACGCTGCTGGTTACCGCCGTCTTGGATTAAGGTACAACACCCACTCAATTAACCCCGACAATGTCCTTGGCCCTGGATCGTGGCCTCTTGCAGGAACACTGCGTCTCTTCGGTCTTATTTGGAAAGCAATTGGGGTGTATGCTGCTGAGCTCGAGTCAGCGAAACACTCCAATTCCGGGACAGATAACCTCAACATATTTCTCGCGAATTGATCGCTAACAATGACTTACTCAGGGCCGACGACCTCATCCCTGAAGAGAGCGAACTTGTCCAGAAGGCTATCAAGCGTCTTCCCCCTAAGGAAGCCTACGACCGCGTTTTCCGGCTCCGCCGCGCTTTCCAGGTAGAGTGCTCCCCAAGTCTATTCAAATACACATAAACGGAAAATTTCTCTAATCTCTCGTGCTCATTTCCAGTGCTCCATTTCCCACACCCTTCTTCCCGCCGCGGAACAGACGAAGCCAGAGGAGGTGAGTTTCAAATCTACCGGCTCCGCGTTGGATGTGATCATAAGCAGTTGCCGAATAACGGAGCGCCAACCCTAGTCATGGTACAACGACTGACTAACTTGTTGCAGGATCAAGAGTACCTCAGTCCTATCATCCGCGAACTTCAGAAGGAGGAACAGGAACGCGAGGATTTGGATAACTTGATTGTGAAGCGGAAGTAATGAAAGGAAACAGAAAAGTGAGAGAAGAGACAGAAACACGACTTCATCAATAAGTCAATAGATTGAACTGCAGGCTTTATATTCTCAAAACTCGCCTCGGATAGAAGAAGAAATAAGAGGGGTTGTGTGATATCGGATCGGATTTTTTGCAAGATGCGTGTGATATTTTGAGTCGGTCTGCCATGTCTTCAAGGCTGGGCGACGACGACTTCTGTACTCAATAGCTGTACAAAGAAATCAATGCTGATTAGTTTTCCTTTGTTCTACATTGATACTCTATTTCTCCTAGGATCTCGCCTTTCCATGGCTGGGAAATGAATGTTTAGTGTATCGAACATCACATGATCGAAGTCGACTATAATTCAGACAGAATAGTTGCTAGATAATGATATATATATACCAACCAACTAATTCATAACCGTAATATCTACATCCTCAATCCTCCACATGTACCACATAAATAGGCTCCTATAATTTATCAGCTTCTTAGCAATATGGTTGCCTTTTATTTCTCTCTCTTGTCAACGGATGGAGACATACCTATAAGGACGAAACTTCTCTGCGAGTTCCAGCATGTCCTTTTCTGACATGTATTTGAATTTGCCGCCACCTTTGGCCTTCAATTTATTGACATCTTTGCCGATGAAAGCCGCACAGCCTCGTCTGGTGAAGAGACGTGAGTACATACCTTGCAGAGATAGATAGAAGATAATATCTTACTTACTGCACACCCAAATCGCCCGTCGAAAACACATCGGTTCTCTTTAGGGCAAAACACGAGAACATCTCCACCGACCAGCGGCCCAGTCCGCGTACAGCAAGAAGCATTTCCATCACTTCGTCGTCCGTGGCCTTGAGCAGTTTTTGCGTCGAGAGCTCTCCGTTGAAGAATTTCTCGGCTAGGCCGTGGATATACTCTGCCTTGCGTTGGGATAGTCCTGCTGTTCGGAGGGTGGGTATGTCTAACTGGGATACCTGCGCTGGTGTTGGAAAGGGGCGTTTATTGTGTTGGCTTGCTGTTGCTGTTGCATCAGGAAATAAACCCAGAAATTTATTTTTGATTGACCGCGCTGCTGCTCCGGAGACCTGTTGGCCAATGATACTACTTGCAAGACTTTCAAATGGATCGATTTTCTCATCCAGTCCCTCCGGCGAAAAAAGTCGACAGTGGTGTTTCGCAATAACGGGCTTAAGACGCGCATCCGAGGCAACCAAGTGTTCAAGAGCCTTTTCAAGAAGGTTACCTGTCGTCGCTATCGGGCGTGGTAGACCTGTTTTGCTGGGTGATACATCTTCTGCAGAAGGATATGCCACTATCGAGCTCCCCCTCGGTGTGACCAGCGTGGCGTTGGTCCGATAGGGTTCGACAGGTCGATCGAGTTGAGGCGGTGTCATTCTCAGATTGCTGTTGTCTGCCACTGACGTGACGTCGCCTTTCATATCCTTGCTTTTCGGGATTTGGGATATCCACTGCTGGCAATCTTCCGCTGCCGCATCTTCAACTAACGTCTTTTTCGCGGCATTCTTCTTAGTCGGTGATGGTGATGTTGCTTTCTGCTTCTTTGTCATGCCATTTTTTGTGCTTGCTTTGCTCTTTCTTTTACTCGTGCTTTTGGTTCCATTTTTACTGACAGTGGAGGCTGACTTCAGTGTCTCTGTCAAATCTCGAGCAAGACCAGCACTGATCCTGAGTGACCGTCTTGGTGCCATGTATCTCGGTAGGACTCGAAGCGTATACCAGGTCTTTTTGATAGTGTACGACGTAATATGTTGAAACAGAGCCAGGTTGGTCAATGGTTCATCCGATAGATGTATATATAGTCATTTTCGAATGGATCCTCAACGTCGGGAAAGGCACATGTTTATCAATACTGATAAATCATCCTGCTGGATGTGACGTCGAATCCCTAAGGGCATTGAAGCCTCAGGCTGCTTACTAACTGGGCGCGCTTTTGCACGCGCGGTCCCGTGCTCATCTAGCCGTTTCTAGACATTAACCTTTTACAGTTCGAAGTCCAAGTCTGAGCCAACTACTGACCTACAAAAGCCACTTAAAGCCAGCCTCAATTGACTGATAACCAACTAGTTAGCGCGAACCATGAGTGAGTCAGCGTTACTTGACGACTTCGTGATGAGAGCCGAGTCTTGCAAGGATTTTCTTATTAGCCTCCGACAGTCCCGACCCGTAGAACTATCTGATTATAAACGTACGACAGTCCTGATTGTCGATGATATATACACAGCTGCCGCGCACTGTGCGTCAAAATGAATTGATTCTACAAGCCAATCTCAACCTGATTGTTCCAGAACAAGAATCTCTCTGATGGGTAGAACCAAGGTCTTACGGGCTTACCGCTCTGGCCCCCCGTCGCAACGACCACGAGCGGCCGCGTCATGGACATGCATAATCTGAATCTTGTTTGGATGATTTATGTATGCTAGTCCAGACCATGCATTCGTCAAATTGCCTTTGCACTCATCATATCTGACTCAGCAAGCGCAGATTCGTCTTCACTTCCGGTCTTCAGACCATACAAGACAAGGATCAAGATTAGATTTTTGATGGAGCCACGAGTGATTAAACAACTTTATTAGTATCGAGGGACTAGGTCTGGAATAGCTTAGCAGTCGGGAGAACCGACCGTGGCAATTTGCGTGGGATTATTATTCATCTAAGCATTATTAGTATTATGAGTTACGACGGCGCTATCAGACGAATATTGCTTGGCCGAGGCAACTCATAATAACGTAATCCACACCCGAGCGGATCACACCACCGAGCGGATCACTCAACTCCGAGCGCGTCAAATGAGTCAACTCTCTATATTCAACGCGCCAATATGCCACCAATTCCTAATAAAAATCAATCAAATTCTCAGGAACAAGAAGGACGAATCTTATTAGCTATATCCGATTTTAAAAATGGAAAATTATCATCAATTCGTCATGCAGCACGCACTTATAATGTGCCATATACAACTCTCTCGCGCCGCCTCAATGGTATCCCAATGAAAGCTGAGATACGTGCAAATGGGCATAAATTGACTCAATTTGAAGAGGAATCGCTTATTAAATGGATATTAGATCTAGATAAGCGAGGATTACCTCCCCGACCCTCTATGGTACGAGATATGGCCAATATTCTTCTTTCTCAACATGGAAATCAAACAGTTGGCGAGAACTGGGTTTATAACCTAGTCAAACGTCGCTCAGAGCTAAAAACACGATTTTCACGAAGATATAACTACGAGCGTGCTAAATGCGAAGATCCGAAGATAATTGAGGAATATTTTGATCGCGTACGAGAGGCTATAGCCAAGTATGGAATCCTATCGGAGGATATCTATAACTTTGATGAGACTGGCTTTGCAATGGGCCTCTGCGCGAGCGCAAAGGTTATTACTGGAAGCGATCGATATGGCCGTCCACATCTACTACAGCCTGGTAATCGAGAATGGGTAACTGCAATTGAGGCAGTCAACTCTACTGGCTGGGCCTTGCCCTCGTACGTGATCTTTAAAGCTACTAAATACTCCCAGGAAGGCTGGTTTGAGACCCTTCCAGATGATTGGAAGATCAATATTAGTGATAATGGGTGGACAACAGATCAGATTAGCATGGATTGGCTCATCAATCACTTTATTCCTCATACAAATGGCCGGATAATCGGACAATATCGAATGTTAATTCTCGATGGCCATGGAAGCCATTTAACTGCCGAATTTGATCGTACATGCACTGAGAATAAGATTATCCCAATCTGCATGCCTCCACATTCCTCGCATCTCTTACAGCCTCTCGATGTTAGCTGTTTTGCAGTTCTAAAGCGACAATATGGAAAGCTTGTTGAGCAGCGGATGAGACTCGGCTTTAATCATATTGATAAAATCGACTTTCTTACTGCTTTTCCAGAGGCCCGTACGATGGCATATAAAGCTGAGACTATTCGGAATGGCTTCAAAGCAACTGGATTAGTTCCATTGGATCCAGATCGAGTTTATAGTCAACTTACTATCCGATTAAAGACTCCAACACCACCTCCTAATCCACCTAGTGATTCTCAATCATCATGCTTACAGACACCTCAAAATCCACGCCAATTCAAACGCCAATTGAGTACGATTAAGCGACGAATCAGCCGGCGTACAAGGAGCCCCTCTGAAGTTATTGATGAAGCAATTAGTCGCATGTCAAAGGCGTACGAGACCAGTATTAACGAGCTTCTTATTATACGGAAGGAAGTTCACGATTTACGAGCTGCACATGAGAAAGAGAAGCGAAAGCGTACACGATCTAAAAAGCAGATATCTCATGAGCAAGGAATTACTAGAGAGGATGCTCAGGCACTTATAAATAGGCCAATTGAGGCATCTCAAGCTCCTACTACTGCTCCGGCCGAGCCTGAGCTTCCGGCCTCTCAACCACGTGTACGCCGTCAATTTCAATGTAGTGAGTGTGGAATTTTCGGGCATAGAAGGCCTCAATGCCCTAATCGTATTACTAATTAATTTTTTGTATATAATTATTATTTCGGGTTGAAAATTGAGGTTTAAAATCTATACAAGACGCTTTCTTGGAGCTGAGTGATCCGCTCGGTGGTGTGATCCGCTCGGGTGTGGATTACGTTATGCAATAATAGCCAAAGGAGGATCGCTAGTCGAGTCCGTGGCAAACGGATATCGTAATACTGCGTATAAATTTCAGCTGTATTGTAACCCTGCTGATCAGCTGCAAGCATATGCCTAGGTGATGTACTCCGACAAGTCGACAACAACAACAGCACTTTCTTTTTCCCCTGTTATCTTTCTTTTGTTCCTATAGATGTATTTTTGATATGTCGATTGCTCTTCCTTGTTTACAATCTTGCTTCAGCAAGTTGGTTTGGGTTAGAACGGGGCCGAGTGGCCAATCAAGTTGAGTAAACTGCTTGTCCACGTAGCGCCACGTATCGTACATACATATATTACAGGACGGGGTCCCGGCACCTGATAAGCCTTTGGAGTCGCACTATGAAGGCTTGTTTTTCCTTGCTTTATCCGCCGGAGTGTTGGTCAATGGACTTCGTTTTTCTGCTCAATGGACTAGTTACCGAGCCGTTCTTTGCAGCTTCTATAAATTATACTCATAGCCATAGCACAAAGAGAGGTTACATGAGCGATCGTAGATAGATGAAACGGTAATTTACGGCGTGTTGTCTTAAATTGTCCCCTGTCTGGTCCCACTTAGCGCATGCTAGCGCATTCTGCCATTGGCCCATTCCCATGCTGGTCGCACCATTCCTCTCCTGCCCATTTTCTGCGCCCCTTCCTGCCCTGCTTTGCTCCTTCCTTCCAGGACCAGGTCAAAACCAAAACGTGCCTTCCGCCAAGTCGCGAATTCCTTTTTCCCTCCTTCATTATTTTCTTCTCAGGCACATTCCAGCTTCTCCCTCGTTGAAGCTTCCTTCTTCTTCCTCCTCTTCTTCTCCGACGCTCGTTCATCTCGCTTTGTTGTGTCCTCTTTTTTTTTTCTGTGAGTACTGTCCCCCTCTGCCCCCTTGGCCCTGCTCCCTCGCTGCGCGCGCTCTCTCTCGCTCTCCTCTGGATTCAGTCCTGACTGGAAGCCTGCTCCTTTAGTATACCGCCCTCTTAATAACCCATATCCATTAGTGAATACTCGTCTGCAGTATTTCTTTTGGTAAGTATTTTTGCTGTCTATGCTTCTTCTTTTCTATTTGGGGCAACGAAGCAAATGCGTCAGGGCGTGAGGAAGGAAAAGCATGCCGTTCATGTTGCTATGTTGTGGTGCAATGGCTTCGACTTCTCAATTCCCCTGGAATGCCCGATGGGAAACATCAAATAAACACTGATTTGCCTGGAACTTCAACCGACTAACTGGTCTTCTCCTGTCGCGCTGGCAGATCCGGATACACGACTTTCACAGAATTACGAGCACGATGTCCTTTTCCAAGTACATTGTTCCTGCCTTGTTGGCATCTGGCGCCGCCATGGCTGCCTCATGTGAGTTAAGCAATCTCTTCGCATGAATCGGCCTGGGACAACAAAAGGCCATATAAGCTGGAGAAGGCGAAGAAAAGCTGACTGCATCTAGCCGATAACTGTGGTACTTCGGGCTCGACCACCAACATCACCTCCCAGTCCGATGCCGATGCCCTCTCCTCTTGCACCACTGTCAAGGGTGATATTGCGCTCATCCCCGGCATCTCTAATGGAATTACATTCAACGGTATTGAGCAAATTACTGGTAGCTTGATCGCCACTGATGTGACCAACCTGACCTCCCTCTCTGCTCCGGATCTCACTTCCATTGCCGACGAATTCCACCTGGAGAGCATCATTCTGTTGACATCTCTTTCGTTCCCCGAGCTCACTTCCGTTGGTTCCATCAGCTTCGAGGCTCTACCCAACCTCCAAAGCTTGACCTTCACCACAGGTGTCAACAAATCTGGCAGCGTTAGCATTACCAACACTGGATTGACTTCCTTGTCTGGTATCGAGCTTGACACTGTCGGTGACTTTGATCTGACTGCTAACACTGCCTTGACCTCCGTCAATGTCAACAACATCAAGAACATCACTGGTACTCTGATCATTTCGGCTAACAGCAACAAATTGGATGTCGAGTTCCCCAACCTGGTTACTGCCTCCAACATGACCTTCCGCAACACCAGTACCATCTCCGTTCCCTCCCTTGCCAACCTCACTGGTGAATTAGGTCTTTTCGGAAACTACATCACCAACTTCACTGCCCCCAACCTGACGACCTGCGCCGATTTGGACTTCGAGGACAACTCCAAGCTTGCTAGCATTTCGCTTCCAGAGCTTGTCCATGTCACCGGTGGTCTCGCCATCTCCAACAATGCCGACCTGATGACCATTAATTTCCCTAAGCTGTCCACCGTTGCTGGTGCCATCGATATCACTGGAGACTACACCAAGTGAGTGCTGTTTGATTTTGATTTTACTGCTTAATGTCTTTCAAAGCATTCACTAACCTCTTTGAAACAGTGTGAGCTTACCTTCTCTTACTGAAGTCAAGGGAGGTTTCAACGCTGAGAGCACCGGTAACTTCTCTTGCTCTGCCTTCAACAAACTCGACGACGACAACGTCATCAGCGGTTCCTACACTTGCAACACTACTTCTCACCCCACGAACCTCGACGGCAGCTCTGGCAGCTCTAGCACCACCAGCAGCTCCTCCTCTGCTTCAGCTACTTCCAGCGGTGCTGCCGTCGGCAATGTCGCCATTCCTTCAGTGGGCTTCACCGCGCTCGTTGGTGCTCTCCTGTCTCTCTTGATGTAAAGATATTCCATGAGCGGGCCGTGATGTTTTCCCTGTCGGTCATTTATCTCGACGTCTTCTGTAAAGGCTGGTAATAGGCGACTTTGTTTTCTGTGTGTGTGCGTGCGCGTGTGTTAGTTATCTGTACTTGTGCTGTTCTGCCTCTTATCTCGCAGAAAATTGTTTACTATTACTCGTGACTGTCCTTTTTTTTTTCCCCTCTTTTCCTTATGATAATAATCCAATTCCCTTCTCTTTTGAGCGTTTGCTCTTGAAACAGACACCCATATATTTCCTTCCGCTTTTTATACATTGTGTTGAGATAGTTCATACACTATACACTTTTAGTTGGAATCCATCGTGTATGCGACCGAAAGAGTTCTAGTTAGTCCACTAGCAGTGACGTCAGGGCGGCTTTGTCCGCGTTATTTATCCTCCTTCCTAAAGCGTGAGAATTCTTACCTCAAAGGATATACGCCGCGTCCATCTGCGGACTGGTTTCAGGTTTTCCCCTTTGTTCCTTGGATGGAATATCAACTATCAACTGCCTATACTCGGCAATACGATCCTATGTTGCAACCACCGCTCAAGACACAACTTAGACTTATAGCTAGCACGCTGGTTCAAAGCTTAGGCTCCTGGGCATCTGTGGTCGTCCCGATCGAGGAATCCCGGCCCCATGGCATGAACCGTGATTTGCTCATCTGGCGTGTGCCTTCCCGCTGGTCCTCCTTCCCGTCGTCCGTCTTGCAGCATATGCTTCCTCCCGCTTCGATCTCACACTACAACAACAACAACAACAACAACAACAACAACAACAACAACAGTGTTCATCCCGACTCTCGAACTCTCGAGGATGCGTTCGTGGATCGCCACTTGCCCTCTCGGGGTTTCATGCCTTCTCGGCCTAGTGTCATGCATGCCTGCTCCGCATCCTCCGTTTTCCTTTTGAGCCTACCGTCCCGTTCACTCTCCGGTCTCAAGAGTCTGTCGAGTCAAACTGGTGGAAGAAGTCGCTACACACGAAGAATTGCAGGCAAGAGCTATTCAAATACACTCCAGCAACACTCTAGCGAACAAACAATGTTTCCCCCCCCCCCCACACCTCTCTTGACTAGAACCTGTTCGCTTTTGCTACTTCCACAGTACTAATCGCCACGCACGCTTGCATACCAAGATCCTGGTAGTGCATGCATCGTCGCATGCACATAAGATGGCCAGACTAGATTCTCGTTTGACTTTGGTCCATGGCTTTGTGGCGCCGATCTATGAATGAATGATAGGATCGGGCTTATTCTGTGGTGACAGCCGGATCCCCCTCCCGCAGTCCCCCGTATGCGGGTCTCTCTCTCTCTCTCTGGTGGGGGGGGGTGTCAGTGAGAGAGGAAACTATATAGTTACCTGAAAAAAAAAAGCTACTACTATATATGAACTTTCGAACTAGGCAAGTCCGTGAAAACTCTATCATGAGAACACGAAGACGCCGGCAGATCGCTAGAGCCAGGACCATTGGCAGATCAAAGACGACTTTATGATAAGTTATATATGGCTGGAAACGTTCTCAATAGTATTCGCAGAAAGGGGAAAGGCACGCGTTAATCTGTCAATGGTGTTTCAGCAAGGACTTCAACATGAACGTGGGAAGACGGCTCTGTGGAGCATGGATAGATGAGGAGGAGGCCTGAAAGCCAAGGCCTTGGCCCTACCCGGCGAACGCTTAGACGTTGCAGGTTGTGCACACTATCATGCATAGTAAGTAATTATTATCCTCTAATAATACAGATCAAACCAGGGTTGACTTTCCTCATTTTGCCATCGAGATCAATGGTGCAAAAGGTTGAGAAGAGAATATGACAGCTCCCAATCCATCTCCCACACCAACACGGTCTACTATTTGATCGGAGTCTGGGCCCCCTGCCACCTCGTCGGTCCATCGACGCCGGTCTAACCAACAGAACTTTTGCGGCCATTATTGACCGCGCCACTTTTTGTGAGGAGACTGATGGAGGGGAAGATGAACAAGAGTTCGTGGATGCAAGTCTCGAGCCCGTTCCCAACAATATGGTTCCTTTTCTATTCGGCCCCGCCGAGTGCCACGATTCACTGCTAGAGTTAAAGCTTGCAGAAGCACTTATGTTTACTAGTCCGGTCCCGATCGTGACTGCAGTTCAAAAAATGAGTTCTCCGGCCGTAACATCCGGTCCTAGAGGAGGGGGCTTATGGAGTACTGATGACTCGGTGGCAAACTGTCGAGCTATTTCAATAGCCTTGCGTGTGGTCGAAAGACGAATGCTTCGAATAGGACAGTGTTTGGCTTAGTCTGCTCTCTACACTACAAGACCCCCTCGCAGATTTGAGAGAGAAAAAGGAAAGCTATCTACGTTACGTATATGATCTCTCTGTTCGATGTGGGTCTATACCGTTCCTCGACTTCCTTTAGGACCCGCCAGACGCACAGCGGCTGCAAGGACATTTTTGTACCACAACGACGAGTGTTATTCCGTAAGTCTAAACTAGGCTTAAGGTCTACTCTAGCTGGCCCGAGATCGCTATGTCATGCAGTCGGTTTGTGTGTGTGTGTGTGTGTGTATGTGTGGGTAGCCTCGTGATTCGATAATGAAACCATGCTATGAGGGTTGAGCTGAAATTCCCCTGCGCTCTGGCCACAGCTTCTTTTCTCGCTTGGCTGTGCTTGGGCGTGGGTTCAGGGCTAGATTCTGGGGATTTGGGATCATGACCAAGTCCGTCTCAGACGGGGGCCACTGCGTCAACGATCGCTGCTTGGCTGCAATGCGAGTGAATGAATCTTAGAGCAACCATCGTGCCGTCATGCCCTCTCAGTGTCGACGGTGAACTTGCGTATTGGCGCGACTGTTGTGGCAATACGGTCGATGGCAACAACTCGCTAAATGGTCGAATGGCTTAATAATTGCTGTTAGAGACTCTGATCTGGGTTTACGATTGGCTTCGGACAGTGAATAATGCAAGGGGAATCCATTTTATCTGCATCGATCCAATGTAGCTGGGCACGAATCACATGCCACGGTTCCAGTGTTGCATGCAATTGCTAAATCGGGGCCACGCTCGCAGTGAGTTTGTGGCGTGGATCTTGATATACCTGTTTTATGACAGGGAATGAAACAGCGAGCATTCACTAGTCGAAGAACAGTAGGCCTTCTGCCCCAACAGGGTGCGTTCCTCAGTTCCCCGTGCGCGATAGAAGCGCGGGAAGCCTGCAGGAGGGGGAAGCCAAAATTTTGGTACCTCACATCTATCGACTTTTTCTCTCTCCTGCATGGCTTGCCTCCGCCCGGGATGTTCGCAGACTGCATGATTTGAAATCTGCGTAGTTTTTTTTTTTTTTTACCTTTTGCCGACGCGATGCAGTGTGCATTATCCGCTTTTGAAGAGCACGAAGCCGCTTACTCTAATCCGGAGGCCAAAGCGAGGGGCAAGGGGCACGCGTGTACAGCTGTGTGTGTGTGTGTGTGTTTCTTGTTCAGGGATATATAATCTGAGCTCATGCTCGACCCTGTGCATTCTGGAAGTTCAAACTCGTTCGACCTAGGTTCTCCCTCCCATGCATTGCATTCATAGATGATTATTGGTTATTAGTCCTAGAACTTTCTCCCCCCTTTCATCTTCGTGGACATATTATTTCCTTCCACCCCTTTCCTACCCTATATACGAACATGTTTGAGGATACCTGGAGTGACGATGTGTCACGGCGTTGCTCATTGCCGTGAGTTCTTTCGAAAGAAGCTCAGGAAACAATCTTAGGTACTGACAGGAATGACATGACCACAGTACACTGAACTCGTTCACTTTCCGATGCGAGCCAGAGCGACAAGAAGATCCTACGATGCGACGTTTACCCCCATTACCTCGCGTTGAGCCACTGCCTCCCGGTCCGTTCAGTAGCAAGGCCTTCACGCCAAGTTCTTATGTCCCAAGCCCCCCCAGCTCTCAAGATGCTTTCCCGGGCAAGTCAGCATGGCTCAGCAATGAGCAGCAGTCTATTGTCTCGCCTCCTTCGCCAGCCAGCTCAGTGGAACTTTCACTCAAGGATACCTTCTCCACTCAAAAAGCATTTGGCTGGCCTAACGACCTCTCATATACCGAGATTATGTCTCTAGTGGCTCCACGAAATATCAACCGAAAGCCGCCACTGCAACAACTATGCGGACGCAAGCGCAAGAGCGAGACTGTCTCCAGTGACCAGGATGATCAGCGCGAGAAACACCGCATCGCCGAGGGAAATAGGCGTAAAAACCTCAGTCAACTACATCGCGAATTAGATAGCCGTGTACACGACTTCTTCCTTGAACGCGCTGGCTGGAATCCCGGCAAGAGTCTACCCCAGTCCAAGGAGCACATTGTGCAGGGGGCTATCTTCCTAATCGACTTCATGCTTGCCATCATTGTGCACTTGCTACGACAGGAGAAAAATATCCCCGCACAACTATCGGAGAATCTTCAGGGTCAGCTTCGAAGCATGCAGCTTCAGCAGCTGGTTGCGAATCTGCAATCGCAAAACCAGGCTACGCAATACCAGATGCGGAGCCTGAAGCAAGAATATGACGAATTGCTTGATCGGCATCGCGCATTGGAGTTTAAGCTCAAGTCGTATGATCAAGTGTTTCGTTCTCCGAAACCAGAGGTTATCACACCTCCGCCACTGGCTACGATACCTGAATCGGAGGCTCAGTCTTCGTCCTCTGAAAGCCAACATGGCAAAAGAATGCTACCAGGTCTACGAGTCTTTTGTGATGAGATTGCCGCCCTGAGCCCGGAGAGCTCTGAGACTGGTCCCCATATCAACAGCAATCACAACTACTACAACAACAACAACAACATCATCATCACTGGAGGATCTCAAAACCTCGAGTTTATCCCACGCAGTATGATATCTCCGACGAGAACAATGAGTCCCACATCGCCAATGTGTCTCACACCGTCATTTTCACAACAGTCTCTGCCTTCATCTCGACGTGAGTCTGTGAACCACATGGTGTGACTGGAATGGACATGACGCCTTGATTGACAACGATATAACGAATAATGATTTGACCTTTTTTCTGCCCTGTCATCACTCGGATAAACGAAGCATGGAACGGTGGAATGTAGACAAATCCTTTTTTATACCATGCAGGATGCAACGCAATGAGTGACGCCGTTGATATTTTTCCCTTTTTACCCTTCATCTTCCCTATCTCACTTTCGGGGGAAACCCACCATGTATTACTACCTGATGATCCCTTTTTTTTTTGTTTTCTTGCAGCACATTTTTCCTATGCCCGACAAGATGACATCAATTTCTTTCGTTGAACTTACATACGATTTGTTTTTCCTTTGTAAGTATACACAAAGGCCTGTCCATACTATTTCATATTTTTTTTCGGGCTGGTCTGTTTTGATATTACATACTCATTATTAATACCTTTTCTTTGTCTATGTCTTTGGGGGTTCACGTTCATGTTCATACGTTTCTTTTTTTTTCTTTTTCTTTTTCTTTTTCTTTTTTCATATATATTAACAGGCAACAAATATACACTTATTTCTAACAAGCTGGACCCTGGAACTGGGAAGCCACGTAGCCGGACTAGCTAAAAGAACTGGTAATCTGGCATGTACTCTATATGCAGTATGTACCCCTGAAAGATACCATCGTACATATTGAGCCCACATCACATCCCTTGCATGGTTGAATGTATCCGATCCCATGAGCAGAATATGCACGTATTAATTACTCCGTGGATACATGTATGATCCGAGCGGCCAGTTTATTCAGTAGTCGTGCTCGAGGAAAAGCAGCAGAAAGACGAAGTATATATATAGAATCTTTGCTCTTGAACTCTCATGCAGGAATGTATGATGTATATTGTATGTGGTTGTAGGCTACCTACCTAGGCATTCGCAGAAATAGTCATAACGACCACGCAGGTTGCCTAGGTACATATGTACATGTGCACTTGATCCCGTCTATATGATAAGAGTTGTTTTTTTTTTTTTTTTTTTTTTTTTTTTTTTTTTTTTCCATGGCTGGCTTGACTGGTTTTCGCCGGTCGGGCTATGTACCGGTACCTAGCCCTAACCAACCTGCGGTCAAAGAGTTGGCACCGACGTGAAAGACTGGATACGCGAATAGTTAGAATAGGTTTGTTTGGGGTTCCTTTGTCTTGGTTAATTTTGGTGGGTTTCATTATAGTATCACCTGTGTCTGTGATATATATAAATGCATATAGTTAGATGCATATGAATGAATGGCTTGACACAGACAAAGCGACTCCCTGTTAAACTTCCAAGCCATACCTAACTACCTATACTTTCTTATATCAATTATCGACAGGTTTATTATCTTATACTAGCATTAGTGTATATAATAATGAACGGGCATGTGGCAAATAATAAATTAAACAAGCTGTCACGGGCGGGCATCCCGCTAAGCCCAGCCCAGCCCGGCCCATCTCTCCCTTCTCGACTTCTGTCCATCCGTCTCCATCTCCATCTCCCATCATCGAGACCAACCGACTGAGACGCCCCCTTCCTCTATCTTCTCTTCGCTCTCTTCGCTCTCTCTTTCTCCTCCTTGCCGCCGTCTGCAATACCGCCCGTCCGTTCCTATACCCTTCGTCGCTCGCTTTGATTTGAAACGCAACCAAGATTAATCATTCCACTCCGGATCCTCGGGGAAGTCTAAAACAAACAACTACGTACCTACCACATACATCCAACTTCGAAGATATTTCCCTGGCAGGTCGATCTCATCCTTTGATCTGTACCACGCATTTCACTCTCGACTTGCGGCCGTGCGAGTTCGCGGTGACGAGGTAACAACAGGGAACAGGGAGAGATAGTATATATCTTTGCATGATGTTGCTTCCCAAGGGTGGCGTGAATTGGAAGGCGGCTCGCGCGAGATTACCGCCATGGCGAGCGATCATAGTCTTGTTAACTCGCACCCGGTTCCTGGTCTCGATTGCCGTCACGGGGCTGGTCATTCTTTTATGGCGCGGCATTAGTAGTTCGGCCGCGGAAATGCAAAGGTATGATGATCCTTTTGTTTTGAAGCCTAGTAGGCGAGGAGAGAAATACGGGGTGCTAATGCCTGGTGGCTCAGCTTTTATTGCTACGGGCCTTCAAAATCGCCAATGCACATGACAATCAATGAAATGAACGAGTGGAACGCACATTTACAAACTCCTGTAAACTTCAACCACCATGAACCGTACGACGTGAACTCAACCTCAATATCGCTCGTCGATCTCAATCCTATCAAGTCATCACCTAAAGCCGCTGCCAACGGAGAACGGGTCTTGATTCTCACGCCGCTACGCGATGCATCCCCTTACCTCCCAAAGTATTTCGACCTCCTTTCTGAATTGACGTATCCCCACGACCTCATTGATCTTGCCTTCCTAGTCGGTGACTCGACAGATGACACTCTTGCGGTTCTCAGCTCTGAACTCAATCGGATTCAGGACCAGGTTGAGGAGAAGATTGCTTTCCGTAGCGCCACCATTGTCCAGAAGGACTTTGGCTCTGACATTGATATGGAAGTCACAGAGAAGCATTCGTTTGAAGCCCAAGGGCCGCGCCGCAAATCCATTGCGCGCGCTCGCAATTTCCTCCTCTACTCTGCCTTGAAGCCCGATCATTCTTGGGTCTACTGGAGGGATGTTGACATTGTCGACAGCCCGAAGAAGATTTTGGAGGACTTTATGGCCCATGACAAAGATATCCTCGTTCCCAGTGTGTCTTCACTCTCTCTGTCGCCACAAACTTCAGTAACCCTGGCTAACAATTATGATAGACATCTGGTTCCATCGTTACGAGAATGGAATTGATATCGAGGGTAAATGTAGGTTGATTCCCCTTTGAACCGCTACCTTGTCATAAAACTGACCCAATACAATCATAATAGTCGACTACAACTCCTGGATCGAGTCAGATAAGGGCCGTCGGCTTGCCGACTCCCTTCCTAAAGACACAATTCTGGCCGAAGGCTACAAGGAATTCGACACAGGTCGCACGTATCTGGTGAAATTTGGTGATTGGCGAAAGAACAAGGACGAAGAAATTGAGCTCGACGGGGTGGGAGGAGTGAATATTTTGGTGAAGGCTGATGTCCACCGAGCTGGTATGCCCTAATCTTTTTAGCCTGCTTGCCGTTCGTATCTGCTAACATTTCTCGATAGGCATCAACTTCCCTGCCTATGCATTTGAGAACCAAGCCGAGACCGAGGGATTCGCTAAGATGGCTAAGCGAGCTGGCTACCAAGTAGTCGGTCTTCCCAACTACGTTGTCTGGCACATTGATACCGAAGAGAAGCCCGGTAACCTTGGCGGGCGCAAAGCATATTGATCATACATCTACAATTCGCCACTATAACTATTTGACGTGAATGAAGGAAAGAACAAGGGAGGGGGCAAAAGAAAAAGAGAAAAGGGCACACCGCTATCGTCTTTTTTTCCTGCCGCTTGTGTTGTGATACCCACGACACCGAAACAACGCAGACATGTCTGATACCTGGCATATTCAATTGTCCGATAAACAACCTCGCGGAATCACGTCGCGGTTTAATGATACGGTAATATAAAGACCTTTCTTTTTTCGTCGCACTGTAGGATTCAGAAGTGTTTCCTATCTTCCATACCTTTTTTTCTACTGGCGCTTCGGGTAAACTATGGCATTTGATTCTTCTTTTTGTTCTTGTTGTTTGTAACCTCGAGTGTGCGACGTTTTTATACTTTGATCACCTTCTATACTTTCTCATAGCCCTTTGACAAGGTTTCTTAATTTGTTTCTTTAACATTCTGGCTATCCTTGGTCTTTACGAGGACTGGCGCCTTGGTTTTTGTTTCTATTTGTTTTGTTGTGTTTTTCTTCTTCGTTTCTTTATTTTCAGAGAAATATACTGGTCGACTGCCGTGTACAGCGACATGATGTTCTGGGTATCGTTTATATAGTATGGTATATAGCCTGGTAGAGAACAATCCCGGTGACGGAGACAATGCCGACATCCCCCACCCGAATTAACTCGCCCCTAAGGCAATTGAATCAATCAACGACAAGTTGGCTATCCCCGCATCATCTTCAAGTCTTCGACAGTAGCATATCCTTTCTCTCCGTCTCCAATGCGCCCTGGCTATTCTTCCACCCTGGCTACTACTACTTCTACTTCTCTACGAGCCTTGCGACCTTTCACCGCATTCCAGCACCTCCACAGACCAAAACAATTACCACATTCACTGCTATTCCCGCAGGGCCGTCATTATTCTTCTTCAGCTCCAAAAGCCATGAATATCGAACCCAGCAAGCGGGAATGGCTGTGCATTATTCCTGACAAACCTGACCGGCTTGCCAAGAGGCTGGAGATTCGGCAGTACGTTGGGCGCGCCTGTCCTGATCAATTACAGTTTTTATAGTAATGGCTGACTTTTTTTTTTTTTTTTTTTTTTTTTGTTTTTCGACATAGAACTCATTTGGCAAATTTGAAACCCCTTCTTGAAGCTAAAAAACTTGCTTTTGGCGGTATGTTCCTAAATTCAATGTTTTTTCTTTTTTTTGAATACCTTGGCTGAACAAAATTACCAGGACCCATGTTCCATGATGCACACCCTGTTGCAGGCCAGGCCCCTCAATTCAAAGGCAGCACCATGATATTTCGCGCTGCTACCGAAGCGGAAGTGCGCGAGACCCTCAGGAATGATATCTATGCTACCTCTGATGTGTGGGATTTGGAGAATACGCAGATTATTCCGGTGAGTCACCTTTCTAAGAAGAATATGCTTCTGATACTGAACTTTCCGTAGGTTTTGAATGTTATCAGCTAGGCACTGAGAGTAGAATAGTACCTGGTATATCATTATGCATGAATAGTATATAGTATGTACGGTCTTAAGTATATCAGATATGCGCCCATCCGTTCTCAGCCAACACGTGCATCTCATTCACTAGACAGAAACTTCCCTTTTCCTCTCTTCCTTCCATAGTCGTCGTCTGCCACTCTTTCACTCGACGTGAAACAGCCTTTCGCTTGAAACGATCCGTAGTAAACCACCGACGAAGACGACTCTCCCACGTCCATCTCCAGATTCGCCATTTACTACTGGTCGAAGAAGATGACGATGGCCACCCAGGTGCATGCACGTATTCGTAAGCTTTGCCGTCGTAGCCTACTCGCACATTTGGGTTCAACCATACCCCCTTCTCGGCGGAGAGGGGGTTGTCGGCGTGGATAATACAGCATTCTGAGCCCTCAAGGTGGTATTTGGCTAGACTGTCTGGGATGCCGCGGAATCGGAGTGGGTGTGCAGTGTCATAGAAAGGGGCAGAGTCCATTATGACTTTGTACATGTCAGTCAAATACTTAAAGTCTCGTGGAATGCGTTTCCCGTTCCCGTGTAAAATGGGTAAAAGGAAAATAAAACTAACCCATACTGTTCCAACAGCTTCGCACTGGAGTCGCCTCGCCATGCTCAAGTGCTTGTCGAGATTGACTGGCTCGAAAATACGGCCATGTCTGCATCATCACCTCATGGCCTTCAACGTCACGGAGGGCAAACGTGTCGTAAAAGTAAGGTGGCTTGGAAAAGTCCAATGCGCAGGCTGCCGCATAAGAGCCATGATTTGTGTTGAGGAGGGTGTAGAAGTCGTCATTCTGTGCTCTCCTTTAGCTACTATAATGCTCGCGAGGAGGAGAGGGGAGGGAAGGGGGGTGAGCTTACCGTAAAAACGACATCATTCAAAAACAAAATCTTATCAAACCGCATCCCAAACTTGCTTTCGAGAGCAACCAAGGGCTTCAAACTATCGTTCCTCTGCTTTGACAGAAACGGTATCCTCCTCAACTCCTTGCGCCCTCGCGACGTGTAAATCCAGCCATCCTCTTCCTCCTCCTCCTCCTCATCCTCTTCCCCCTCTCCATCTCTCTTGCCCTTGTCCTTAGGCACTTTGGCAATTTCATCCGAATGTGTCGTTTCACTCATGCTAATGCTGCGTTTCACTCCCATCTGGCCCAGTGCATCATCGAGGTCATGGAGGGCATTTTTGGTGCCATCCCAGCTGCCACTCTCGATAATCGAGACAAATACATTCTCCGGACCCAGGGATTTGACCAGTTGGACCAGCGCCGTGTTCCAGTGCGACCTTAGGATAGCCTCGTTGTTCCAGTGCGTGCTAGATATGAATATGCGCTGTTTCCCCCCCTTTTGCGTCCCTTCTCCTTCGCCACCAACCAATTCAATGCCCGAATTCGACTGACCAGCAGCCGATATTGTGTTGTTCGCGCGGTATATGACCCAGGAAGTGTCGGTTAGAATGCCGAATATGGCCAAGATGAGCAGCCTGCCCAGAAGCCGCCTTATGCGCGTGTTTAGAAAGGGCATATTTTTTTAAAGTTGTATCTCTCATTAACGAGGCTTGCTTGATACTCAGATCATCGAGGAATGTACGTATACTCTTCCGAGTACCGTGGGATGCTCTAGATGCTCCTAGACCGCGCATCAAATGGGTAAACACAAGGGTATATGCGCATAAAGAAACGAGCGGATGATGATGAAGGTATAAAATGGGCACCTCAGTTCTGTTCCATCAATTTACCCAATATACTTGGGCAGTAGTCGATATCAAGAGTGGACTTGAACTAAGAGCTGATGTGGACGATCATCGATGCGGAACAAACATATCAAATAGCTTCTTTTGGTTAGCGTGTATCGTAGTCATCCATCTCAACTTCTCAAAGAAAAGACTCTCGAACCCATTGAAAGAATGTATAAATAAGGGCCGAGGAATTAATCTATAAATTTAGTAAACATAGCTAGTGTAAAAGAAATGTACATGTATGAACAGAATGAAAGTCTAATGCAAGAGGGAATCAAAGACACGCAAACCGAGTTTTGGCATATATACAAAAAAACGATCTATATACAAGCAGAATAATCACGCTACAATGCCAAACTTGCTTTTGAAAGAAAGCCACTTCTCATAAGCCAGCAATTTCAACTCCACGCGCATGTATGCTGTGAACGCGGACAGGAAGCGGTACAGATTGCCGAGTTTCAATATACTGCCGTTCTGAGAGACGAATTCCATCTGCTCTTCGAATACGGCTCTGGTGGCGTACCGTGCGAGAATCAAGAATGTGCGCACTGGGCCTTGACGAGTGTGTAGATTCTCGTCGAGGCTTCGGGCTGTAGGAAAAGAAAAGTCTTAGACCCTATTAAGAAAGAAGAGGTTGCTGAAAAAACTACTCACTGAGATCGTTCGTTTTGAGAATCAAAAGAATGACACGAGGCACTCTACCGAGAAGGTCAACTAATTGCTGAAGCATCCCTTCACCCAGAGCAGAAGTGACGTTACTCTTCTCCTGCGTATTATCCCGCGAAGACACGATTCTGTTCTGAGAAATCACCGTAAAATCTCGACCGGTGATTGCACTCGCGAAAATAGGGAAAAGTTCATCGGTTACTCCCGCAACTTCATATGCGTATTTGCGCATCTTCTTCTCATCGCCCTCGATCACCGAAAGCCACAGCTTCGCGTAATTCCGCCGTAGGTCCTGAGGAATATCTCGGTACAAGCCGTGGTCGTATAGAATAATATCAAAGTTGGGTTTGCCACGGGTGTCATTCTTCCGGATAGCGATGTTACCGCCATGAGGGTCACAGTGCAAAGGAGCATTGTCCCCGAAGATCATTTCATTGAAAATGTGCGCAAATGCCGCTGACACTTCATCACGGTCAATCCCGTTCTTGTCGAGGAACTCCAAATCATCGGGACGAGATCCAGAAATAAATTCCATGACCAGAATCCGTTTCTCAGCCGACATGACTATGCAGTTTATAACGTTAGCTACATGTTAAACTGTAAATAGGTAGAACGAACAGAAGCGAACTGACCTTCAGGAATCACCAGCGGCATATCGGTATGCTGCTTGAAATATGCCTTCGTTCGCATCGCGTTTTCAGCTTCATGCCGAAAATCAAGTTCCATGGGTAAAGACAAATCCATCTCTCGTGATAGCCATTCCAAATCATATTCAGGGAAAAACCGCTTGAGCGTGGAAAATGTAAGTCGAGTCAATGCTAAATCCAGAGGCACCCATTCTGCTAGAACAGGATGCTGAACCTTCACTGCTACTTTCTGACCCGTTTCCTTGAGCGTTGCGACGTGGACCTGGGCAAGTGATGCAGCGCCTATAGGAGTGGTTCCGAATGTCGAAAACACTTCCTCAATTGGTTTTCCTGTATCCGCTAGGAACATTGCTTGGATTGACTCGAAAGACGAAACCGGGCACTTGTCCTGCAGAGGAATGAAAGTTGTTGTCCATTCTAGCGGAAGAAGATAGCCCATACTGCTCAGATGTTGGCCTAACTTGATGAATATAGAGCCGTTCTTCTCGAGAACCACCAGCGTACGCTCTGCACATCGTTTGTGACACGCTTTTAGCATCGCCTCTTGCTCCTCCGCAGATCCACTCGATTGGTTGAGAGTTGTCCGATAGCTAGTTAAACACGCAGAAAACGACGTTAACAAATGTATATTTCTCGAGGGAGGGGAGAAGAATTAACGGAACAAGGCTTACTCATTAATGCAAATTGCGAGAGTGGTAACAACTCTGGCACTTCTCTCAGCAGCCGCATAGCCATGTTTTATATCATCCCAAAACCCAACCAACGCAACACCTACAGTGCCTCCAGCAGCTGCAAGTTGTATAGCGGTCCGACTCCTGAATCTCCATTTCGGCTCGACAGGCCCTGGACTAAGACCCCTCTTCCATCTCGGTGCATTTGATTGTCGCAGAGGAGTGGAATGAATTGCTCGTCTGGCCGTTGTATTCCCAGACGACCGAAACTGCCGCTGATGTGTCCAGCATCTCCTACAGAAAGACCATGTGTTGCGCGTTTGCGAGAAAGGCGACGGCGACGGCGTTGAAAGGAGTCGCCGAGGAAGAGCGGGTTTCATGGCCTTCGTTCAAGACCAGCTGAGCTGTTTGCTGTCTGTTGTTCTCGCCTATCACAGTTCCCCTGACTGTAGAGTTTCCATAAATAACCAATCTTTATGCGAAGGATTTAGATATCTTTTGACCCCGAGTGTAAGATCATTTATTGTTGTTTTGAGGGTCAAGAAACGCTACTTGGATCGCAGCGAAATCGTTCGGGAGGGCACCAATGAGGCCCGGGGGGGGAGGATGGATTGCTCGAGGGGTAGCGGATAGAAAGAAGGAATATTTACAGAAAGAGAAAACGAAAAGGAATTCGAGAACCCCGAAAAAGAATGTCGTCGCAAAGTCGACTGCAGCGGAAGAACTTTCGGGAAGGGGAAAACGTTGAGATGCGTGACCAAAAAGGGTAAATCAGTTTTTCCGGCTTTCCTCCGGTCTAACCCTAAGCGCGTCTTTTGCCGCGGAAGTTTGACTGTCAAAATATAGCACTCGCTGTTCAAAACATTATTAATGTATCCAGTTATGCTTATGCTAAACGCCATTTCCAGTTCTCCTTCTGGAAGTTTGGTTGGTTTTAATGGGTATCCCGACAGGGAAGACAAAATCAACAAGCAGGCACTGAGGCTGTCACCTCGGTACAATAACCCTCCCTCCTTGTGACGCCCGTTCTATGCAACAAGATAGTAAGAAATATAAACTCATCATGCCAATTATCTGATCATGATGTCTGAAGGCCGTAAGGGTATTCAATAGGGTAGGCAAAGTAGAGAAGGAAAGGAAAAGCAAGAAAGGAAGGAAGGTATTTTTATCAAGACCATTCAATGTCATTATTCGTTTGACGTCGTCGTCGCGCATTGATTGCCGATGGCGGCCGGTTTAACGAAGAAGGAGATCTCGTGTCGTCTGATTGCAAGGAGCTGACCAAGGATAGCCGACTGTTCATGGCTCGGGGTACACGGCTGCGGGCAGCTGCATGGCCCACGCTATCTCCTAATCCTACTGCCGAAGCGCTGCCGTCTCTAGTCACCGGCCGTAGGCTTTTGCGCTGATGCCGGGGAGATTCAGGAACATCAAAGAGGCCCCTTGAGGGCTGCCCAGGTCTCAAATTCGGAGTAGTAGGCCGTGATAGGTTAGCACCTGATGCCTGAGATAGAGCAGACGTGCTTGTCCGTCTCAAAAGTGGCCTTCTTTTGGCACCTGCTAAGCTATCCAAGAGCTCGCTGGACTTGAGAAGTTTACCAGCCATGTCTCTTACAAGAACTGCCGGATCATTCTCAAGCTCTCCGATGGCATCCAAAAGGCCACAACGCGCGAGTAAATCGCCCTGTTCCTCCGTCGAATCACAAATGCTTGAGAGAATGCGTAGTAAATTCAAACGTACAGCCGCCTTGTTATGATGAAGCTTCTGACGAATGCGTGTGAAGAGATCCGCCCGGGCGAGGGTCGATGCGACGGGGGGACTGAGCCGTAAGAGCTTTTGAAGAGGCTCTAGCAGATTTTCAAATGCATTGGCTTTTGAAATTGTTAGGCATTTCACAATCGAATCAGTGAAAGACAAGCCGTCAGCACGGTCTTCCAGCAGGTGCTCCTCGACCTTGGCAGTTTCTTCTTGAAGCCTAGATTATCGCTTTTAGCTCTACCCAACATCGGTGGCCACACATTCTTTGTACGACAATGAATGAACTTACCATGCAAAAATGGCGTCTAAGGCAGTAACTTGCCAGTAAGGATCAGATAGTAATGAGATATAAAAGGGCAACCCCTTATTGCGCCATAGTTCACGGCGGCCGACTCTCCCGGAATGAGCCATATCACAAAGAATGGGAAGCGCGAACTCTTTCAATGGACGTTCGGTTTTCACAATCTTTTGCAGAAGAGGAATAATACCATTCAAAGCTGCATCTTCCTGGCGTGGCTTGCTCAGACGGCACATATTATATATCGTATTCAAAATCTGATTCGACACTTCCCGAAAATGAGGTTGTTTCATGGTTGAACGCAGCAGTTCTGTAAGAACATCAATGGCATTAGAGTTCTGTAGAGACTCTAGTGTGGTAGACAGCATGGAGAGATTTTTGATGAATTTTAGCATCGTTATTTGATGCGTCGGAGTCATGCGTCTTAACTCCTTTAGTACTCCTATTGTAGTCTGTCAGCTTCTGGTTCTTCAAGTAAGAATGACCACGCTGCTGTCATGCTTACTGTGTAACACGGTCCTTTCAGCCACCATTTCCTTGACATGGTTTTCTGCTTGGGAGAATATGAAGAAAATATTGGCTATACGGCCCTCGCTGATCTTGGCCAATTCTTCATCTTCGTCAAGGACCCTGCTCAAGACAAGCGACAATGGATCTAGCACTGAATTTCTCGACAAAATTCTGCAAAAGTCATTTTTAGGAGTCGAGCCCTGAGTTTATTAGCGCTCTATGGATCAAATAGAGTTCGATACGTATGGCACTTACCTGCAGCTCAAAAACGCTCCATATACCATTGACGCCGATCAAAACAAGGTCGCGTTCATCCTCATAGTCGTCTTCGAGAAAGTCAACCAATACGTTGAGTCCACCGGCGCTGACGAACATTTGCAAATTCAAAGTCGAGGACTGGTACATTTGTTGCACAAACGTTGCAGCCTCTAAACGAATTTCTCGAGGGTACTTTTTCGATGCGAATTCATTGATAATTGGTATGCCACCAACAAAACATAGATTTTCCTGTATCTCATAATCATTGTAAATGATTGAGTTTATGATTTTGAGTAGGTTGGAAATGATATCTCGACGCCGACATCCTTCTAGGATTTCCAACATAGGAAGCATGCCATGAGACCCGATGATGATCGCCTTTGTTTCTGGCAAATCGCAGAAAATATCCAGTAGTTGCTCAGAAATGTCGGCTAGTACGTCGTCATCCTGTGACGTCTTCAAGGAACTCACAAGTCCCTCGATTTGATTACGTAGACGAGCGTACTTATCCCGGGCAATGTTGGTTTCTAGATCCATTTCATCGAAGCCTTCCTCCAGTTGAGCAAAAGGATCGTCCTCATCATCCTGGTCTCCTAGCCAGGAGTTGTTCGAGAGTTTAGATTGCAGCATCAATGTGCTTCTATCCGAGCCATGCTCGCTGGCCGGTTTGGCAAGGGTACTTTCTTCGTTACCGAATATGTCTGAGAAATCCTCATCGTGCTCATCCTCCGCAAACTTTTGTATCTCAATAGAAGAGCGGCTACGTTTGATAGAGCCCCGAGCCCTCGAACGAATGGGGAGAGTTTGTTCGCTGTTGTCCGAGTTGATGTCGCCAGTGTATTCATCTTGTTGAGACGATACCAGCAATGAAGTCCTGGGAGTATTGTCGTCGACTTCCTGGTATATAATGAGTTTCAATGGCATTGATTGAAGAGAGAGCGCGAGAGGGAGAGAGAGAGAAAAAAAGGGGAAGGGTTCGTCAACATACCGAGAATAACCCAAGCTTACGTTCCAAAACATCATCATTAGCGACTATAAGATCTGAAAAGTCCTCCTCTGCGCTCTCCGAATAAAACGCTGCTGGACGGGTCTGCCGCAGTGGCTTTGAGGGAGAAAGCACCGGCTTATTCCCAAGAACCTGGACACCCGAAACAGCGGCAACACCATTGCCTGATCTATGGCGCGAACGAGGTCTGAGGAGGTTTGGCTTATTCTCATCTGCCACTCTGCGTGGTAATGGCCGGATGGTCTCGAGTGGATCAGAATCCATAGGCTCTGTAGAACTCCCCAGTGTAGTTTCATTGTCTGAGAAGCTACCTAATGTATCCCTCATTGTTGTTCCGTCTAGAGAAGCAAATGCCTTCAATCTCTCCGATGAAAGTAAGCCTCCAAGGTGGTCATGTGGCCGCAAGTGCGGGAGATCAAGAGCACGCGGGGAGATGGCTGAGTCAAAATCGTCATCCCAATTATCCTCGGGGTCTGGTGAGCGGAACTTGTCTGGAGCATTTCGATTTATAGAAGGGGATGTCAAATCTTTGGTGCGTAGTCCTGTATTTAGGGGATCAAGGCGTGGTAGGCCAGAATTGTGATGATCAGTCCGAACAGACCTTCTTACTGTCGTCGAGTCGGGGGAGCGAAGAGCTTCATTCCATTCCTGGACACTCTTAACTGCTTCTTCGTATTCAGTAGGCTTCTTTGGGACCACTGACTCTGATCGATGTGCGTTAACTATCCAAGGATGTTTCAAAAGTTTGCGAGCAGATACACGAAGATTGGGATCTTTTTGGAAACATTGCATCAAGAAATCTTTTACTGCCTGTATAGTTCGTCAGAAAACGCATCAAGGTCATAAGGAGACAAAAAAAAACTTAGCGTACAGGCGACGCTCCCTGAGGTAGTGGGGGATGATCATCATTTACTATACGGAAGAGCGCAGGCATAGGCTGCAACTTGTGGTATGGAGGCTTCCCATCAAGAAGCTCAATCACTGTACAGCCCAGACTCCAGATATCCGATGATGTCGTCGCTCCTGAGAGCTCAATGACTTCGGGTGCCATCCAATACGGAGTGCCGACGACGCTTGATTCATGTAGGCCCGTCGTGCGACTGGCCACTCCGAAATCTGCCAACTTGACCAGCCCCTGTTTTGTGGTGAGTATATTCGCACCTTTAATGTCTCGATGAATTACACCTTGATCATGAAGATATAAGAGACCTTGCAAAACTTGGGACATATAAAGGGCCACAAGATTCTCAGGAAAACGACCAAAGTTTTTCGCGATACTATGTAACGAGCCGTTTTCACAGTACCTAGCTGAAGCTTTAGTATATGCAGCCATATCTGCGTTATCATTTCCAGGGAGATATACTCAAGGATTATATTGAGCGTATCTGGAGTTTTCACAAAGCCATGGTATTTCACAATGTTGGGATGCTGCATCGTTCGAAATAGGTCAGTATTCCATTCGTACTTAGCATCCACACGGCAAACTCACGTCTAAAGCCTTCAAAAGGTCGATTTCAAGCTGTAAAGAAAAGAGGAACTCGAGTCAGCAGTCATGTTCTGGAGCGGCAGATAGGTTTGAGTATCAGGCACACACCATGATAACCCTCAATTCGCTCTTTGGAAGATCGGTCAATTTTATTTGTTTCACGGCAACTGTCTCTCCCGTATTCCAATTAAGCGCTCGATATACCGATCCAAAAGCGCCCTTTCCCAGACAATCCCCCAGTTGCTTCACATTCCGTTAGTACAGGTGCTTGAAATGGTGCGGGAAGTCATATTGAGTACATAATCCTTGAGCTCAGAATCATCTTTCGACAGAGATTTCGAGTGCCTATCCTCCCGTTTTGTAGGGCTCGTCCCTGACCTTGCTAAGCGTGTCTTTGCCGGTGTGCCAGGGGTACGGGATGACGGGAGGTGCGTCTCCTCGCCCTCGTTGGAGCGGCTGACCATTTTCCTTGTAGCAACAACACGGTAAGACGGTCTTCAGAGCGTGTGGGAACAATGGCGTTCGGTGTTGGCGACCCCCCGGTTAACGAACGTAATCCCAGATGAGCGAGGCGGACTGCGGGCGAAATAGTAAACACGCGGGGAAGCGGCATATCAAGTAGGACAGAAATTATCGCAGTGTCGTACGCTCAACGTATCGTTTGGTAAGGCAATTCTGGGCCCATCGAGGATTGTATTTGGCCGAACGTGACTAAGGCGAAAGAAAAGCGTGTGTGGTTGTGTGTGCGTGCGTGAAAAACCATAAATCGACCTCGTATTGTTTGTTGACTCCGGGTGGTATACGATCGGGCGAGAATTGAGACCTGACGTGCTCCTGTTGCAAGGTCGTTTCAAGTCATGTTGCACAGGCAAGCTGGATCAAAAATCTCAAATGAGTAAATCCTGCACGCAACGATTGTCCTATTAAAACATCCAGCGTCTGAACGGCACTTACCGGCAGATAGTCTGGGGAGAGAGGATGTGCTCTGAAAACAACGCTGGGAAGGCGGGTTGTGTCTCCGCACTAGCTGGCATGACGCAGGCGGGTATAGTTAAATATTGCCCACTCATCCCTCACAGGCACAGCCCTAACAGCACACCGCGGCCCGCCGATCTCAGAGAGTACAATACTTCTTGGGTTAAGTTTATTTAATTGTGCTATTGTCTATAGTCAATCTTTCTGTACAGATGCATAGCATGCTCTATACAAAATTAAAGTGATGTATGTACATCCCACACTCCGTCCATATTCAGGCCCGGTTATTGTTTGGCACGAAGGAGTCGGAAGATGTCAGATACCAAGTACAAGCTGCCTGCAATAGCCAAAGGCCCCTGATTCGCAGAGAGAGATGCCCATGCGAGGGCCGACAGAATATCGGCCCCGAAAGATTCAACTTGCCCAACGCCAGGTATCGATTTAGCATGCTCAGCAACCGTTGCTGTATCTGTAGCTTTCACCCATGGCATGCCATCAACAGGGCCAAAAGCAACAACCGCAACGTTGTCTCCAGGGTGGATCAGAGGCTGCAAGAGTTCCGACAAGTCTTTCCCCTGGGAAACAGCCACCACCCAGGTCACTGGCAGGCCTTGTTGGCGGAGTTTACGATTAACAAAGTTGGCAAGGACATTCGATGACTGAACATTATGGGCTCCATCGAGAAGCACTGGCTCGTCACGATCAACCAAGGCTTTCAATGAAAGGAGCTGTAGTCGACCTGGCCATTGGATTTTTGAAAGCTCTGGAACGAGGTCGTCCACTGTTTTGGGGGATTTGATTTGCTCCAAGGTTTTCTGTAGTGCCAATGTGGCGCAGGCGATATTCGTTCGTTGATGTGGTTCCAGGTCAAGATCGCGGAACAATGAAACAAGACTAGGGAATTGTCGGCTTGCTATATCTTGCGTTGCCATCGTGGCATCAATGCCTAGCTCCTGAATTCGAGATTGAAGCACCTGAAGTACCTCAGCATCATTGGTGCCGTCAAAGACGCACGGCACGCCGTCTTTTAGAATGCCCGCTTTCTCATTGGCGATAGCTTGTATTGAGTTCCCTAGAAACGCTTCATGGTCACGGCCAATCTTGGCAATCACAGACACGAGCACATTTGACAGAATGTTTGTAGCATCGAGGCGACCGCCCATTCCAACTTCCACAACGCCTATCTCGACATGTTCCCGGTCAAAGATTTCGAAGGCGGTCGCGGTAAGTAGCTCGAACTCAGAGGCGTCGAGGCCTAACGATTGGTTGCGCTGTTTGATCTGCTCCTCAACCTGCCGAAATAAAGATTCCTGGATGACTTTATCATTGATGGTGATGCAATCCCACCGGTCAATCAAGTGCGGGGAGGTAAAACGGCCGCACCGGACACCGGCGGCCGTCAAGAGACCAGAGACATAAGACGTTATCGAGCCCTTGCCATTAGTACCGGCAACATGAACGGCCTTCCAGGTAAACGCGGAGTGCTGAACAAGGCGTGAAATACGGGAAAGCCCTAGTTCAATCATGTCTCCGTCTGAGTGAATTGTTCTCGGTTTAGGACATGCGGTCTTTGGTGTTTGTCGATTCGAGTCATCGTTCGGCGGCTGCGTCAGTCGCAAATAATGAGTATATAAAAAGCCTATGAAAGGACAAAGACCCGCTCACCAATTAGAGAGTTATAGGTCGAGGGCTTGTAGCTCAAAGCCATGGAATGAGTCGAAGAGCCATGACAACTACCATAGCCTGAGCAGGACAATGTGGGAGTTGATAGTTATGGATACTGCCCTCGGCGGCCGATAAGAAATTATCGATGCCTGTGATTTCAGGCGGCCTACTGTATTAGATAACCCTGGCCAATCGGATGAGGCTGCCCCTCAAGCCATCGCAACGAATACATCCAAGAAGAAAAAAGCCTGCGTCGACAACAATTGCGCCTCGGTTGTTACCCAGAGATCTGACCTGTCCTGTCAGCGCAGGGCTCGCCTTTCAGCGACACACGCCGTGCCTATACCAAGTGCTCGACTGTGATTCAGATTGCCCCTAACTAAATCTGATGCTCTGATTGGCTGTCGCCGTCGGTCGCATTTTTTCGCGCTGTCTCGCCTTATCCGCCCTCGCCGCCTGCCAGTTACAGTAACTCCTCTTTGCCGCCGTTTTTGCCAGCCACACGTCTCTCCTTGAACCTCCTCCCCTTACTGTCATCATATCGCGTTCTTGATTATACTCTTGCGCATCGTGAGGGCGAGAATTTTTTTTTTGCTGCTTATTCTATTATCTCGAGTCTCTGGTGTTTTTGGACTTCATCATGGGCATTCCGTAAGTTGTTACGGGCCGCGCGCGGTCGCGGTTGTCACGCGCCAACTCGTTGCCTTGTGGCCTGAGCCGAATGTGAGGCTTCCAGCGTTAACTTACTGACTGTTCGCCATGTAGTTTGTGGCGTGAACCCTCTCCTCCAGCGCCAAAGAGCTCCGTCAAGAGTGATCCTTGCGCTCACACTCGGTCGTCCATCCGCCGCCGAGGAGCCGTGCGACATGTCTCGCGCGCCAATGCGAATAGCGTATCCCCTCGTTCATCCTTGTCTGTTCCTCACCCCGAGAATAGCCAGTATGGCCGGTCCATCCTTCAAAGCCCATCGCTAGATGAAGTGGCTCTGTTGGATCCCGTGAGGGATAGCGTATCTGATGATTCTACACGGCGAGAGCTTGGCTCGCGGCTGTTACGGGATGCTCTCAGGCACCGCCAACCTGGCCGACGTCTTCGCATTCCACGCGAGTCTTCGCTGCGCTTCGAGATGCCCAGCCCGCCGTGGTCACCAAACGAACCACCGCAACGCTCATCCATGGGAGATTACGCCAGGATACGACCGACAACTGACAGTTTTCCTTTCTCGCCTAGGTTTGCGCCTGCCTATGCATTCCGGCGTGAGAATTCAGTTACTCCAGCTCACCCTGAAAGGCCAGCATCGCACTCATCGACTCCAAGGCCGCCACTGCGCACAACTGAAGATGGACCAGCACCTAGTGTACGATACCTACGTCGTGTCGGTCATCGATCAGTCGGTGAGACTAATGGAAACACAACTTCCTCGCGACCAGAAATTGATGGTCTGGGCGACCGGCAACGTAGTGCTAGCCCAGATGACGATCTGGACAATGCATGGGAGACACTTCTGACAACACTGGCGCCGGATCCCAATTTGCCCAACGCTGACGCTGATTCATCATTTACGTCGACCGGTGCTCCAGCGCCGACGAATCATAGCCGTGCTACTGACTCTACTCGACGAAGTCACCCCTCACAGACATGGCAGATCCCATTAGGGCCGTCAGCTACGGTACATATGGTTCTGGATCCCTACCCTGAATATCTAAATCCCTGCGACCTTCCAGATTCTGCCACGGGTTCAGATACAGAGGCTGACTCGGATCTGGAATTACGACGATCAGGATCTCGCCAGCGTCGGCATTTGCGGGCTCGACTCCTTGACTCTGCATCTGCCCTTGGCTCCACTCAAGACAGTCAGCCCCCGATTCCAATATTGTCGCGGTCATCGACATTGCCGTCCATTTCTTCTTTCGCTTCCCAGGATCGCTCTTCTGGCGTGGATATGAGAGCCATCGTAGATCGCTTGGCCCAAAGGGAAGACATTCCTGACGAATGGTGGGTGGCAGCTGGATTGTCTCGCACTATAGGTCGTCAATTAGACGTTAGCGACGCGTCTCCAGATCTTGTTAACGATACTCGCACCAATGCGGCCGACGAAGCGTGACGAATAATAATCATCTACATCTTTCTGTTTTTAAATCTCCTGGCGAGATCTGTACATTTACCAGAGGCGAAGGGAAGATCTACTGTATTGTGAACTGAGCAATATATGCATTGGGCTGCGTGAGAGGCGTTATCTTCGGTTTTATAATTCTTGCGACCTTTTTTCCCCTTCTATCTTCTTCGTTGGAGACTCGGCACATCTTTCTCAGAGGTATCGCATAAACGACACTAGACGGTTCGGGTTACATTTCGGCTTAAACGGGAGCGGTTCACTGAAGGATCGTGTACTCATGGTGTATTTTCGTTATAATAATGTGATGGGTTATGGCGTGCTTTTTCCATTCGTTACCTTCTCTGCGCGATTTACCATACTGTGCATAGTAGCGTTCCGATGTAATTTTGGATCCATGCTGTTTTGGTTGTAATACTTGCTGTATCTGTTTAAATATATGGTCGACTGCGATTATCTGCCTTCCTAAATGAGCGCATACTTGTGTTGTACGATAGTCTACGTCGTGCTCGTATACAATATTATGCAGAGCTAAGGCTAGAACCCTCCCCCGCATGTGTAGATAATTTATATCGAAATAAAGTTTCCCCCCCCCTTCTGTTGTGCCACACGCCCGCCCTTTCCCAGGTAGGCATCCCGAGCCTGCCATCTACAACTATGAACTAATCCACCACACGGCCCAGTCTTCTCCGACCTAACCCCACCACCACAAGGCACAGGCAGAAGATGTTTAACTAGCGATGAGAGGGATGACTAAAGGCTCACTTTCCTCATATACACATCGCATGCCGTCATCAGAATAGGCTCGACATACATCAGCCCAAAATGGAGCCGCAAGTGGATAGGTTGGTGAAAAAAGCATGGGGTATGAATGATCCTTCCACTTCTCAGCCATCTCATAGAATCATCATTTTAACACTCTGGCTAATTTCATACAGAAAAGTTTCTATCCACGTCAGAGACATCTCGCTTGATGATTGCCATCAGCGGGATTCCAGGATCTGGAAAGTCGTCATTTTCACTCGTCGTAGCACAACGGATCAATAAGCTCTATGCCGAGCAGTTCCCGGGGTCACCCCCAATCGCTACATTTGTGCCCATGGATGGATATCATCTGACACGAGCCGAGCTTGCAGCCATGCCAGACCCTGCTCTTGCAGTCGCGAGGAGGGGCGCCGCATTCACATTCAACCCAGAAAAGTTCCTGCAACTGGTGAAGCAGCTACGAGAACCATTAAGTGCTACGACACCTACCATATTCGCCCCGAGTTTTGACCATGCAGTCAAAGATCCTGTTGAAGACGATATTCCCATCCTCCCCACAGCCCGTGTCTTGTTTTTTGAGGGAAATTATCTGAGTCTGAACAAGGCGCCCTGGGATGCCGCAGCAGCATTGATGGATGAGCTTTGGTTCGTTGAGGTGGATTTTGAGACGGCAAGGAAGCGCTTGATTAAACGACATGTTGAGGCCGGCATTGCTACGGATGCCGAGGAAGCAGATAAGCGGGCAAAAGAGAATGATCTCGTTAATGGCCAAGAGATCGTGGACTTTCGATTGCCGGTACACGAGGTCATAGTTAGCACTTATGATCAAGAGTTCTCGGCGGGACAACTTTGAGTCGGGTAATTCTTGCGTCAGAATAGAATAGAACATTGATTGGTGATATAACTATAGCGCAGAGTAATCTCTAGTAAAACACTGGAAAGCTGTCTAGTTATCTGTTGTACAGTGGCAATGCTATATATATATATATATATAGCATGTATGAAGCAGCCAATCAGATAGCGGCACTATAAATCACGTGACAAACAAATGATTACTGATACGTGGTCACGTGACAAAGCGCGCTAGCGTTGCTCGGAAAGAAAATCAATCAAAGGCTGCAAACACGAGATCGCGTCTCCCTTACTTCGAGACGCGTCCTGGCTTAGGAATCAAATACCATGTTTTCTGCCCCTCCCAGACTATTTCAACTCTGACCTCTCTCCATCCCCTTCTTCTAAAAGGGATTTTGACATCTCGATACCGCTCTTGCTTGCTTGTCTCTCTGTTTCATTCTTCACTACCCGTTGCCACCCTCTTATATTCACCCATCATATAGAAAAATAAATTCTGCACGTCGTCGAACCTACAGTCAGTCTGCTCACGACACGTCGAGATCACAGCAAAATGTTTGTGTTCAAGCGAGGTAAGACTCGATCTTCATCTCTTAGCAGTCTTTATATAGTGTTTCCATGTCATGTTCTACTGTAACGTGTTATTCGTGCATTAGCTTTGTGCTTTTGTTCGTCGCCGTCATGCTGATTGTGTATTGACAAACATCTAGATGGACGCAAGGAACGCGTGCAATTCGACAAGATCACAGCTCGTGTGTCCAGGCTGTGTTATGGCCTCGACACTGATCATGTTGACGCCGCGGCCATTACGCAAAAAGTCATCTCTGGTGTGTACCAGGGTGTGACCACGGTGGAGCTAGACAACCTGGTTGGTGCCTACTTGAGACAACTTTTTCCCCTGGAGCAATCACTGACATCATACAGGCTGCCGAGACTGCCGCTTATATGACGGTCACGCATCCCGATTACGCTGTCCTCGCCGCTCGTATCGCCGTTTCCAACCTACACAAGCAGACGAAGAAGCAATTTTCTGCCGTGATTGAAGACCTCTATCATTATGTCAACCCGAAGAACAATAAAGCGGCCCCTATGATTTCTACTGAGATATACGAGGTCGTGATGAAACATGCCGACGAGTTGAACTCGGCCATTGTCTATGACCGGGATTTTAATTACCAATATTTTGGATTCAAGACTCTTGAGCGCTCTTATTTGCTCCGGCTTAATGGCAAGATTGCTGAGCGTCCTCAACACCTAATCATGCGTGTTGCTGTTGGTATCCACGGTGACAATATTGAAAAGGCCATCGAGACATACAATCTGATGTCTCAGAAATACTTCACACACGCGTCCCCGACTTTGTTCAGTGCTGGCACGCCTCAACCACAGCTCGCCTCCTGTTTCCTTGTGGATATGAAGGATGATAGTATTGACGGCATTTATGATACGCTTAAGACATGTGCTATGATCTCCAAGAATGCTGGTGGTATCGGTCTTAATGTTCACCGTATTCGTGCTACTGGTTCCTACATTGGAGGAACGAATGGCACTTCAAACGGTCTCGTTCCTATGCTCAGAGTCTTCAACAACACCGCTAGGTACGTTGACCAAGGAGGTAACAAACGCCCTGGTGCATTTGCTATCTACCTGGAGCCGTGGCACTCAGATGTCTTTGAGTTCCTCGACCTTCGTAAGAACCATGGAAAAGAAGAAGTCCGTGCCCGTGATCTTTTCTACGCTTTGTGGACTCCTGACCTTTTCATGCGCCGTGTGGAGGCGAACAAGGACTGGACTCTGTTCTGTCCAAATGAAGCCCCAGGTCTTGCCGATGTCTACGGTGAAGAGTTCGATGCTCTTTATGAGAAATACGAAAAGGAAGGTCGCGGCCGCCGTACTGTGAAGGCCCAGAAACTCTGGTATGCCATCCTCGAGGCTCAGACTGAGACTGGTAATCCTTTCATGCTTTACAAGGATGCTTGCAACAAGAAGAGCAACCAAAAGAATCTTGGCACTATTCGCAGTTCTAACCTCTGTACCGAGATTATCGAATACTGCGCTCCTGATGAAGTCGCTGTTTGTAACTTGGCTTCCCTTGCTCTGCCTACTTTTGTTGATACCGCTCGCGGTGAATATGACTTTGGCAAACTTCACGAAGTCACCCAGGTCCTTGTTCGAAACCTCAACAAGATCATCGATATCAACTATTATCCCGTCCCTGAGGCCAGAAAGAGCAATTTCCGCCACCGTCCTATTGCAGTTGGTGTCAATGGCTTGGCTGATGCTTTCCTTGCTCTCCGTCTGCCATTTGACTCTGCAGAGGCCAAGCAGCTCAATATACAAATCTTTGAGACCATCTACCACGGTGCATTGACAGCTTCCATAGAGCTTGCCAAAGAATACGGCACCTACGAGACTTACAAGGGTTCTCCTGTCTCTCAGGGTATCCTCCAATTTGACATGTGGGATCGCACTCCAACAGATCTTTGGGACTGGGATTCCTTGAAGGCTGAAATTAGCCAGCATGGTGTCCGCAACAGTCTTCTTGTTGCTCCTATGCCCACCGCTAGTACCAGCCAGATTCTAGGCTTCAATGAATGCTTCGAACCTTACACCTCGAACATCTACTCTCGTCGTGTCTTGGCTGGCGAGTTCCAAGTGGTCAACCCATGGCTCCTGAAGGACCTGGTTGACCTCGGTCTCTGGTCCGACAACATGAAGAACCGCATTATAGCTGAAGGGGGATCTATTCAAAATATCCCCAACATCCCCGCTGATATCAAGGCTCTCTATAAGACAGTCTGGGAGATCTCTCAGCGAACAATTCTTCAAATGGCTGCGGATCGCGGTGCTTACATTGACCAATCGCAATCGCTCAACATTCACATGAAAGAGCCTACTATGGGCAAGATTACCAGCATGCATTTTGCCGGTTGGAAGATGGGTCTAAAGACCGGAATGTACTATTTGCGTACAATGGCTGCCAGCGCCCCTATCCAGTTCACAGTTGACCAGGAGCAATTGAAGGTTGCAGACACCAATGTTGCTCGTAGCAACGGCATTGGCAAGAAGCGGTCACCAGCCCCCGCAGCATTCAATAACAGTTATGCTTCTGTTCCTCGTCCTATGTATGACCAGAAGCCAGTAGCTCCTGCTGCTAACCCGGAGCCATTGCAGCCTGTCTCGGCTTCTCGCGTCAATGGCGCTGCTCACTCTGATCTTACTCAGGACAAGGTATCTCAAGAAGAGACAGGAGAACAAGGACAAGAAGATGCTGGTGAAGACAACGACACAGAACAAGACATTTATGCACAGAAGGTCCTTCAATGCAGCATTGAGAACAAGGAAGCATGTGTTATGTGCAGTGGCTAAAAAATAAGCGTTTTTAGCCTTGTATATTCGCTCGTACCCTTTTTTTTGCTGTGTTCCTTTGTTTCCTATGTATTCTAGTATTCCTCAATTCCCCAAACACTGTTCCCTGTTGATCATACAACGCTTGTTACGATTTTTGAATGCCCCCCTCAACCTGTTGAGATTCGCCCACCTTGTCTTATGTTTGTATTCACCACTTGGGCGATTATTTCTTTTCCCATAGTTTTTATCATGTGTATTTTCTTATTTCTCCCTGAGTGAGTTTGGCGAAAATCAGATATGTGTGAACTCAATCCAATATATTGATGAATTTAGAGAATACTGCCTAGTAGTTGAGACTTGAGTAGATGCAAACCCCCTTTGGACACCATCCCGAGAATATTAATGGCATCCACTAGTGTTCTGGTTTTTTGGTAGAGCTGCTTCCCTTCCTATGTATTAAACGCTCGCAAATGAAGACTGTATGTTACACCTGAGCAGTAACTATCCTCTAGCCACATGATCCGTGAGTTTACACCTATTGACACCGTTTTACAAGGCTAAATATTCCCCTCAGTCATGCCATACCTTTGCAGCGTTGTCCTACCAGCATTGATGCCTTGATTGCCAATAATTGCGCAGTCACTTCGCTCAACGTTTCATGCGAGCATGCAAGTATGAGCTGTCCTACACTCCATTTCTGAGTCTTTCGTTCACTGAGGGGAAGACGAGCAATTCTCTATAACTCAGGTGCAGCGTATCAATTCTAGAATCTTCCACATAGCCGACGGATATCTTGATCCAGGCTCTGGAGTAGGGGGTGAAAAAGGGCCATGGTGGCACAGACGTATCAGCCATGTCAGACTAACCAACGTTACTCGTGAGAAACGCACTGATAGCGTTCTTGTCTAGGTTTTCTGCACTCAACCATTCTTCTGCCCTTCGCCACGGGACTACTAGCAGGACCGAATGGAAGAAAAGTATGGATCTTAGTCTTTTTTTCCCCCTTTGGAAGATTTCTTTGGTGTTTGGTTCACACCGGTAAACGACGGACGACGGATTGGAAAAGTAACCGCCAAGGGGCAAATAAAAAAAAAGCGCACACGTTGTGACCCGTAATGTCGACATGGCTTCCTATTACGGTAATTCCGGAGAAGAAAACGGGCTGCCAAGAAATGGATGAGAGCCGGAAGAGGTGATTATATAATGTGCCTAGAGATCATAGCAGAGTACCTTGGATTGAATTCAATTGTTCTAGAACATCGCTGACGGAGGTGGCAAGATCTTACATTTTTACCCCTTTGAAAATCTAGATAAGGTTCAATTCGGAGTTGGATACGGAACAGAGGTGTGCCTGGTACCTATGGCGCTATGGAGTACGGAGAGGATAATCTGATTCGACGCGCCAGACTTTGAAGTGCACCTCTGAATCGAGCAGGTTCCTTGATGGATATCATCATCTTCGGCAGATGGTTTAAGCGATGGGATTGGCTGATGTCATTATGCGATCTCTCACATTCCGATGGCGCGGGTAGATAGATACGTGTCTAGATCTTGATCGTGCAAGCCGATAGATATCGAGATAAGCTTATTCTCGCAGGGCGAATGTACTAACGAGTCACGACCAGACTGAGTCCAGGGCAGCGTCGAGAAGCAGAGATTGCGTGCGATCAATGAAAATCGCCGGACTTGGAAGCTGCTGCCGAACTCGAACAAGCTAGGCCCAGAATGGCATAGCTGAAACAGGGCTGTGACGACGTGGATCCCTGTTCTTTCAGGCACCACGCCATGTTCTTAGAGCCCGCAGCCAATCGGAAGCGCGCATTCCTGCACCGCCGCTGAGGTTCAGAGTTTTTTTTTTTTTTTTTGGCCAATCGCCGCTCCCCGCACTTGGCTCCCCACTGTTTTGGAGTTTTTTCCTCGAGCGCAGCCTATGAGTGGCCGGCAGCCCCTGGCGATAGGCAGAGCATCCGGCCAATCAGAAAATCCGCGCGCCACACCTGCAGTAGTGCCCTGTCGCACCATTGATTGTACCTGTCCCTTGTTGTGCACAACAGTCACTGCAAAACACACTCTGATCCTGTCGTTCAGGCATCACGATGACCCTATGGAGCTGGTCGGGTTATACACACTGCATGCCACTATATGGTCGATTGCAATACGAGCGCAATGTCTGGGATAAAACGTATGACTGCGTATGTGTGTGCTGTGTGCTCAGACAAGCTGCGTGGCGTCCGGGACTGCCCACAATGGACGCCCCACTGGGCGCTGGCTGGCTCGCTGGCTGTTTTCTCCACCGGGCACAGCGTCTATTTAATATCCAACTGTCCCCCCGTACTCGCTTCTCTTCTTCCCCGTACATCCATCGTCAGTCTTTCTCTCAACACCACACACACTCTCTCTCTTTCTATCTGTGTTCTACAGTCTCTCCCTTTTCTTTTTCAACGCTGTGCGGATTTGCTCTCGCTCTTTCAAGCAACACTTCCACAGCCGATCTATTGAGAGTCGCTAGCTCGATTCCATCTGCACATTCATTTTTAAAACCGCGTACAACGCCTTTCCTACGGAACTGCAAACAAGTTTAGAAAAGAAACTTATCTTCTCGCACATATTCAAAATGGTTTTCTCCAAGGCTTTCGCTCTCGCTGCGATCTTCGCTACCCTCACCTCGGCCGCTCCTATGCAGCAGAAGCGCGCTGTCGTCTATGAGACCGTCACCGAGGTCGACGTCACCACCATCGACACCACCATCACCATCTACCCCGGTGAGGCCACTCCTACTGTCTCCGGCGGTGTTGCCGCCGCTACGACAACCGCCGCCGCTGTGACGACTGCCGCTCCCGTTGAAGAGCAAGTCGCTAGTGCCTCGAGCAGCAGCAGCAGCAGCAGCAGCACTTCCAGCTATGTCCCAGCTCCTGAGACCTCATCCCCGTCGTCGACCACTGAGGCAGCCCCCACAACTGTTGCTCCAACCACCACTGCTGCTCCTCAACCTCCCGCACCGACCACCACCAGCAGCTCCTCTTCTTCCTCGTCCTCTTCATCTACCTCTACCTCTTCGACTTCTTCTGCCCCAGCTTCTAGCAGCACTAGTCGCTCCACTCTCTCTGGTGACGGTGACGGTACCTACTACGACACTGCCACTTCCATGAGCTCTCCTAGCTACTGTGACACTGCCAACGACGGTGAGACCGAGAACGTCGTCGCTCTCTCCTATGAAGTCATGGACGAGAGTCTCTGTGGTGCCTCCATCACCGTTGAGTACGAGGGCAAGACTGCCACGGGTACTGTTGTCGACAAGTGCATGGGCTGTGACGCTCAAGCCATTGACATGTCGCGTGCTATGTTCGGAGATCTCTCTGACCTCAGCGCCGGACGTATCACCGTCTCCTGGTCTGTCAACTAAAGAAACTTGTTGGTTCTAGCAGTTTCTTCCAAGACCAGTCTCCGTCTTTGGCTCATTTTCCGTCCATATCCGGCGTCCAAGGGGCTCTCAGCATGGACACAGCTTATCTTCCGTTCTTTATTGTGTGTATAGACTATTTGTTTTGCTTTTCTGTGTACAATCATTCGATCAACGGGACACGCTACTGTACAGGCAGCTAGATGTCCGTTCATCCTTCGCTCTCTGTGATTTTGAGATTCATCTTATGTTTGGTAACCCGGTCAGCAAAAAAATTCATGTGGATCATGAAGCTTTCATTCTTCTGCTCTCTGCAAGTCAGACCAGTTGCACTTTTTTCGGGTTCAATCTTTTAAGTTACGAACGTACGCACTCCTGGAGAGTATGAATCGACGCAGGAACGAACGACAAAGAAAAAAAGGAGTTGAGAGAATGGGCATGCTATTTACAATGCGGATATACTTAGCTATATTCATTAGGACGTAACGAATTGAAATATTCAAATTATCATGATGTACCTTGCTAGTAAATCTACTAAACTACTAGCAGCCTTAATCCATGCTTAGCCGCATTACTAAAGAGGGCGCACGGCCGGGGTTCTGCAAGTGATTGGCTGCATGCTTGCCCTACGGCTTACATAAGCGGCAGGCCTATGTCGTCACTACTTTTGGGACTGGGCAAGTGCTTCTCTCTCTCTCTCTTTCTTCACTGCGATGCTTCAGACATCTCCTTCACTTATCATTATAGTCAAGCCCGTCATTTTCAGTCAATACTGACGCTTCACGAAAAGACTACCAGAAGTTTGAAAACGCACAAGACGTTGATCGCCTTGACGGGCTGGCATTCTTCGGATCTCTCGCCGATCCGAAAAAAAAAGAAAAAGAAATTATTTCTTTCTCTCCAGTCTCTGGCGCTCTGTCTTTCTCTCTCCCCACATTCCTGTGATTTCGTTTTTCTCGTGCCTTCTCTTGTCTCTTTTCTCTTTTCTCCCCCCCCCTTCTCTTGTTCCTCGCGGTTAGAAGTCATTCGGATTCACACCTTCGCCACGTCCCGCTCGTTTACTGCTCGACTTTTGTATGGAGGGGCGTGCTACGTTTCCGTACCGGGGGAAAAGAAGAAGAACAAGGCAAACTAGAGGGGAAAGAAGGATCTGGTCTGCCTGCCGATAATGGATCTGGTCGCTAAGAAAGTGTACCTCTATTGCCATCACATTTGGAATTGTCCTGAAACATAAGTCGGGACCAGAACTTGTTCTGGCCGACACTCCCCCCGCCATATATAATGGAAGACCGCAGGACTCCCACGCTGGTTGTCACCATCGTATTCTTTGCCCTTGCTTCGGTATCCATTGCGCTCCGATTTGTGTCTCGCTTGGGTATCGTGCATAAGATCGTCTCTCATGATTATCTGATTCTTGTGGCTTGGGTATGTGGCACACACAACAACAGTTCTGGGTATTTTTATATTTACTTTGCTGCCAGGTTATTGATTTCGGGTTCATCTTCGCCATATGCTACGGGACTACCAAAGGCTTGGGTCTGCACCAGGTTGATGTTCCGTCCTCGAACAATACATCTTTGAATACAAGCGAATATGTGGCGACTGTGCTTTATGTAAGTTACATATTATTCCAGGCGAATGCTTTTTTAAATACTAATTCATGTCTTGTCTTTCTTGCTCCAGAACCCCGTTTTAATGACCCTAAAAACTTCGATTCTCATTTTTTATCTATTTCTGACTAAGACAAACAAAGTCATCCGATGGGCGATATTTGCCACGATTTTCGTCGTCAACGCTGCCGGAGTTGCCTTGACCATGGTCAATGTGTTTCAATGTCAACCGGTCAGCGCAGCAATCTGGTTTCCCGCTGATGGCGACGCAAAGTGTTTGAGTATAGTCACAATATATCTCTCCTCAGCTCCCGTCAATCTCATCACTGATATCGCCATTTTCTTTCTGCCCATTCCGATTCTGACCCAACTGCGTCTCCCACGGAAGCAAAAAATAATTCTAATCATCGTTTTCAGTATTGGGCTTTTTACTACTGTTATCGACATCATCCGGGCTGCATACTTACAAAGCGCAGCAACATCAAATGCCATAAAACAACAAACCGGTTCCGGCAATGTTGACAACTCTAAAGCCAATCAAGACTTCTCCTGTATGTGTCTTTTGCGATTCTGCATCTGGTTTTGATTATTTATAGCTAACTTGGAGTTATAAGGGTACGGTGCTTTTACTTTCATGTGGTCTGCCGTCGAAGTCAACACTGGAATCATTTGCGCTTGCATCCCGAGCATGAAGCCCTTGGCTGCACGTCTACTTCCCAGGATGATCAAGGGTTCCTCTGATACTTCACCACATAGCCATTCGAGTACCACAAATACTGCTGCAGCTAGACCAATAGCTCTTCGCGCCGATACTGCTCCTGTGGCGCCCCCTCAAGGTCAGAGTGCTATTCTCGGCCGCATGGCTCCGAGATCTCACACAGACCAGGGCCCCAACTTTACGTTCCCTAACACGCTTCAGCCGGCCGAACTTCCATCAGAGGAGTCCTTGGAAATGACCGATTTTCTGGCCCATTCTGGTCCAAGCGATGATACGGAAAGTAGTGCAGTGACTAACGCTTCTCCGCCCTTGGATATGACAACATTCTACGACTTTGTCAATGTCAAAAAACCCAAGAGCATGCTAGCATTGAGTAACAAAGAGTCCGTTCCTCCGGTGGCGTTAACGACAATACTCTTTTTCCTGTGGGGTATTGGTTATGGCTTCCTAGATATTTTGAATACCCAATTCACGATAATCGACGGAATTAATACATGGGGCTCCCTTGGACTTCACGCTGCCTACTTCGGAGGTTATCTTGTAAGCCCTCTCACTGTAGGGCGTTTTATGCTGAAAAAGTGGGGGTTCAAGTCGACTTTTATCTCAGGGCTTTTCATTTACGCCTGCGGTGCCCTTATCTTTTGGCCGTCTGCTGTTTTGACGTCATTCCCAGCATTCATCCTCTCAAATTTTGTCGTGGGTTGTGGATTTGGAGTGCTTGAAACAGCAGCAGATCCATTTATAGTGTTGTGCGGGCCGCCGGAGAACGCCGAGATTCGTTTGAATCTTTCACAGGGAGTCCAAGCCACTGGGAGTATCCTGTCTTCAGTCCTCGCAGAGAAAGTGGCTTTCAAATCTGTCAAAACTGTAGCTGGCTTGGTTAGGGTGCAGTGGACATACCTCGCGATAGCGCTTTTTGTCCTGCTTTTGGCAGCTGCTTTCTACTATCTACCAATACCCGAAGCAACGGATGATGACCTGCAGGAATTAGCCGATCAAAGGAAAGATGACATCTCAGCGCCCGTTGTGGGCATTCCTGTCGTTTGGCTTACTTTTGGATTAGCAGCTTTCTCGCAATTCTGGTATGTGGCAAGCCAAGAAGCGTTAATAGTCAGTTTTACGCTGTACGTGCAGCAACAGCTCCCGCAAGGCAGGGGAGGTCTATATGGCCATGATTTCCTCTCGGTTGCGCGCGGCATCTTTGCTGCAGGCAGGTTTCTCGTCGCCCTGGCCATCGTATTTATCAAACCGCGTTGGGTCCTCTTTGTGCTGTACGTCGGACTGATTGTCTTCGCCGTGCTTACGAAGGAATTGCAGGGTATGGCTGGAGTTGGCATTGGAATGATGCTATTCTTCTGGGAAAGTGGCGTAATCAGCATCACAATTGCCATCTCTCTTCGCGGCACGGGCAGACATACCAAGACGGCGGGTGCAATTATGGCGACAGCCCTGGGCGGAGGAGCAGGCTACCCATTTTTCCAAGAGCTTGCAAGGGTCCAGAATCACGGTAGTGTGGCTTCCTCCTATGTTGTGCTTGCTGTTGGATATGCTGCTGCTGCTGTCTTCCCGTTGTATCTCATGCTTGTCCCCGCTGCGAAGAAGCAGGTTGATCCCGTTCTGAATGGTTCTCTCTACCGACGATCGCCGCTTCGTGGTCAGCGCTCTCGTACTCACAAGGGCCGCAGCCGTGCTGGTACTGGTGATGGGAATGCCGATACCAATCCCAATGGCAACGGCAACGGCAACGGCAGTAAGAAAGAAAACTACTCTCTCGGAGGTGTTTTGTCACGACCACGCAGTCTAGTCAATGAGCCGCCGTCAACTGCCCACATGGGGCCTGCGGCGGGGATTAGTGTCCATGACCTGGCATACCAGTATGAGCGAGAAAATAATACTCGTTGATTTCTTTCTTCTGTATATATGCTTCGGGGTTCATTCCTATCCGTTGGACTGGTGGCTGATTTGCTTGCATTTAGCGTGGCGTTCCGTGTTTACCGGCTTGATGCATACCATCTTACGATGTACATTTCTTAGTAAATAATGCTAATGACAAAATGGCCAAGAACCACCTAGGTTTCTGGGTACTTGGGATATACGTTGCTTATATACCAAACTGCAGTTCTCCAAAATGTAGTCGCACGTTCTAGGTAACGACGGACTGAAGGCTGCGGTACAGGTTTGGCGTTTCAAGCCAGGATTCATAACACACTTTTCTTTGATCTTCAAGTCTTCTCTAGGAAAGGGGTTGTAACAGGCTGAGTATCATGTCTCGCTGGTTCTTCCATTGAAGGCTTCAAAGCCAACAGAATCTTTTGTGAGCTCACAACGAGCCCCACAGGAGCTCCAGCTATCCAGATGCCGACACGGAGCGGCCATATTTTATACAGTTCGTTCTCTGGTCTACATTCAAACATCGTCTAACTTGTGCTGCTTGATTCATTCTTTCTACCTGTCACATCCTTCTTTGCTAGAGAAGCAAACGCCTCCATTGTCTGTTTTAGGAAAGATGGGCATAGAGAAATGGTTGCTCTCTTCACAGTTAAGTGCACACAGTGTGTACTTCCAAGCTATAAGTCGGCATTTTCTCTCCTTCTGCAGAGAGATCTTGCACATATCCATGAATTTTGGCGGACTAGCCATCTGACTCAAGAAAGGGAACTTCCGCTCTATCTCTTTACCCATTTTCCTATTTCTGCTTTTTCACTCGGCTGATTTCTACAAGGCATTGTTCAACGCGGTGCCTATTTTGGAACCGAAGAAAGAACCCTGAGCCCCCCCCCCCGGGAAGAATCAACAAAATCTCAAAGCGAGAAAATATAAGAGCATTTTGTAGCTCTTTCCCTCCCATTATTCCAACCCTCTCAAGTCATCTTCTCGGGTATAGATTACTGACTACCCCCACAGTATGATGTGGCCTACTGCAATTCTACGCTATCATCCATTGTCATACCATAATGGATTCGACGTCGAAACGAGTCGGAAATGGCGGGGGTCTCAGCATCCTTGATCAACTGAAAGCCATTCAAGAAAAGGTTAGTAGTCAGATCGCCATTCTTGATCAAAAAATCGCTGATCAAGATCAAAAGATTGCCAATTATGAAGAGGATTTGCTATTTATCCGTGCTTGTGAGCTGGAACAGGCTACTGAAGATTTCGACCAATCTGCCCGCACAGTAAGGAACAAGATAGTGCATGGGCGTAATGTCCTAATGGACATCAGAGCACTCCATTTTCTTCACAAAACGGATCCAAAACGATTTCAGTCTGCATCAGAGGGTTTCTTTAAACTCTATGATTTGAGGTTTGAGGATGAAGCCCGGATATTTGCTGCCCCAGACGTGATAAAAAGGACCCTTAACATAAGAGGCAATGTGAAGCATCTTGAATTCTGGAAACGTTCCCCAAATGCAGATGGTTTGATTGAGTTATGCGATGGGATCATAGACAAGTGGCAACTCTCCCTCAAGTCTGGCCTTGTCTACCCAGCAGAAACTATCAATCAGGAATATGCCAAGCTTCGAGAAGCTTACGATTGAACGGAATGAAAAAGGGTATGCTTTTCCTTTTCTGTCTGTTCCTGTCTGCTCCACCCCTATCCGGTGTTGATTGCGCGAAACGTTCATAGACCTTGATACAATAGTTCACAATTAATATCTCTTAAGCCCTAAAATCCTTCTATTTCTAAGTTTAGCTCATGAGAGAAAGAAAGACATTACTACAAAGTAACCGTTGGAATGTTATCTGCCAATAATAGTATCTGAAAAACGTAATATACCAGGCTATTTGGCGTGACTGAGATTTGGAATGGGTATCCTCCCCAGCCCTTCAGACACACCAACTTTATAAACCTCTCAGAGAGCACCCTATCAATAGACCCTGTTTCAATCGCTTTCCACGGATCGTCCTGGGGTTTCTAGTTCGCCGGCAAAATCTCTAATCACAGCATTTCGTAGGACTGCATGGAAGTGAAATAAGCGCGGAGGCCTGCGGGAGACTCAGTGCACTTCGTGTTTATACTGTATACCCCTAGGTAGGTGCTCAGTAACTTGAAAAATACACTGAATTTGAAGTAGCGAATGCCAATGGGTTCATGCGGGCAGTGTCCGTATATAGTATATTAAATGCAAAGTCGGAGGTAGGCATCAAGGTCTTGAGGAATTATTCTAGTGATAAACACTATACTAAGAAGTTTGCTTAATAATAATCATCAGTGTTGGTCAGGCTTTGATATAATGTCACTACGAGGCTGGTTCTATGCTTTAAGCGGAGCAGCATACTAATCAATCAGTTCTACTCTTGAGTGAGAAGAGCAGGAGGTCGGAAGGCCAGGTAGCACAGAAGAAAAATCCGGTATATACGAATCTTTTTGTAGACGACTTTTGTAGGGTTATTGGCCAGTGACATCAGGCAAAGAAATAAACAGCACATTCCATTTACGTATAGCATACCTATATACAATGCACCTCATCATATCAACATACAAAGTAAGTATTCAGAGAAAAGTGAAATCAATTCACCACCAATCTCCCTGATCCTTCATAGCAGCCGCTACCTTCATAAACCCAGCAATATTACTTCCGGCCACAAGCGACGGCAGCACCTCCTCTCCTTCAGAGACAAACCTCTTGGCAGTCTCCAAACCATTCTCAAACGACGACTTCATAATATCCTGCAACTTGCGATCGACTTCCTCGCGCGTCCAGTTGAGTCGCGCCGAGTTCTGAGCCATTTCCAATCCGGACACGGCCACACCGCCGAGATTGGCTGCTTTGCCGGGGGCGTACCATATACTATTATTCTTGTTACTCTCGCGATGGGCTTCGAATATATCGATGGCCCCCTGAGTAGATCCCATGTTTGAACCCTCGGCTACATACTTGACGCCCGCGTCAATGAGGCCCTGCGCTTCTTCGCTGGAGATTTCGTTCTGCGTGGCACATGGCAAAGCGACATCGACTTTGCCGACGTGCAGCCATGGACGGACGTTGGGGATGTATTTGAATTTACTCTGGCTGAAAAGTGTGTTGTTGTGCGCGTCGGCATCTGCAGAAAAAATGGAGCTGAGTTGTTTGCGAGCGACTTTGAGGGCTGCAATACTCTCGATTTCGGCCGGGGTGAATCCCTCGGGAGACTCGGTGATGAGTGATCCCTGGCTGTCGGAGAGCGAGACTACAGTGCCACCTAGTTCGATGACTTTGAGTGCTGCGTATTGAGCTACATTGCCGGAGCCGGAGATCACGACACGTTTGCCGGCGAATGTCTCGCTGCCTTTGCTGGCATGTTGAATCATGTGTTGGACGTACTATATACCCCATTGTCAGATCGAATAACGCGAGCGAGCAGGAAGAAGAAGAAGGGAACATACGTAAACAAGCCCGAATCCAGTTGCTTCAGGTCGAATCAGACTGCCTCCCCAGGACAAGCCTTTGCCCGTGAGCACGCCCTCCCATTGATTGCGGATCTTCTTGTATTGTCCAAACATGAACCCAATCTCACGTGGAGAGACTCCAATGTCGCCCGCTGGCACATCGGTATCAGCGCCAATGTGGCGGGATAGTTCAGTCATAAAGCCAACACAGAACTTGCGGATTTCATTATCTGATTTTCCTTTGGGATCAAAGTCGGCGCCTCCTTTGCCGCCACCCATATTCACTTTACGGATATTGTTAGATCAAGTAGATACGCAGAGCAACGGAAAAAGAAAGGGAACTCACGCCCAGTAAGAGCATTCTTGAATATCTGCTCAAAACCCAGGAATTTCAGAATTGACAGGTTCACACTGGGATGGAAACGGAGGCCGCCCTTGTAGGGACCTAGGGCAGAGTTGAACTGGACACGGTAGCCGCGGTTGACTTGGAGCTATTGTTTGTCTTAGCATGCATTCTATGCATTGAATCACAAAAGTAAATGAGGCGTACCTCGCCCTTGTCATCTTCCCAGACAACGCGGAACTGAATTACACGCTCCGGGATAGAGGCAATCTTGAGCGCCTTGCGGTATTCCGGGTGTTGTTGGAAGAGGGTTGAGTTCTCTAGAGTTGACGCAAGCTCTGTATACAGTATACCGAGTTAGACATTACGGACTACTAATAAATCGATATCTCAGTGAAGAAATAAGTCAGATGTACCTTTGTAGGCCTGCTCAAACTCGGGCTCGGAGGGCAAGTTCGACATGGCGAGAGGTATGTATGGAAGAAAGTATTGGAAGAAATTCAGTCAGGCGCTGGGAAAGGAGGAGCAGAATGTAGCACAGGGAGGGATTCTCGAGTCATTATATACTCGACATGATTGTACGTAGATAGGGCACAGGGTGTGGCAGCGTACAACCCTGACTCATTCCGAGGATCGGAGCAGAAAACTTTTCCATTCTGTTGTTTATCCTTTTAATCAGAGAAAATCAAGAAAAAAGTAAAAATATAGCAAGCCGGGATCGACAGCAAAAACTAGTCAAGTCAGTTGACCCTATCGAATGGATACTACAGACCTGCGTCGTTGGTTGGACTTTGTACTTAGTCAAAGAGTCAATAGTTGAAGGGCGAGTCTATAGTTAGATCGGCCTGAGGCAGTAAACTACGCACTAAGCCCGGCCGGGAATAAATGTGGCAAGCAGAGGCTTTCATTGGCGGAGGCTTAAGATGCTAAGCGCTTTATCCGCAGGGTTCTCTTTGACTAAGCAAGCCCGGCGGGCTCCGGCGTCGGCCAGCCTTGTGCGGCCTCAGGTACCTGCCGCCTGCCACCGCCTCCGATGGCAGGCCGGCCAATCGATTTTCCGGTACCCCTCGGTCAATGGGGCAAATTTCAGATGAATCGAGTCATTGACGCATCGAGCGCTGATAAAACGTTAGGAGTTATAATAGTGTCACAGGCCTCAAGCCACAAGCCCATTGCAAGTCGACATCATGGCGAACGAATTGGCCGGTGCGGCGCCCACAGAGGCTCAGAAATACCTCTCTACAAGAGGCGGGGACTATGGCGTACGCTTACTTGAAACACGCGCAATGAACATCTCGCTGACCTTTTTTTTTTGAAGCTCTCATTTGAGACCGTTGTTTTGAAGGGTCTCGCTGCAGATGGCGGTCTTTTCTTGCCTCATCAGGTTCCAATTGCTGAAGACTGGGTTCGTATGAAAAGCAGCTGCCTCTTGCAAATCAAATTGCTAATGATGAAATTGTAGCAAAGTTGGAAAGATCTGTCCTACAAAGAGCTTGCGTTCAAGATCTTCAGTCTCTATATATCTAGCTCCGAAGTTCCCCCGGATGATCTGAAAGCCATTATCGATCGAAGCTACTCGACGTTCCGTTCAGACGATGTTGTGCCGTTGGTCCATCTACAGGATGATCTATATCTTCTCGAGCTTTTCCATGGCCCGAGCTACTCCTTCAAAGACTGTATGTCCGGCTACGGCTGTAGCAACCTTCATTAGTCTAATATGATATTAGGCGCCCTGCAGTTTCTAGGAAATTTGTTTGAATACTTCCTCGTGCGAAAGAACAAAGGAAAGGAAGGGAAAGGTGAGCTTTTTAGGTTTTAGCTCAAAAATGAGGATCTTTGGTGGAGCTAACTATCTAGTAGACAGGTATCATTTGTCTGTCGTCGGTGCGACGAGCGGTGATGTAAGATTCTTTACCCCCCCGGGTTGCAGACAAGGTATTAACATGTCTATAGACTGGTTCCGCAGCGATATACGGTCTTAAGGGAAAGAAAGATGTATCAGTAACCATCTTACATCCCGAAGGCCGTGTCAGCCCCATTCAAGAGGCGCAGATGACAACCGTTATAGACAAGAATGTCCACAACCTTGCCGTCACGGGCACATTTGATGATTGTCAAGTAAGTGCCAAGATTAAGCATATCGGCGCCGCGGGACTCTAGACTGACAATGTAATAACAGGACATCGTCAAGGCTCTATTTGGCGATTCGGATACAAACCAGGCTTTGAATCTCGGTGCCGTGAACTCAATAAACTGGTCCCGCGTCTTAGCGCAGACAGTACGTCCCCTAACCATGACAATCCTTAGACACTGCTAATATTTATCCGGGGTAGTGCTATTATTTCTATGCGTACTTCTCCCTTGCTAGAAAGTCGCCCTCGTTCACTGTGGGGGACAAGGTCAGATTTGTGACTCCCACTGGAAATTTCGGAAACATTCTTGCTGGTTATTTTGCTACCAAGATGGGTCTTCCAGCAGACAAACTAGTTGGTACGTTTATACAATACCTCTTTTTTTGGGCAACTCCTTTTACTCACCCCTACTTAACATAGTGGCAACGAATGAGTAAGTAAACCGAAAACCAAGTTGTTCTTTCGATGCTGAAGCCTGCGCTTCACATACGTTGTCAAGTTTCAACACTGCAAAGCGTTGCTGACTTTTATTCTCTAGAAACGACATCCTGCACCGGTTCTGGACGACTGGTCGATATGAAAAGAACCCTGTTTCGGATGGTCAATCTGAGGGTTGCAAAGCAACACTTAGCCCGGCAATGGATATCTTAGTCTCCAGCAACTTTGAGAGACTATTATGGTTCTTATCAAAAGGTGCGGTAACTAAAAATCTCTTCTACTCAGTTTTTTTTTTTTTTTTTTTTTTTTTTTTTTATCTTAAATTGACCGACTATGACTATATAGAGCATGCAATATCGACCGGACTGGACGACCAATCTAGTAACAAGCAAGCCGGCCAACAAATTTTGTCTTGGTATCAGTCGTTGAAATCAACCGGCGGTTTTGGGCCTGTCCACAGCGACCTGTTAGAAAACGGGCGCTTGACCTTTGAAAGTGACCGTGTGAGCGATTCGCAGACCATCGAAACTATCAAGTCTTGCTACCAAGAAACCAAATATGTCCTTGATCCGCACTCGGCGGTAGGTGTCAACGCTGCAAAGAGATCAATTGCGCGTACCGCACCGCACGTACATCACATCTCGCTCTCAACTGCCCATCCGGCTAAGTTCCTGGATGCTGTCACACTGGCTTTGAAGGATGAACCTGGCTTTGATTTCGATAGCCAGGTACTTCCTGATGAGTTCAAGGCTCTTGCGTCCAAGGAGAAACGGGTGACGTCGGTAGAGAACTCATGGGAGAAGGTTAGGGAGATTGTTAAGATTCAGGTGGAAGAGGACCTAAAGGCTGAGTCCACCTGAGTCCAAGTTTTGTGAGACCAACCTGTCATTTCGGGATTGTTTGGCATGTAGATATCTCCAAAAAAAATAAGTGTGTTTATGAGCATTTTAGATATAATGAGAACAAGTCATTGATTGAAACACACTGTACTCGGTATATACAACTATTTTATAAGACCAGATTATGATGCATCTACTGGATCCCAATCTTCACATTAAAGCGAACATTAGCTCTGATTCTGCAAAAATGAATGGAATTTAAGAAAGATAGTCTCACCAGTAACCAAGTACTCATCCAAGTCATCCATTACCTTCATGTCCGCCGGCTCTATCTCAAACCCATCGATCTCTACATTGGCGATAATGCGGTCTTTCTTGGCACTCTTCGGCAACGGCACATAGCCATGTTGTAAACTCCACCGCACCATCAACTGTGCTGGGGTGCAACTGTACTTCTTCGAGAGCGAAACAATCGTCGGGTGCCGGAACCTGTATGCACGAGCAAGCGGTGCGTATGCCTCCACTACAATATCATTCTGCTGACAAAAAGTGGTTATCTCAGATCGCGTATTGAACGGATGTACCTCAATCTGATTCACGACGGGAAGCACTCTGGGGTTCGTCGCCAGAAGTTCCTTCAAGTGCTTTACGCCGTAATTACTCACACCTGCCGCGCGGATCTCGTTGTCTGCATAGGCATCTTCCAGTGCGCGCCAGCATTCAAGACGTCTTGCCTTGCCACCATAGGGCGAATGAATCAAGAAAAGATCTATATATCCCAAGCCAGAAGCTCGGATGGATTCTTTGATGGATTGGCGCGTAGCGTCGTAGCTAACATTGGAGGCCAATTTCGAGGTGAAAAAAATGTCCTCGCGCTTCAAGCCATCGGGCTTGCTCTTCTCAGTTTCGAGGAATCGTAGTATTGACCGGCCAGCTTCTTTCTCGTTGTGGTACATTTGAGCGCTATCGACACTGTTTGCGAGATATCAACAAGTCGGTGTGTGCATGATAATTGACGGTGGTGGGCTTCTGGCCTACCCTCGATAGCCGGCCTTTGTAACGTCAGCTTTCTCTTTTGCTCACTTGCTCACTTCTGACTCTTTCGCATCGGCTGTCAAGAGAGAGAGAATACTCACCTCCAGGGCAAACTTGACTGCATTTTCAGTCTCTCGTCCCGAGGTCAGATACACCCCCAGCTGGAGCCTTGGCATAAGTTTTCCATTTGAGAGCTATACGCCAGATGGCCTCTACATCAGCGGGAGTTCGGCGTCTATAGAATTTGGGGCAGGGGGCCTGCTGACTTTGATTTTCGACGATAGCAAATACGTGTTTTTGGGAGTCGTCATCGCGCCGGTTGAGAGCGGCAGAAAGGCAGACTAATAGTTACTATCACACCTAGCCTGCAGGAGAGGCTGTTCCCAACAAAAACAGAAGGGGAAAAAAAAGGCGCAAGCAGATCGTCAATTGCTTGTATTCTGTTGTGATGCTTGTTGGAGGAAGGACGGGACGTTCGGGCTTCGGATATGACGCAAACCTGGCCAAGTCCCGTGACAGCCCATAACAAACTTACGACTTCAAACTTCAACCTCGACGACTCCGTGGTTTACGCGATGTTACGAGCCTGCTCGGTCCTACGCACATGTACGTCGCACTGCAGGTGGCCCTGACACCCGGTCGGACAGATCAGCTCAGCTCAGCTCTGGAAGTGAGGCGGTGAATGTGGCTAGTGAAATATTGACTTTAGGGTTTTGCTATAGATCAGATCGCCGCCCACCAGCCACAGCCAGCAATGCTTGACCGCCGCCGAACGTCGACTTTCAGCCTCTCCAAGCGCCTGGGAGATCTCGATCTGCTGCAATCGCTGTGGCTGCAGAGATGCATGGAATCGCCCTGTTTTTTTCTTTTTACTGCTCCCTTGCCCCCCCGAAGTCTGTTATCTGAGACTAGCTCTCATGGAATCTTGGATACGGTGGGTTCCCTTACATCGCCGCTGGTCTTGACCGTTGAGAGGTACCGCAATCGATTATGATACGGTATTGCCTGGTACTTACTGCGTCGATACCTCCGTAATGTAACGGATGTGGGCCACGTGCCTTATCGCGGGTTTGTCTCATCTTCTCGCACTGCAACACTGGAGCTGTGATGTGTCAAAACGTGAACAGTGAAGACAGATAGTGCTCTGAAAGAACATTGTTCTTCCCCGGGAGACCGCGGACAGCGGGAGAGGCAAAAGGGGGAAAGGGGAAAAAAGAAAAAAAAAAAAAGAAAAGAAAGACCGTTCCCCAATCTGCCCAATTCTATCCCAGAAGCTCACGTCGATCCAATAAAGTCCCTGACTAGGGAGCGTGTTCCTCCCCGGTGGGCGCGTCTTCGTTTACGGAAATGTCGAGTTGTCAACCGTCAGGACAAAGATGCAGATATCTTTTCGTGGTTGGCGGTGGCAAAAACAGACTAACAGCTAGTTGCGGCGTACGTAATTACCTTGCCTGGATAACCGATCAATCAAGCGACGGACATGATCTGTGGATAATGAAGCGATAAATTGGATCCTGATGGATATTCGGACAGATACCCAATCATCGACCCTGCGAGCCGTCTGAATTATATCATCCAGGGAACGTCCACAGCTGAAGTTCTCAATTGACTTTCCCAGGTCCCCTGCCCTTAATATGCGTGTTTTAAATGTTTTATTACTACCACGACGAACATCCTACAAGAACCAGCTAACCGTCACTTCTTTTTGCCTCTCGGTGCTTATATGACAAACCCAGGACAAGAGTGGAAAGCCACCACTCGGGTCCTCGCTTGTGCCGGACCAATGCTGTCTTGACCTCTTCTACGCTCTGTCGCGACCTCTAGTAAAACCGACTGCATGGTCTGGTCGCATGGCAGCACGGCCCACATTCGCCACCACGACCTAGCAGTAAACATCTACGGTCGTAGTTGGTTAACAGCGCCAGCGCCCACCCCATTCTCCCCATTCCTCCTGGGTTCTATCTTTTTTTTGATTTTTGCCGGTTGTCACTCGGGCATAAGGCAAGTCGTGACTAGTTTGATAGTTATACTTTGCAAAAATTCAGTACGTGGTCGGTCATGGCTGTATTTCCCGTTACCGTACGCCTGGAAACGGCGGTTATATATTTTATGTACAGGTGCTCCGGCTTCATCACATAAAGGTCCATCGACTGCCCCTTCTGATCATCTCCGCTCCTTCATAGTCTCCCACCGGCCATACCATTCACTCTCCTGCCTTTTCTGTTCTCTGGTATTTCTTGTATATTCTTTTTTCCAGGCCACTCGCCCGCTCGTTGTGCCTGCTTCAGCCATCTCAGCTGTGCCACCCCTCCTTATGCCACCTCGGGCAAAGCCCGCCGTGACCTTCCCCGCGTTCAGACGGGTCGTTTGCTTTCCTATATCCGAATGTGAATGCCCTCGCCGTCTAGATTAGAATCGGTGTATGGTCTCTCTCGTCGCTATTTACGTCGCGCTTCTGCCTCTACATCCACTGTGGACCGTGGCCGTAGCGCTCTTGATCCTGCCAGATTGGGGTCGAGATTGCGTTTTGTGATCCGTCGAGGAAGAAGCCTCTTTTCCCGCAAGTAATTGGCCCCCATCTTTCTTTGCCCGTCCATCTATCTGCTGCTGTTCTCTTCGTTTGTCTTTGTGGGTTTGTTGCGTTTCCCAGACTGGATTGGCCCAGGACCGGATATAGAGAAAGCGGCAGAAGGGCGCGCCCCTCACTCAACCCGTCTGACCTGTCTTTCTGCCCTTTGATCTCCTGGGCATCCTTCCGACGGACATGCGGAACACAAGCGCCAATGAGAAAGGAAACGAGCAGAGAGGAAAAGAAATACGATTGACTTTTATATATGCAGTTACCGCCTCTCCAAACCACCACACTTAGATTTACCCGCCGACGTCCATGAGCCCAGCATGAGTAGTTCAGATCCTCAGTTCGACCCTGCCACAATGGCCGGCCTGTCCGAGGCCTCACAAGGTTCTGAAGACTCCAAATTTGACATTTTCGAGTGGTATCCGCAGTACCAAAGCTGCCAGAGATATTTCATCGACTGTGCCCAACATAGCGTCCCAGTGCAGGCGCTCTCAGCCTTTCTCAATATCCAACTTCCATTCCAGAAACAACCCTACCCAGTCTTTAATTCAACATCCCCTGCCGCAGGAGTAGCCACATCAGCCGCGCCATCAGGGCAACCGCCGGCCTCTTTACCTAGCGCGGCATCGTCGGTCTCACTGATCCCCTATATCAGACGCCTGGTTGCGACAGGGATGGACTTCCCGGGAGTTTTGCATGGATTTTTCGGCGACGACTGGACGACCGGCGTAGGACCACTGCACGAGCACGAGCGTCGGAATTATCTCTTTGCTGCCAAGAGCGGCGGATGGGCTGCGGTGAAGAAGGATTACGATATGGGACCGTCGGAAACAGTGCCGTTCTTGCGGCCACTGCAAGGGCCCATTGACACTGAGCTCGAGGGTGCCGAGCGAAGCTGGAGCGAGTGGTTGGCGATGGAAGATTGGATGGTTGGGCCTCGATATCCGGATACGCTGCAAGATTCGTCATCAACACATTCTCGGCAACGCGTGTCGAGACCCTGAGGGCTTTCTCTAGAGAATCTTCAACCTACAGCAGTGCCGAGTTGCGGGAATCTATTCTCGGGAGACGGTTGTTTGCACTATGATCAATGAGAGCCGTTAACTTCTACTATCTTTTAATCAAATCCGTTTAGCGCAGAATACATCTCTCTGTGCGCTGTACCTGCTTTCGGGTGAGGTGGCTTTGCTGCGCCATTCAATTCAATAATCATGTGTCGCTTTTCAGCCTGCATTGACGGAGTTATTCTGGATTGTTATGAGCATTGACAGGATATCTTTTTCATCATATTATAAACGAAGGTTGGTGGTGGGGGGGAAGGAAAGGAAGGGAATCAAAAGGGCTGGCTGGTCATAGAGATGAGACCATAATTTACGTCTCATAATGTTGAAATAGAGGGTTTATATCCATGAACACTTGAAATATACAAAATCCCATTTCCGTACGTACTAAATACACGATACTATATCGTAAGGTGTTCTCCGGGCATAAATAACGAGCGAATACGCTCTGAATACAAGTTGCAGCCACCAAAGTCAGAACAATACGATCCACTCTGACAGTCCGTACACGGTATCACGCCCCGATTGGCCAGTTTCAATACACAATTGCAAGAAACGTCCCTAAAGGGGTTAGCTAATCCTATCCCCTACTAGGAATACGCATAAGACCCTTAGTTGCATCTGCCATGCATGAGTTGATCAGAAGCGTTAGTAGGAGCAACGCAATTGATCCATCTTATTGGCCATTAGGCTCTTTTCACACGTCGATTTTCGCGAACCCATCTATTTGGATGGAAATCCTGGCTGGTTTGCTAGTTTACGGCAGGGAGCATTAAGGAGTGTCACTGAAATTTTTCGATTTTTATGGTTTAGGTTCAACCTTAACTCGGACAAGTGTCCAGACAGGACCAAAATCGGAAATACGCCGTGCTGAGGTGGGAACTCGAGACGAAAGGCTTATATTTTTATTGCCTTCTAGGGGAAGATGTCGCGATCTTCTTTTTTTTTTTTTTTTTTTTGGGAATGGGAACCATGGAACGCCTGTTGATTAGTTGGGATAATTAATATGCGTTGTCACAAGTATACCAAGGAGATAAATTAAGGGGAAAGTTGAAACTTGACACCACACTGACCACACTTTATTATTAATGAGAGTTTTACTAACTTCATAGTTAACTCCTCCTAACTACCGCATAACTACTTACTGTGCGTATCCAAGGCCAAAAATGCTTGTATACCTACATCTGTAGCGATATACAGGATGCAGAGGAATTCGCAGGAACAACCATTTACAGTTTTATAATTTATTATCAACTACATAGGGTTATTTGTTCTAAAATCTTATCTCACGCCAAGTCGTTGTAGTACCCGCAGTGAGTTTCCCCTGAGCATCGCCAGAGGCTTGTACATGGTTTGTTAGAGCGCAGCGCACTCTTTAGCTTCGGCCTTCGTGCCATCCATGTAACTGTACGCTATAGAGTACGGCCTTTGGGGGAATCAAGCAGTACGAGCCTGTGGCTCCTCCGGCTCCACCAGACTCACACTCTCAGCCAGCCACCTTCATATGACATATACCCAAGAAAAGTTCGTACGGGCTAACCAATTCCTTTTACCATATCAAGACGATAAAAAGATGTGTTATTAACAGTGAATATGAGTATGAGAGGATATGTGATGTGAGTAAGATCAGTTCGTTGGGCCATTCGCCCGGATGAATTTGTTCTATATCGAATGTATCGTCTCTCAGGATCGAGACGGGATTGGAAATCTTGGAATCGGAGATACGTAGGTACATACCTAAACTACCCCCTCTTGTGGACGTCCCAATGAAACTGTAGGATTTATCCTAGGTTCCCTTAAGTCTCTTCGGATGAGAATTCCTCGGAGTACGTGTACATGTTACCAGCCAGAAGAGAATTGTGCGCCGTATGCAGAACCCTGGAGCACTCTCCAGGAGAATCAGCATCTTCCTGGGCCCCAAGTGTGTGCAATGATGTCCAATCCACTTGAAAAAATGAAACCAATGCCACGTACATACATACAAAAGATCTCTCTGACCACGCATTACCAATTCTGGAGGATACAAGTTGATTATGGGCCTAGGGCATACAATATTGGTCGAAATGGCATGTGCGATGGACAGACATAATCCTGCAGCTGGTATAACTACGAGACCTATCCTTCTATGCCGCTAAATAACAATCATCGTCTTCCCTAATACCAAGCACAATTACTCCCTTATGAAAGATCAGGCGGAACCTTTTCTATAGTACAATAAGTTGAAATCAAAAATTCCAGAATATACAGCAATAGCGCACAATAAACGTGATACTTGCCACAAAGGCCGATTTTGGACTAGTGCAATGCTCAGGAACGAGTTGCAACTTGCGATTGAGGATGCTAGAAGATGCGAATGAATAAAGAGTGCAAAACCGTCAGAGCTTTGTACTCGGTCTCATGCTCGTAGTTACATGTCGCTATCCTCTCTGACGTTATGAGCCAAAGTACAATTGTTCTCTGGAGCATCAGCGTATTGCGGACACTCCTGAATGATTTGAAGCACTCGTCGCACCGGGGGAAAACACGATACTTCCGGTAAATACCATTAGCGTCCTCTTAGGGGGTTTTATTGTCTAACGTTCAAAAAGTGAATCTACAACACAAAAAGATAAACTGGAACCACTCCAAGTTGCTAAGAAACAATAGCCTTAACCTGATTGGTCGAGGGCTTCAAGGTATATAATATACACTAACCCGTTATGGTTAAATGCAAGGAGGCAGCCTGTATTAAGTAAGCAACAGGCAGCGGGTCACGTGGCTCAAAATGATATCCGATGACAACAATCGTTGCGATAGTTACTCAAGCTCTTTGATTCATTTGATGCGCCGGTCGCACCGTTCAAATTACCTGTCGTCATTGACGGAGCTATTTATTCCCGACTATTTATACGAAGTGAGACATATATGCTATAATATTGGCCTGACCAATTACTACTAATAGTACTTCCTGAAGCGCGAATGCGCCTACCATACATATCAAATATTGAAACATGAAACCCATCGAGCAATGGAGAAAACTGCTCCATGGATGTGTGTCCCGTCGAGTTGAAGTACAAACTTTCCGCAAACTTGTCAAGATATTGTTGAGACGTGCTCCACTGCCACAGGCATCTTTGGTTGAGGTGTTGCTCGACTCCCGCTCCATCACTGCAGATGTTTTCCCTTATGATCCATTGATACCTCGGTATGCCACCGTGCTCAGGAGGCTGGGTGTAATAAGGACGTCCACTTTTCTCGATGGTGTGAGGAAACGCTCTTTCATCGGGTATACCGGCACAGATCACGACAAGCAAGCCGATCAAAAAAGAGCGGCCAAATCTTCGACACTAATGACCGATACCCGGATTGTGCAAGATGCTATAACCTCACTATCATCAACTAATTTGTCCCTAAGCACACATGAGGTCCATAGTTTATTCACGGTAGCCGCCGAATGGATCCTAGCCGTGGTCCGCTGGCATACAAGCAATATCAGCGATGATCACCAGTCCGGTGGCTTATTCAGCTCGTCAAATGCACTGGCATTGTTCGAATCTCTGGGAATTCTGTTGGTTGCTTTATCGACAACGGAAAAAGGTCTGGAAGCTCTTTCTTCCGATGACACACAAGGTATATCCCATATCAACGACGATGTGCGTTACTCGGTTCTAATCGAGTGATATAGGATTTAAAATTATGCTGGGACAAGCTCTAACCGCATACTTGTCATCATCTACTACTATTTCGTTGAACTTGCGGAATCGCCTTGACAGTCTGCAAAAAGGCTACCAGCTATATGGGGAACCAGCTCCGAAAGATCTTGATGTACAGATGATAGATGGAATGAATATGAACGCGCTCCAATTTGAAGCATCCGTCTTGGATGGGCCCGTGATTAATTCCAGAGCCGGTCTCTATATATACATTAATGCCCTAGTAAGTACGTTTCTATCTTACATGTAGCGACTCGTTAACGCAAATTGTCAGCTCGTTGGACGGCCCTTGATTGACGACGACATGCTTCTAAATTATTTGTCTAATCGCTATGGGGTATATATGCCCTCTCTATTTAACCCACCATATTAGACTTTCTTATTGACAATTCCTAGGGCCAGCAAGAAGTCCTCATCCAAGAGCTCATTACTGCGACATTCGATGTACTCTCTAATGCGATGTATCGTAATGAGTCTGGCCGCAATATGTTTGTATTTCGGTCATTCCTCGTCAATAAACTGCCACCATTTCTCGCCGGCATGGCAGCTACCTCGATAGATCAAATCCCCATGGAGATGTGTATCAGCCATGCGCTCAACCGGGTTGATCCTAACGCTTTTCCATCTTTCTCCCAGATGTTTGAAATGCAAGGAAATACCGTTCTTTCGGACGTTCGACAGGAATTTCTGTTTGCATGCGCTCTCCACCGTTTAATCCCCGAATCTAGTATCGAACGCTTGTTGGGAGAGAATCCAATGCAGACGCTACCCGTTGGTGGTCGATATGTTAAGGACGATATTGTGGTCAAGATTCATGCGAACCAGGAAGTAGCGGACCATCTGATATCGGAGATTGAGTTTATGGAAGGAAATGCAGGTGCTGTTGTCGCCGCTGTTACAGATGTGAGTTCCCTGCTACCAGTTCAAAGTTTCTGACTTATTCGTATCTAACACTTGCCTCAGGTTATACACTCCCTTTGTTTTCAGAAGGAAACGGTAACGCTGAAAAGCATTTGCAACTCACTGTCTCGGCGCCCCCAGGTTCTTGATGTAATGCTTCTTTTTCGCAGCCCAAAGAGCATATTACAACCTCTGTGCTCACTTCTAAACTCATGGAAGTGGGATGAAGATCAAGGTAACACTTCTCTCACATCAAAAATATATAGGTGACTAATAAGCGCGGCTTTAAACAGGCGAAAGCCAGCCCTTGTATGACGAATTTGGCAGCATATTACTTCTAGTTCTCGCATTTAAATACCGTTACGATCTCAATCAGTATGATCTCGGCATCTCAGATAGCAACTCTTTCATATTGGAACTATTTGATCGAGGTGCGACCAGTCTGAAACTGGCTAATCTTTCTGCTGAACAAAATAAAAATATTGGCGCTTGGATCTCTGCGCTCTTCATTGCGGAAGGGATTAGCGAAGAGACAATGTCAGCGTGCAGTCCCCAGAAGTTTTACATGCTTGTATCTACCTTGTTCAGCCAGACATTGGGAGCTTGCGAGCTGGGAAAGCTGGAACTAGATGTTCTCAAGGGTGGATTTGAATGTGAGTGACAAGTTTAAGACATTGAGAGAGACGTTACCGGCTTCAACAACTAACTGACCATGAAACTAGACTTGCTTGAGCCATTCTTGTTGCCCTCTCTGGTTTTTGCACTTACGTGGCTGGGGAACTACATCTGGGAATCATCAGAGACAGATCCCACAATCCCTCTTAAAGTGCTTTATGCTCTTGTAAAACCGAATTCAATATCTGGAGAGGCAGAGGCGTGCCACCGGACGGTCTTGAATATCACCGCACGAACCCTGGAAGAACAGCTAAAGGATGTTGCGCTTGCACTCGATGTGCGAGGACGAGATGCCCGAAATCCGAACCGCTCAAGTATCAAGTCAATCTATGACTCAGACATCAAGCCGATCCTGGACGCCCTCGAACCGTACTTATCTTTCCAGTGTAATGGAAATAGCCGTCGGTCTGAGCTTGATAGCTGGACTACACACTCCGAAGGCATCAGGGGCGCGATAAGGAACACATTCCAGGGCTTAGTATTATGGAGTGCGAGTGCTGGGATGAGCATGTCTCCTCACGCCTATACGCACCGCCTGATTCTTGCAGGCATACGCCTATGCACGTCGTCCGATGTGCTATCGGTCTTGATCGATGAGCTAAAAGCACAAGCAGAAGATGCTAGTGGCAGTTTTGACCTAGCGCTCGATGTCGCAACCACAATAGTATGCGCGCCAATGCCCGAGTCTTTCGCTCAGGAACACACGATATACCATCCAATTGATCCGAGCAAGGAGGCGTTTCCGCGTGCCCCAATTTTGACGCTCCGTGACGCTCTCATGATGCAGCATCAAAATGTAGCCAAGCTGTCTGAAAAGGATCCTGCTCGCGCCGAAGTCATAGTCAGACTAACTCGGCGCGTAAACTCCCTCTTGACGCCCCCAGCCCATGTAGGCAGTCTCGATGTGACCAATATAATTGAAAATATCAATCTTGAGGCTGCTGCCGCGGTCGCCGCAGGTCGCGATCCAATGGATCTCGGCGATGGCGCCGGCACAGGCGCGGGTACAGGTGATAACGGTGATGGGCTAGGGGGAGTAGGAGGTGCTGGGCCAGGAGCAGGAGGTGCCTCAAACGAGCCTATTGATCAACTCCTCAACGGCGTAGTTGCTGCCACGGCGAACAATGATGGATCTGGAGGCGCGTCGGATCAGCATGGTCTTGATACTGCGGGCATGGACACGAGTTTGGATGATATATTGAATGCGGCGAATATGGGGAATCCGGAATTTTTGGATCTAGATATGGAGGGGATGTTTTGAGGGTGTATGTATTTTGATTGATCTACTTAGTTATCTATACAATATACCTTGTTGCTTGATTTCAAATCCCTTTAGTTACCTAGGTATATATAGCCTTGGAATCTTCTGGTTACATTAGGATTACCTTGAATCCATCCAATACAACTAAATTAACATATGAATTGAATTCAAAAAAAAAAAAAAAAGAAGCAAGGAGTCGAAGGGATTTCCATTGATACCACATCTACGCATTGCAAGGAACAAGCTTTAATCAGGAGCGAACAACACATAAAACAGTCAGCATTTACATTGTACAACTGTCTATCCCCGTTGTCATCCAGTACCTAGATAGGTGGTAGGTATGGGCTGACATGACCTGTATCCCCAATCCTAACGTCCATCGATGATCATAACAGGCTAAGTTAAGTCAGTGCATCACATCATGACATAATACTGCATGAACATCTGCATCTACTTCCCAGCATATCCGTCGATTGCATGAAATCGACAGATCTCCATCTATCCATTGCCATGGGTTAACCATAGTCACTTCAACGCTGTCACCAGCTACAAAGTACGGAATGGCGACAGACATACCTCTCAAAGTCTACATCAACCCACAGCCATCGGTATTAAACATACGTATGCCGAGGTAGGAATCTCCTGACTCTTTCCTTTTCTGTGCAGCATTGCCTAGCAGCAAGCAGTAAGCACTAATGCTTGAAGTCTTACGATTTTTGCCATTTGAACAGTTCATTGATTATCTATCTACTCAGGTAGCATCTCTATCAGCTAACTAACGTCCATACCCACGAACTCGGAATTTGACTAACTGTGTATAGTCTATACTAACTATACAATACAGAATTATAGATATATATGAAGTATAATGCTATGGCATGTCAGCTTGAGGGCCTTAAATTCATTGATTAGTGTCCACAAGTCTAATAGTACATGCTACGTAGTCATGCGTGCATGGTTGAGTTTCTTCCGTTCCATCTTGTCTGGATACACTTATCCTGAGTTGTTTTCAAAGGTTTCTTCAGCTCAATTGTCCTTGTAAGTTCCAAGCTCGTCGCTAACTAAGCACTAAGCTGAGTTCTAGCAGTTGACTGAGTCGAGTACTACCTTGAGGTTGAATTGAACCGTTCAGTAGTCAATAGTCGGTAGACTATCTTGTCATGGGCGACTATTCCAGAGTCATAGTGACTATAGTCTGTTAAGAAACTTTTAAACTTAGAAGCTAGAACCAATATTTGTCATTAACTCATTGATTCAAGAACGCAAAATTTAGAGCGTACTTTGTACTTTGGTCTTTGTCTCAAGAATTAGCCTCTGTTTCTCCACTTCGTGTTGTTTTGCTTTGTCCGTTAGAGGATAACTAAAAGCTTGTATACTAGGTTGTTAGGAAAGCTAGAGACTTAAAAGAGTAAGACAGTAAGCTTCCAGACCCGAGGCTGCGTATACGGTGGATCGCTGGCTTGTATCCGATTGGGAAGTTCGTCATGGCCACCCACTAGTGGACGACTGACGACGCTCTTTTTTGTATGCACAATTGCCTGAGCCGTCTAATGATCCGCCGCAATTTCTGACGGGCTTGCTGCTAACTTTTTACTATCAGAAACTACGCCGAAGTAACCATACTTTTGGAAAGTTAGTAAAACTCTAAGCTAGAATTTGAAACACGATCAGACACACATACTCACAGTCACGAATCACAAATTTAGACTACTCCGTACTCCATACGCCGTACGGAGCAACGCAGTCAGACTTAATGCTCCCGAGTCGTTGGACTGGTACGCTAATTCTGCTAAGTGGCTTGCTATGCCCAATGAGGATGCCACTGAAGCAACTAGCTTAATATGGACCTCCATATGTGGAGAACTTGGCAGTACTCTGTGTCCCGTGTCACGGACTTGGCCAGGCTTAGGAGTATGCGCTCGTGAAAAGGTATCAGTCAGTGCACTGCTCAGCACGGAGTACGGCAAGGACGGACTGCATATGCAAAATTCAAATCCAAATCGTAATAATGCAACCGATGCTTGGAGCTGCCCTGATGAGTTTAGTTTCTTTCGCGCTGTCAAGGACGGAGGTGCGTTCTTGTCCTAGTTCATATTAGATAGTGTAGTACCAGGACTCCATAATAATTTACTAAAATGTTTCTCGGAAAGATTTGGCAGAACATTTCATCTGGATGGAAGGACAACATAGAGGAGCACGTGCTAACAGTAGAATTCTCCGTGAATGTAGGCCTTTGTATGTAGTACAGACTCTCCGTAGGCGTACATGCTCCGTGATTAGTGAAGCTGAACGCTCGCTGTCCTCCGTACGACGGAGTATGTACCAAGCTTGATTTAGCACTCCGAGAATCCCGGACATACGGTATTCGTGTGGATTGAAGCCCCATCAGGTCATGAAGATCCGCGGGTCGCTGAGGAGCGTCTGTCCGAGTTTGAGTTTACGAGCTGGTGAGCACTGTGCCTCTGAGTACGGAGTACTAAGTACTCCATACAGAGGAGGTAGCAAAGTACATCGCTAAGACCATCGGCCACTCTGATGCACGAACTGAATCTAATTTCTGTAAACGCAGGTAGAGATATCTCGACAAGATTAACTATGCAGGGCAGCACAGATTTGCCGTAGAATGTTATTAACCTCGACACTGGACAGCCAAGTTCCAACGTTACGCGATGTAGATCACCAAGGCTTGTCTTGCACGGGATAACACAAATTTGATAACCGGTTGCTATCTTCAACATCCGTCCATAAATTCATTGATCAATAACTTCAACTCTGGCCACTTGATGCCGTTCTGACCGCGGGAGGATTGCCATCAGGAGACAAGCGAAATAAGACTTGGTGGAGATGCGGGTCTCATTTATGATTCCACTCGTCCGCTATCCAGCCATCCTGTTGACAGTCTGGTGCGCCGGACAAAAGTATTCACTATTATCACTAGTGACTCGTGAACGGCTCAAAACTGGAAGACAGGCGATCCAATTTCGGTAATACCTTTGTCAGATTGTCTAAAGAGCTTCATTCTCTCTTGAAAGAGAGAATCAGGACAGAGATGCTTCCTTTGCGCCGGGTGTAGTACTCTGTAGTTGCTACGGAGTAGATATTATATTAAATAGTGCCGATATCTCCGTTTGGTTCCACGGTAGAATTGAAAGTCAAAAATGTCTGGGCAACTTTGTTCCATTATCAGGACTTGTAAGTTGGTGTAGAGAATGCCATTCATTGTTGGACAAGGAACAACTGCACCCCGCAGTGAGTCAGTTAAATTTTAAACGATATAAAGGTAAAGAAGTTGTTGAAACCAAAGTCTGGATGCCAGGGTTACATACTTACTTATGCATTGGGAACCATGTCCGTGGTGGAAGTGTTCACTGTTGACTACTGGTCCCTAAGCGTCAGGATCATCGACATTGTTTAGCGATATCAACAGTTGGACAAAGTCCGTTGCTGTGATGATGAAGACAAAGAACACGCTCACGGTTGCTGTTGTGAAAGAACTGCCTTGGTCCCGTGACCGTCAGGAGCCCGTGGCCGGGGAAGGCTAGCTAAACAGGAAAGTGGCGCCGATGGTCAAGGCCTGCTTTCGGCCGATGAGTTTTCTTTCACTTTGCAGCTTTTGTTTATTGCATTGTGATCCTTCCCGGCTTCCGCGTCTTGGCAAATAGACAATGTCATTGTGTGCGAGTCAGTTTAGGAGCAATAACTGCCAATGACATGGTGTATATTTACAATATTAGATATTTATAGAATGAAATGTAACAACAGCGAGCACTGCTATTTCAATGTCAACGGCTTTGCGACTTTGTCCCTGTTCGAAAGAGCACGGTGCTCGATGTTAATAGGATACTAAGTATCACTAGCGCGAAAACTTGTTGATTTTTTGCCACGCCTCTGCGTCACCCTCGGTATCATGTGGCTTTCTCATCGCGCAAGGCCTCGACTTAGCACCTCGCTCAAGCACTCTGTAAGCGAACAACAACCGTCGTCTAAAGAATTGATAGACATGGCAAATAATACATTGAAAAACACGGGTGATCAAAGAAGAGGGCTGCAGTAGCGCGGGTCCAGCCCGTACATATTGCATATGCCCCCGTGTTCACTGCGGGGTGCCATTCCACGATTCGCTCAATCATATGAAATTGTAGCAGTCAAGAAAGTGATGGGCCAATCACAAAATTGAAGTAGAGAAATTTCTGTTGCTAGTGCGGCCTAATCAGGAATGCGCTCGAAGATCGTGTGGCTTGCCGAGGCATGCACGTTTCCCGAGATGGTCAGGGGTGCATGCAGGATGAAAGCGCTGATTGGTGGGAGGCCTTCTAGCGATTGGTATAGTGGGGTTGTAGTGGAACCATGGTTGGCTGGTTTTTCCCCGTCCATGTTTCCATTGGTTTCTTGGCTCTTGGTTTTATTCCTGAAATTAAGCCCTATTAGCGTTCACCGTTGTGCTGCTTAAATCAGATTGGGTTCGCCTGTTTGTCGCACAAAAGGCCCTTTTCAGTTTTTTACTCCGGGCGGGGTATGATTATATTGGTGGTTAGATACGTGATTGACAAGCGTGGCTGCATAGATATACGAATTCAATGGAATCGAGTCACGATGCTAAACAAAGTAGTGTTTCATCAGCCCTATTTGAAATTTCAGGCATTCTCATCACGAAAAGCAAGGCAACTAGCTCGACTGGGATTTGTTCTCTAATGCGATGCAATGCAGTCTGATTAGATGTAATTTGCTAGTAAGATGTACGATGATTAAGATAATTATCTAAAGAGACAACCGCGGCAATGTAAATTCGGCAATTCGCCGTTTCTACAATTCTTAGTCCTAGACCCGCAGCTTGACTGAGAGATATAATCGTAAATGCAACTGACGATGATCCATGGCCGGGTTGGGTAACTGAAAACGTGACGAGACCAGGCTAGATCCTTGAAAGTCGTGTCAAGGCTCGTGCTCAGCATGCAATATCTGAAGCGTGCGGCACATATGAAATGTAGGTACTTTATGTAGAACGTGAGCATACGTGTAGCCATGAAAGTGGCATGTAAGTCTGCAATGCAATGAAATTTGAATTGAATTTATGCGAGTTGAAAATTTCAATGGGAACTGGTCTATTGTCAACGGTGCGGTTGGGTTCTTAATATATCCGTGATCCGTTCCACACGCACCAGCGGGAGCGGACGGGCCTTGATGGAAGGAACCTTGCGAGCTGCGGATTAGGGCATACCCGCATGCTTAATAGCACCACACTTTCTACTCGAAATTATAGGCGGATCTCGTTCTATGATTCATATCCCTGAATTTATGATAATATGGGGTAGCTATTTGTGACCTGCATCCTGCCAGGTCACAGTCACATTGTCTATGCAAGAATTCTATGATTTAAAATTTATAATATCCCGGCTTCTATACCAGGAAAACCTCTCATAATAGGCTTGTTTTTTTTTTCGACTTGGAATCAAATGTGACACAGCTCCTGTAGGGCAAGTTCCTTGGCGACAACAGCAAATGTCCATATTCCGTACGTACATAACTCCGTCCGGAAAAGACGATGCATTTCGTGCTCATCACATACAGAAAGCGCGAATGAGATCGTAAAACAATATACAGCATGTAACTGCATATTTTAGTTGGTTACTATCAGTATCCATGGATCCCCAGGATGGCCGAGAAAAATCTCCACCTCGTATTTGCACATTGTCGATCTATTTCTCGTCGTCAATTGTATTCAATTTTGACTCATTTTCAATTTTCAAACCTAACTAGCTTGATTGCTGCCTTATCGTTGCGATTTGTCCCGCGAAGATTCTGTTCTGCTAGGGGCAGTGTTCACTATTCACTGTTGCTAACCAGCCCTAAATACTTCACAACTCCGGAGTTATACGGAAGTCACTTTGGTTCTCAAAATTCATTAGCTACTGATTGACTAAGAACCGCATTACGTACCCATATCCGCGAGGGAATTAATTAATCCGTCTATCGATCAGCACTGAGCCACTGACTGCATAAAGCCATAAGCCTACACCGTACTAATCACAACGCCTCTAGCATGGCCCACTCAATGGGTCTGGGTGGACGCGTCCAGTTCGCCGGGCTTTCCATGACGGTCCGTGGACTTGACGGCGAAGGTAGAGACTCTCCTCCGCATTAGAGAGCTCTTTCTCTCTTTGTATGTTTTCTTTTCCATTGGTTAACATGGAAGCACCCAGGTACTCCGTACACCGACATGAATTTGTTCAACATCAGACAATTCCTCCGCAGAAATACTGTGTTACCTACTGTCTTCGGTAGTGCTAACCCCCCCCCGCGCCATGTTCTTATTTGTATGGGGTTGTTTGTTTTGGGGATCATCCGCGTCCGTTCATTGCTGTTCCACGGTTCAAAAGAATCTGGTTCCGTTGTGGTGGGTGATCTTCCCTTGCAGTTGGTCGTTACCAGCCATAATACTCTACTTCATACAATGGCGTACATACATTAATTAACGAATGAATTATATTATTATAAAAATAAGCTAAATGTGGGTTTTTTTTTTTGTATGCAGGACCACTTTGTCATCAAATTCGGTAATTGTTGTACGCTCTTTATCTAGGCCCAATATTTCATTGTTCAATGCTTTACTCCATAGCGACACAATCATTGATTCATCGACTATGAGCTCTATTTACTCCGTACCTTGATTGCTGTTTTGCTGCCCGACCTAAATACTCTTGCATTGTATGGTGGATAGAGTCGAATTTCAATAGTAATTCTGTCGGTGCAACCGGCGGTTAGTTAACATGCGGGTTAGGGCTTATTACCCGATTGCCTTCAGAGCTGCGCGCCATGCACCGTGCGACGCGTTCTTCGGTGCATTTTTAAATTGAATGGCCGTGATGAGCGGAGAAATAGTTTGCTCAGAACATTTGTTTTTATTGCATACCGACAATTGTCCTTTATCATACATACAACACACATGCTGGGTGCGTGCAATTGAAGCTGAGCGGGAAGCCTCGGCTGCCAACCAAAACTGATTAATGTGACAGTGTATCATCGAGGTTGGTGGCAGTCAGAATTTAGAAGTACATTTTTATTTCCTCTTTGAAGTCTCCCGAGTCAGTCGGGATGTATGCCTCGACTTGCCGTCATATTCATAACTCTACCACCCCTGGCAGGCCAAGCTAGCGCTAGCCAGGATAATAATGCAAATTGGGGGGTGGAAACGATCAACTCTCGTCTCGTGCAGACTCCATCAGCGTACAGCAGCTCCAACACGGGCTGTGATTAATTAAATTTAGCTATATTGCCGGAGGGCCGGAGACGAAGCCGGAATAGGCTGGCTTGCCTTCTTTCTGCCTAGCACGACTAATAAACCGCCTGTCAACTAATTAATGTGAAGACACTAAGCTGCTCGCCCGTTTGGACGGCCGGGACGTGTGATGATTGTGTGATATCCTCGAACAGCCCATTTGTGGACACGACTCGTAGCAGAGCGACGATGGTTTAGTCAGTGCTGAATCCGGACATCACACATATAGTTCGTTACTATACACAGACAGTTGCAAACCGGCCTGAAAAACGAGGCCACATAATTGCACAGCGTAGATTCCTTACCCACCCGGCGTGCTAGACCGAAAAGGAACAAGAGGCACAGCAGGAAGGAGCGGCACGGTGAGAAAGTTCAGAGCAGAAAGAACCACCCCCCACCGGCCAGACCCTTCCTTCCTTGTTGTATACTTGCCTACTAGTTACCTATCCGTACGGATTATACTAATGCCAATGGGCCCCCTCCTTCCTCAATTGCTCGTTCTGCTTTCCACCTCGCCGTTCTTCTCTCCCTCTCTCGCTCGCTCTCTCTGGCTTCATCAAGCCTCGACCATCTTCAAGGCTTGCTTCAATTCATTCCATTTCATTGACTGCTGCTGGTGGCTCTCCTTCCCGTTCCCGTGTTGATAAGATAAATTGATACGCACAGCCCGCCTCCCTGGCTCGTCTCCTTCCTTTTACGTCCCTTTTTTTACCTCTAGCCCTTGCGTGCAATATTGCCATTGCCATTGCCACAATACTCAATCACAACGACGTACGTTGCTATAGGAGAGGCGCTTTCTTTTCCGTCGGTCTCCTGGATCCAGTCGCTACCTGGCTGTGCCTGTCCCTTCCGCCTCTTTTTAGTCTTACCCTAACTCAATTTCCACCGGCCGTTAATTGACTGGGGTCTCGACGATATTATTACCGTCCTTGTTATAATATCCCCTATTATCAATCAACCGTTATCCATCGTCTCCGGCAAGACGCATCGTGAGACACTTTTATTCTTCTTCAATCAACCTTGAAGGTGTAACTCTTAATTGAGGCTGGAACGCAATTACTATCAAAACGCAAGAAGAGACGGGGAGTCAAAAAGAAAAAGAGAGACGTTACTTGTGCACTGGACTGTAAGTAAACAAGGACTTTCAATTTCCCGCTCGTTGCTGCCCCAGAGTCAAGGCTATTATTATTATCCCTTCCCGACGAAGGGGCTGCCCGTGTGTTGACATTCCGTGTTTACGATTTCCCTTCCTCCTTGATACGGGCACATTCCCCGCTTTGACCCTGTCTCCTTCTAGTATTCGCCATTCTGTCGTTGTGCGAGACACTGACTGGGTAAACTCATTGCAGACCAGAGAGGACAAGAAACAACGAACAAGAACACAACAGCCTTTTTGGAGAACAATAAATATAAACAACAGAAAAAGAGACCGGTCCTTGGAAAATTTCGTGCAAAGACCGTTTCTTATGCAGGAGTCAGATGGTGACGATGACAATTGGGGCCTCATCGATGTAAAATTCGAAAGACAACAACTGGATTATACAATCTTCCGTCAAAATATCTCAATAAGAGCATGGAACCCTCCGGCCACAACGTTGCCCCGTTGAATATTATCAAAGGCAGATCGCGTCCACCAATTCCGCATCTCAATTTCTCGTCTAGCAGCTCAACTGCGACAATAGGTCGTAGCCAACAACAAAACCGAATCACGCCTCCAACAACACCCCAGAGATCTCAAGACGTCATGTCTGAGTGTGCTGAAGATGATCGTCCGAAATTCCACAACTACCTTCGTGCATTTTATCCATTTCATCCATCAGGTTCAGTGTCGCCATCCACTGTCACTCTCCCACTCAACCAGGGCGATGTTATTCTAGTACACTCGGTTCACGTAAATGGATGGGCTGATGGCACCCTCCTTGAAACTGGGGAGAGGGGATGGCTTCCTACTAATTATTGTGAAGCATATGATCAAATCGCCATGCGCCCCCTCTTGAAGGCTTTGACCGATTTTTGGGATATAATTCGGGGAGGTTGCGGCACATTCCTTCGCGACTTTGGGAATCAAGATCTCATGAGAGGTCTGATTGCTGGTGTGAGATTTTTATTGGTGAGTTTTTGATCAAGGATATACGGGCGAGGGCTGTCTCAAATTGATTCTAACAGTTCCACAGGAGAAAGCAGAGTGTTTGACTCGGGAATCAACCTTGGTTCAGCGTTACGACGGACTGCGACGAAACCGCAAAGCTTTACTTGCCGACCTCTCCTCTCTAGTGAAGTCTGCTAAACGATTGCAAGAGCTGGCCAATGGCACTCCAGGAGATGACGAGGTTGAACAGGTCCTGGACGAAATGCTTCTCAAGTCTTTCAAGATAGTCACTCGAGGAGTACGATTTTTGGATGTATGGAACGAGCATGTTGGCCTGACGAGAGCGATCATGGATTTGGAGCCTACTACCCCGGACAATTATGATACACCCATCTTAACTCCTTCGACCGAAACATTTTCAATCTCTGATCGCAGTACTACCGCCATCCCAGAGAGAAATTGGAGTCGTCCCCTTCTCAGCCAAGCCTCAAATCATGGAGACATTCATAGGTCTTCTATATATTCTACACAACCACCATCTGCGATGTCGGATCGGGGCAATCGAATTTCTGTTTCCCATAGAGTATCTTACACTGGACCATCTGCCAACCAACGCAATGCTGATCTCGCATCAGTGCGTTTAGGAAATGCGTACGACGGTTTCTTAGGAGTGTTAGGATCATTCATTGGCCTTCATCTGCAATCGCGGTCTTCCACCGAGCTCATCCTGACCACACAGCAATCGGTGCAGTCTTGCCAGGCGCTTCTAACCCTTGTTGAGTGTATATGGGAGCATGACTTCCGACGCTCCTCTGAGTTGCGTCAAGCCAAGGATACAATGTACGATCGGATTACAGAGCTGGTTCATGCGGCCCGTGACGCTTTTCGGCCAAACTCTACCGATGATGAAGTTCTCTTCATGCCGGATGAAGGAAAGCGTCTTGTAGATGCTGCTACAGACTGCGTCCGCGGAGCTGGTAGCTGCGTAGCCAAGGCTCGTGCTGTACTGGAACAAATCGGTGACTTCGACGTCGGGTTTCCCACAGGATCATCTCCAGTTACGGTCAACTCCAACGACACACCAAATCCAGCTGATGTTCACATGGAAGACAGCGAGCCTCAGCAACCGTCACCACTTCGCCTGCTACCGCCACCAATTTCCATTCCTCAACACAACGAGTTGAGCCCTGCCACCCCTGCTCTTACTGCCGGCACCACACCATCATCACTTGTTTCTAAAACCGAACTACAGAGTCCGAAGCTCGATGTGGATGTTGACACAACTCCAATTGTAGTGAACAATATCAGTCCGTCTGATTCAACTTATCGCGACCACGTCTCTCAAAATGATTCACAACATGTATACCGTTTTGAAAATAGAGGCACGACCAGTACAGACAGCTCCTTCACGTACAAGAGTACTGTCCGTAATTCGGAAATGAGCGGGCTTTCACAAACCTCAACACGCGCAACATCCCCGGACATTGGCGCCAGCGTCGAGATGCGATCTCTGAAAGAGAGCATCAGTCGATCCACACTGGCCGAGGAGAGTGACGAGACAGAAGCGAATATTCTTGGAAAGACTTTTGCGCATGAATTAGTGTTCAAGGATGGTCAGGTTGTCGGTGGTAGCCTGAGGGCGTTGATCGAAAAACTCACTGCACATGAGTCCACTCCCGACGCTCTCTTTGTCTCGACTTTCTACCTCACTTTCCGTCTTTTCGCCTCACCTATGGATTTTGCGGAAGCGCTTGCAGAGAGATATGACTATATTGGAGACACACCACATGCAGCTAGCCCTGTCCGACTCCGCGTTTATAACATCTTCAAAGGATGGCTCGAGACTCACTGGCGCCACGACTGCGACATAGTAGCTCTTCCTTATATCCTCGAATTTTCGAAGAACAAGCTGATGGAGACTCTGCCAAACGCCGGAAAACGTCTCGTCGAGCTGGCTGAAAAGGTGTCTTATGTGGATGGGCCCATTGTTCCACGACTTGTGTCAGCAATAGGCAAAACAAACACAGCCATAGCGCAATACGTCCCTCCTGAGACTCCTCTACCGGCTCCAATTATTAATAAGAGTCAGTTGAACTTATTGAAGCAATGGAAAAATACGGGGTCCAGTGTTAGCATTCTGGATTTTGACCCCCAGGAGCTGGCACGCCAAATCACCCTCAAAGAGTCGAGAATATTCTGCTCTATTCTTCCAGAGGAGCTGCTGGCGACTGAGTGGATGAAGAAATCCGGATCATTGGCAGTCAACGTGCGCGCCATGTCCACACTTTCCACAGATCTGGCTAACTTGGTTGCTGATTCTATCCTTCAATTGGAGGAACCAAAGAAGAGAGCAACTATCATCAAGCAGTGGGTTAAGATTGCCAAGCAATGTCTTGAATTGAATAACTACGACTCTTTGATGGCAGTTATCTGTTCATTGAATTCTTCCACCATTGTCCGTCTAAAGCGCACATGGGAGTTGGTATCCCAGAAGACGAAGACGACTCTAGAATCACTCAAGGAAGTCGTTGATGTTTCACGCAACTATGCCGTTCTCCGTCAACGTCTACAAAACCGCTCCCCGCCAACATTACCTTTTGTCGGTGTATATCTGACAGATTTGACCTTTGTCGACCACGGCAACCCGGCTACCAGGAATCTTCCTACCGAACATGGCGGCATGGCTGTCATTAATTATGACAAGCATATGAAAACCGCCAAAGTCATCAGCGAGCTCCAACGCTTCCAAATACCCTACCGGCTTACCGAAGTACCCGAATTACAGACTTGGATGCAAGATCAGCTTGTTCGAGTCCGCTCGAACGGCGAGAAGAGCTTCCAAAACTATTACCGCCGATCTCTGATCCTAGAACCGCGTGAAACACCCCGATCGGGCTCTGTCGATGCCTCTGCACCTGCTCGTGAGATAGCTAATACCAGATTTGATTTTCTGACCTGGTCGCATACATCCAAAGTCAAATCGGTGGCGACGACCAGTTAAGAGACAGCCTCTCTATAACTTCTACCGTTCACATCTTACAACAACCATTTATCTATTTCAAGGATATTACGAATTTTATGAATTACTAAGGATCTACGGTTACCGGCGTCATATTGTGTTTAATATATCTTTTTTTTGGGGATTATCTGTGTATTTTCAAGTTATCATACCCTTCATGTTGTGTTATCTATTGTCTTTTTATACTTATTTTATTATGGTGGGTGGCATTTATCGATGTATATGTTATATAAGTGTCTTCTCTTGTCTTCTCAAAGACACACGAAGATATGCTTCTTGGTTTGTTTATGCGAGGAGGATATATAGCGGGTGGTTGGTTTGGAGATTATTTTTTTGTTTGCGACACCAAAAAAAAGTTGGGTTGGTACAACAAAAGTTGGTGGCTATCTTGTTCATGTCGTTGTCGTTGTACGTTGTATGTACATTATGAAGGAATTTGCCTAAATTGTGATAGCTGAGATAATATTGAGATTAATAGTGTTGAAGTTATGTCCTTTCTTTTACTTGTAGTTGATAAGTAAAAAAAGTAGAAATCACATTATTACATGCCTCGTCTTTCTGAGCTATACATATATATAGATAATAATACAGTAAATCTGCAACCTAGCCATCTATCCAACAGGTCAAATCGAGTTACTTGCGTTTCCACTTCTTGAACGCCTCAAAAAAGCTTTGCTCTTTCAGATTGTCGCGGTTCTCAAAGTAAGAATAATCGCTGTCTGTTTCAGACATAACAGGGATAACAGGTAAAGTATGCGGAGGATGAGCATGCCGACGACCGTCGTCGTCGTCGTCAACCGCAACAATCGGAATCATGGTCGGTCGACCGTGAGCACATTGGAATGGAAATACACAGCCCGAAAGTCGAGATATAAGGCTTTTGCATTCTTCCATGGATAAAAAGTCGTTAAACATTATTGAGCTTCGACAGGCTCGCGAGTTTATTAGGTCTGTTATTCCTTCAGGACAGCCTGCTATCCAATGTAGCCATGGGAAGGGTCGTTGCATCGGTGAGCTGGTATTCGGAGCAGAGTTGGTAGTGGTAGATGGTCGTGGTGGTGGAACTCGTTCGCCTGCTCTGCTCCATGTTTCCTTCCTTAAAACGTCAATGAATAGCTTTGGTTCCAGTCTGCATCTTTCGACAATTACATGTGGCAGAGCTTCGATTATGATTGCGGGTCGTCTCTTTGTTGTATCGATGAGCATCTGCTCTACCTTGTAGTGGCACCCCCAGGACGAGAAATATTTTGAATACGTCTGGAAGGGCGTCACCTCGTTCTCTTGTATGGGATATTGTATAGGCGTTGGTAGTGTATGCACGCGAATGGAAACATTTGCAGTTATTCCATCTACCGTGAACATATCGGATAGCAAATTTTCCAAACGACATCGCTCATCCGCCGCATGTTGATCGACAAGAACCAAAATCTTGTCAGCTTTGCCATCTTCACGGCGGTGTTCTTGAGCCGTCGCCATTTTTACGAGGATGAATTTGCGGTCGACTTGCGCAATGACTCCTGCTTTAGCAAGACCTTTCCGAGAAAGCCTGCCGCTGTTTTTATTGATGGCTTCTGTCATATCCGCTAGGCCCCAGCTGTGATGGTGACATCCTTGTATGTCATTGCGAGTAGAATAGTCGCCAAAAGCAGTGTCAGCCGCGATTGACATGATTGGCTTTTCAAGCCGCGAGAAAACAGGGTTAGCCCAATTATCAATCAGGTTTTCGTACCAGACAGATTCACTTCGAGCTGGTGCAGATTGTGGGCGTTCAATGCATTCTCTGCTGTATCTACTCATCAAAGAGTCAGTCGAGCGAGGCCGAACAAAGCCAATTGTCGTATTTGGTCTGTCGCTCTCAGGATGCCTGGCTGGACACTGCCCCGTTCGTGAGTTAACAAGTACTACGCCGTTAGTACTAGGGTCAACCCATCGGATAAGTCCATCTGTCGTTTCCTGTCTCGAGTGCAGAGTTTGAATCGCTTCATCCAGGGGCTTTTCCTCAAACCGAGACGGAATGTCAAAGAACTCAACATCCAAAGGAGATCCAGTAGTTCTTCGGTAGCTATGCTCTTTCGGCTGACATGACAACAAATCATTGATGGTCTTGTTGTCCCCAGTTTTGACCCTAGACCAGCTGGTAAAATTGTTGAAGTAATGCGAGCATTGTTTCCTGAATGGGGCAGGTATCTTGACACCGCTATCGAAAGCTTCCCTGGAAGCCGTCGCAGGCACACCTCTGACAGAGGTTATAGGACTGGTGTCTCCAGTTCGCTTATCAGTGCCACTCAAAGATGAGGCAGCGGCATCATGAGGACGAGGTTTCGATGGTGCTTCTTTTAAGACTCTTCTTCTCTTTCGAGGACGATAGTGATGTTGCTGCAAGAACTGAGAGAACATAGCGTGCAGGACCTCGGTAATATGTTGTAAAGTGCGGTCTGACTCGACTACCAGCTCATCGTTTGGAAAGATATCCCAAGACTTTTTAACGTCGATGCGCAAGTAAAACATAGGCCATCGTTTGGTACCTCTTACCATACCGCTCAAGTTCGGTCCACGCCCTTCGAGGGTGCCTGAATCCCTGTTAGTTTCAAATGACCTTTCGCTTAGTCCAAAATCGGAGGCCGTGAAGACCTGGTTGATCTCATTATATAAGACATTGGTGTTGCTATGTGCATTATAAACGGGGTTTATCCCCAGTGAAATGAACTGATATAACTTCGTAGGGCTAGAGGAAAGTGCAACGTATGCTTTAACAGCAACTTCCAATGTGTTCGCTGACATGCGCACCCATTCATTAGCTCCAGTAGATGTAATCAAGCCCGATTGCGCAAAGATAGTTTGCAGGCGTAAGATTTCGGCTTCGGCGGCTTCTGATTGTGGAACATCTGCGGGAACATGTGGGAGGCGGATTTGTAATGTGTGGGTTCTATCTCTATCGGAAAGGCGTAGTTTTTGAAGTCGTACATTGGACAGAGCGAGTGCTACTATCATTCTTTTCAGCTCCTCCCACTCTTTGTCGATATCTTCCGGCCTATGCAGAGTAGATGCTCGGTGCTTAACCCGAACAGGCATGTTACCGAAAAGATTATTCACTGTGACTCTGGTGCCATGGCTTCCCTGTATCTCTTGATGCGTGGGAGCAGGCATAAGGCGGGAAATGACTTTAGACTCGTGAAAGATAACTGTATTGGTCTGGGGCTGACTGTGATGCCGCGAACTAATTATTAAAAGTGACATGGTGGCTAGCGCAGATAGAAACAGTCCCTTGTAGCTTGATGCTGACTGCCGACCAGCTTTGGAGGTATCTGAAACATTGTTAGAAACATCCAAGAAAATAGGGCGTGTATGACCTACAATGAGCTCGACAAAGTCCACTGCCAGCCTGAAACTCTGCTGCCGGCAGCCCATATCCGTCGTCTTCCACGATACAGCCACCTCTTCTGTAGTCTATGGTGATGTTGAGTGACCCGGCATCAGCATCTAGTGCATTCTTTATCAATTCCACGACGACTTCATTCAGATTCGTTATCCTCACGGAGGATTGCACCTTTTTTGCCACTTCTGGTGGGAGCGGTAATATGGGCGCATCATCCTCCGCCATGATATGAGGCAAAGTAGGTAGTGTCTCAAGTCAAGTCCAGATCCAAATCCATTTTGATTCCTGAAAAGGCTAGAAATACAAGAGCACAGGAGCGTTCATGCATGTCTGGCTACAGCAGGCACAGGGCCATGGCAAATGGAAGGAGCGAGTTGGTTGGTGGTTGGTGCTTGATTTCCTCTGTTCAATCGAACCATCACGTGTATTGAAAACTGGAAAAGGATTATGCCACAGACACCAAGCAGCTGCAGCAGTATGAAGACATCAATGGAGTGTCTACGCAGTGTGAAGGAAATCAAGTGATCGACACGTGATACATATCTGCCGGCCGGAGATGTGGGCCCCATCAAGCATCGTAATCAATTGGGCTGCCGAACTGTACCCGCTTCTGCCAGACTCTCGCATTCTCAGTCACTTGTTCAACAGTTGCTACTTCCTGTGCATATGCTTTTTTGTCTTATTCAGTAAATCTTTACCAGCAGTTGCTCCAGCACTGTCCATCGATTTGCATCACCTCGAAGCGATCACCGTCGCCAGCGGGGCACCTTACTCCTCAGCTCCCTCTCACCTCAGAATACGCCCCTTTCATGCGATTGTCCCGTATGGGCTGAGCTCCAAGGACGAAGATTTGAACTCTCACGACGACTGAATTAACGAGAGGCTTTTTATTAGTGAAAAGATGGTTATGACAGAAGCTCCAACTTCACATGGTAGTGTCTCTTTCTTCTTGTGTGCGACAATCGGCTAACATGCGCGCATGTGAACAGTTCGCCATGGTCGTCGAAGGCCATTTTCGACGTGGATGAAACGACTGACAAACCTCAAAGGCTCATCATCAGGTTCGCCACCAGACAGAACATCGGGAAAGCGCAATAATGGACTACATTTGAAAGGCAAACGACAAAATAGCACGAAGAACAACCCATACCCCTTGTCAGGCACGGTGCGGGATAACGTTGGATCATCTCGTCGGAGCTACAACGACACTGTGTCTTATGCGGACTCGACTGAACAGCATCAGAACCAAGGCTCCAGTCAACAATCATTTCATGCCTCCAATTCGGAGCCGAATATTTTAGGTAATAGCTCTAAGTCGACCGCACCGACCCTGTCTACCAACGGTGACACTGCGCGATCTGAAGCCGGCTACTCCAAGGCTGGGACAACAGTGACGGGTCACGGAGGAGTCTATGGAGGTGGGGAAGGCAGCACATTTTCGTCGCCAGCACCATCTGTGCGTTCGCTGACCACGACGTTGACTACAGTACAGTCTACAGCGCCGTCGGCTCAAATATATGGTATTACGCAGAACAACCAAGCCAATAATGGATCAAACATGGGAGCCACGAATCTATCGAACAATAATACAAATCAACAAGTTCAGTTTTCTCATCAGTTTCCTTCCTCGCCGGCATCTGCTGTTCCCCCTCATGTTGCAACGACAGGGCATCCAACAACATACAGTTCTGCAACGGCGAATAACCTTCTCACTGATAACGCCTCAATCCTCACGCTTGCCTCGTCCTCCAAGCGTCGACGCAGAAATTCTCTCGACACCAATGCCTCTGTACGAGCTCTTGCGCCTTCCTCAGTCTTTGGCGGTAGCCGCGAGAGTCTGCCTTTGAGTGTCCTCAGTGCCAATGTAGGTGTTGACCCGTCCAACACCTCGATAACGAACGCGTCGGGCGTTCTGAGTCGGCAGAGTCTTGGAGGTCTTGCTAGCGCAGAACGCATTAGCGTATATTCAGCGTCTGGAACTGTGCCGCTTGAGAGAAGTAGCTTGATTGGCAACACCGCCAACAACAAGCAAGGCGACAGCGGCAGTGTTCGCAGCGGTACGCACTCACACACCCGCAACGATAGCGCAGCTGGTAGCGTCGCTGGAACAATAGGAAGTACCCTGAATAACGCCGCGATCGCACCGAGCGCAACGACACCCGGACGGATTAGTCGACGAAGTTCCGGCTGGGGCGAGATTTCAGGCGAGGGAGCAGAGGCTCAACAAGGAGCGACCGACCAGCCCCGGGCACCGGAAAATGGCCACCACCAAGACGAAAGCACAGACAAGAAGGCCGAGCAGCCAAATCGAGAAGATAGCCCTGCTGCCAACGGCGATCCTGGGCCTGTTGTCGACGACGCATTGAATAAAGGACAATAAGACAATAAGCTGGAAATATTTGCATGAATCTTGTTCTTGTTTATTGCTCCCCTACTGTTTCTTTTCTTTCGATTAGTTTGTTTACTTGTTTCTTTTACCGGTCATGACCCTACGCATAATACCTTGATGTTAGTGATTTTATAAATTAGCCAAGACGAATATCATAGCAATTCTCCATGTTCTTCCTTTCATACTACATCTGCATACTGAGCACATTAATTATGGATAGACCTCGCATTCAAATAAGTCAAAGAGGTCCCGCTTACTCATAATCTTTCAAGGGAAGACATAGTTTGAATTGATCATTGAAATTATGAAATTGACGTAATCGTTTGACGGTTTATAATAAAAAAAAAAGATAAACCAGAATACCACACCATTGCTCCCCTTTGCAACCCCCGCCCTTAACAAGCCCCAAAGTCAACAAGTTGAGAGTATCAAATATAAACATGAAATATACATAAAAAAAAAGGTCGAACGGCGTATAAATCGTATCAATCAATGAGTCAATCCGTTATATGGATGAGTTTTATGTTGTTCTATCGTAGTTTTGTTTTTGATTTTGCTCTTGATTATTTCTTTTATCTTTCTGACCATGTTTAGGCAGTACCAACACCAATCTTGGATCCGGCATTGCCCTTCTTCTGGTTGGCTAAGAAGTTCTTGAACATGTGCGCAATGTCGGATTCACTCTTTTGTTTTCCATCGCCGGATTCCGCGCCGTTCTTCTCGGTGATTAGGTTCTTTAGCCATTGATTCTCAAGCTCGAGTTGTGACACTCGAGCCTCTAGCACGGCGTTCTTCTCGCCTGCCTCTTTCACGGATTTCTCAAGAGCCTGCTCCCGCTGCTTCTTCTTCACGCGGAATCGTGCGCTGGCAGCAGTGTTGCGGCGGCGCTTGTCTTCTTCGGCGGCGATACGGGCGGCTTCGCCTAGGCTCTTGGCATCGTGGCTCTGTTTGCGCTTTGTTCCAGCTACCTGCATGGGGGTGGACACGAAGGATGAAATGCTGTTGGTGACGGGCGACAATTGTTCGATTTTGGGATGAGTGGTTTGGGGAGCTGCCTTGTCTGATGGCTTTGTGGCGTCTGGAACAGCAGGAGCAGGTATGGGGTGGAATGTTGAGGCCACTGGCAGGTTTTGGCTGTCGTCAGAGCCGAAGTTTGTGGAGTAGTCGGGGATATTGTTCAAATCTGTTGTACCAAGGAAACAATGTCAGACTAAGAGAACTTTTGATAACTCTGGAATAGTGGTTTATTTTTGCAGCAGCAAGGCAATCATTGAGTCCTTACCATTCAAAAGTTCCAAGTAGTCCATGTCGCTCTGCTTGCCGGCGACATTCTGTTGCTGCTCCTCATGCGACTTATGTTCCTCCTCGGCGGGGTTGTTGAACCCGAGCGGCATGCTCATGTCACCGAAGTGACCAAAGTCCAGGAACTCCGTGTTTGTGAAAAGGGCCAGCTCAGCATCGATATTGTAGGAGTCGGTTTGTTGTTGCTGCAGTGACTGGTCATATGGAGATGGAATGGCGTTCAAATCTTCGAGATACTGAGCAAAATTGGGCGCACGACGGCCCCCGTAACCCGACGACATGGTGATTGGGTTTGTTAACTCGATGTCCCGTGGTTCTTATTATCTCCTTGTTCGTCCTTCGTCGTCACCCGATGGGAAGGCAGGTAGAACTCGCTCTGAGGTCCCCGGCACTGCGATCAGACTAAGCCCTCCGAGGACAAGTATGACTGACAGCTGAAAAAAACGCGGCGCATTCGTTTGATCCGTATTATGAGGTGGGCAGTAATATTACTGAGGTCGACGAGAAGGATATGGAGAGTTTTGCAGGGAGGAAGTGGACAAGCACAGCACTGGACCAGGTGGTGTGGGAAAACGGCGAAAAGCAGGCCGCAATGCGGAAATGGCATGGTGGGGAAGGGTGCTTAGTAACCCGAACCTACGGCGTCATCCGTTATTAGTTAGGGTGCTGCGTTAGTTTAAAACTTAAACTAACCCAACTACGTGCATGTTAGTCATTTTACTTAACTAGTCCAAGACTGACTCACAACAATCTTGACATGACCATTTATGATATCAATAAGAGTGAAAACAGTACTCCACAAATCCCAGCCCCTTAACACCATTGCCACAGCCCTGGATGGAATGACATGTTTCTCACATCAGCCCGCGGAGAAGACCAGCATATGTCAGCGCCAAGACCGGCCTGCCGATGTTCGGCGGCGCCTGGCGAGAATTTTCGCGCCGACTGCGCCAGCCAGTCAAAATTCAGGATTAGTCGCAGCCCGCTAAACCCCAAGCGGCATGTTCAGCCCTTAGTCTGCCTTGGGCCGCTTCCACGTGCCGAATGAGATTATGAGCTGCATGATTGAGAGCTTGCTTCAGCTTGGCGGCGAATTGCGCAATCATGAGCTGCTGCCCTCATCTCTCCTCGTGGTGTGTTGCTGTTGCCGTTGCCATATCTAGCAGCTCTCGGTTGCGCGGGGTAGATTTTCTGCTTTTTGTTTCGAGCTGTGATGGATGCTAATTCGACGACACTGCGTCCCTGCACAAGCCTACAAGGTCACAAGCGTGTATTAGGTGATTGCCTCCGTAGCACTAGTCAATTGCTGTATTCGTCTGGGGGCAATGAAGGAGGAAGGCACAGGAACATCGTGATCCTGGCCTGGAATTTCGTTATCGATAACAGCGAGTGATATCTTATCTCCACGTGATTTGATACAGCGCGCGTCGTCGCGGCATAGAGCTTTGTTGTGCCGGCCGAAAACACTGGCAAGACCGCCACAAAAGAGAGGACCAAAAAGGCATTGAAAAATGTTTCTAAAATTCAAGGAATAATAGCCATCTGCGATTAACATGGTCAAAAAGAAGATAACCCGCGCGCCTACGACGTCTAGCCTTCCGAACAATCTCCGGGTTCCGAGCAACACTACCTCGTTGGTGCGAGCTTTGGGGAAACTGTCACGGCAATCTCTGTTGGATCTTGTTTTCACCTGGCTGTCTAAGAATAATGTTCAGCTATACCCGCCTTTTCTAGCTCGGGACCTGAGCAACATCGCTAGCGACCACGAGGAGTCTCCCTATCCAGCCGCTGAGAGTGTGGAGGAAGTGCGCGGGGCTTATGAGGAATTGCGACAGAGGAAAGGTGGCAAGAGAGAAGTTGTCGACCGAGTTTTGGAAGGCGATTGGCGACATGGCATCACGCTCGGCCAGCTGGCAATGATCGATATCCGATATTTGGAGGATCATCCAGCTGCCCAGAAATGGACTGCGTTTCGCCTGGCGTTGACTGACAGGAAACAACAATCAGAAGAGAATGAAGAGTCCTCAACAGATCTTTCTGCATCTCTCCCACGGCTGCATGCTGCGATGTTCTTGTCAAATCTCCACCGTGAAATATCGCCCTTGGTCAAGGCGCATTATCATCTTGCCAGGTCAAAGTCTCTTCCCTTGACCTTTCTACGAATCTTCACCACCGACTCCCCGTATCAACACCCACAACATGGTGCAGGGACATATCTGGATTCCGCACGGATTCTATACATTGCATTTCCCGACAGTAGCCCCTTCATTTACACGTCCTTGTCGGCCTCGACGGGCACCAAGCCGGGCCCCGCAACCCAGACTGCCGCCCCTCTAGCCACCGATACTCGAACATTGCGGGCAATAGTTAGGGATGCACTACCAACAGCATTGTCAAAGCAACATGAACGGTATAAGTTAGAGGCCACGTCGCTGACTGCAAAGAACCTCGACACCATGCTCGCGCTCCGCGGACCAGGCAGGACGAACATGGCCAACGGCGCTTTTAGCATCTTTGCCGATGCTGTTATTGAAGGCACGCCGATTGACCCGCGTCAGCCTGCGACGGTATCACCAGAAGATTTCCGCGCTACAGGTACTACGAACGACGATAAGGAGAACAACAGCACATCACAATATTCCGCAGGTCAAGAAGATCCGAAGCGAAAAAACCGCAGTCACACACATGACGACCATAGCGGGCGCATGGCTACATCGCCCGCCACAAAACGACGCAAAGTCGCCGTGTTATCCCGATTCGGCACTTCTGGAACGCCTGCCTCTCTAGCGGTTCTTAACCGATTAGACATTCGTCTGCAGGACCATTTAGATGATATTCACGACAAAGACCTTGATAATGACGACCAAGATCAACATATCCAAGAAAACAGCGAATACACCATGTCCCTCTCCTTTACCGGGAATAATGTAATTGCTGGGTTCCGCCAACTGGCGGAATTGGGTGTTGTTGATCCTGAGCGCATGCCCTCGTGGATGACTGGTGAGGAAGGCGTGAGTTCAGCTGTGATTCGACGTGGGAGAAGGCCTGGTACAGTTGCGACGGAATAGTTTTTTCTTTTTCTTTTTTTTTTCCCTATCACATGCTTGGCGGTGTAATGGTGTATGGCGTATAGGTTCATTTCGTGTTTTAGGAGGCAATGTCCTATAACTTATATATACCCCGGGCTGACTTCACTATACATTCCTGGTTCATGGACGTGGACATTATCTAAATTAATTGAAACGATGGTAAAGAGAGATTGAAAAAAAAGTGGTTTGAGATTCAAACTCCATCCTCACTATGACCTGGTATCAATGCTAGCTAATGAATAACTCCTTTACTATAAAAATGCCTTCAAAATTCCACGCCAAATGAATAGGACAAAGAGAGAGAGAGAGAGAGAGAGAGAGAGAGACGGACCCAAGGAATTCAAGACTTGTCCTCCTCTGCTCTAAAGTCCTAATAATCATACTCATCATCGTAACCATAATAGGAGCCGTAACCTCGGCCGAAATGACGCCGCCTCCAGAACCTGTTGTATGTCGAATAATCTCGTTCTCCAGACAAACCAACCGCATTTGCGACATTGAGGTAGCCATCTTCGCTATACTCAGCGTTGCCCATGAGAGATTTCATATCGAGATCTCTCGGGTTGGTAGTTGGCCATTCGGCACGGCTGCACAATAAAGCCAGTCAGTTATTTCTAGTCTCAGGAAGAGATGAGAGGCATAGATAAAGAAGTGGGGGGGAGTGGTGTTTTCACTCACCAATAAACGCATCGAACGCCATTCTCTCGTGAACTGGCAGCCCATTGATCAAAGCAAGCTTTGTGAATGTTGTTTCCACAGCTTGTTTCGCACCATATGATCTTTTCGGTCTCTGGCTGAAATTCCATATAACAGATTGCACATTCACCATCAATGGGTTTGCGCTTCCCATCAGACTCCTTATCCGAGCTGGAAAAAGAAGCATCATCCTTCGTTTCCAGTGGGGCGTTATCAAATATCTCCTGCAGTTCCTGTATTTTTCATATTAACTCCTCTGTGCCTATATCCACAATGTCAAATAACTCACCGAAGAGAGAAAAGCTAATTGATACCGGAGATCCTCCCGGACTTTCAGCACATTCACGAGTACCTGATGAAAGCGGATTAGCATTATCATACACAAAGGCGAAACAGGTTTAGTCGTACGTATATGATGTGTTTGCACTGGTTCCCCTTGAGGGCATCTGGACACGTGCAGGAAGGCTGCAATGAAATAGTCACGCTGTAAATATTTCCAACCGTCCCGACCATATCCACATGCTCTTCCAAAGCGCTCCCAGTGTCGACACGACTACGAGAGATAACAAACATCCTGAATAGCGTTTGTTAGTCACGTTGAACTACTGCCTCGCTTATCTCTTTCGATCGAGGCTCACTCACCTCTGTGTGGTCGCGCGGTGCAACTTGTCTAAATAGGCTTGGGGTGGATGAGTCCTAAATCTTTTCAACCGACGTTCCTCTGTTCTCTTTTTACTCGAACTTGGTGGAGTCATATGTGCTTTTTTGCTTCTGCGCTTAGACACCGGCGTGTAGTCATGTTTGTCTTCACCAGATTAATTGCCTGTCAGATCGATCACAGGAATACGGCGCTTCTTCGAGTCATTGGGGGAATCCTCGCCTTGGAGATTGCGCTTTCTCGAGACACGAGACGAGGTTGGAGTAACTGGTGGCATGGCGATTCTTTTTTTTTGGGACTTCTGCGCTGTCGTTTGTGGACAAGAGCTTGTCTGTAGACGACGCGTCGAAGCTTTGATCGGTGTGTCGCCACCGACAGTTCGAAGTCGAGCCGCGGAGTAGTGGTGAATTCAACGGAGTTCTGAGTGTGAATCACAAATGTGCCATGTGGTAGGGATGCGAGCAAGGATGTAGTATGTGGTGTTCTAGCAGATTATTCCTTGAGTGTATAGTCATTATGCACGGAGTACTCCGTAGAACTGCATAGTTAGAATAATTGCGGAGAATCGCCGGAGAATGAATCGCGCTAATCCCAGTAGGGCTAGTGGTCCCATAGCTTTGGAAAGCCGCCGCCGCGACAGCATTTAATTGAATGCTAACATTGCTAAACACCTAAGATATCAGACACTTTGTATTATTCCTTTTGGGGCGAAGCAGCAGAAGCCACCGAGTGCTTCTAAGGATACTGTAGGCTGCTACAGCAAAGAGAATGGCACGGCCACGTGCTCATTCTGGAGCTGAGGGGCCCAAGGAACCCCATGCCGTATCTCTGAAAGGTAAGTCTATATAGTATCATGCGTCCATTTATCAAAAGCGGCCAATTGATTGTCTCTAGTCTTACGGTGAGTGCCTCAAACACTCAAAGAGAGAAACGGTATTAATATGTGTTATTTTCATGCCTCAAGATTGTCGCGACCTTCATTATCATATCAATATCCGTTGGGACGAGAAGACACCAGGATATCGCCCAAGGCATCTCTAGCATTTCCCTCGAACGACTTCGATCCACATTTCATTCTCAGCCCTAATGTATGCCGTCTGAGTCTTATTTCCTGTTCTATTTGATTTGACTATCTACTGGACTGCTGAGTCTGACTTCACCGGCAAAAAACAAAAAGGTCACACTGCCTCCAGCTTTTGGATCTGCATATGTAGGAGAGACATTCTCATGTTCCCTCTGCGCGAACAATGAACTACTAGAGACAGAAACCAGCAAAGTAGTATCATCCGTCCGGATCCTGGCGGAGATGCAGACCCCGTCCCAAACATTTCCTCTAGACTTGAAACCCAGCGAAGAAGACGACATTTCAAAAAGGGAAGAAGGTCTAGATCACGGCCAATCTGTGCAGAAAATTGTTCAATTTGATCTAAAGGAAGAAGGGAACCATATTCTGGCTGTCAGTGTCAGTTATACCGAAACCCTCATGGCTAACGATGCTGCTCATGCTGCAAGCGGGAGGGTCAGAACTTTTCGCAAGCTCTACCAATTCATAGCCCAGCCTTGTCTGAGTGTACGTACCAAGGCGTCTGAGCTGCCACCTACCGAGGTGGAGAACAAGTCATTGGGCCCTTATGGAAAGACTCGTCTCTTGCGCTTTGCGTTAGAAGCACAGCTTGAGAACGTTGGAGATGGGACGGTCGTTATCGAGGTAATTCATTACTCATTTCCCCCGGAGTGTATTCTTAGCTTTTTGCTTCTAATTTTTGCTTCCAGAAGACGATCTTAAACCCAAAACCACCTTTCAAGGTCCAAAGTCTTAATTGGGATCTAGAGCTATCCGATCAAAATGTAGCGGAACGGCCCACGATGAACCCTCGGGATATTCTGCAAGTGGCCTTTTTAGTGGAGCAGGAGGTCGGTCAGCAGGATGGCTTGGAGAATCTCCAGAAAGATCTGAAGCGTGATGGGCGGGCAACGCTCGGACAGCTTTCTATAGAGTGGCGGAGCACAATGGGGGACAGGGGGTTTCTCACTACAGGGAATCTGCTGACCAAGAAACGATAGTTAGCTGTTGGTCGACTACTAGCATAACATCTGAAGTTTCTTTTTATAAGATCAAGAATGGAATATAAAATCCTGCGTGTAGGTAAGGGAACATTTAGCGTAGTTTGATGAGACCAATGTATCGTCTTGTTTATTGAGCCAAAGTCGATTCTGATAATTACCTAGCTATTCGGCTCTACCGACCTGTCGTGTAACAAGAGTACACGCCATTAGCTAGTTTACACAGGGATCTTATGGTTTTGCGTTCAAAACCATATCCAAGGCTGAATTAACAGCATGCAGCATCAAATCTAGGTCACAGTCCACGGTACCGAAATACACTACATGAGTATTTACTGTTATGCAGAAATAAAGGGCAGTCTATAAATGAACAAATAACTAAATAGGGGTTACACAATTGTAGAGATTCCAATCTTTTGGACCTGTGCTCGCCGAGAAAGGTATGACATTGAGATAGCTTGGAAGGTGCGTCAAAAGAAAGCTCACTCTGTTTTGATATGTATCCAAAAGCTCCAGCAGTCTACGCATGACAGCAGATGGTTGCTCTTCGGGGAGAAAATGCCCATAATCATCAATAGCGCCTCCGGAGACATTGGCCGCGAAGTTCTGGACCAAGTTGATCATGCCCGAACCCACGGAGCTGGCGCCACCTAAAGCCAAGACAGGTATATCGAGCGGTGTTTTCGCATATTCCAGATTCTGTTTGGCGCTTGTTTCAAAAGCCCGGTAATACTCAAACCCGCGGCTCATCACCCAGGCCAGGTCTCGAATAGGCTTGGATGTTCGCGTTTGAATTGATCTTTGGGTATATCACCCGCATGAACCGTCTTCAAATTGAAGAACCAGGTCAGGAGCTCCTGCTCACGGCCGCGAGTTAGGGATTTCGGGTAATTTAGGAAGCGCGTCGAACGAGAATTGCCAAAGACGCATGTTGGTCTGGTGAGGCAATGGAAACTGAAACGGAGGCAAGAAAGACGGAACTGACGCGTCTAGTACAGTGAGCGAATTGATTCTTCGACTGGAATAGAGCTGCCCAGGGATAGGCAGTCTATCCACCCACACCGTGGCCAACTAGATGGCACTGTCTTTCTTTCAAGATATCGTGAATAGCTTCTGCCATGACTTTGCTCACATTGGCAGTATCATAGCCATTGACGGGAGGAAGCGAGTCGCCCAAGCCCGGGTGGTCGAGAGCCAAAAATTGATAATGTTTGGAAACGGGCTCGAAGATATCGCTAAACGCCTCTGCTGTTTGTGGCAAGCCTGGAATGAGAACCAAGGGGTCCGACCGCCTATAGCGCGGATTCCGTGGAGGAGACGTGACTTGCCATTTCGAGGTCATAGTGAGGATTCAATTACTGGTACAATAGCTTTATGCACGTTATGGTGATTTAGCAGATTTATACCTAGGTTTGCTTTTGTATTGAGCCCCCGTTAGGTTTGTAGTCGGATGTAGTTATGTACCCACATGAATCATGGTGGAATCAAGACTGCAATGCTAAACTTAATACTACTTGGGCATATTACTTTTGGAATAGCTTCAAGCTAGATTCTGCCATAAAATTCATTCGTCAGTCACGATTTGCAACAAAACCTGCGCAAACAGCCGCGCACTAGGAGGGCATATCGGGTAATGATGCCGATGGCTTAACAGTCATACTATCCAATTCCCGGGAAAGAAGGTCTTAGCTTTTCCACCATATAAATTCCGAACAAGAATTTCCAACTACTTACGAAAAACCTTACCCCACCTTTCCTTTAATAGGACGTGTGGCTCGCGATTCGGCGCCTCAAAGGCGATGTCAGAAATTCCGAAAAACAGAAATGGCACATCATATATGCCTCTTTCAAGCGGAAGAGCCACATATCAAGTTACTCCAGCAGTCGCACTGCCGACACATTAAACTCCCACTAAATACTAGTTTTTTGTAGCACCTGGGTATCAAACTCAGGCGAAACCAAGGTCAGTACGTACTACGTAGTCCTATGAGGTAGTTAATATATTTGAAATATGTACCCCGTACTAGCCGTCGTACGAAGCCCAACGATAAGCGCATGGATAACGATCTGCATGCAGCAACTGAGCTCAGCCACCTGGGCAGCAAACTAGTTAGCTTGTCTCCAATGGATACGGTGATCAGCTTGTCCGGCGTGTTGTTTCCTCTCTTTGTCTGTCTGGCATATTCGTGAAGTCGACATGGATCTAGAGCTGGTTTCACTTGGGCTTCAGCCTTCTGCAGAGACCATTGAGCGACGAAGATCTGACGAATCACTTGCGAATCGGCCCCATACGAGGTCTTAATAGCTTGCCGTGCTAGCTCCAAAGAAGCTTAGCTGACTGCCCCCACTAACCACAACGGGAGCAGTTCGTCTCTACACGGCTTTGTTAACGCCATTGCCCCACACCACGCTAATTTAGGCTTGAACCAATCAGTAGCTGGCAGTCCACAGGCAGGCCCCACAGCACCCACAATGACCAGGGCTGCGTGCGAGCTCATTGGCCTCTTGTCCTCGGATGCCTGGCCCTTGACCGGAAACGGAGCTGTCTGTTATCTACAATACGCAGTACGTATCTTACGTGCACACCACGTTATATACCATACAAGATGCGGCCAGTTACGCATCTGATACGGACAATTGCGTGCATGCATCGTGTCGTTCTGGCCTGGTCTAGAAATGCACTGACTCGGGGGATATTGTTTCATGGCTTGCCACGTAGAGTCACCAAGCAAACTCTCTCCGCAAGAGCGTGGAGCTGGAACACAAGCAAAAAGAAAAAAAAGAAAAAAAAGAAGAAAAAAGGAGGAAGAAGAAAAAGAAGAAAAAGAACAGAAAACGGTAGCAAATTATTCGACGCTCACGTATAGTCAGTGTATAGATCACAGATGTATATGACTATCATCCGGGATTTATACATCGGGCCTTAGCTGGTGGCAGCTGGCGTGACGCTGATCGTCAGTAATTAATTGGCATAAAGAACGGAGAAACAAAATCAATAATAATAATTAATCATGGCAAATCTGACCCAGAACAGTGAGACACAAAAAGGAGAGGGAAAAAGGTTCCTGAGCTAAGACGGACTAACCAGTTCCGGGGCCGCTGGTTGGTTCTTGCCTTAGCCCCAAGTCAGCACACACCACCGTCGCCTCGGATCGCTGCATATTTACTCTCTCTGTCTCTGTTGTCCATGGCGCTGCTGGCCAGGGACATAGCCTTTACCGTTGACCACAAGCCTGTCTTCTAGCCCGACTTGTTTTTGTGCGGTCGGCAGAGGCAGATATCTGTCTCTGGAGTGTCTGGTTCGTCATGACTTTCCTCCCTCCCCGCAACAACTCTTTCCGGCCCACCTCCTCCCTCCTCCCGCTCCCACTCTCCCTCTTCTCTCACCCGCGGTTCAGAATACCTACCACCACGCTTCTGCTGGCTTCATTGACTCAGCAATGTTTGGATTCGATCTTTCACTGACCATATGCCGATCTGTTGCGTACTAGTATCCGACTGACCTGCGCCGAGCTTACACAATACCAGCCCAAGCCAACGGATTATTATATCGCGCAATTGCTACTTGATAGGAGGTTGCGAGCAACCTCCCGCATTTGTGCAGCGGACAAGCAAATGCTCGCACGTTGGCCGCTTCCCCTCCCACCAGAAGAATGCCTCTAGCAACAAACCCTGCAGTGGAATCCTCGGCTCCGCTCGCCGACTACTTTTGGATCGCTGGTGTCGACGGCAAGGAGATTGAGGATACCTACTGGAAGCTGCGCAATGAATACATGAGCAATAGGGAAAGCACTCCAGGGCCTGCCTTTTCTGATACCATCGAGGAGGATGCCGAGCCCGAAGAAGAGCATGACAGCGGCAAATTGAGCGACTCCACGAGCTTTGCTGACGCAAGAAATACCAAACGGAATTCGTACAATCGTCTCTCGAGGTTATCTAACGATGCCCGCATGTCCATACGCTCCGTGGAATCTAAGATTCCCGAACCTCAGGGTACACACAGTAATCGAAGCAGCATGACTATTCGGCCTGCTCCGTCGTCGTCGCTAGAACCACCCTCTGAAGCAAACAATGGCGAATTTGATTTTGATAAGGCTTTACTGAAATTCGCTTCGGAGAGAGAGTCATTCCTGTCTGACCTGAGTCTTAGCGCTGGCGCTATTACCCCGAATAGACCCAAACCACGTCCCAAGGTGCAGAAGATCGTGGCGGAAGAGAAACCGCAGTCGATCAATCCATTGAAATCAGGCATTGGTAGCGTGCGGCGCCACATGTCTTTCAGAGACATGAACAGTATGAAGAGACAACCATCGGTCATCGCGCGACAAGGTGAGGGACTTGCTTTATTCATTCGACAAGATATCATAGCTGCTAACTGACCACAATAAGCCTCTATCCGCACATCCCGACGACTCAGCAACTACAATTCCGTCATACCCGTTCCACAGCCATTAGATACCTCGCCGGCCATGCACCCTCTGAAACGCCGGTTCGAACCAGTGCTTTTGGACCGATATCCGCAGAAAGGGATGCCCGACGAGCAATCCCAGCGAGTCTCTTTTCCTGACTATGTCCCTATGTTCGCCTTTCCTAACGATATCAATATTGTTTCTTCGGACCAAAAACCACGGTCGACATGGCATGGTTTCGTAATGACAGGAGGAGATGGCAGCAAACTACACGGAGTCTGCATCACTTTGTGGATTCCGCTTGGCCAGAAGGCGGCAGAGGCGTTGGAAGAGTGCTGCGAGGAATGGCGTAAAGATAACATGACTGATGAAGAACGAGAGCTGGCAGCTAGCCTGGGTGGCCGATTAGCTGACGAGCGGGCTAAGTTGTCTACACTGTTAGCTCAACTTCCCGCCGTTGCCTCTGGATCCCCAGAAAGAGAGAAGCTGGAAGATGACATCAGTGCAGTCGAGGAGAAAATCGGACTAATGACGGATCTTCTTCGGCCAGTTCGACATGGTGCGGCCTCCAAGATTGAGGGTCTCACCGATGATACCGGCTTTTGGATTCCTCGGGCCTACGGGATCATGGGCAAAAACGCATCCATGACCACTTTCTGGAAAGAGTGGCTCAAAGCCGTATCTGTTCCCAGGACCAATGGAGGCGTGTTGAGAGTCCCAGCTAGTTCCCCTACAGTGGGGATCTGGCAGCCACTGGAACGTTATGTCATGAATCTTTGTACTGAGGCATTTAGTCCTATTTCTTCCAAAACGCAGGTCGAGCTGTCTGTAAGAGAATTACGACTTTTCGCTCGTAATGAAGCCCCGAATGAGCTTCCAGGCTCCCGGAATGTGAGTTTCCTTTTTTTTATGAGACAAGTATACATGTACTTTTCCTGAATTCCCATGGCTCATACATTGCTATATACAGACGGATCTATACGCGCTCTTCCGTTCGCTATCTATATCCAACATCATTGTGCTCTTTGAGGTATGAACATTCGTTTCAGATGAAGTGAAGAGATAGCTAAAATTTCTTTGCAGTATGCCTTAGCAGAATCTCGCATCATTTTCCTTTCATCTCACACATCTATGCTATACCTAGCCACTAGAGCTCTTGTTGACCTTCTATTCCCTTTCACTTGGACCGGGGTTTTGATCCCTGTGTTGCCAGCCCGACTTATCCAGGCACTGGAAGCACCATGTCCATATATTGTTGGAATTGAAAGACGATATGAAAAGGTTGAATTGCCATCCGATGACTTTGTTTTGGTGGACCTCGACGCCGATAAAATTGAGAGCGATGTACAACCAACACCTTTGCCGCGCCATCAGCGTAAGAAACTTTACTCTCTCCTTCAGCTAGCTGCTCCACACCATAGCAGGTTTGGTGTCCGCCCTGGCCCACCTTCATATGCTGTTGAGGCGTATCCCTTTGACTCTTTCCCTGCCGAGAACCCATCAATCTATCATATAAGGGCACAACCTACACATTTGGCTCGTTATGCAAGCTTGAATTCGACGTCTTTTGGCAGTAGCTACAGCGCCACGCCAGCACCGGCACCGATTTACAACGCCTTTTTGCATGCGCGCGACGAAAATGCCTCTTCTCGGGGTCTCTCGAGAGGAAATGAACGGCCCACCACGAGTTCAACTTCGAAGACAGGATCTCCACCATCTCCGAGAACTAGTTCGCCGACTTCGGGCTTCTTCCCTCCGCCTCTACCTGCAACTCCTGTGTCTCGCAATGACTCGGGTATGGCATTGCAGGCTTCTTTACGAGAGAAGAGATCTGGTCATTTCGATGCTTCGTCTCGTAGAAGCTCGTCTTTTGGAACGGAGAGAAGAGGTGTGCCCCGGCGGCCGAGTGCACCATTCTTGGGCCATGCATCAAACTTGTCAGTGACAACATTGAACACTGACTATGGAGGAGCATCGACATATGCGCCATCAGTTTACGCCACTTCCACGATTGCTGCGTCTACCATTGTTCCTCAAGCGATGGCCCAGCCCGTGTTCAATACTGATAGCACCTGCTGGATTGAAGGACACTGTCTACAGCTTCAGCCGCGAGATGACAAAATCATCTGTTCAATCTGTGACGAAAGGTCTGACGAGAAGATGTACAAATGCACCGGATGCAAGACGCATGTTCACGACAGATGCGCGCCATTAATTTGTATAGTGTGCCCTGCTGCATTTCATCCCGAACAGATCCGGGCGGCTTTTGTACGTTGCTTCGCTAGTTTGCTGTACACGTACAAGAAGTATCTTTTACCAGCTAGCAAGGAGCATAAGAAGTCCGGTCTTACATACCATTTCAATATGGATGCCTTTCTCAAAAGCTTGCCACATGAACATGCTGATTATATGACGAGTCTTCAGCAAACGCAAGGTATTTTGATTACCCATTTCAATCCACTAAATCAAGCTAATTGGGCGTTCAGGTTTCAATGAATTCATTAGCGAGCGCGAGAGATCAAAGCCAAATACGAGGGACTCGAAGATTGTCCTATTTGACGAGATTATTCTTTCCAAGCGTAATCGTGGCAGAACTTCGATCTTCTCTGGACGCATGAATACCGATTTCTTGTCTAACACATCTGAGCACCTATGGCGTTCTGCAGCTGCAACTTCGTTTCCTCCAACAAGCAGAGTTCATCACGGTATATCAGAAGATTATTCGGAAGTCATTAAGCGTGGTATGCCTCTTTTCCCTTAAGATCTTAAGCGACATTTGTTAACTTGACATGTAGCTCCCGCCAAGCTTGATCATGCTTATATGAAGGAGCCACGCATGGTCCAAGGAGTGCCGCGGGTCTCAAAGACCGCTAACAATGCTCGAAGAAAGCCGCTCCCAAAGCTGATGAACGGCCTTTCCATTTCACCTCCTTAGTTGTTTTTTCGCCTTCCCCGACATGACCTACCTCGATGAACATGGCCAACTTTTAAGGGTTGACGATATTCTCTTAGAAAGGCAACTTTTGGATACATGATACGTATTAGAAAACCGCAGCTATTTGCGTCCCAAGTATGCGTCAAATTTCATGCAACTTGGGGAGACTTGCGATTATCCGGCGAGTAATTTCACTTCGTCGACATACTATGATACACACCCACCCACCGACTGTCATGGTCTTACCGAGTTAGCTTTCAACTTAGAGATGTGCTTGATGCACAGATCTGACTTTAAAACTCCACTTGACGAGTCATGAAGTCTGTCCTTTGACAGATTATTACTTCCTTTACATTTTGAAAAAAAGATGTTACTTAAAAATACCCAGCAAGCTGATCTCTCTCGTGGAACGTCATGATGGGCGATCCGTTTCCTGTTATTGCTATCTATATTTATAAACTCCCTTTCCTTGTGCTATATATTTTATTGTGGCAAACGACAAAGGCTGGCATGGTTAGCCTTTCTGAAATTTCTCTGAATATTTATTTGCATATTGTCTGAAGATTGTTTTGGGTATCGCAATGACAAATGCCAATCATTGCGAGGGTAGAATTTCCCCATGTATTTTCTTTTTCTTCTTCTTCTTCTTTTTTTTGGTTCATTTCCTTGAAATCTAGAGATCGTCTTGGACAGGGAAAAAGTATAGGTAGATTGATAAAATTTAGAGCACATGTTCTCCTCACACGAGCTATGGTAACTTGCATCTAACTACATACAGAGTACGTTGATGTCGGCAAAACGCCTAGTCGAAGCCGATTGGCGGAATAACTCAGACCGATTGGTGGATACCTTGAGCCAAACCCGGGGAAATATGCCTCTAGGAATTGCTTCCCACTGGATTGATTGATTCTTTCTGGGGCAGCAGCTTTGCTTCACTCTTCCCTCGACTGCATGGCTGGCTAAATCGTGAAAAGAAAAGTTCCGGATAACCCGGGTCTGCAGGATATGTACAATCAATCAGTCAGAAAAACCACTTGAACTTCTGGTATCAATTTCCGTGCCCAGGAATTTCCGACCTATCGCACATCCTTGCTTTATCGGTGATCGATAGTCCATCGAACGAGAGAGAAAGGAAGCAAAAGGAACAAGTGCTTACTGTGGATTATTCATTATTGTCCCGGTGACATCTTGTCGCGCGCTAGGAGGCTTGCTACGTCCGCTAAGTGGAAGGAAGTTTGCAACATCTCAGGTTGATTTGCAGCAACAAATCTATCTTTCGGGACCCTATTATCTCGTCTTTTTTTTTTCCCTTTTCCTCTCCTTTTTTTGACTGGAGTTATCCTACAACGATCGATCCGGATATCGGAACAATCCCGAGGAAATGCCGCTACGTCCGTTAGCCTTTTAAAAGGATCAACGGCGTACCAATATACATACATATCTTGACATCTTCCTTCAACTTGAAAGAAGGTTCTTATTTACAGCAGCTTTCGAGGCCAATGCGACTGCACAAATCGGTTTTATTCCGTTACATGCTGTGGTGGCTGTGTTAGGGCATACGGTAGTATATTTAGTATCAGGGCTTCTACTCCTCCTACTACATACTACCTGACATTCATTCGTCCGACTTATGCTAGATTATTATCTGTATGGATGAATTGCAGACGTCGTATGGTATAGTTGTTTGTGGTTGTTGTCATTATTAGGGTTTGATCCGGACCGAGTCTGGCCTTTTGGTGTCGATTCGAATATATATATATATATGCTTGTCAAATCTGCCAATTGCGTGACAGGCTAATTGATCATTTACAACATATACAAACACGCATGCAACAACATCAACGATGGTACACCGAGGGCTGTTAAGTACGACAAGCTGTTGATGTTATAAACGATTGAAGCCAGGAAGAAGGAACCATGGAACTTGTTTCTTCCGTTGGAATAACACAAGATGCTCATCCAGACGCTCAGATTACTGTGACAAGCAGCCGCCACCCCGCTGCCGCTGAAGCTATTACCCCAAAGCGAACGGTAGTGGTAGTCTTTGGCTCTGGCCAGGAGGGCATTCTTCAAATTGTTGCTGAAATTCTCGGCAAGGCATGGACCACTGTTACAGGGCTGTCAAAGATAGTATCCGGTAGTGATGCCGTGGTTGTGGGCATTCTGAATCGTGATTTCGACAAGACATTATCAGAAAACAATGATCTTTCGAAACTGTTGCTTGTCAACACGCATTGCATCGACGACAGCACTTTCCCTGACGAAAGGCTCTCTGTAGCTTGCAACTACGAGTTTTTATACTCCCACACGCCCATTTTCCGGCGTGATCTTACGCGGTTCTTGTCGCTCATTCTCGGACAACGCCATCCCCACGAAGATCTGGCTACCAAACGGCGAACGAATTTCATATCCACCACATTCCCTGATGTGCGTTCCGCCTTACCGAATTTGGATATTTTGTCTGTGGGCTCGGATGCAGTTGAGCTTCGCGTCGATTTGCTGGAGGAACCGTTGTTTGATGGTAACCGCAACTCGATCCCCAGTCTCAAGTACGTCGGACAGCAAGTCATGCTGCTACGACAACATACCGAGTTACCTATTATTTTCACTACTCGTTGTGTGAACGAAAATGGGAAGTTTCCCATGGATGACCCGAAACTATTTCATAGATACCTACGTCGCGCCATACAATGGGGCATTGAATACATAGACGTTGAGCTATGGCTCCCGGAAGATATTCGCAAAGACATTTCTGATAATCGAGGCAATAGTATTATCATGTCAGCCTTCCATGACTTTTCTGGGACATGGAAATGGACATCCCCCGAAGCACAGAAGGTATTCAAAGAAGGAGCCCGTTATGCGGACATTGTGAAGATGATTGCAATGGTCAACACAGTCGAAGAAAACTACGAATTAGAGTATTTCCGTTCGACTATCAAGGCCAATTATTCCTATCCTCTACTTTCCGCCGTCAACATGGGACCACAGGGGCAGTTATCGCGGGCTCTGAACACAGTCTTCTCACCAATCACGCATCCTCTCCTCCCAATAATTGCTGCCCCCGGTCAACTGACTGCGGCTGAAATCAACGGCGCTCTCCACATTATGGGCCAATTGCCAAAACGTGATATGTATGCTATCGGGTCTTTTCGGTCTACGTCTCAGTCGATGTTTATGGAAAAATGCTTCAACGAACTCGGCCTACCGCATAGCTTCAGCTGCATTGACCGCGGCCCTCGGGGCTCAATTGAATCGGTGATCATGCAACCAAGCTTTGGTGGCGCCTATGTCAACCCACCTCTCTCCAGTTCCGCCTCTTACATACCTACCAAGAGCGATGCCGCTCGCTCTATTGGCTTGATTGACACTATTACCGTCAATGGGTCAGACGGACAGCACAAATTCATTGGCGAGAATGCAACATGGAAGGGGATCCGAGCCACGTTAACCAGGGACTACATACCTTCAGCCTACCGAGGTAGAGCCGTGATAATCGTATCCAGTTCCGAGAGCGACGCCGCGGCCGCCATTTTCGCGCTCCGAAGTCTCGATGTAGGCACTATTTACACCGTCGGCTTCAAAGCTCTGGGACCACTAGCCGCGGGTCTGGAGCCGTTTACATCCATTCAATCCGTCAAATTGGTCGAGCAGCCATTCGTCATTGTGTCGGCGTTACCACCTGAGAAGTCATTACTAGTGCAGCCTTTGTTGCGCCACTATCGAAGCAATGGCCATGCCTCACCACCGTCTACGCGCGGGAAGGTTTTCCTGGACTTAACTAGCGGGCCTCGTAAGGGGGATCCATTGACTGTAGCTGCTAGTGCTGGATGGACGGCTTATGGTATCGATGATGTTAATGTGTGGACGACGGTTGAGACGATGCGGTTATTGGTTGGACAGAATGTTCCCTTTGATTTTGTTCGTATGGCATCGGGTCATGGGCTGTATTGATAATGAATCTTGAGGGCGTTACGCAATGGTTCTAGTTAAAGGTGGTGGTGTTTATGAGGATATGAGATCATATATTACTTCCGTTTCAAATGCGAAACTGCCTAAACAGATGTAGACTTCTGTTATGATTATGGCGTATATTTAAACCCATTCAAGGGGGATGTGTTTTGAAACAACATCGATGGCATATATTAGCAAGTGCTTGAGTTATGAAATACTACCAGTCCAGCACTCGCCGCGAAAATAGGCGACAAAACGACAGACAAAATCCAGCGTGAGACCATCAGCTTTCGCCAACGAAGGAGACGCAGCGATAGCCCTTTTCGTGTCGTACAAAAGGACACTACCTATACGGTTATGGCCATACTTCCCAACAAAGAACTCGAGTAATTTAATAGGCGGATTCAATTCGGGGTCGGGATTGGAATGTTTGAAACGATCGAGCCACTCGTGCGTGGGTACGTCTTCGAATTCCAGTCCGGCCTGTTTGAGGAGAGGCAGAAGGTTGTGTGTCCAGTGGTTTAGGGTTTTGTTGGTCACGTTCATTATTCCAGCGGTTGTTTTCTCGTTCTTGCCGTCGCTCAAAGTCAAGTCAATCACGCTGCTAGCCATTACATCTACCGGAGTCCATGAGAGGACGTCATCTAGTCTCGGGAGGGCTTTGGTGGTTTGGGCAGTTTGCAGAATCATGGGGATCGCTTCCTGGGCATTCCAGATACCGTGGACGGTATCAGCGACTATTTGCCCGAGGCGCAAAACACGCGCGGTCATGCCAGTGTGGTGCGCGGCGCGGTGGACAATGTTCTCCGTCACAAGCTTGGACTGCGCATAGCCCATGTCTTGAGCGTAGGTCAGAGACTCTGGGAGGGTTTCAGGTACCCAGTTACCGGGTGTGCGGGCCACAGTGCTAACGGACGAGCAGAAGGAGAAACGCGCGGGATACGGGCTTTGAGCACTCAAACAGAGGTCTAGGAGATTTCTGGTGGCTAGAATGCAGCTTTTTTCAAAGCTCTCCAATGACCAATTGAAGTTGACGGACCAGGCACAGTGCACCACTGCCGTGATGTTCTTGGTTATCTGATGATAGATACCCTCCTCCAGACCCAGGCAAGTCGTGTTGGAAAGGTCAGCGGGCAGGGCAACAATCTTCCGTTCAGCAGACGGCGAAATGTCACCAAGAATACCTCGGGCGCGCAGAGAGTCGTCGACACGACGACGAGCGAGGTCTACCGAACTTGCACGAACGAGGCAGTAGATGGTAGACACTTGGTCTAGTTTAGCAAGCTGGGAAACGATATGAGCACCAAGGGAGCCTGTAGCACCGGTGATCACGATATGCTCACCGCTCTCTACGCGCTGAGTAGGCACGAAGACTTTGAAGTCTTGCGTATACTTCTCAATGAGCTTTTGCATTCGCCCTTCAACCGGCAAATCCTCCTTGGGGCCTCTTCCAAGGCGTAAACGCGTTAATTCTTCGGCCATGGCCTGCAATGATGGGTTTTCAAAGACAAAGTTTTGAGAAGGCTTTTGTCCTCTGAGGTCAAGTGTTTCTAAAATGGTCGTACGGAGGCGAATAGATTGTAAACTGTCAACGCCTAAGCTGAAGACGTCGGTGGTCCTGCTCAGGGAATTCGGCTCGATTGAAGGGACGAGCTCAAGGAGCTCCTTGCGAAGGAAATCGATCAACTCATTACCTTCAAGCACCTGCTCTCCACTTGCTTCTTCATTTTCATAGATTCTGTCAATTTGTTTCTGAAAATCCCGATAGAAAGCCGAGCGGATGACGGTACCCTTATCCGTTTTGCGAAAGACTACATCGGCAGGAAGCACATGAATCATGTCATGGGAGATATGAGCGTAAGCTGGAAGTTCAGCATTCAGCTTTTCAATTGCAGGAAAAACAGAGTGTACGATTTCTGCGTCGGAATAGTCTTTGCCATTTACTGAGCGAATCAAGAATAACCCGAGACGAGACTTGTTGGCTCCAAAAGCAATGGCCTCATCTACATTGGGGTTATTGCGAGCAACGCCCTCAATAACCAAGGGATTGGCCTTCTCGCCATTCTCCAAGACCAAAGTATCATCCAGACGGGCATAGTACCTCCACGCGTTGGGCTTGGTAGGGTGCTTCTCGAACAAATCCTTAGTAGCGTAAGAGTTATCGGGTCGGTTGCTGGCAACCTTGGACGGCCACCCTTCCAAGACCACAAGCTCATAGATACCAGTCATCTGTTCCTCCCATCGTAAAAATGGAAGTAAGGAATCCCCAGGGCGGACATAGTCCCAATCCAAATCTGAACGCTCTCGAAACGAAGTCATCAGTTGACCGGTTTCAGTGGTACCGTAGTGAGAAACGAGACGGACACCGTTCTGCACGAGAGCATCGCCAATAGGCTTAGGACAGGCGGAACCACCAAACATGACCAGTTCGAGACGTGTTAGCACGCTCAGACCTTCGTCAGATTCGGAAAGCAACTTTAAAGCGTAAGGCACTGCGTATAGGACTTCAATATCCCGGTGTTCTCTCAAGGTACTGAGTAGGTAAGGAGCGGTCAATGGCAGATTGGCGTTGTACATGTAGATCAATTTCTCGGAGTGAATGGCACGGAATAGACAACTAATTCCATGGGCATGGAAGAGCGGCAAGGTAATAAACCCTCTAAGGCCAAAGTTATTTGCGTAATTCTTGAGGGCACCCGCATGTGTCTGGTAGATTGGCTTGGGATGGCCAGTCGACCCACTGGAGTGAATTATCCAGCAAACATTCCTGGTCTCTGTCTGCTGATCGAAGGTGTAAGTAGGTAGAGCTCCAACATCAGCCTTGTCAAATTCTTCACGCGTCAAGACCGGTATTAGAGCAGTGCCTGTCCGTTTTCCTGCTCTGTTGCCAACTGCTTGAAAAGCAGAGCTTGCAACGAGGAAGTTGGTTTTAGTGGCTTCTAGTAAGCTTACATAGGCATCTTCGACAATTCGAGTGGAGAGTAGGAGGACAGTGTGACCCAGCCGTGAGACTGCAAGTAGAGTGATCAGGTATTCAAGACTGGATGGACCTAGCAGACCAACGACCCGCACAGGTTCAGCGGAGGAGCGTCGTTGGGGGATTACTTTGGCGTAATGAATAGCTGCATTTTCCACGAAGACGTTCAGCTATTGGTATCGTTAGTAACAAACTACTTTAATTGATGTACAGCTTGCTAGATGAGTATGAGGCGGTTACTTTACCTGACTAGGACTGTAAAAGGCATACTCTGTGCCTGTTGATGGGTAAGCTACGATAGGGTGCTTGGCCTTGCTCCCATTGGCTCTCAGTCGCAACAATGAATCAATTGTATAAAACTCATTATGATCCTTGCCTCCTGAGTCCATCGGAGATGTTTGCAATCTGGTGTGAGGACTGTCTGCTATCGACACACTCTGCGAAGATTGTATTGTCGCAGCCATGATGGTGTTGGTGAAGGTGTGAGTGATAGTGATACGAAAAGAGAGGAACAAAGGCAATTGAAAAGGAATCTAGGTAGCATCTTTATCTTCTTCCTACTTCAACGCCTATACAGCCTCTCCATCGGATTCCGTGATAGTCAGTCAGTTAGGCTTTTCCGCTCCCCCGGATAAAGATCTCATATCTAATCGGAAACCCACCCCCGCATTTCGGGGGCCCCCACGTTCCTGACTCGCTCAAAATCCGATCTATATTTCCGCTATTATTCTTTGTCTCTGGTTAAACCCGTCTGTGACCGTTTCTGATAATACCTATCTGAAAGATAACAATATCTTGGAAGTTAAAAGCACTGTCTATATCACGAATCTCGTACCAGAAGTATTATTTGGGCCAATTGGAGCGCACCTCATCAGCTTTCATCTGTTTCTGAACTCTCAAATACTGGTTTCAGTTTTGACCAGTATCATCACCTTTTTTGCAGTAGCAATGTGTAAATGAGATGCCTTGGGCACATTCATCTCGCTTCCTAGGTCAGCGTCCTTGTCTTCAATAAAGATTTCATCAGATAGATGCAATTGAGAATCCTCTTTCCTCTCACAAAAACCCCCATTCAGGTTATGACCCTCGAGTGTCAATAACACACTCTCTGCGCCAAGAACGGTCGAACGGAGATGTTTTCAAAAGAAGACGGACCGAGGGCGATCTTGCACTCTGTTCTAGGAAGCATTCACTCAATAGAATACCATGGCTTCGTGAATGATGGCAGGTTGCATGCATGGGTATTTAAAATTCCCATGAGCTGCACCATATCTGATGTCATCGGAGAAGTCGCAAGTGTGTAATGATTACTTTGAACTTTCTGATGGTGCATAAGGATGAGAAAGCCAGTGTACGAGAGAGGTTTGCTACTAAAGAGAACTCAAAATTTATTTGTTCTGACTTAGCAGTTTCAAGATGCTAAATCGTAAATTTTGTCAGATTCAGTGGACCCTCTTCCACCGCAGCCTTGCGAGCAGCCTCGTCGCCAACCTCATTAAAGATGTCAACGCCCCATTGAGCAGGAAAATTAAAGCGCTTGTGACGCTCCAAAGAAGAAATCTAGGCGAAAGCGTACTCAGGCAAATACTTGACTTCCAGATTACGGGCGATACGAGATGCAGTTACACTCTTTGGCGGGGAAAGGGTACCTCGCTGAATAGCCCAGCTACCCAAAAGCACACCAGGGTCCATGGAAACTTCCTTTGCAACTTTGTGGACCAGAGGGTCTAGTTTCTCCATAGCTTTGTAAGTGGTGGCAGGGCCGACGTCACTGAGCTGGAAAATACCTTCGCTGTTGAGAGGAAAAAGTTTACCGCCGCTCTTGAAAGCACTGTTATATAACAGTTAGTAGCCATCTTAACAAATTCTTCCAAAAAATCCCACTATAAGCCTAAACTTACACTGGCCAGTGCATGAGATACAAATCGAGATACCCAACACCCAAATCCTTGAGTGTCTGGTCAAGCGCAGGTTCGACATCCTCAGGAGAATGAGCGGTATTCCAAAGTTTGCTAGTAATGAAGATATCCTCTCGAGGCACGCCGGAATTTTTGATCCTATTTCCCACTTCCACTTCGTTACGATAGATTGCCGCACAATCAATATGCCGATAGCCCTTTCTGAGGGCAGTCTCTACGGCATTTTCGACTTCGAGAGGCTTAGCTTGGCGCCGGTGTTAAGTTCGAAGTGAGTAGGAAGAGTACATTGCACCAGACTGAATTTTTATGATGGAAGAAATATTGCATGCAAATTTTTTAATTTCAATGACAATTTCAGTCGTCAAGACAACTTGAGACGCTCATAGATGTTATTATAATCGTACAAAGGGCCCCGGGGGGATGTAATTCAGTACGGCAAAAGAGCTTGCCCGCCGGAAAGAAATCCGAATACTTCTCTAGCTCTGTCTCTATATAATCCACCGCCTGGTCTTAGACTCCTATCTTTATAGAAGCAATTCTCAATGCAGTTACGTACTCTTAAAGAGTAAATTACCGTCCGCGGGTAAGTCTTTTCTCGTCAGAGAGCCACCTATAGTATGGAGACTGAGACTACGCGAGACATTAGAAATAGTGAAGCAAATTCATTTTTTCTTCTTCTTTTAGTAGGGACATCTTGCACCTTGATAGTATTTTATTATAAGCACTAGTCCATAGAGACAGCGAGTCTGCTGGCTTTTGCTTAGCCAATTTCTCATGATCAGCCCTAACATGCTTGGCAGAGTCATAAATGTGGTGGCTTCTTTTCTTTTCTCTTGTTTTATGTTTTTCATTCAATAATTTGGATGCCTGTAGAACAGGCTGTACGCGTTTGATATTCTTCATTTTAAACAACCGCCATATACGAAAAAGATGAGCAATGCAAAGCAAAAGGAAAAGGAAAAGAAAAAAGAAAGGAACGCCAACCACAAATCAGGTCTGCAACTCATTATATCCCATTAATTCCACTCCACCAGAGCTTCTTTTCCCGAGCCTCCGAGACTGTCGAACGAGACGAGCAGGATGAAATCCCATGAAACTAAGCATAACACACAGCATCAAAAACGCATCAAAGATGTAGATGAAAACCTCGTGCTTCGAAACGTATCCATCTTCACCTGTCCCAAACTCTATAGCGCGATATAGATTTCGTACAATCAGAGCTAGAATGGCAACTTGCACAGCCAGGAAATAATATTGCCATTTACCCACGATTCCCGAGATAGGTGGACCCCGGTTCTTAATTCTTCGTTGAGCAACCCAAGCAATCACCTCGAAAAAGGCGAGGCAGATCACTTGAAAAATAAGACCGGCCAGAAGGATCTTCTTACTGAGTGCGATGGCACTGGCATCTCCCGAGGCAGGCAGCGCGGTTCCAATAAGCTGCGTAATCACGCAGACGATATCGACGAGGACGTAGATCTTGGTCAACCAGCGCGGACTAATAAGGGAGTGCTCCTTGGCATCGAGCGCGGTGATCATTCGACCTAGTGACATGTAGACGGTGGCAGCGAGGAAAGGCGGCGATACGAAGATTAGCATATTTTGCTGGATCCAAGGGCCGACTAAGTTGGGGTTGTCGGATGCACGAGCCCGGCCGTAGTAGCCAAATAATTCTCCTGTTGTCGAAAAAGAAGGAAAGTTTATATGGATTAGCATGTTATAGAGGCCGTAAACAAATTGGAAGGTTAAAATCTAACCAATTCCCCCGAGAATCATGGGGATGCAAAACCATGCTCGCAGCACGAAGAGGTAGACCAGATGAGCGAGGACAGCAAGAGCGAAGAGGACCATGAAAGCATAACCAGCAGGCTCACTTGGGCGGTATTCGAAAAAAATAATTTGCGTGCCATTGACGATTGGTCCAAAGGGGGGAGTTTCAACGCTCGTGTTGACTGTCATGTTGTAGGTTGTGTTTTGGCCGGTGCTGTTGGCAGAAGAGACAAGCAAGTTTTCCAAATAGGTCCATGTTGTTATCAACTTATATATATATATATATATAAGCTTTTAGAAAATAGAACTACTTTTTCTTGCAAGCTATATTTTTAGATATTTAGACATTCTTGGAAGGCTGATCCACGGTATATTTTTCGTATTGCAGATACGAAATTCATCAGACCCACCCCTGCCCTAACCCACCCGCTAGGTACACTACGGACTATATATGATGAACATTAATAAATTTTATATAAATAATCTAGTTATTCTGCTGCCTAAATGCTTCAATTTCTCGAATCTGCTCTGCCGGCCAGTCCAACCAGTGTCGGTACTCTATACGTAGCCTTTCCCCAACGCCTTCCAGGATATGACTGGCCCACCCTTGCATGAACCATTCATATTCCAACGTCTTGATCAGAACAGAGAAATAAGCCAGAATAATGAGCGAGATTGGCTGCTGGTTTTTCAGGCACAACACAAAGTCTTCTTCAGTGCGGTATACCCAGCCCATTATGAATTGAAACTCGCCGTCAACGCCGCTGCCTTCTTTTGGCTGAGATGCAGTACCGAAAGAGTCGCGAAAACAGCCTGAGAGATCGGCGAGTGCTTTCTCGTATACTTCTTTGCCAGGACTGGTTGCTTCTTGGGCGATGAACTTCGAGATGCCGTCTAATGGCCTTTCCCAATGCACCGGCCTAGTAGTGGCATGTGGTTGTTCTTCCGTAGATTCCTCCGTATGAAAAGAAAGCTGAAGACCATGGACATCGAGATCCCGCATATAGCGAACTCCCCGCAAAAGTTGCCACCAGGACACCTCCTGTCCCTCAGCAACGAGCAAGAGATGACCCGGGGATGGCCTCTTGGCACACGTTATCAGACAGATGAGTACCGTGGCAACATACAGGGACACAAGGTTGTGTCTATTTATAGATGGTATAAGCCGAGAAACCTCTCGCAGGCCGGCCTCATAGTGATGGTCTGCAAGACCCTCGAAGCGGGCCACATCGGAGTCTGGCGGCGCTAAGTGCACTAGATGGAAAGCAGCCATTGCGAGAATCAGATGTAGGACATAGGGGTGCTGGAATCCTAGCTGTGGGACTTTGACGTGCCACATGTGCTCTCCGCTTCTCTTTAGGCATCTGTGATTCAAATAGTGATAGAACAGTTCCAGGTCATCCACGTTCAAACACGGGGTAACCGCTGAGCCACTTGATGGAGACTCTGCCGTCTCCTGAGCTGGTAAAGAACATGATGCGTTTCTCATCGGTAGTTCAGCAATAATGCTTTCCCAATCTCTTCGTGGTCGCCCGCGACCCCGTTTGCCAATCGCTTGTTGCTGTGGACCGGCGCGGGCGAGAGCAGGAGAGAAATCACATCGTAGCGACGATTTCTCACAATTTCGACATACCGGCCTTGCCTCATCGCACTGTTTTGGTCAGGGTTGGTTAGGAGTAATCCCCACGCATTGGAGTGGGTAATTAAATTGACGAACCTTGACCCTCCTCGCCTTGCAGCGTTGGCAGCCAGCCCGTGATTTGGTATGAGAGCGTCTGGAGCCCTTGACTGCGGGGCGCATGCCACTTTGATTGAGGTCAGCCATGGGCTTCTCGTTATCGCAGTCGTGGTAGAAAGGGAGCACAGAAGATTTTTCGTGTTCGAATACGGGAAATTCCGGCTTGCTGATTGGCTGGCTGTTTCGTCGTCATCCAACGCAGACGCGGGATCGGAAATGCAACCGTCGGTATATTTATATTTGCAACTGGATTTGAGGCGAAATATGGTGCTGCCTAGAGGACGAAACTGGCCAGCAAAAGGAGAAAACAGTGAAAATCACCAAGATTTTTGAGCCATTCACGCTCTCGTACGCCATGGTTGTTAATCTTCTGGACCTTCCAATCGCCCGTTTCAAAAAGAGCAGCAGGAGGTGCTGAAGATTTTTGATCGCCGCGGTTCTATCCAACTTACACGCACGCTTGAGAGTCAACATCATCATGTTGTCTGAGATGACCGCGCGGCGGACTTGATCGCCGTATAGGATGATGCTGACAATGATAGCGATACTGATTAGAATAAATGGAATGACGCTCCAAATGAAGCATATGCTCCAATACAGAAATGCAGTGTGTGTATGAAACAGAGTCGAGGCTTATAATACCTTAAAAGATATGCAGGGAAAAGATATACCCCCATCTTCCCGCGTGCGTTACTCTAGGCGAAAAAATAAAGCAATATGTAGTGGGCTATGTTATGTAGAGAGGCTATGCTTACCGTCAATCTTCTCTATACGACCTTGGAAAGAACCAGACAAAGAGTTCGAATCAGAATGATCATATTTGATTCAATTGTGTAGGGCAGTGATGTATTTCTCGGATATTTAAGCAGTAAGCCAGGCGTACCGGTACCTAGGTAACCAGTAATGTTACAGATATGGATAGATTATAGTACTTTTCGCTTCTGAAGTATAACCTGTAATTAGATTATCTAGTTGATAATCAAACAGACAGGCAGAAAAAATAGCTTGTTTACCTGTCTTAGGTACAGGTCCCTGTCACCACAACTCCCGGAAATTCCCCACCGTGCTGGCACTTTCTATCAAGCCCAACATAAATCCGGGTCCAATAGAGTAAGCCTCGTATGTTTTGAGGACTGTTAGCTCAATTCTAGGTTTAAGCATCTTTCACTAGCAAAAATAACATATATGTCTAAATTGTTGGACCCACTTGCTGAGACCCTGCAATTTTATTGCAAGTGAGAGATAGAGTACTGCTTCTGTGATACGAAAGGCCCCGAGTTTGAGTTCGCTTCACAGTGAACGAGGGCATATTCGTACGGTGTTCTCGCGGATTACTATGGCAATATTTTCCTCGAGTAAGGTCTGCAAATCTTGCCCAGTTATGGGCTTAGAACCATGCATAGCAGTTCTCGAGGGTATAGTAACGTCGTTATAAAACCCATGCCCGCTAATTAATTTATATAGAAGGGGGGTGAACTACTTATTACTTACCGCAGAGTGAAAGGAATGACTGGCCGGGCGTTCTACAAGCATCAGATCGTCTGGCGCTAAAGTGCCAAGTTCAATCAGCAGAGTTGCACTGCATGTCCTAAACCCAACACGACACGGAACTTTTGGGGTTTCTGGTATATGCACCCGTTCATGTGGCGCTTCCTTTCGTCCAGCACAGTCCTTAAGATCGTAGAGTAAGGGCCGGAGAGATGATTTCCAGGAAGTAGCCGAGACTCCCCTATACAGCCGGAATTAAGAACCCTCGTATTGTTTTCTAGTACTCCGGACTCGCCACGGATTAGGCAAGTTCTTGCAGGGGGTGCGTCTAGTGAATGCAATGCGTGAAGCGAAGCAACGAACCCTGTTTCAAGGATGGTTGCATATGCAGAGCCGGCATTCGATCGTGTCACCTGTCCTGGTCTCTGGGGTTAGTTAGCAGACTGCTGCTCTGCTAAACGGTTAAATAAACGACTCGAAAAGGACAACGGGGCAGGCTTGTAGTCGGTTAAACAAGAGCACTTGAACTTGCACGGCAGAAGATTGTTGTTTATTAGTTAACTAACATAAGTTATGCAGCGTGAACAACTGACTAAGCAGGGGGGAGTGGCTCCTTCCCCGCATTCGCCAGCACCGGCAATTTCCCCGGGTGGAAACGCCTTTAGCCGCCCGCCCGTGTCAACCGTTCAGAACGTCGAGGGAGAAATTTTCGCAGTCCAACATTGACTGCCTTCTTGACGCCATGAGAAAATGCCTTCTTCTCGCGTTTTAATGACATCTATCCACACAGGCCTCACCTCGTTGGCATACGCCAGCCACCCTCAAGGACGCCTCAAGGGGCGTGTAGGACGCGGGAGTTGGATGCGACGGAGTCGAAGCTTTTCAGGCCTATAATAATTCCTTTTCTCGCTTCCCCTTTGCGGCCATGCCAATATCACCAAGACGAAGAGCTATATGTACTACTCCCTAGCTCTGCTGCGACCATGTCTCGTCCGCAGGTCAGCATCGACCGCCTTACTCCTCGGCGAGTGATGACCGAGCCACGTGAATCAATGAATTGTAAATCGTGTCGGAAAAGAAAGGTACCGCCCTCTTTTCTACCAGTCGATCTTTTGAGTTTAGAGTGGAGGAATGCGCGACTAAGCAGATCTCACGCCACAGATCAAATGCAATCGCGTGCGTCCCAGTTGCGAGGCATGTAAAGTGTTTCAATGCCCGTGCATCTACGGTGAGACTCCTCTGTCCTCGTTCCGTCTGCCTAAACTGCCAATCTAACTATCACACCAAGATGCCATTCCAAAGAAACGAGGCCCCAAAACGGATGTCCTTGAAGCACTTTTGAAACGAGTAGACGGCCTAGAAAGACGTTTGCAGGAAGAAAATAACCCCGTTACTCCCACCAGCGAGAACACGTCATCTACGATTAAACAAAGTGGAAAGGATTCTTCGCTTGACAATTCAAAATCTCCAAACGAGCCAGCCGCGTCTGTACCAGTCGTGGAACCAGCAGAACAGATTCCGCTGGCTTTTCCTGATCGCCGCGGCTCAATTCTTTTGACTCCTACATACAATGGATTTGGAGATCATACATTGGGCGAATTCCGGCCTCAGCAACAGACGCACCGAGCAAGTCGCCAAGAGAAGCCATTTCTCTCTGATGCTATTCTAGACACTTACTTCTCTCGCATTCACGGCAAACCTTTCTACATACTAGAAGAGTCCTCGACACGCCAACGGCATCGCATGGGGCAGTTGCCGGCGCATTTGATGATGGCTATTTACGCCATTACCGTGAGGTACATATTCCTAACGTTGTGCCTTAACCGGGCACTTTACTATGCGATCAATGAAAACATGATTCTGATCCTTGTAATTCTAGATATGCTCAGTCCTCAGAAGGACAAGAGATCTTAGCTCGCTCCGGTCTTAAATATGCACTGAAAGCGCGGCAGGAGGTAGATATTGACAATCCAACGATTGAAGGACTTCAGACCCTCCTCCTCCTCTCTATGGTCTTCTTTGCTTACGGATTGGGCAAAAAGACATATATGACATTATGTACGGCTATTATCATGCCATGACCGTGCTTGTCTCCAAACTAACTAATCACCGACTTCTAGCTAGCTGTTTTGCCATGGTGCTCGCACTAGACCTCTATCGAGAGCCTTCGCCGAAACTCAACCTTTCTCAGACCGAGAAAGAAACAAGGAGACGGATTTTCTGGACGTGTTATATGATGGATCGCTTTGCAACATGTGGATCAAAACGTCCATGTCTGCTATCTAACCACTCAATTCTATTGCGCTTGCCGTCGTGGTCCCCGACATCGTCATCTCATAGCCTTCCTGTTGAGGGAGACATGTTCAACAACTCGGGTCCAAATATCCAATTCTCAATTGATCCACGCAAACGAGGTCAACCTGCAATCGTCCTACTTATCGACATCGTCCGTATACTAGGAATCACAAATCGATATCTTGCTACTGGAGGAGTCAAAGGTGATTCACATTTCCCGTGGCACTCCATGTCGACGCTGTCAAAAATTCGGCAGGAGTTGGACATTTGGGGAGCTGGTGTACAAGACACGTTCATATCGGTTGAAGCGCTGTTTAATCATCCCGAAAGCACGACACTGTTTTTGAGCAAGCTCATTTACCATCTCATTCATTGCTTAATATATCGTCCATTCTTACCACTTGATCTGGCCGAACTTCGAGGAACAGGACAGCATCAATCATGGCAAATAGAGGCGACCAACCTATGTTTCTTGCATTCCAATGCAATTGCCGAGCTTGTTGAGTTTGGTCGTAATTCTTCACTGATTGAATGGCCCGCATTTATCAGCCATTGTGTATCCACTGCTGGAACGGTTCATGTCCATGGAGTACATTACAAAGGGCTCGAAGGTGAGGTCTTTTCGTCTAGTGCAGATTTTCTTGCCAAGGAAATGCAACAAATATCTTGGTTACGACACTATTGGGCTGGCGTTCAACATCAGCGAGAATTGTTGCAGACGGTTTACACCTGTCATTCTGAACTGGTCAGAAACCTGGCCAACAGCACAATGAGGTTTTCTCCTGTTTTCCACCTGGAGGATTTCTTTGATCGTTATCTTGGGATATCGGTGGATAGCTCGCACGTCAGGCTCGTCGATCAGGCAGCTGACTTTGGAAATGATAGGCAAGTTGGGCTGTTACTCTAGGACATTATATTTCATTCTAATCTTACTTGCCTAGCATATCTATGTCAATGCCTCTCGACGGCCATTCTCTTTATAGCACGCAAGCTATAGCAGCGCCGTCATTATCTACGCCGCATTCTTTCCATACCCAGCAACAGCATAATCAACGACAAATTTCGCGTGTTGGTGGTTCTAACATTCAATTCCAACAACAGTCGGACCTATCCAATCTGCAATTCGATAATCTGCAACACTCCCCTTCTCAGCTACAACCTTCATTATACCCCACCTACAATCTCAATGAGCCCTCGTCTTCATCATTCTCGTCTGTACATCAGCTGCAGCAAAATCAACAACGCATTCCCACGGCTTTTTCGCCAATACTCGGATTCTCTCCGTCCCCATTTCTCTCAGAAGCACTCACCACAACAAACGCGCAAACACCTCCTGCTAATTTTCAATACGCGACATTTCCCTTCGATGCCTCTCATGCTACTATTACTACCCAGGCGAAAATCTCGGGTGTCGCAGCACAGACACCAAGTGGTCAGTCGCAGACAAGCGATTCTCATTCTCACACCACCATTAGTGAAAATGGTCCGCCCTCTGAAAAGGATCCTTTTCTTAGTCTACTGGAACAGTTGGCTGAGAATGAACATGCTGAAGGGGACGGACCAAGCGAACTTGACTATTTACTGAGCGCTGGGATCCATGCCCCCTCAAATAATGAAGCTGCTTCCTCGGAGACCGGAGATGGAATGGCTTCTGCAAATAGGGAGGCACTAGATGCAACAGGCCAGGCTTTGGATCACGGTATTGAAGATGGAAGATCTTGATGACTGTCTATCATAGTTGAACATAGTTTAGCGCGACGTAATTTTGTACTAAAAGCGTGAGTTATACATACAAAAGCTATATCTGTTTATTCTACTATCCTTGCTCCGATTGTAATCGTATCAGCTACGTTTTGAAATTGTGTATTTTGTAACATGTAAATCGGGCAGAGGCGGCGGTGATTTGAAGCTCTTTCTAGAATGTTCAATCCGCATGTCTTGGCGTGAAAGGTCAACTTTAACTCGACCTCCAAAATCCCCCAAATCTGCTCTTTATGATCAATTCCGTAAATCAACTATCTTCACCGTTCTTTTTTTGTTCGGTTTGACTGAATGAACAATTTATATTCCAATAGACATTTGTTCTCCCCTTTATCCATCCATTACATCATCCTCTTGACAGTCTTTTTGAACTGCTTCCTCTCATCTGCCGCAGACTCTTGCTCGGTGGTTGACAATCTCGACATTCTACAATTGTGTTTAGTCGACGATCCTCGCCAAACACCTACTGTTCAAATTGACTTGGGGTTTTCCGACGACGCGACCCATCAAGACGATCATTATATGTTGGGCAATTACATCCGCCAGACGACACGGTCGTTGCGTTTCTCTCCTTCACCGCTTCGATCTTTGGTCCCCTCTTCTTCATATTTAGCGACATCTCGTGCTTTTACAACGGTCTATAGGTTAGCATCTACGCCGAATCTGAAGCAAGCAAGCACCATGGCATCTTCATCTTCGCCTCTACCCGCCGAGGCGTCGTTGAATGATCAACAGCAGCAACAACAACAACAACAACAACAACAACAACAACAACACACAAATGCCGAGAACGAAGCCAACAACAGCAACGAAAAACTCGCGCTACCACCCGTTCCCGAAGCAGGAGAAGCCCAAAAACTAGACGTCAGCGGCCAAACCGGCACAACAGTATCACTAGACCACCTCGGCCCCATTGTGGTCAATCAAGATGGCACCATGAGTCGGATTTCGAATTGGGACAAGATGACGGAGATTGAGAAGAAGAATACACTCAGAATTATTGGGAAAAGGAACAAACAGCGTTTGGAAGCACTGAAGGCCGCTGGGGTGGGGGGAGAAGGAGAGGAGGGATCCGTTTCTTGAACTGTACGTACATACCTATCAGATGTATGTTGAATGTACGGTAGTGTACCATACTTTTGAATTATGAATGGCTGGGTAGCAAGGCGTTAGGGAGAATATCACGGTAAAAGGATTTCTTTATTCAGCTTCAATCTCGAATATGGGCTGGGTTCTTGAAATAGAGCGATCTCCAATAGCGCTATCTTTCTTCGCAGCAGCCCAATGCAAAGGAACAAGCATTATCATTCTAGTCTTCTACTTCTCGTAACGGTGCCTCTCGACTAGATATCAACTAACAATGATCTTTAATAGTAATAGTAATAGTGTGAGCGGGTGGTTTATCAGCGGCAGATTTACTTCCAACTTCTTATGCTCTTTAATCTCCAGGAAGAAAACCGGTGACTCTGTCCCTCGCTCGCATAGTTAGCCAACCATATCTCCATTGAGTGAATCTTCAGACCCTCTGGACTTTGTGAGTAAAGACTAAACTAGGAGACTTGTTCTGATGAATGTATATCCCATATCATCGTCTAAATAGGGAATAGCGAATATCACATGGAAAAAAAAAAAAAGAAAAAAAAGAAAAAATCCCGAACGCGGGGAACCCCGACATTGGCCTGAGGCTTCGTGAGAAAGCAGCATTTGTGTATGACATTGTAAAATGCCTGTATGCTACCCGCTTGTGAGCAATCAAAGTCAGCTTATTCCTAAAAAAATACGCGTAATCATTGTAAAAACGGTATGTACGGTAAATGACGACATATGCACAATCGATACCCCGCTCGACTTCTCCACCCCCAATAATACTTACTAGTAAGCAACAACCTCATCTTTCTTCTTTGCTATACTCTTTTCCAAACCATCGCAAACTTTTATACCTGCAAGTCAGAAAGAGATAATAAACACAATGCCCGACCACGAACCAGAGCCAAAGCGCTTCGAGCCCAAAACCCCCGTTCAACTCGATCCGCCCAAGGACGACCCGATCTCAATTGAAGAATTGTCCAAATCCGATGGTACGAGAGGACATTCTCTTACTACTACCTCAATTGCATGAATTCGTGGTTACTAATTGTGTATTCGATTTGATCCAGGAACTGATCCCAACCGCCCAACCTTGGTCGCTATCAAAGGGACCGTGTTTGACGTGAGCAAGAATGCTGCATATGCGCCTGAGGGACAGTATCATGGTATTTTTTTTTGATTCTTCTCATTGTATATTCATGCAATAGCGTGTTAGTGCTAACAAATCTCGTGTTTAAAAGTCTTCGCTGGCAAAGACCCCTCTCGCGCATTGGCTACTTCATCGCTGAAAGTCGAGGATTGCCGACCGGAGTGGCAAGATCTAGACGATAAATCGAAGACGGTTCTGGATGAGTGGTTTCTTTTCTTTAGCAAGAGGTATAATATTGTTGGAAAGGTTCACTCATAGAGGGAAGCATATATTTGAAGTTGGCTTGAAAGAATACTATTTACCTATTGGTAGGGGTTGTGTTCAAAGCTGTATGCATTGGACGGAAATTATATAGAAAAAGAAAAAGAAAAAGAAAGGAAAAAAACGCCTGCTAATTGATACCCTTAAATACTTTTTTGCTGTTGACTACACCAACAACATAATCGACCTAATATAGAAATATTTACCGCCAATATATACAACAGAATCAGGCTTTGCCTTTCCTTTGTCGTCGTTGCTGGCGTTTACGGGCAATGATTCGGTTTCTCTTCGCGATCCTGTTCTTCTCATCATCGTCGTTGTCACCGTCACCAGCATCCGCCTTTTTGTCATTCTTCTTATCTCCTTTATTCACCCGACCGTCTGGTCTCTTTCTCTTGATCCCCGTTTTGTTGGGTCCTTGGGTATCCCGTCCCTTATCATCCCCATCACCTTGCTTGTTGCGTGCCTTTTCTTGAAACTCTTTCCTCCTCTTCACAACTTGAGCATTCTCAATTGCGAACTCGACAATGAGTCTCTTCTTCTTCTCAGTCTCTCCATCACCACTAGGCTTGGCTTGCACAACATGTCCGTTGAGCCAGCGTAGTCCCATGAGCGCATGTCGATGGTTGAAGTATTCAATAAACCCGTAGCCTCGACTACGGCCAGCGCCAGTCTTTTCCTCGATCTTGCTGCCGTCGCGTCCTTCAAAGACAATCTTGGCTTGTTTGACAAGACCTTTGCCCTTTTCGCGGCGGTGTTTGTCATCTTCTTTGGTCTCCTCTGAGCCGCGCGACACTTCATCTGCTGATAGCGGTTGGCGGCGTCCTTCTTTGACGTCTTTGGCGAATCCGACAATGGCTTCTCTGGCAAGAGCCTTTAGGTCCTTGGAAGTAACTGATCGCGGGATGTTGCGAATTGATAAACGAGTGAGACTTAGATGCAAAGTCGGGTTGTTCTTGATGAGATTTTGGCGCTGCTTGAGACTGTCTTCTCTCATTTTGATTTCCGACGGCGCTAGTTTCTGGTACAGTGAGGAATTGGACGTGATGGTTCCTTCGGTTAGAAGGAAGAGTCGTCGCTTGTCCTTGTCCCTCTCGGTCCGCCGCGATACTCCTTCCTCTGTCAGCTTGTTGGCTGCTGATTTGGAAACAGCTCGAGAAACGTTCAAGACACGGTCTTCCATGGTGTACCTTCCAGTCGGGTCAAGTGTGTCATTCTGCAGGACAGACTGCTTGATGCTCGAAGCATTCTTCTTTGAATTGGAGTCTTCGTTTCCAACACCAGTCTGCTTCGGGGCATCCTTGATGCATGCAATTGCGTCCTCGGGCTTCCAGAAACAAACAAAGCCCGTTCCTCTTGGGCGCTCTGTTTCGTAGTCCACAACGATACGCGCGTATCGCACTGGTCCAAACTGTTTAAAATGTTCGTATAGTGTCTCATCAGTAGTGGTGAAAGGCAGGTTGCGAATGAAAATTGTAGAAGCATTTCGTTCGTCTTCCTCGTCTTCTTTAGCCTCGTCTTCATAGTCATCTTCTTCATCAACGCTCCCTTCTTCTTCTTCCTCCTCCTCCTCTTCATCTTCGTCTGATTCAATATCAACGCCCTCATCGTCATTTTCAACGTCAACCTCATCGGAAGAACTTTTAGCTGGAGAAATTTCCTTGCCGTCAACATCCATGGCGTCATCATCCTCATCCTTCTTCTCCGTAGCCTGCTGTGCCTCTTCCCAGACACTTTTCTCCACTGCCCAGTCGACAGCCAGCGTTCTGCCATCAACCTCCTTTCCATTCACAGCCTCGAGCGCTTTCTCGGCATTCTTCCGGCCGCGCAGCACAACGAATCCAAAACCCGCCTGCACATTGCCCTTCTTCGGCACAACTGCATGTTTAACTTTTCCAAAACTGCGAAACAGGGCGGCAAGCTGATCGGAATCTTTGATAGTCCAAGGCAAATTTCGTACAATCAATCTGGGAGGTTGAGTTTGTTCCCTTTGACGTTGACGCTCCGCCTTGAGTTTCTCGGATTCTGCAGAAGGCACACTTCTCCCTTTGTTCTCATCGATTTCACGCTTACGTGGTTGCGCAACCTCGACTTTGATTTTTCGGCCCTCGAATTCGGCGCCATTGAATTCCTCCAATGCACGCTCGGCGTCTTCGATGTCTGCAAAAGTCACAAATCCATAGCCTCTGGACTGCTTGGTTTCCGGGTCGAGCACGACTGTTGCATGTTTGAGCACGTAGGATTGAGAGAAGAACTCTGTCAGTTTTTCTGTTGTCGCTGAGGCTGGGAGAGATCGCACGAAGAGTTCTCTCCTCAGCTTTGATTTCGCTGGTGCTTCGTCGGCAGGGTCAGCCATTGTCTCGGTTTGCTCTGGCAGTGTTTCTTCGACTTCTTTAGATTCAAAGGTGCCGTCCTCAGACAGACGGCGTCTTTTGTTTCCAACTTCAGCCATGTTGGATTTTTCCTGTCGTTGAAAGATGAGAGAGGGAAAAGAAAAAAAATAAATTGACGGCAGAAAATATGATAACGGGCGGACGCTAAGAGGAGCCCGCAAGGCGGTGAGCAGCTTGCCCTTTACTCCACCATCAATCAACATGTCCGTCCTGAATCCTGAGAATTGTTTTATTTGTGATGCTGCAAGAATGAATCCATCTGTCAGATATGGACCCTAAATCGAATAACCTAGCTAACAGACCCCAAAGTTCAAGCCCGGCAACAACAACAAAGGTCCAGCAGCCCAAACCACAAGCTCTCCCTAATCGTGCCGCTCCATCAGCCATACAAGTATCGACTCGCCAGAAGGGGAACCCAATTTTGAACCATGTGAAACTGGTGCCATGGGAATATGCCGATATACAAGCCGACTACGTTCTGGGCACAACAACCTGCGCTCTGTTTCTCTCCTTGAAGTATCATCGACTACGCCCCGAGTATATCTACGCCCGGATACGGCTTATCGCTGGCAAATACAACCTGCGCATCCTGCTTGTTATGGTGGACATACAAAGCCACGAGGAGACGCTAAAGGAGCTTTCCAAGACTTCCATAGTGAACAACGTGACTTTGATTTTATGTTGGTCAGCGCCCGAGGCCGCGCATTACTTGGAACTGTTCAAGTCGTCCGAGCACGCGCAGCCCACTGCCATTCGGACGCAGCAGGCGCAGTCCTATCGAGAAAGTGTCATTGAGTTTATCACGGCCCCGCGAAGTGTGAACAAGTCGGATGCAGCTAGTTTGATGTCCACATTTGGTAGCCTCCAGACAGCCATCAATGCGCAGCCCGAGCAGATCAGCTCTGTTCCTGGCTGGGGAGAGAAGAAGGTACGGCAATGGTCTAGTGCCGTTCGCGAGGATTTCAGAGTTGAGTCGTCCAAGAAGATGGTAGCTCCTCCGAGAGATATGAACCTAGATACGCAGAGTGCCGACGAAGATTCGGCATTGGATCGCGGCATGGAAGATATAGAAGATGAGGATGCAGAAGAAATGCTCCTTGCTTCGGCTCAGAAGGCTAGCGAAATACAGGCTGAGCAGCAGTCGCCTGGTGAGATGACTTTAACCAAGAAGAATACCCAGGAAGCAGAAGAGGGCATGACCGAGGGCATCATGGACGCTTTATCCAAGTTACGAGAACGCAATGGTTGAAGCAATTCGGAAGGAGGCCTATAATCTCCATATTCCGAACAGCAGTGTAAGCACACTTATCTGGTGAATTATTCATCCTTCCCTTCTCACCCGAGCCTAAGGAAAGAAGCACACGCTATCGGGCTATGCATGTCAACGATTTCAATCCGGAACCTATAATCTACAGGCTGGATGTGCGAATGGAGCTTGCACTAGAACACACCACATCTCCCGATGGCCCTAGTGCTCCCGACTCGCAAGACTGCCGATTTGCACTTATCGTGTTAGAAGTAGCCGCGATGCTTCGGCTTCCTGCTCTCCTAAGCTTGAGCAAGGCATACTACTTATATACTCATCTATTTCAGTCTGATAGGCATATTCGCGCACAGTTTAGTTTGATCGATACCGATTGAAAGAATGGAGGTCAAACTCCTTGTTCTAAGGAAAAGAGAAAAGGAACATCGTAAATCTATACTAAGCGTGTATCTCTGAAACATAAGGGTATTCGAATGGATTCTTTAAACTGCACATTTTTTTTTTTCGTCTTCAAGTGACAAGAAGAGAGAGAGCGCGCGAAAAAAAGAAAAGAGCAATAAATCTTGACTCACTGCATGCTCATACACCACAAAAAGAAATCATATGTGCAATACTTCAAAATCCCCCAGTAAGCAAACAAAATAATTCAATTCAATCAATCATGCGTCGGCTTATCACAGCCAATTCTACCAAGAAGAGCTTTTCGGTCACTGTCACCCAGTATTCCACCATGGGCGCGCCGACTGTGAGCGGGTGCATTTGCCCTGCGCCATGAGCTCTCAGTACCAGACGCCTTCTCGACTGTGGCAACGTTGAAGCTTTCGTTCCTCGGGCTCATAGACACTTCGACTTCCACTTCTTCGTCTTCCTCTTCATCCTCGTCATCACTCCGGTTATCCTCGGCATTCCCAGACCGGATTGCGTGGATGGCGACCCTCATAATCATGGTGAACCACACCAATGAAAGAAGTTCAATGGCTAGGAGGAAAGAAAGGAATACCCATTTGATAGTTGGGTTCATGCAAAACGGGCCTTCTTCGCTGAAGTACGGACCGAACATATACGCAAACCGATTTGGATATCCATCGGTCGTATACAATTCCGCGGTTGTCCCGGAATAGCATCCGTACGGCATTGCTGCGGGCACATTTTGGTAGATCGACCAACAAAGTATGGGGTAGAAGATGTGTCGGGTGATAAACCATGTTAGAATAAATACGACGAATGCGGCGTTGCAGATTGTTTCGTATCCGAAGTACTTGATGATTTTCGCCGTCTGTGCCAAAATATTGTCAATTTTTTTTTGGCCCCTTACTTGCAGCGCAAATTAACTGAAACTCACAGGCAGTAAGAAATCCACAATATCCATCAAAGACAAGACCACGTTCGCAACATTAAAAAAGCGGTATATATACGCAGCGCTCAACAACGTGCTTGTAATCACGTGGTGGCTAAGCATCTGGTAAAAGTCTTTCCGGCGCTCTTCAATATTGACAGTGAAAATTTGTTGAATCCAGAACGCGAGCTGTGTCAGAAGATACCACTTCATTTCTCCGGCAAGGTCTCGTCTGGGCCACTCGGCCCAGATGGCCTTGTAATCCCACCAATAGCTCGAATTGCTCCAAAGATACTGCGTTCCCGAGAGTCAGTCATGAGGCCACGCTAGCATCCCGCCCAGTGTTATCAAAGCTTCAAGAAACATACCATGCCATAGCTCCAGTAAGTCAAGTCATAGCAGACCAACCAGGCTTGTTCAGCGACTCGCACCGAGGCCTTTCTCTTCAAGCCGCAGAACCTGGCCAAGGGAGTAAATATCCAATCCATGCACATGCCGCGGACAGCCGTGAAAGCCAAAAACGCGCTGATCACAAAATATACATCGTCCCAGCCTTGCGTATATAAGCCGGTCTCGGGGTGATAATAGGACATCTGGAAAAAAGGCGCTGTGAAAGACTGGACGGAGGGGTATAGGTTATGGGCGGCGAGCAGCGTCGAGAGGATGGTCAATGAGATACCTAGTTGATGCAGAGTCAGAGCCCATCCAACTACGCAAAATTGCCTAATCGCATATGATGTTGATGTTGCCTCTTTTTTTCTCTTTTACCTATTTGATTCTGAACGACCCATTCTCGCAAGCTGGCATCCTTCTGGAACGACCTCGACGGCGGCGACGACGACGACACGCAGGCATTGAACTGGTCAATCTTCCCGGACGGAGACTGGGCCCGAGACATATTCTCGAAATTCGACTGGAAGATTACCGTCTGGTCATAGAAGATGGAAAAGTTCAGACGAGTCTAGTGGTTGAGACAGACGTCCACTGTACGGCTACGTTCTGGTGCGGAGTATTGGTAGTGCGCCGTGTTCCAAGAGGTGGGTCAGGAACAACCCAAAGCCAGCATGCCAATCAGGCTTTCGCACACTCCAGATTGGACAATGGAAGCAGAATCGAGGCCGCTGTTATTGGCTGCAAAGCAAGTTGCGTCTGGTATATTGATTATTGGCTCGTAACACAGCAGAACTTCGGACGGAAATTCCCAACAGAAAAAAAAAGGCCTCAGGCGCCAGCTTAGCATTATTTAGCCGGGAGGGAAAGCGCGGCCCCCCGCTCAGCCTCTCGCAGTGTCCCCCCGTGCCTTCCCTTCCTGCTGGATCAAAAAGTGAAACATTCACCGCCTGGTGCCCCAGGCAGCCAATCACCTGACCGGCAGCCCTCACGATGGGCTCCGTAATGATGATGCACAGCCCTGATCGGCCCAGGCCACTTGGCGTTGCTATTTCCGGCACACCGTCTGCATCACTCTATCGCTATAGCAGATCTACTCCGTACTCCATGATGCACCGCGTACGGAGTACAGTATACGCTTCAAATCTGCGCGGTGCCAACTACGGCTACTGATGTCGTGCGTTGCGCGGCAAGATTGTCGATCTGTGTCCATCCATGTTGAGGTGCGCTTAAGCCTTAGGCTTACTGTCGTGCATTCGTTGTTCATTCTATTCTAAAGGATACTATACAACTCTTCCACATGCCATCAGCTAGGTCGAGCCATTCTCACCGCCGGCATTTTCCAAGCCAGCCGTGATCTTGTCGACGTATTCCCCAGCATTGATGCCTAGCTGGGCCATGTCCAGCCCTCGACTGCGACCGCGACCATTCATTGCTCTTGACAAGGCCCGTACGACCTCCTCCTCTTCCCAAATGCTGCCCCCTCCATCTTCCTCCCCCGCACCTGCATCACCTGCGCCCTCCATGGCCACGGCCGTGCGCCAATACCAGTCATCGCGAGCCTTGAGCGACTTGTCCCGCACTACTGCATTGCGAGTCACACTCAGACTATGTAGCTTAGAATTGGCGTTGGTCAACGCGGCCGTAGCGGCGCCAACAATCTGGTTGATCTGGTCACTCTGCGACGGCGGACTATAGAAGAACCGATGGGTGGCAGAAATGTAGATCAGGGCGGCGCAAATGCTGTCGAAAACGGCCAAAAATAGATACCGGATCATATTCATGCTGGTGAACAGACTCAATGGAGGAATCTGACCAGCGCGAACCGCTGGCGATGCAAATGCGATCGGATCGAAAGTGCTCATGGTATACGAGTCAATTCCGGCCAGCGCTAGTGCAGCAAATATAAACCAATTCCGCCATCTGGCCGCTTCGGTTCCTGCGAATGGAGCAGCGGTGGCTACTGCGAGAATAAGTAGATGTAGGAGATGAGGCACGAGTGTGTTCAGAGGCAGGTAAAATAACAGATATGACATCGGGTCGTCGGGCTCGCAAAACTGGCATGATAAGAGAGCTTCAGGGCCGAAACGCAAATAAATCTTTCGCGCTCCGGTCGAAGTCAACTTTGCCTGTAGCAACTTGTCGTAATCAGTCAGGATATTGCCGGGTCTGCCCCGAGCTAGACGGGAGAAGAGGACTTCAGTGGGTGTGTTAATGCGCGAGCCGGTTTGCGTGAAGATGTTGGGGGCTGGTGCATATGGATTTGACGGCACGCTTAGAGTGAGAAGGATGACAATGGTGCCGAACAATAGATTCAGAGCTCGGTTTGCATCTGCGGGGATCGGTCGAGGAGGAGGGCGATGTGCGAGCTGGGCTCGGAGGGTGCGGTAATAGTTGATGATGCGAGGTAGAAGGACAGGCCCAAAAAAGAGGGCGAGGGACTTGATGCTATTTGCAAATTAGCTTTGCCATGCTTGCTGTCCTCACGATGCGAAAACCACTTACTTCCCCCAGGTAAGAAGCGAAAGCAGGGAGGTTGCCATTATCTCTCCACCATGCCTATGGATAGTATAGTTGGCAGACACTGAGCAGCAGCGGAGATTGTTATAGCTCAGAACAAATAAGCAATCATATCATTTCTGGAGGGTGACTGCTGGAGTCTTGGACTGTGACACGCCAAATCTTCCGAGTCGGGTCGAGCCCGATTAGGCTTAGCCCAGGTTAGTTAATGCCAAGATATTGCATTAACATCCTTTTTTTCAACCATCCACACGCAAATTAGAGGGCCCTTTTTTTATATATAGTCTAGTCAATCAAAAGTGGCTGGAACGGCCAACAAAGAAATCAAACAGACTAAGTTGCTCGTTCATGTCAGTACCAACACGCCCGTCCAGTTGCAAAGAACTACCCTATCTGCCTAGCAAATGTTTCAACCAAATTAATTCCATAGCACTAGTATAAAATTCTAATCCTGCTTCAGTACCTAGGTAGTATTCTCCCTAGCAGAGTTTCTAGCAGGCCAATTTATTCATAAATGACAGTGGTTAACGATTCGATTGATTACTCAAATACTTAAACAGGTGTACTCGGGATGCATCTCCGTGGCTGTTTCTGATGTATACGCGCCTCTGAAGAACAGCCATACTCGCATTCTGTTTAGAAGTAAAACGCCTTGTTTCTATTGCGGACTGTTTTGCAAGCTTACAGTACAGACGGGGGTTCGCTCTTTAAAGGAGTAGTCTGGGAAGTTCTTCAGGCTAGAAATCTACTATAGCCCAAAGTATCAGGCAAAAGCTGCCTCATTAATAGCTGGCAATTGATATAGCCGTGCTACATTTAAAAGGCCATCTTTCTGTCCTATGCTTCGTTTTCAACTTGAAGTTCGCATCTAGGAATAGATTCCGCAAATGGCAAATTTGGTAACTATGCAACGGAAACTCCCGTTATTAGCGCAGGGAGTGGATCAGACCCACCAGATGAGGTACGGACATTGATTGATTCTGAGCTGCGCCAATCGGTCAGGTTTGAGAAAAGACTAATATCTAAGATACTGTGTCTCTATCCTTATTTGATTGTGAATCAAAGGACAAAGCTAGGGAAAAGAAATATTGTCTGTGCGAGCTGACAGGTAGCAGAAACGAGAGCTGTCATAGAGATAGAGAGAGAAAGAAGGAAGGGTATATTTTATGTACAATCATGAGCAAGCGAGCGTCATGCATTTCATTCCGCTGGAATGGAACTAAAGTTGGATCTCAAGAAAAGAACGAGAACAACAGGCATCGCCAAAAACACCGAATCACTTTAACCCGCTGATAGATATTCGCAGTAGCGAACCTTGCATGCATTTCTCGTCAGATAAAGAAAAGAGAAAGAAAGAGCGAAACGATTGATTTTAAACAAAATTTGCTGCTTGCATAGCAGGATGATGAGCAAGATCAGGCCTCGTCACGTCGCTACTGGAAACGGGGTCGGTGGCAGTAGCCGTTTTTTCACTTGAAGAAGAAATGGTGACTTTCAGTGGAAACCGAGGCACGCTTCGTTGTTCTGCTGAGCGCGTAACGCTGGCCTGGCGGTATGTAGGCAAGCCATCTTGGCCGGTGTTCAACTTGAAGGATCTTTGACTGCTGTTGGAGTCGACGACTTTGTCGGCTACGGCGCCGTGAGAGCGGACGTGACGGGCTGTTAGGGAGCGTTCGGTGTCTGCGAAGACGAAGCTCTGATTACAAAAGGATTAGCAACAGATCTTTTATATACATATGGGAGACGGGGAAAACATACTGCCATGAAATTCAAGATTCCCATAGTCATCGCCATGATTCCAGCAGACGCAACCACTCTCCAAGATGGGAGTCCCATGTTATCCACGCTGTAATCATTGTTGTTCAGGTTCCCAAGCAGAGAAACACCCATGACAATCATAATCAGTGCTAGAGGCACAAAGGTGGCAGATTTACTAAGCTGGGGAGCAAAGCGGATGAAAAAGTCTTCGAAGACTGGCAGTTCCGTGACGATGAGGAAGACTGTACTTACATCAGCTGTCTGTATAGCTTGAAGACGAAAAAAAAAAAAACAACATATATGCAGAGCAGATGCCGGCAGTACTCACTACTTATTATGACCGTGATGGCATGGCTGACGGCCTCAAAGAAGAAGAAATTGTTGTTCATGGAGATTTTGATGAGCATCACCACGCCTGCAGCGATGGTATCGAGGAAGACGATTATGTTGATACCTCGAATGACATTGAGAATCACATAGCCTGGACCAGCCAGAGCTTTGAAGAAGTTGGCCATGATTTTATTTGGATTTGGTTGATTATTAATTTCTTTTTTCTTTCCAAACTTGTGAGTGAGAGTGGTTCAAGCAGAGGAAAAGAAGCAGACGAATTATCACGTTTTACTTCAAATGAAAGAGAGCCCGTCAAGGGAGATAATGGTGATGGTGATGATAATCAGAGTTCACGGTCTAGCCAGCAGAACCGTGAAAGAGAAGAAACACAGGAGACTTGATTAAATAGGGTAGAAATAGATGGTCTGTCTTGAAGACCAGGCGAAGGATTAGAGATGAGAAAAGAACAGGCGAAAAAATAGAAGGAAAGACACAATATCGAGAAGAGGACCAAGATATGTACGGAGACAGTACGCCGACGTTGTCCGGCTAAATCCAAAGATAGACACCATCTGAAGCAGGAGTTTGCCTATCTATTGACCTATTGACGCTGCAGTATGTGAACAATAGTATTCAGGTAGTCAGGAGGCTCATGAAACACAGGCTCCCCCCTTCTCGCCCCGGAAACAATGGAAGCCATTCATTCTTTCGACAATGGGTATTGATGACACAGTCAATCGGGCGTCGTGAATGGAGCCTTCCGATGCCGACCCTGAAAGGCGCGAGTAAGAGAGCCTATTGGCTGTTTCATACTTGCTGAATTGGTTGGCATGATCACCCTATTGTTGCTATTATTAATAGAAACCAGTGGGGTCGCAGCACTCTCGTCAAAACTTGGAGGACGAGAGAAGTTTAGCAAGGCTTGCTCCAGATGATGCTAGTGGCAGTCCAAGGGTTGGTTGACGAAGCACGTCGAGCGGAAGCGCTGAAACACTCGCCTGCGGCTAGCTGAGGCACAACCTGAGGCATCAAACATGACTGCTTTACATAGTTGATTATGCAAGAACGGACTGGTGGGTTATGCAAAGGCTGATAAGTTATGACTATTCGTCGGAAAATGTGCAACACATTAGACAACAAAACATCGAAGTTGCCATTGTCGGAGCGCTCTGATTGGTCGAATCCCGGCGAATCGCAGAATACCGTCAAGGCCAGATCGGGACTAGCGTGGATGCATTTCTTTGCCTCAAACCTCACTTGTTGTGCCAGCGCGCTTCGCTTCTATTCGCAACGCACAGCTGCACTGACTTATCCGTCGAGCGTCAAAGCAACACACGCCAAAATGACTCGCGGTAACCAGAGGGAGAATGCGCGCAAGAAGAACCTGGAGAAGCAAGCCAAGACTGTACGTATAGTCCCCGTTTCCCTGCAGGGGTCGAGTCGAAAAGATCAGTGAAAGAAAGGAGCCCTCGTCAACACAAAAATATGACCCGTGAATCTATCAATAGGATACTTGGCTAATCCGAGACGTCTTTTTAACAGAAAGCAAAGAACACTATGTCCGGTAACGAGTTCGCACGGGAGAAAGAGAAGGTGGCCGCCATTATGCAGGAGAAACAGAGAAAAGGTATTGAATCGATACATTTACTGAATTCGTTTTTTTTTTTTTTTTCGTTTCTCTCTAGGGCTTTTCTATTCAGCATCCAAGATGAAATACGCATTAATTTGCAGCTGGGATTCTAACATACGGTGTTCCTTTCTTTTACAGCATTAGAGAAAAAGGCTGCTGAAGCAGCGGCAGGCGGCGGGAAAAAATGACACGAAAATTGTATAGACTCGCAAGACGATACTTTTCACTTGTCTCCTCGTATATGATCGATTGACCATTCCTGATTTTGTCACCCCATATGCTCCACCACCATACCAACGCCCAACCAGGATTTCCTTTTAGAACTATATATAGTTTCCTGGCCGTCGTCGCAAATACATACATCTCTTAGCCGCGGGTATTGGGCTTGCTCGGGTTTCTTGTCTTGTGTTGTACCGTACATACGCTTGGCTTGACTTTTTGGTATTGTATGAGTGGACGTGTGCGTGGGATAGAGGAGACAGGAAAGAAAAGAGAGGTTATACATTTATCTTCTCGCCTATGATCTATTTTAGCGTTGGCGTTTTCACAATATCACAGTTAACCCTACCACATTTCCCTTTTAGAATTTTGGTATAGCATTATTTTGTTTGTCTGCTATTTCTATCCGCTGAAATATAGTGAGACAGAATCCAGAAAGCATGCCCATTCCTTTCTTCCTTACTTTGCTTTAATCCATACCTCGTTGAGAGCAATTCAGAACATATACAAACTTTATACTGTCTGATCTCCGAAAGATCGCTTCGTAGCGGCAGCATAGGAAAGCGGCAGTTGACCTGATCGAAAGTTCAAAGTTAGTCAAAAGCTTTAACTACATGAGAAGACATGGCTTAAGGACTTACCACCCACTCCTCCGACAGCACCAACACCAGCTCCATCTGGGAAATTCGCAGATCCGCAGAGGCACGCACACGAGCAAGCGCTTTTACTCTTGGAGAGGATACCAGTGCCCAACACAACAGCTGCTTCATTGGTGCCCTGAGCAGCGACAGCTACAGCGCTACTACTGCCATTACTGGCGCTAGCAGAGACAGTCGTTGTACTAGTACTATTACTGGTAGTACCAATATCTTTCTGTTCCATAGCAGCAACCCGAAAAGCCTCAAATGACTCCTCAGCGGTCGGATTAATAGCAAACACCATGCCCATTCCGCAATGCCCCGTTTGAGCACAAAATATCCATACGGGCGAAGTGGTTGTGACTTGGAATCGTATTGTGGGCGCCGGATTTAGGGTGTTGTCAAGGTTAGGCATAAATCCCGAATCCACGCCGCCTGCTAGCTTTTCGCAAGGGGCCGCAAAGGAGGACTGAGTGGCGGTGTGGTTTTCAGACTTGAAGTTAAATTGGATTATGTCGCCGATTGAGGCGGAGATGGTGTTTGGTGTGTAGACGAGGCCGTTGGTGCCGCCGACGGTGATTTGGTGGGTGGTTGTTGTACTGGAAGTGTCATTCTCGGTGACTGTTCCGAGTGCGGAGATGGACTGGTCTAGAGAAAGAGTTTTGGCAATAGCTGTTGACAGCAGAGATGCTGCAATGAGGAGTGGCCGTATACAGCGGACCATGGTCTTGTACGACTCTAATATCAATGAACAGATCCCAAGTTATGTAGCCACGGATGCCTCCAAGAGATTTTATTGATAGTCAGAACACCTGGACGGTCAATAAATCAATGATTCTTCCACTCATAAATCCATGGGAAGTGGGACATGTTTGATGCTTCGGGCTAAGACGGTTCTTGTCGCAGGTTGTGTCGCAGCCCTGTTCCATGACGGTCAGCCCTAGTCATCATCTGGATTTGGCAGTGGTACTGTGAGACAGTTAATAATTCCAACTTTCATTTTAGTTCAATAGCACAACAAACCTGTGTTTATTTTCTCAGAAGTATAGGCGACCAGACGAACATGTAGTCGAGCAAGACTTGAACAGGGTATCAATTTATAATGCGTCTCAAGGCCAACAGTAACTGGCTATCAGTAAAAATACAAAAAAAAAAAAAAAAAGAAAAAAGAAAATATATTTTCAATATGGAAAGTCATTATTCTATTGTTGATTCGCAGGATTGCCATTCGGGGCTGCTTGTCGTTGACCTTCGTAAAGCCCAGTATAGTAACCCGCGAAATACCATGCCATCATGAGATTTTTGAGCGCCGGGTCTTGCACTGTTCAATATGATTAGTTAATAAGCCTAGGCTGCAAAAGAGCCATGTATCACAATTGAGTGTATGTATAACTTACCTTGCCCTAGAAGTGCGTCAGGTACACTCGGTGCTCCCCCAGGCCCGGCCGTCAGAGGTACTGCATTGCGAACATTCGACGGGCTAGGCTCATCTGCCGTGATATCCTGTGAACCACCACGTTAGTGTTTGATCTATGACAGTAAAATCTTGCTATATGCATATATCCTCACCTGCTCCTCTAGCTTTGCCGCCTTGCCAGCATCATCCTCGATACCCATGGACTCGTCGTCCTTCTCAATATCGATGCCTGCTGCAACATCTGCGCCCTCTCGTTCAGCCCGGTTTAGAACCTCGTCGACATCTTCTCCACGAGCATGAATGCTATGGTAGAGCTGCAGTATTGGAATTAGTTGTTAAGTCAATATATATGGAATCACGTGCCAAAGGGGACTTACGTTATATTCCTCTACAGCGTCGTCCCATGAACGCACAAGTGCCGAATCGTCCCAGATCTCTTCGTGTGATAGGTCCCCCGATTTATCCTTCCTGTCCTTTTTTTTTCTCGCCATCGGGTCTGGTTTTGACGTTGTTGAACTGAACTGAATGAAGATCCAAAAAGTTGATGTGGGGAAGGAAGCAAGCTTAGTTAGGTGCTGGACCCGCTGGGCTTGGCGTTCATGGGCAGAAAAAAAAAATATCTTTCCGCACCGCTCATACAGACCTTGTGCTCTCTCGTAGATTTTGTTGCACATTGACCAGTCGCAATGGCTCCAGAAAAAAAGGACAAAAAGCGCAAGGGTGAGGAAAATCAATTTTACATTATGATCTTCCCACGTATTTGCATATATACTAACTAAGCCTGCTTCCTCTAGCTACCTCAGCCGCCGCTGTCACCGTTACAGATCTTCCCAACAAAAAATCGAAAAAGACTACTGTCACAGCTGAAAAGCCACCGTCTGCCGCTCCAAAGTCGATTCTGAAAAAGAAAGAGGAGACCAATGGCGTTGCCAAATCAACCACCGCCAATGAGCCGACACGCAAGATCAAGCCACGCAAGCGTGCGAGCGACTTTTTGAGCGATGATGATGATGAAAGCAACAAGTCAGCAGACGAGGAAGAGGACAAGTCGGTAGTCTCCAAAAATAGCAGCGGAAGGAAAGACAAGAAGGAAGCTTCCTCAAAGCCGCAAAAGGCCAAGGTCGAGGCTGAGGAGAAAACCGATAATGATGAAGTATCCGAAGAAGATGATGATCTTGATGACCAGACCGCCGAGCTCATCAAAGGATTTGAGAGTAGTGGTGATGAGGATGCATCTGAAGACGAGGGATTCGATGCCGACAAAGCTGTGCCTCGAATTCCAGACTCAAAGAAGGCCAAACGAAAGATTCAGAAAAAGCTTAAGGAGAATACCCAAACCGACGAGCCTGGAACGGTATACGTTGGGTGAGCATACGAGTCTCCCCTACTCAAAGAGAAAGTTAGGTTGGAGTCACTAACGTCACTAGACGCATCCCACACGGTTTCTACGAACATCAAATGAGGGACTACTTTTCTCAATTCGGCGACATCACGCGTCTGCGTCTCTCCCGCAATCGTGTTACGGGACGCTCCAAACACTACGCATTTATTGAATTTGCCTCTTCAGTGGTGGCCAAGATCGTCGCTGAGACCATGAACAACTATTTGATGTACGGCCACATTCTGAAATGCAAGTTCGTGCCCCAGGAGCAACAGCATGCGGAGCTCTGGAAAGGGTCAAATCGTCGATACAAGCGTGTTCCCTGGAATCGAATTGAGAAGCAGCGCTTGGATCGGGGCAAGACGCGGGACAAATGGGCCAAGAGCATTGAGCAAGAAAATGGTCGGCGGTTGGCCAAGGCCGCGAAATTGAAGGAGTTGATGGGTTATGAGTACGATGTTCCGGGTTTGAAGGCAATTGATGCAGTGCCCGTTCAAGAGAAACTGCCGGCTCCAGAGGCTGCAGCTGAGATTGAGGCTGGCGAGAAGGAATCACCTGCAAAGGATTCTACGGATGTCGTTGTCGCAAATGGTGATGACAAGGAGGCCGATAAAGAAGCCGAAAAGGCTGTTGCTGATGAGCAAACACCCAAGAAGAAGAAAGCCAAGAAGTCCAAGAAAGAGAAGGGATCAGAGACACCTGATATCAAGACAACTCCGGCCAAAGTAGCCGAGCCGGAGCAAGCCACGCCTTCAACCACGCCCGAGTCCTCGACCAAGAAGGCAAAGGCGAAGAAGGCGAAGAAGTTTGCAGGCAAGGCTTAAAGATAATGACATTCACCTTTTCTATTGTACAAATGAAAAGTTTTTCTTTTTCTTCTTTCCTCATTCTATCGTCTATAGTGCATCGTAACATGGCAGAACGGAAATATTATGAATATTTTTCAGATTCATTTCTCGGTGTGATTCTGTTTTACTTTTGCTTAATTTTTTTTCCCTACTTATTTCGCTGGAACCACCGTTTTCTCTATCCGTACTGATGCCGATCACAAACGAGACTGGCCCATAACATCTGAACCATACACTCTCTCAGCAAGCATTCGAAGCTTCATGGGCATCAGGTTATCCTGATAATGATCGAGAATGTCGTCTTTGCCCGCGGGTTGACCAAGATTTGACCATACATCACCACTTCCGTCAATGGCACGCGCTTCACAAAGCCCTCTCTTCTCGGCGTTCCACCATTGTGGTAGGACTGTGGTGTCTTTGCCCTGTTTTGATGTTTCATTCGCCATCGTCGACATTGTTGTCGTTAGTGTTAAAGAAGAAGAGGGAGAGGAAGAACTCGAGTTGTCAGTGTCGGTGTTCATTGTAGTGGACGAGGACGGCGAGGAAGAATCACCATTCATATCTTCTTCCTCTTCTTCAGCATTCCCATAACCATGATGCGCTTCGTTATCGTGATTATTGTTGCGAGATTCAGACTCGGCCAGGTCCAGAAAATCCTGGAAATCCTGCAAGGCATATTGGAGTGCTTGACTGGTGGTGCTGCTTGCACTTCTTTCCGCATCAGCAGGAGCAGCAGCAGTCATCCTGGTAGAGTTGACACTATATCGCCCTCTCAGCCGCCCACAATACAACCTCTCATCCTCCACTCGTAAACGATACGCGTCCACCAATTGATCCATGACCATTTCCTCTGACCGCAACCCCTCCAGATAGCAGCTATTTCTAGCCATGATAGCGCCGGAAATGCATGTCTGCCGGTGCCCTCTTTTCCAGTCTGCGCGCTGGCAGGCCCGCGAGCAATATACACTGGCCCGACAGCGCGAACAGCGCTTGAGCTTTTGCTCGGGGCGAGCGTTGGTGGGCTCCCTTTTTTTGCAGTAGGTGCACGTGCGAGACGGATTGCTTTCTCTTCTTGCTCGGCTTCGTTGCTCGGAGGTGGCGAGACTTTTGCTTATGATTTCCATCTATTTCCGATTTTCTGTTGTGCTGTGAAGCCCTGATTGTATGACCTAGCAGCCCTCGGCTCACAGCGGTTTTGATCGGGGTTGATATGAACTTGTCCACAAGTCAATGAAGATGAACAGAAAGGGGGAAAAAAGGTTAATTCCAGCAGTTAGTAGTATAGCTTATTATATGGTAGAAATCTATGGGAAACCAGATTATGAAGGCCCCAAGGGGCATGCCGAGTGAGGCACTGTTTTTAAGAATCCGGAGTTGGCAGCAGGTCATGTGGCCAGCGGAGAACCAACAGACGTCAACTAACTAACTAATAAGTTAGTTAGCATGTTATATTAGTAAAGCTCGCCCTGTTTGCCCAGAAAACAGTACGTAACAAATACTGTGTAGCATTCCTATTGGGCTGGGGCACGTGAGGCTGAGCCTGATTCTCCAGGCTTCCCCGTACTCTGTCTACCGCGAAGTATGCACCCCGTATTTTGCCCTACTTGGCAGCCAGCCAATGGACAGCCTCGGTCACACAGTGTTGTAGAGACAAAGGAGGCCTACTTATACTAGTACGCAGCCTGTTAGGCATCCACCCAACCGTATTCACACGGATCTAGAGCAGTGGACTGGCCGGAGACGGGTTTCACGTCGTCTTACCGAATCGGGTGATCCGTACACAACAGCATCACGTGATATGCTCGGTTTGCACAGTTTGCACGTGTACACACCATCCCAAAACCGGTCTAGCGCAGTCCTTGTGCTCCGGCCGAAAAACAAAAAAAATCCGCATTCGCAAAACCTTTTCTTTTCCTTCCTTCCTTCTCCAACTTCCTCGCTCAAAGGATCGCATTCAAAGCTCACACACAAGAGTGTATACCCATACCTCTTTCACCTCTTAGCTTTGGGAGAAAGTCCCCGGACATCCTGCTCATGTTCTTCTTTTTTAGGGAGGCATGGTCTTTCTCTTCAGAAAAAGCTGTCAGGCAATGCGGAAACGCGCCGCCATAAAAGCAATTTGATAGCGGCTTACGCTCCTATTCTTCCTTTGGATTACAAATCTTGCGACACTTGACCGTGGATACAATGGCATTGATTTGGGTTTGAAGAGAAGAGGATAAAAATGTTTTTATCGTGATTGGGGTTGCTGTTCGTCGTGGTTCGATAGTTATGCGATTGCTTGTTTGATTTGTTTCAGACAGGTAACTCAATGGGGCTCATTCTTGAGGCGAGGAAACACACCTTTTTTTCTTTCGAGTCTGTAGCTTATGGGAAAGCGGTGATTTTGGGGAGACCATTTTCCCCAACACAGAAGCCTTGTCAAAGGGGCCGGACTGAGTCATGACGCTTCATGACATTTTTGTGTGTAACCACCTCATGGAAGGCTGTTGGGGTTCGTTGTCTTGGGAATGGAGTTCGCGTGATGATATAACAATCATAGAGTCAAGCACAGAGGATTCTTGCCTTGTGTAAGAGCCGTTGAAGACCTGATTGTCAACAATATCTGATGAACATTATACAGTATTACTTCATCAAATATCTATCCATGAATATTATCTTCTATCATACATAGCCTCCGTCGGACCTAAGTGTGTACACTTATGGATTTAACATCTAACTACCTATTAATGCATTATTTCTGTTGGCCTAAGTTGTCGTAATGTCATTTGAAATCTTCATGCTACCGCACAGACAACCTTGGAATGTATCATCATTTCGTTTTATCACCAGCCGGAACAGCTTGAGCCTGCTTGTTCCCCGTTGTTTGCCCACCTCTCTGCAACGCTGCAACGATCATATCACCCACCAAAGTAATAGCAGCCGCACAGGCACTACCCCAAACCTGGTTACTGACGCTTCCCAGCGGTGCGCGTGGAAACGACAGGATCCATTCGACAGGGTATGGGAACCAGCCTGCCGGAAGCTCGAATACGGGGGTTTTCGTGTAGTAAAATTGTAGGAAGAATCGAAGTCCGGTTGTGCTGAGCCATCGAGCAGTCTTTATGGAGAACTGGAAGGACGTCTTTCTCGAATTGAGAGATCGGTCTGAGTAGATATCCATCAGTAAAAGAGAAAAGAATACAAGACAGGGGATAAAACTCACTCATCGCTTCGTATTCATCCATTGCTTTATCATGTCTCCGTCTCAACTTGGCCCATTTAGCAAATTCATCCTGTGAACTGGTTGCGTTCATTTCTCGTTTAAGCTGAACAACATCGCGCTTCAGCTCGCTGTTCTTACGAGCATCTTTCGAAATAGGGAAGGGTGATCGTAGGTAAAGGAGCCATAGCTATGTTTGGGGTTGAGATTCTGATTAGTTGACGCAAGCTCTCTTCAATGTCACGAGATTGGGTTCGGTGAGGTTTCCACATACCAGATTGTCGATTGTGCTTGCACCGATTGTGTTGATGATATATATGGCCAGTTGTAGAAAGAAAACAAGTAACAGGAGAGAAATCATCTCGAGTCGAGACTTAAGCCGCCTATTTCAGATGTCGCACAATGAAGAGGAAACGTCTGAAAAGGGACGTTTAGATAGAATGTGGAGAGTAGTGCGCAGCTCTAAGATCGAGCCTGTACCTAAAAATCGTAAGTGCGTAGCTCCATAGGGAGTTGTGGTTGAAGTGGTTGAGTTGCGATTAGAGAAAAAGATGACGTTTTAGCTTAGACGAGTTGTCCTGCAGGTGCGGCGCACGGCAGGGCAGGGCTGGTGTGTGCGGCCGACATCCGCGCGACAGCAGACAACTGCTACCCGCACAATCACCCTGTTTAATTATGCGCAAGCTCACTCTCAGTGTCAATGTCATCGTCATCCCATGACATCTACGAGACTCTACGTGGAATACTTACCGAGAGGAAATCCAACGAGGCCTTCGAGATTGAGATTGTGTCTCCAGAGCTGGGACCGCTTGTGCGAGATGGATCCTGCATTGGCATCAGCAAGAAAGCCCTCGCAAAGGCATTCATAACTGCACGACGGCGATTTACAGAATATCTCATTCAGCGCAGTCAAACACCGACCACTCTCTCAGCAGAAGAAAAGGATCAAGATCTTGCCGCCGCAACGGAGATCATCCTCCTCTTTGACTGTGAACATGTAACGGCATGCAACTGGAGGAAGCGACTGATCAGTTCTGCTTCAAAGCAAGAGTGTGCCACCATCGAGGGCAATCTCGAAAGAGAACGGAGTCTAATGACAACTTTCCTTTGTTCGCCGCTACACCGGCATACAAAGTCGCCTACGCTATGGCAGCATCGACTATGGATCCTGACTGAACTTTTGAAACTAAAGGCACAACAACAAGGTGCAACAAGCTCTTGTGAAACTTCCAACGATTTCTTACGTGAAATTTTTTTCGAGGAGTTTGATGTAGTATGTAAGGCTGGCCAGTTACATCCGCGGAATTACTATGCCTTCGGTTATATGCGCCAAGTGCATGCTCTGATGATAGCTCAGCCTGCGTCGTCATCAACCAAAGACGAATCATCAGGAATGTTAACAGGAAGCAGTGCTCTATCACTAGAGCTAGCCCTGGTCATGATTGAGCCTATGTTGAAATGGTGTTTATCCAATCCGAGTGATATATCTGGGTGGATGTATCTATTTTATCTTCTCGATTATGGTGATGATGATAACGCCCTTATAAGGAACGGGAACTTTAATACAAAGAGGAAACTGGTCATGGACCGGACGCTTCATTTTTCGGGAATAACTACATGGGAGGGCGAGAGTTTATGGACGTTTGTTGACTTAATGCTGGAAAGATTTGGCGACAGTGTTCTTCCAGAACAAGCCACGTCTGATGATTCTTATACCGGGATACCATCGAAAAGAGACGATCTGCCGGCTGCACGATGGCAGAAGACAATGAACAGAATAAAAAAGGACTACAGTGGAAAGTGAGATTTATGACAAGCTACACTGGTTCTCAAAAAAGCGTGAATTCAAATACTGCGTTAATGACATACATTCCGACTAGGACATTGATGTTTTGAATATATTCCATGAAGGCCTTTCACACCTTCACACCAGATAAAAAAGATACACCATCAAGAGCATTCTTCCCCCGATCATCCAGCCACGCGAGATGATTGCACGTATGCAATACTAACAAACACCCCTCTATATTGGGAGAGGCAGACCTTCCACCAGACTTCCAACAAGAGGCAAGTTGGACAGCATGCTCTTCGGCTTCGCTGACGCAGATTCCGAGGGACTGGCCTGTGCAGCTGGCTGCGGCTTGGCCGATGTCTGGCTAGGAGCCGTAGTGGGTACGCCAGGGGTAGGACGGAGGCCAGCGACGGTAGGAGTGGCCTTCGCAGCAGCCTGTCAGCTTGTTAATCTGGGTGAAACGGTTTATACTTGTAACGAGGATTGATCAAGTGCTTAGTTACCTTGGATGCTGCTTCCAGGGCTTTCTCCATGTCCTCCTCATACGCCGCCTCTTTGTCGGCCATGACGTCTTTAGGTGCGTTGTCATTGTCTTGGGCGCCACCTTTCAATGCAGTGGCCATGCCTGGCATGGCGCCGACATTTCCAGTGTCAGGCTGAGGGCTTGTCGGTCTAGCATTGGCGACGACAGCCAGGACGACCAGGACGGCGAAGAGGTAGTAGAAAAGATTGGAACGGGCCATTTTTGACAACCCTTTTGGTCAGTAAATGAGTGAATGGCAAGTGTGGTTTTTGAAAGTATTCTAACAATCACTTGCTGGTAGCGAGATGTAGAGAGAAGCGAAAGGAAGTACAAAAGAAAATAATCCCAGGAAAACATCCGCAGGCAGGCCAACTCGAGCCCTTTAATAAAAGATGTCTTTACAAAGGGAAGTTAATGTTCATCCCTTCGCCAAAATCCCGGGAAACTGGGAGCATACAAGGGTATCCTACCCGAGTTATTGATCAACATAACTCGTGTCTCACAGCCCATCGAGCTACCTGAGTAAAGTTTCTCATTGACGCGTGTACCTACCCAGCCTTGGAAGGTCATCGAGATACATACAAAGACAGCCTCGATATGGAATGAAGTTTACTTGCCTCCATGTCGGGGAAGCTTGTAGATGATGCTCTATGATAGAAACTATGAATGAGTAAGATATCTCCAAGGACTAAATATTAGATGAGGTTCACTTTAGAAAATAGGAAGGAGTGAAGTATGTTCCAAATATTACTATCTAGCTGGAGTAGGCGGGGATAGACTAAGTAGAATTAAAAGCGTTTCTTCTACCTAGATACAAAGATGGCAATAGTACCCTTTCTATTTATCCTGCAAACACAGCGTCCACTTGCTCCGATACATCTAAATAAACTAACTACGTATTGTTGGACACGATTATCTCATCCTGCATTCCTAGGGTCATCCGCCAGCTTCTGACCTCGATATTCCAGTCCTGGATTGAACCAGATGGGCACGCAAGGGATGTCAACACAGAGACCTAGGAACCCTTACGACGACATTCTTCACCACCAATCTAGATATACAGGAGGCAGACATTCCATCCATGTGTTTTATTAGATCTCGATAAATTTCTATGCTATGTAAGTACCTAACTAGGTATGTATGTACCTCTCTCTATTGACACGTAAGGCCCCACGACAAAAATATGTAATAATAGAGGCCAACGCAACACGAGCGAGAGCAAATTTTTATTTTTACAATTTAAAGAAAAATTTTCTCTTTCTCGGCACGATTTTGACCTCCTCCGTCATAGAAGAACGGACAGACGAGACTTCGAATATGCCTGTATATATGTGACAGAGAGTATTGTATCATGCATGTACGGAGCGTTGGTTACGTATACGACATGCCGATTCCAAGCAACAGAGGTCGATATCTCTCATTAGTATACCAGCATGTTGTTGCGTTGATGTCGTCAACCACGGCGATGGCAGGAGAATTGCGCGATGTATAACGCGTCGCTATACGCAATCGACACGAGGCCGGAGACGCTGATAATAGTGGAAGATGTCGCTCGAAGAATGTTCGTCTCCCATAAGAAGACAAAAAAGAGAGAAAAAATTCTCGCATTGAAGGGGTCTTCATTCTTTCCTAACAGATTAGTAGTGGAGAATATTGAACAGATCTCTCGCCCACTTCGCACTCATGAATGCATGTAGACGTAACGGAAGTGATGATCAATGCCATAAATTCAAAGAGACAAATGAAAACGTGTTGGAATAGGTGTATGCTATAAGCGAACCCGGCCAGCGCACAGAGCAAAAAAAGCGATAATGGTCGTCGGGATTAGAAACAAGCATTTGCTCACTCTCGGTCTAAACATTCTAAATTTGTAGATGACATGGGAAAGAAAACTCCATCTACAAGGGTATGAAGACCTTGGTAAAAATGTAGATGAGAGAGAAGAAGAAAAAAAGGGAAAAAATGTTTGCACGGAAGAGGTGGAAATAAGAACGCGGGTCAGCTTATGTCAGCTTATGCCAAGACCTGGCTAGCTTTTGAGGCCTCAGGCTGCCGTTGGAAGTTTCTGTCTACTATTGACGATGTTAACGATAACCTGCAAAATATCATAAATTTCGGGAAATAATTATACACGCTCATATTCGTCATAATGAAATTCAGAATCGAGCCAGGACCCGATCCTGGACATCGCCCTGGGCCCATTCACTGGCCCTTCCACTCAAAACCGACTTTGCTTGCGCCGCTGTGAAGCCCTTCGCTGAAACAGCAGGGTTGTAACCTAGCCCTGTAATCTGGCCAACTGCCTCAGATGACACAGGTGTTGCTTCTTTGCCATCGGCCCGCTTGTATACAGTGACCACCACTGCACCGCCCAGTCCCAGATTATGCTGGAGCACAGCTACAGTACCCTTAACCAGACGATTGTTGGCCCAGCCGCGCAAATGCCAGACTAGCTCGGCACATTGAGCAATTCCTGTGGCTCCAAGAGGGTGTCCCTTTGAGATGAGGCCACCTGAGGGGTTGACGACCATCTTCCCGCCGTAGGTAATGTCGCCCTTTTGCACCATCTCATGCGCCTTGCCGGGCTCACATAGTTCAAGGGCATCAATGGTAATCATCTCATTGGCGGAAAAGCAATCATGCAACTCGCACACTTTGATATCCTTGACGCTCACCCCGGCCTCTTCAGCTGCCGTGCGACAGGCATGACGGGCCATTTGAAAGCCCATCAAATCAATGGAGCTGCGGTTATACAGCGACAGATCATCCGTTGCCATCGTTTGACCAGCTATCAAGACGGCCTGGTTCTTCAAGTGTGGGTGAGCATCCAGGAAATCCTGTGACACAATAACTGCCGCCGCTGCGCCGTCCGATGTCGGGCAGCATTGAAGTTTGGTTAGTGGTGAAAATACCATCGGTGCTTTGAGAATTTGCTCTAGACTGTACTCGTCCTGGAACTGTGAGTAAGGGTTGCGCTTGGAGTGTTCGTGGTTTATGCGAGCAATCTCTGCGAAATCCTCTGGCTTCGCACCGAATCTGTGATTTGCGAGACACTCAATCAGTGCCTGTAATCTTACTACGTAGTTTTGGAATTACGCACTTCTCCATGTATTCCCTGCCAGCATTTCCAAACATCTGGGCAGCGCCAGGCGCATTGGTGATACCTCGTGTTTCGGCCATCATCATTCCTAACAGGCCGGTCGGGTTTTCTCTGTCGTTATAGACTGACTGTAAGCTTCCCGGGCTCATCTTCTCGAAACCAACGACGAGAACGCAGTCAGCGGCACCATGGGACACGATAGTGCGGCCCAGAGCAAGCCCGGAAGAGCCAGTAGCGCAGTTATTGTTGACGTTGAAAATGGGAATTTTGGTCAGGCCAAATTGGTAGAACACCCGCTGTCCGCAGGTGCTGTCTCCGTAGACGTAGCATGCTACTCCTTGCTCGACATCGTCGTAGGTGATATGGGCGTCAAGCATGGCTTTGACTCCTGCTTCGAAGCCCAGTTCATGGTAGTCGACCTTGCCTCTGGGCTTGATGAATTTGGTCATTCCCACGCCCAGGACGTAGGCTGGACCTGGTTGTGATTTTGGCATGTTTGCTTTTTTTTCTTTTGTTGACTAGGGATAAACAATATAACTATATGTGGGCAGCAATCAAATGACAGGCCGAGTAATAGAAACCAAAAGTAAGTAAACATATATGTATATATGTAAATAATAAGTAGGACGAAGTTGATGATGCGGAGTTGGAGCTTCGTTTTGCGGGGAAGCTGGGCCGAGGTCCCGATGTGACTTGCCTCAGGCAAGCCAACCGATGTATGTGTGTTCCCCTTAGTGTGTACTATTGACTGACTATTGATCATTGGCGTTGTGTGACAAATAACACGCTACGAATGATTTCTAAACGTGTTTCAAGGAAGCATGATGTCACTTATCAATACGGTAGTCCGGTGGTCAAGATTTGGTGAATATTCATACTTAAAAAAAATTACGGGTTAGGGCAGGTGCTTGTCTTTAGAACTGTGTAGATGTATCAAGGATAGTAAGGATTATAATCATACAACGAACCCTAGATTACATAGAAACACAAGTTGTTTAAAGCAAGATCAGCACGGCCTTTGGTCAGTAATTCCGGGTTCAACTTCTTTACAGTAATACTTCCCAGTAACTTTTCCTATCAATACAGGCCGAATCCATTTCATTCATCATCAAGCATTGTAAACTCCGCGATCTGGTATGTTACAATGTTGTATGATGCAGCCAATTCCCGAATTTCAACAACTAGATATCATGTTTGGTGCTATTAAAGCTATTCCAGCCGTAATAGTGACGAGACAGAAGAGGGCAAATCAGGAAGTAGAACTTTGGCTAGACTCAGCTCATTAAGGACATGGAACAAAGTGAGAGTTCACTATCATGCAAAATAAATCAATGGAATAAGACATTCCTCAAGCCGGGAATATTATTATGACTAAGAAACAGCGATACGAGTGCCGTCATACAATCACTCATCGGTCTCTGGCCTCGGTCTTCTTCTTATTGGCCTATGTTGTCCTCGTGCACGAATTGGTCGACGTCCCACGGCTTGAGCAACCTCCTCCGCGGATGCCTCGTTGGGAACACCAGCAGAAGCGAGCCAATCAATCGGAACACTTGCCATTCCTTGTAGCCATAGCACTGGTTCTTGAACAAAATCACTTGGTATATCCAGGTTCGGGCACTTGTAACTCCCGGCAAAGGGATTATCACCATCAAAGGTGGGCTTCCAAGTTACTGTTTTGACGTAGAAATCAATCTCGTTAGGCCTTGATTCATCCCTGATCCAACGCGCTTTAGCCCAAGTAGAGCTTCCTGTCCACCCGCTTGTCACTGTATCCTCTTTGTTGGCTCTAAAAATAATCCCATCAGCGCGCCGGAAAACCCATTTCTCAACTGCCAAGTCTGTGATGAAGTCAATTTCCTTCTTACGCCGGTCGACCATCTCGAAATCCATTTTGATGGTGGAGACTGATTCTGGAAATATCACAGTGTTCACCCAACGTGCATCAATATGCAATGGCGCATTCCGCTCCCAGAACCAAAAGTCGGTGTATCGAATTGTGATAGTCACATTTCTTGGGCGGAACCCCTCAAGGTTTAGCACTTCTTGCAGCCTTCGCGGATCCTCCAAAGCCCACAACTGGGCAAATACCCTGATACTATGTATCTGCGGTATATCCTTCCCATCTTGGATCCGTGCAAAGTCCCTCAATGTCGCCAAATATTGCCTCATTCGCTCCAGCGTGACTCGCCTTGGCGGTGCTCTGTCTTGATGCATCAGATAGAAAGAGTGCTCTGCAAGTGCAAAAGGCATGAACCACGTTTCTTGAAAAACACGCTTGCAAGAACGCAGAAGCTCCGTTGCTGTACGCCGCCTCGCTTTATAGCCAGGACGGTACCAGTAAGTGTTGCGGTCATAAGACTGGCCATCGTGAGTGATGTCTTCATAGTCGGTGAGAGCATAGGTATAAATCAGGGACCGGATCTCTGCCGGAAGAATTGTGAACAACGGGCATTGCTCTTGCAAGTTTATATTGCTTTGCAGATTAGCCGACGGGGCTGTTAGCAGCGATGCTTCTTGTGTATGTTGTTAGCCAGCATCTATGTAGACTGTATGCACGGAGTGATATGTGTAGCCACCTTCAGCCATTGCGGTTTGCAAAGTCGTTTGTCCAGTCAAACACCCTTTTTGACGCTTCAACAAGTCACCAATTTATTTAGTAGGGTTGTCTTATCTTTTGACGAGCACGGAATGATAATAAATACAGTCAAAGATCGGCTGAGGTTGATGGGCTATTTATTTGATATTCATACACCCCACAGCCTCGCTTCGCCTCGCGCAGCCCTGTTGCCTAGCCTTGTTGCCACCAAAACCGGCCATAGGCTGACGATAACAATGAACGGCCCGGAGAAGTTGGATTGGCTGGCCATTGAATCATGCAGGCATTCGCAGTAACACTATCACATTGTCCTTCATTAAGAAGAGCTGTTTTCGAGCGAGAAAGGCAGTTGGCTGCCTTAGGCATTAGATTAGTCATCACAGTTTGTTGATCGCTGTCATTGGGGATCAGGATATGTTTCTTCAACCTATACTGCGATGGAATTACGAATTTCTGTTGGCCAATGATAGCTTATCGATTCGACAGCTTTCAAATGGGGGATCGTGTTGCAGTCGCCAAAAGCCTTGCAGGACGATAATCTAGCTTACATAGCAAAGCATTTCCCCTTGAAACTTGGCAGACATGGCAAATAAAACATCTCGTCTCAACATACAGGTATCAATGCCATTTTGTGGACTACAGTCATCTTGGAACTACCCAAGCCTCCGTGTTTTGCATGCGACATCGGAACAGGTGAGCGGTATATCACCGCTACGCGTCTTTCTAGATGATGGATCATTCTCAAAAGATCCAAGAGGAGGCACTGCCTCACTATCTTGCTGAGAGGTACTATCCAGTGCGCATCGGCGAGGTCTTTCAATCTAGGTACCAGGTCCTCACGAAGCTTGGGTATGGGCCAGCCTCAACCATCTGGCTTTGCCTTGATCTCTGGTGTGTTGTGTATTCTGCCACATATATCATAGTTTTACAACTGATGTTGGATAGGGAAAATCGGTACGTAGTACTAAAGGCTCATGTCAGGAGCAAGGGGGCTTTACCGGAACTTACCGTTGTTGAACACCTCCGAGAAAAGTAGGGTGAACATCCTGGGAAGAGGTTCGTCCGACTTTTTACTGATTCATTTGAAATCACTGGACCTGATGACATTCATCCTTGTCTCCTCTACCTCGCTGCTGGTCTTGACATGGCTGAATGTATGCAATGTTTTCCTGAGGAAGCTCTTACGGCTCCCCTTCTCAGAGCTGTTGTACGGAATGTTCTTCTTGCTCTAGATTATCTCCACCAAGCAAATATCATCCATACAGGTAAGTAGTAGCTTTGGGACGACTTTCTTTATGCATGTTACTCCTAACCAACCCGGTCTCAGCTGTTCAGCGTAACAATATTCGGTGTTTCCTGGCAACATCATGGATCACACAAATCCTGGCGTCCCGATGACACCAAAGGACAATCTTGGAATTGTAATGTTTGAATATAAATGCTGAATTGATTTATCGTCTAATATTTCTATACCTCAGTTGCTTTCTTGTTAAACACGCGCTGTCCAATAAAAGCCTCTATCACAGCAAGAGATTGAAGTGCCTCAACTCAATTTTGAATCCATATCCATGGCGTATATCCAGAATGATAACGTCAGATACGCCTCTTTAGTTGCCAGACTTCTGCTTCAGCTTTTTCTCTAGCTCCTCCACGTGCTTTTTTATCTTGTTGAATTGCCATGGCCAATATACCACATACTGTATAAAAGATTTCGTTAGTATGATAATAAATCAAATACAGGATTGATTAGAGAGAGAATGAATAGACCCACCAAAAATGGTCGCTCGTCATGACGATTGTCATCAGGGTTGTAAGCCGACACTGCAATTTTCAATGAGTATATTTATCCTCAAAATAATTGAGAAGCAGTGAAGGCTCGGACTCGGACTTACAATGTACACTGGGAGAGATGATTGTCGCCTTATGACGGTTTATACTGGATGCACTTAGTATCAGATGTAAGGATTACTGAGAAGATGATACTTACGAATAGAAGCGAAAGAATCTCATAACCTTTTCTGCCACATCCTTCGGGCTCTGGTCATTCCAATCACTCAGAAGTCGAAGATACATTGACCAGGGACCCAATTTATCCCTTTTGCGCAACAAACCGAACACTAAACCAGGTCAGTAACAGTTCGATGCCTTTTCAGATAGAAAAGAATTACCAGATAATTCGGCATAGGTCATTCCCATCTCGTCTTCGTCATTCTGATTCTGTGCAAGAGGCAATAACTCTGCTGTTGGCGTAGCCTCCAGGAACTCAGTTATGATTGGAATATTCCATTTCTCCCTCGCCCATCGCTGGAACTCTTTTGCGTCATTCTTCGAAATACTTCCTAGTGGTGCTAGATCTGCACTGCTGGCATCATATTTGGTGTAATAACCTCGTAGGTTCTAATATTGAAGTCAGTGTGTAAATTACCGAATCGTTGGAATGGAAATGGTATCATATATATAATTTGGTAGGGAACTTACTTCATCCACATTACCACTTCCCAAGACTAGCAAAGAGGCACCAGCACGAGGGAGCTTGCGCGCGGTAGTTGACAATTGTGCAAGCTCATAACCAAGCACCATACGGCTGCGTGCTTGTACATTCTGTCTCGCCAATCCTTCTGCCACCGAACCACCTTCAGACTCAAACTTGGGTGCAAATCCGTTGAGAGCCTTGGAGGCGATATTCTCAAAGGCAGAGACAGCATCGTCAATGTTTATATCAGAGTGATAGGCACCGATAGTCTCTGCGAGCCGCCTAGCGCGAGACTTGGTTTCGTCAGAAGAGTGTATGGTGCCCATGTAGCAGGTATGCAGCAATCGGGAAACAATTTCTTCTGGCTTTGTTGGAGTGAATTCCGGCTCGCCCGTGATGCGGCGTAAGTCTTGTAGAGTGCCCGCATCACCGTTCTCAATGGAGATTACAACAAGACGCGCCATCCCATAGACGAAAAGCGCTACACTAGAGCTATCCAAGCCACCTGATAAGGCGAGAAAGAAGCCAGCGGCGTTTGCACGTATCAGATATTGCCACAGATATACGGCAGTAGCCATGTATATCTCCTCCATAGTGTCCAAGAGCTTAAGCTCGATGGGCTTCGCTATCTCCAACGTATCCGCTAGATAGATCTCTTCCGTAGTACGGCCAAGGTGGATATCGCACTCGATTCGTGGAAAGTCTACTTGCCGGGCAGCTTGTACTCCGCGACTATGCTCACTTCTGTAGCTACGTACCCGTTCCACGTCAACTGTGGAAATCGTTACCTCTACAGGACGGAGAGAAAATTGCGATGACTGCGCAACCACCTCACCGTTCACGAGGATCATGGATGACCCATCGCTATCAAAATTAGTAAGAGATATTGCCAGATTTATTGGGTGTTGACAAAAGGCGACTCACAAGAGCATTCGTGCCTCGCCACTGCAATAGGATACGTTGTTAGCAGCCTATAAATTTAGGCCAGAAAGTAGCATTGAAGTAGGACGACGAGAAGCTTACTCAATACCAATAGCGTTTGCATAAACGTATACTGTTCTTGGTAGTTAGACATGGGTAATTTGTGCGATTAGTGACTGACTGACCTCCTCCAAGTTTTCGCGTCGAGTTAGCAATCAGGTCAAGTCTTGATTTCAGTTTCCGTAGTTCGGCGCTAGAGAATTGAAATGAGTAGCAATCCCAACTGTTTGAGCGATGTATAACTTACTGAGAAGCACTGCTGTTCAGTATAATTTCCGCTCCACTATGGCACGTTTAGTTATACTGTGATAACCCCGAGGATGTTGCCATCAAAGACATAAACAGAGAAGTATTTGGTAAATGGCTTACTTTAACCCCGCAAATGTCGATGGATTGAGCGGTGTGAAAAGCTCCTCACATGTCTCGCAGGTCACAGCTGTATCTGGAGTTGAAAGGATAAAATCCCCGATCGGACATGTACTCTGGCCTGTGACGTCCCGCGCACACTTCTCCAAATAGTAAGTTTCCACTGTATGCTCTTTTGTCCATGCTGAGAAATGCCGTGCTTCGCGATACAATCCATTGTTGGCAAGAGACTGTTTGGCGCGGATACCGTATATGTGGCGATAAGTACACAGGATGCGGGTGTTGTACCTGACATTGCGATGTCGAACGGGGACTATATGTATTAACGGTGGTATCAAGCCAGAAAATGTTTGGAAAACTTAGAACTTACTACCAATATCAAGTAGCATGCCCTGAGACACAGGGTCCGCCAGAATATCTGCAAGAACTCTACAAATTCGGGGTAAGTAATTTTACCAATTAACAGAGGAGCTTTAGAACCGCTCACTCCCAAGAGTGAAGGAATGTGTCTCCTTCTAGGAAATGGTCGAGACTGGTGAACAGTCAGAATGATCAAGAAGACATGTCTCACGAATTGATCAGAAGCATACCATCCATATCCCGGAACCTATGGTCAAAATGTTAGTATGTTCTACATAAGCTGCAAAGTGATGAGTTCCTTCTACTAGCTATAGGCAAGCAAGAAGAAAAAATGCAGATCAAAGAATCATGGCAGAGAAGAATGATTGCTCGGGATAAATGCCAACTCACCTCCAACTCTGGACCTGTTCTCAACCTGGCACCCTTTTCTTTCGCAATACGTATGGACTCAAGAATGCGTTTCTTATTACCCTCAAAATCCAGAGGGACAGACGGTAGCTACGATCCTACAATCAGTATAAATCCTGAGCCAACCGAATAGACAGAGACGGCTAGGGAGAAATGAGTAAGAGATGAGGATGGGAAAACTTACCGTAGCAACAGCGACGGTTACAAAGGACATCGTGGCTGTTACGATCTGTATAATAGCGAAACAATCGATGTGCTCCCTGCAATGCAGACGTTCAGAAGAAGACTGCAACGGCGATTGGAAGATGACTGCAGCCACTGCACCCCGCATTCTGGTCACGTGCTACTTCTCCAAATTTATCGTAACCCTATCAACCCTGCGTGATCTGACTGTTGATCTGTGAGGAATACTTCTACGCATTAAATCTACCAGACATATCGACCAATACGTAAACTTCATCAGCCGCCACATATCTAGTAGAGTCTCCGCCGTATGCTGTTCATAAATTTATAATAATTAACTCGTAACCTCCTATGTGCGCCAGTCGTATCAAGAAGTTTCTTCAAATAGAATAAATATGCCAAGGCGAATGGCTACTCCATGAAAACCCCAGCAGAGAGATGATTCCACTCGTCCCAGTCAGTAGTATTTGCATCTAGGGACGCTCCTGCGACAAAATCGTCCCACAACGCCGAAATCGAGTTCTCTGTTGGATACTCGGAGCCAAAGCCGACATCAATATCGGGATTTAGAGTGGCTCCGTAAGGCTGGTTTATGCCTAGGCCCCCATCCGGCTCATCCTGCGGATTGGAGGCGTAGGGAGCCAACCAGCCCAGTTTATGCCAGACGCGCGTCTTCAGGCTTATCAGTGTAAGATATCTTGAGTTATGCTGTCTGAGGTTCTTAAACCGCGGGGTCGGTAGGTTGATAGAATGACCCCTATTCACTATGCGGCCCTGCCTTAGGCTAATGACCTGATCGATCAAGTCTTTGCTCAGGATAGCCTCCTCGTCTGGACATGTGCAGCCATCTAAGTGCACCAGCAGAACTATCAACGCATGGATAGGTTGTATGAGTCCCGGGACAAACCAGTCACGGCGCAGTGATTGTGGGAGGGTAGCAAGTCTAAGAAATCTCTCGAGAAACGAACGAGAAGTTCTGCAGTCGTCGTTAGACGAGCCAAGAAAGAAAAGAAAGAAAAGTAAAGTGAAAGGAATAGACATACCTTACAATCTCACTGTGACAATCCATCCCCTTGAATAGGTCCAGCTGCCAGAATCTCAGGCCGAGCATGCAGTATGCACGATCAATTAGCATCTGAAGATACACGCGCGCCCACTCGTCCTCACCGCTCTCGCCAAGCATCTTCAGCAAATTCTCCATCACCCTGCCGAAATACGTGATCTCATGCTGTTCGGGCTTCCGTTCATACCAGATCTGCATGCGGCACGCCCACTCCCAGTGGCCCTGCATGGCGATCATCATAGGTGAGAGGTTGTTTGCTTCACTTCCCACAGCTGCATCGTCCCATGTGATAGACGGTATTTTCGTGGTGAAACTCACAGAGGATATAATCGCGGGTAACCCGCTCGCGATGGTGGATTCTACGTCGAGAAATACCAGGTGCCACCACAGCCGTCGCTGGACGTCTCGATCCACGTCACTTTCCGTATTCTGATCGACGTGCAGTCGTAAAGATTGCGCAAAGCGGATCGTGATAGGCAGGAATCCGAATGCGGTGAACGGCGCAAGATGACCCGCTCGAAAGGTGTTCATGATGAGGAAACCCTGAAGGAGCATTATGGAGCTCGGGGACTGCGTGACGTAATATGAGGAGAGGTCCAGGGCATGCGCGAGCTCGTCGTAGAGTTCATGGATGGCCGAAGATTGTATGCTGGCCTCTGAATCGCTCGAATTGGCTACGTTAGTATATAGTATCGCCAAAACAAGAAGCAGCAGCTCGGCGGATGTGTTCGGTGACAGATCATCCCAGAACTTCGAGTACACCTTTCGCAATGTCGGGATATGGCAGACGGGAATTATAGGGTGTATTGTGAGGACAAAAGACTCGAAGACGGATTTGCATCCGTCCCGCGAAGGCAGCTTGGTCCAGACGGATGACACAACAGCATCTCCGAGGGAGCTAATGGGGACGAAGGGATAATCCGATATCGACTTGGGCGCGAGTATTTCAGCTGGTATTGCGGGCTTTTGTATCGTTAGTATATGTGCCAACCCCTTGTTGCTATGTCCTGTGTACCTGTGTTGTGTAAGACTCACCTGCTCGTTGCCTCCCACCCTCGCCTTCTGAAAGTGTCCGGAACGGAATGTCTTGGGCTCTTTGCTGCGTCTCACTCGTAGCCTGCTGTTCAATGACCGATTTCCACGTCTCTGATGACGAGGTCAAACATATGATGTCCTGTTGGCCGCGGTATGGGATAAATTCGATGGTCGGAACAACCACGTTCGTGTATTCACAGCTCCGACCACCTCTCAGGCATCGCATGCACACTAGTCTCGACCAGTCGCATCGAACCTATTTTAGAAGAGGTAAGTCCCAGTTTCACGTTCACCACTGAGAGATGGCTGCTAACCCGACGATCACGGCATGTTATACACGTAGTTACCTGACGTCGTCGTCGCGCCTCCGGGCCGAGGAGATTCTTGCTCATTGTGGCTGTGTATCCTGATACTGTGATATGTCGTGCAGTAGCTGGCTCCCGGACATTGCAGAATGTTTCCTTGCCATAAGCATCTTAAGTGAATGAAGAACTTTTCAATCAAGATATATTCTACTGTATATGTTTTGCAGTACAAGGTAAGTAACATTATTGGCCAGAAACTTCTTAGCGGGTATGATTACACGTGACCCTCAGTACAACCAATCCGCGCCTCTCGGCCATTGCAAATTTGCAATTGCGGTTGTACAAAAACCGAAATTTGTAAATATTACAATTTTTGTCATTGTGCTATAACCGGTTTAATTATCTATCTTAGGTGACCGTGACGACTTGTAAATTACGCCCATAGAACCTGATCATGGTAACTTCCCACACAAGCCAGTCTTTTTCCAAATGACATAGATGAAGAGTGTGGATACAATAAAGCGACTTTTCGAGAGAGCAAGAGTTCCTAGGAGAGCCCCTGAGGTCACTTTCACGTTACTTGCTTTGCATTTTTCTTTTCTTTTATTCTCTTTACAGCTGGGATGTTGTCTGAAACAACTAGGATTGTTGATTCCTAATGTTTCCTTGCGCAACATAGATCAGACGGACGCTGTTGTGGTGGTAGGCTCTTGAACTTCTTCGGCATCGTGTGTGGGCACATATTTTACATAACGTGGGATCGATGAGACACACAGTAGATCGAGGTCAAAAGGTCAAAAGGATCGACCTTGCATATGCCGACGTTGCTTAAATACTCAGCATACTGCACCATACCTAGGTAGCGGTTTCAATAATTGCTAAACGGACTATACAAAATCAGAGTCCTATAAAGAACACGGTACTTGAAAAATGTAGAAACTCATATCGTTTAAAACATCTGATACCTGTTCACGAGACATTATAGCAGTCCGCCACCCTCATATAAGCTAAATAGACCGTTTTTAAATGTCGATAGACAAATATCACACTTACTATGGTCTCTTCTTGATTCCGTTCGCGGCAAAAGGATTCTGGTATGGGTAGGAGCTGTACCTAGGTAGTTTTGTAATGTGAACAAGATTTGTAATTCCCATAGTAGATCCCTAGATAGTCCACAGCAACTTGGCTCCAGCAATACTGGATTGGTTGTTAATGTTTTCGTACAAATGTATCTACGTCGAATACTGGTCTAAAATAGTCTGATTCCATCTGAAGTAGAGTGATCCAAATGGCCAGACTAAATCAACAGACATATTTAATTGATTTATTTGTTTCTGATTTACTACTGTATAGCTGAAGTGTTGTGAGCTTTCTACATAAAGTATTAGCATATGTCCAATTTCAAAACATATGAAAGACTTACATATGAGCGATTCTCTTTGATTACAAATCCGCATACATAAGTTGATGCATGCACTCAACCTGATTTTTTAAAGGACCCAGCGGACAATGTAACACCTCGATGAACGCTCTCATCCCAAGGGTAAGCTGTTGCATCTATGTTTCTACGTAGCATGAGGTCTTTGATCGCTACTCCTTTCCACGTATCTGAAACCATATCGGGAGATCCCGGGCTTGGTGTTCTGAATGTTGAATTGAGCCAGCTCGCAATGTGCTTCATAACATCATGAAATATGTTAGCTGTATGATAGCTACCATCTTGCATAACATTGCTCCATGAACATAGTTACCAGGTGGGCATGGCACTATGAGAGAAGAGAAAAAAAGACCACTATGCCAAAACGAGTCTGTTCGGGGGAAGTATTAGTAGTTTTTGGTCTGACCTATTTTTCTGATTTCATGTGCCTCCCTCCGCACCCATCAAGTACGTTTTCTAGAATTGTGTCCCCCAATTAATATAGCAAAATATATGAGACAGTTATGAGAATCCTGTCCCCATACCCCCGAAGGACCCCCTCGCGCGACACCATCCAAAGCACCGCTCTCGCACAAAACGTTCATTTTTAAGATCGTCGGGCCGACTGTAGATCCCGGCCCCACAATTCCCGCGTGGCTCCCGCAGATGCCCCCCACTGCGTAGTCTGGTAGGTTTGACTAGTGAGATTGATAAAGTAAACTACAGCCCGGTGTCCCTTTAAGGTCTTGTTCTTGAATCATGAGACTGATCTGGGCCCGCCACTTAAGATCATCGTGCCTACAATCATAACTTTTTCAAACTCATGCACTGTCATTGAATACTGTAAAATGGAACCAGCGTGAAGATGAAATGATATCGGATCCCAACGACAGTAGCGAAGCTTTTCTGAGGGGAAACAAAAGAAAAAGAAAGAAAAAAAAAGACAAAAAAAAAAGAAGAAGAAGAAGCCAGAGGATGACAGTCTTCCCAGCAATTTAATAACTATTATTAGCCCGCTCACTGACCGCACTTTGTCGAAATATTTGGCCGCTAATGGCTCTCTAGGTAATGCCCAGCACCTCGCTCCTGTATTTGGTCCATAAACTCGGAATGGGAAAGTTTTTGCCCTAGAGAAAAGAATTTCGATCTTCCTTTCTGCTGAAAGTTACTATCTGGAGATACTTTGGGTTAATCTTCTACTCAAAACTTATGCACCAGTCACTCTGGAGCAGAATATAGAGCATTAATCAAAGGAATTGGCGGTTAGACCTTGGGGTCTCTCTTCATGACTCACCTAGGCGACACCTCAATCACAGGAATTCATCAGGGCTATATTGTGTCCGCATTGCTTGTATCCTTGTTGGTCCCGATTTATATTTGATACTCTTTGAACACACTCATCTCCTCATCGCAGCTTTTTTAACGGTCCTCCAAGAGCAGTATGGTTTAGAGTGGGTAGCAGTGGCCATAAGTATCTTGGAATTTGCCAATGCCAAAGTTCAGTAGGTTATACCCATTATACTACCTCTTTTCAATGGAAATTATACCTGCATTTTTGAAGTTTTTCGTTGCGGTGAATTCAACGTGAACTATCGCTCTGTCTTTCATAGACCTCAGCTAACATGTACCTTGAGGATAGATGCACTTAGCAGATTCCGTAAAGCATGACCTATCATTACCCAGGTATATTGGTCACGAACGCCGTATGTTCTAGTAATTACCTGACTATATAGTACGCCATAGCAAGGATGAGCAAGCAGGAGCGCAAGAATATCAATGTATTGAGCTTATATCAGGGAGACAGCTGAGAGATGGCTGCATAACATGGCAGATATTACAACAACTCGCCCAGGATTTTAAGGTTTCTTCAGTCTTACCTACCCCGGATTCTAGCTTATTGAAGAGCTCTCGTGCATCAATGAATCCCATTTCCAGCCACGAACTTCCCACATGGCCATGTCAAGGTACTTCGCGTGCTTATGCAGGGAGTCTACACTCCGTAGAGGAATGATATAGGGATGACACGCGGCATGGGGTATTTCGCAGGGAGAAACAGCGGCACCTGATTGGCCCTGCTGGAGCTCTCCGACCCGCCCCATCTTGACGACGTCACCAGCAGAATTATGTAAGTCACTAATTGGGCTTAGCGCCAGTTTCGACCGGTGCACTCCCCTCCGTCCATTATTCGCGCTCTCGACCATGCGAAGGTTAACTGTCGTGATAATCTATTTTGTTCCGTCCTTGACTGTACGGAGTAGTCTCAGATTCATCGGCGTCTGTTCTCCTGGTTTTTGTCAGAAGACACATCCGCTAACGGCTCATTCCCCCGCAAGGTACGTGCCACCCGCTGCGCACCACCTCTCCATGTTTCCATTTACACGGCATGCAATCGACCATCGTGAGCGGTACATTACGCGCTATGGAAGATTATCGATGACTGTCCAAAGTGGCTGATCTATATCATCGTATTGTTTCCGAATTATGTACTAACTATTCTTTAGCAGCCGCCGCATAATCTGACATCCTCGGTTAACCGTTTCTCCCTAACCAGAACGCTCGATTATACTCGTTGGCGACAGCATTGATCAACCTAGCGCGCATATTAGGTTTATTTGGCCCAGTTGAGTAGTGACGGCTAGAAAGAGTTTGGTCATTGTTTGCTATACTCCAATCTCACACCTTCACGCCGCGACTGTAACCATTATTCAACATACTTCCGAACCTCCGTCTTCTTTCTTAGAAGGCACCAATTCCGACTAGATCAAGTCTTTATGACGACGTGGGCTTAAACAGTCCGAGTGAGGAACAATTGTGGGACGCCGAACGGTCATCTCGCTCTTTGAGATACCGCTTTGCGTTCCATCGGGTTCCCCAGCCCACACATAGGCACAACATAGACACAGGATCTACCAAAAGCATACCATCCATCTACTCTTGCTTTCAGGATTCGATTGCTCGAGCGTCATATGGCTTAATTTCAACTGGCAGGTATGACTATGAACGACAGTCCCAGTCACGTTCGTCTTTCCTCGACCGCATCCACTCCAGCTACATCTACCGCCGCCATGTCGACGTCGAGCCCATGGGTGCTAGATACGACAAAGCGCAATCGTCTGCTTAAAAAATATCGCACCCAAGTGGCGTCAGCTACCTCGACAATTTGTGCTACCTTGTCTGTGGTACGGTATCCAATTGCATTATACTCTTTCTTTAAACTGATCTTGCTAATATGGCGGCTCTTATTATAGACACCATTAGAAAACCTGAAGACACGAATGCAAACGTATGGCTTACCAAGCAATAATGAAACGTTATACAGCTGTCGCTAATTTGAGAGGCAGTCACAATTTTCGAAATATCACTGAGTGTGCTAAGTACATATGGCGTACAGAGGGATTCCGTGGTTACACTGCTGGTAAGCGGGATTTATATAGAGAAATAAACACTTGCAGGATCATCTAACGGATGTATAACTAGGTTTTCTTCCACCCCTTATGAGCGTCACATTTGTACGAGTCATCAGCTTCAGCACGTATCAAAATGTTAAATACCGCATCTCCGACGAGTATGAGCGTATCACCGGCGTTTCACCTCTAATCTACTACAATCAAACCGGAAGTATTCCTAGTTTAGCGACAATCACGACCTTCACAGTAGCGGGGATGTGTGCAGGTCTCGCTGCGTCCCCATTTGCATGTGAGTGTGCTTTCTTGGTGTTTGCTTTCCTTTTATAAAACAAAGGACGCGTGCTCATTTCTCTTCTAGGCCCTTTTGAACTCGCTAAGAATGTCGTCCAGACCTCGGTCTTGATGTCTTATCGATCTCAAGCCTCGCCAGATGCTGTGCGAGATCCGAAGGTCCGCTCTTTACCCCGTCTAGGCACTATTCAGGCTTTTAGGAAAATCATCAATCGCCATGGTTTTCGCGGTTTATACACGGGTTATCATCTCCATGCTTTACGCGACACGATAGGAACTGGGCTGTATTTTGGGATTTATGAAACTGTCAAGCAGGTCATTGCCAAAGAGATGGGCAAGCCGGCACAAAGTCCATTTGGCCCTCCGATGGTTGCGGGTGCTCTATGCGGGACAGTACCTTGGCTTGTGGTAAGTCTCATTCATTCACGTCGTGCTACTTGGCATGAGAGCCCTTCACTGACGTCCATTCCTCAGACTTACTCCCTCGATACGCGAAAAACACGGGCGCAGAGTATCCTGCTTGGCCGAACGAAGGAAATTGGAGAAGCTTCAGTTGCCGTAGCGAGGTCCAGCATGTACAAGGGCCTATCGGTGTCTCTGATGCGAACCAGTTTCCAGAACATGATTCTCTTCAGTCTTTTTGAGTATACCAAGACGAAAATCAACAACCTTGAGGCATGAACTATGGATACCTAGGTAAAACCAAATTATGAACCACTGGGCTAGTTAGTTAACTACACAGAGGTGGAAGATGTCGCGTTTCCCTTTCCCTGATGAGGTCGATCCCATCAACTGTTATGTTTTGTTCATTCTCGAAAACCTTCCAAGGAAAACATATTTACGTGTACCATGTTATCTGTGCGCAAGGGACGAAACAGTTACTATTTGCTGTTTGTACTTTTTGTATCATCTATATCTTTTACATACGACGCGAACACTTGGTCGGTCGCATCAGCATTGGACCAGTGGAACTTGATGGGGCACAGTAAAAACAAGCAAGTTCAAACATGTACGATTCATACACTATGATACCTACTTTTTGTAAAAACAGTTACGGTCCAATCAATCCTAGACTTAAAAAGCTGAATCTGTACAATATGCATCTGTGGATGCCCGAGTCCAACCCCACCAAAGCGATAGCCGACGTCATTCCCGCTTCCCGATCTGTTGCCTGGTCAATCCACCATAAATACATCTTCAACACAAAAAGTTATTCTGTCCGCGCCTCGACGGCATTTCCTTTTTTGAACCTTTATTCAAGGTTGTTTTCTGGCTTTATGAAAAACGCTATAAGCTAAGATGACATCGTGAGTCTGAAAGAGAGAGAAAAAGAGATGATGCGATCAGACTGTTTTGTTTGTTTTTCTTTTTTCCTCTTTTTTCTTCACTAACATTTCTATCTGTCTAGAAGCAACATCGTCCAGCTGCCATTCCGGCGCACCCATCCAGTTTCTCTCTCGGATGCGATTACGCAGTACATCTCCTCAAAATATGACCAACGGCCGGATATGTTTGCAGACGACCTGCTCGTGCTCGATCGACTTCGCGCGGAGGCTGTGAACGTGCAAGAACCCCATGTCAGTGGGGTTAGTAGGCTAGTCACTTATGCCGCACAGCTGAAATGGCTGGGAGGGAAGTTTCCGGTTGATGTGCGTATGCTTCTACAGTCTTGGACAAAAAAGTATGCCTCGAAACTAGAGGAATTGACGAGTATACAGGTCGGTGTCGATTTCTCTTGGTATCCTGCTTTCGGCTTCAATACTTCGAGACCAAGTGAGTTATACTCCTCACCCCATGATACGATATTGCAGGAAGGGAGCACCATTCAAAATAAGCAAAAATAACACAGCTAACACACGTTTTCCGGCCGTATAGTCGTGCAGAACAATCTGCGATTTGAGCTCGCAAACATATTATTCAATCTTGCCGCGCTATATTCACAACTCGCCTACTCTCTAAATAGGACAACGTCGGATGGTTTAAAGCAGGCATGCAACTATTTTTCACAAGGAGCAGGAGTCCTCTCCCACCTCCGAAAGGATATCATGCCAGACCTTCGCGCATCGCCCCCGGAAGATATGGATGAAATGACATTGCAAAGTCTAGAAGAGCTCATGCTAGCACAAGCGCAAGAATGTTTCTGGCAAAAAGCCGTAAAGGACGGTCTTAAAGATGCGTCAATAGCGCGGTTGGCCGCTAAAGTGTGCGATTTCTATGCGGATGCTGGGGACTTTGCGGTAAAATCAAACGCTATTAGTACCGATTGGATCCACCACATGTCAGCCAAACACCACCATTTTGCTGCTGCTGCCCAATATCGACAGTCATTGGATTGTCTAGACAAGAGAAAATACGGAGAAGAAGTTGCACGGCTTAGAGACAGTCTGAAGTGTGTGAATGAGGCGCTCAAGGAAACCAAATGGATTAACCGGGTAGTCTTGGGTGATTTGAACGGCTTGAAGAATCGAGTCACAGAAGACCTGAAACGCGCTGAGAAGGATAACGATGTCATTTATCTTATTCCGGTACCTCCAAAGTCGGAATTGAAGCCCATCGACCGTGCAGCTATGGTGTCTGCAAAGGCTCCCACGCAAGTGACCGATGCTATTTCCCTGCTTGGTGAAAATGGTCCTCTTGGTCAACCGTTGCTTGCAAAACTGGTGCCGTACGCCGTTCACATTGCCGCCAGTATATACTCGGACCGTCGTGACCGACTGGTCAATGAAACGATCATCGGAGAACTGGAATCGATGACGGATCAACTGCGAGAGTTAGTTCAATCTCCTTCACTCCTGTCAACCCCGAAGATTTTATGAATGACAAAAATGCTAAATGCTATATAAAACTAGTCTCTTACAATCGCTTAACTTGCCTGGTTCTCTGCAAGCTTTGGAAAAACCGCTCGGCATACCACCTACTCTTATTTCTCATGCGGAAGAACTCCGCCAACAGGATGGTCTGGTTCGCCTGCGTCGCTCTCTAGAAGACACGGCTCAAGTCAAGAATAATGACAAAGCACTGTACACTGAGGGGGTTGACCTTTTAGCAGCAGAAAAGGAAGAAGATGACAGGGCTCGCGCGAAGTATGGGACAGACAGATGGAATCGAGAAACTTCTGTTACAGCTGGGAAGAAAGTACACCAGACAGCGTCAGATATAAATGGATACTTCACGTCTGCGCAAAGCACCGATGAACTGATCCAGGGAAAACTGCGAGATGCAGAGAAGGTCTTAAGGATTTTGACAGGCACAAACCGTGACCTTGAGTCATACGTGCCTAGTAGTCGCCGGGCTGCTATCACGCCGGAATTGGAGAGGGAATCTAGTCGGCTGAGAAGCTGTCTTAATGAGGTGAATAGGCTTGAGAATCGACGGAAGCGTCGTATTCAAGTGTTGAAAGAAAAGGCTCGTTCGGACGACATCAGTGAGTTTACCTCTTTCTTTTATTTATCCCCTGATTACAACCCTTATTGGATTGCATCTAACTCAATATGTTTTGTTCTCGCTAGATTCTGCACTACTCAAGGAAACAGGAAGGCTTGAAAGAGAATTTCCCATGCAGCCCATTGAGGCCAGTCAATTCGAGAGTCTCTTCGAAGAACAACTCCATCTGTACGACTCGGATCTAGGCATGCTTACGCAAGAGCGAAATGAACAAGACCAACTAGAGACTCAAGTTCGAGAAGCAAATAACAACTTCAACCGAGCACGACGCGGTGACACATCTAGCAAAGAACGCGAAAAGGCGTTGCAGGAATTGGAAAACGGTTACGCAAAGTACAAGGAGCTTATTGGCAATATTGAAGTTGGGCGGAAATTTTACAATGATCTGGCGAAGATCGTGGGCCGGTTTAGGGATGATTGCAAGTCCTTTGTACATCAGCGACGAATGGAAGCGGGTCAACTAGAGAAGTATGACTTGACTTGCCCCTTCAGAGTAATGTGAAGATATATACTAATGGTCATGCAGTGACATTACCAGCGCGGCAGCAATGGCATCACTGAATATAGCTTCTCATCGTCCTATACAGCGGCCGCAAAAACCACAATCACCACTCCAGCAGCCGCAGCCACAGCCACAGCAGCAACAACCTCTGACCGCACCACAGCCCACAAGAACGAATGCGGCACCGCCTCCGGTCACAATTGGGGGGGGGATCTGGTCTCCGGAGATGGGTATTCGCTTTGGAGGGCCATTGCCTGCGCCTGGGACCACACAGCCAGGACGACAGGGTGATCACCAGAATAAGCCTGCGACGCATGCAAATCCCGGGGCTTGGGATCCGAGTAAGGGATTGCGATTTTCTTAGTTAGTATCAGAGCAAGACCTTAATACTCGATAACTACTGAAAGATTCGTTGTATATACGTGTCAGAGAAAGAAACATGGCATTCAGGGATGCCGAGATTGTGGGTATAATTGCTGAACGTGCGTTATCGCAGGAAAATGCACTTTGGTATGACTCGTGAAGCACAACATATATATACATATAAATACAGTTCCCATCGAAAGAGAGGGAATATGAACTTACAAATTTCATCTAAACCACCAATTGACCTAGATCAAAGCGAATAATTAGCACCAGTATACGGTGTATGCAAAACGTGAAGACAACAAAAAAGACATACCGACGCAGTGATACCCTCACCAACACCTTTGATGCTATGCCACCACCCCTTGGGAATAAACAGAGAATCGCCTCTTTCAAGAATAACATCATACCCTATATGATTCTGTGCGCGAACAACACCTGTTGATGGCACTGAGGACGAGGACGCATCACCCCAAACAGCCCTTTCAAGCAGCACCCTTTCAGACCCTTGCATCATCTCATTCCCTCTAAAAGTCGCCGCATGGCCCAAGAAATCATCACCCTTAGTTGTCGAATCCATCATTTCTTGCTGTACACATGCAAAAACCTGCAACCCTGTAGACGGCGACAGGAGACGCACATGCTTCACACCGGCCAACTGCACAAACAAATTGGGATTCGGATCCTTGTGCAGTGGTGTGTATGTTGGCGGTGTGCCGATCCATAGATTCGTCGCATAGACATCGTTCTTTCCCGTTTGGCTGACGAGTGCGGGCGTGGGATGGAAATCTGATTGGAGCTGGGGTGGTAGGTTTTCAAGATGGCATTGAGCGAGGTATATTTGTGTGTTAGTATCATTCCTATTGATATCGGTGTTCACTTGCGATTCTTCTTTTGGTCTTTCGGCAGAAGCGGCAGTCCAGTCGAGGAACATTGACAATGGTGCTTGGAAACGCTCGAATTGGGTATTATTGATGTAGGTCTTATTACCATTGGTGTTGTTCTCTTCTCCTTTAGTAGCAGAGCTAGTTAATTCTAGCGGTACCAGAACATCGCCGTGTTTCGAGATATAGTCGAAATTGAGCTGCGCCTGGACTCCCTTCTTGCCATGATTGGAAACCGTTTCCAAAAACCACTTGCTATAGGCTGGTAGTTTCAAACACAGCTCTGCAGAGCGTATAACTACCGGTTTCTCAGCTCGGAAGTATTTCTGTCGAAAATGGTCTATGTTTTCGTCTGCGAGGACGTCGGGAGATGTGTATCTGATGGTGGATACGTTACGGCTGATGCTGATATAGACCGAGGTTTTGAGGCATGTTTGAGGCTGTCGAGTCACCTGGTTGCTTCTTCTATACAACATCCATATCTGCGTTTGCCGTGCTCTCATTCTGGATATTGGTCATTCGCTATCAAATTTGACGCATGCTGGTTGCCTCGATGCCTGAATCTAAGGAGCAATTGGTGTTTGTTCCGTGTTAGGCTTAGCTCTGTCCACTTGCGCCTCCCCGCACTGCCGGATTTCTAAGGCTCCCACACCACATATTCGCCCGTTCCGCGCTTGAACCTGCTGTGTTTGGTAGCTCGCCGGCCATCTGTAGTCTTTATACCCATGCAAGTCATCTTAAACGATGGATTCTGAGTCTCCCCATCCAAACGGGAACTCTCCACAAGTCTCTGGCACTCCACCGACCGACCAGGCTAAAAGGAAAGCGGAACCAAACAGCGGAACTCAGACGCGCGCAAAGCGGAATCGCTACATCTCGATAGCTTGGTATGCGATGCTAACCCTAACAATGCATACATCGTTGTCTAACGGATATCTCCAGTAACGAATGCAAGCGCCGGAAGATTAAATGCAATGGCCAGGTGCCATGTCAGCGGTGCGGGCATCTCAATCTTGAATGTCAGTGCATTGTATAACCACATAACCAAAATATCATATATGCGCCTGCTGACCCTCTGCCTGTCAGGTCTCTATGCGCCCAACTGCTGTAATGGAAACTTCAAAGACTCTGAGTTTGTGCTCCTACGAGCATCAACCAAATCAGATCGCTAACGCTACTCTAGGGAGTTTCGGACAATGAAGGAGCAGATCAGCACTCTTCAAGACCAAGTCAACACCTTGTTCACCAAACTGAATGAATTAAGTTCCTATGAAACACCACTTGATGCGGTACAATTTGGCTCAGAACAACCTTCGGCGCCCAGTCCGCCGGAGGCGAGACATCCCCAGTTTCACGGTCCCACGCCCTCACCTTTCAACTTTGATGTAGCTCGATTGAACCTCCGCGAAATAGGTTTGGCCTCTAACGAGACTACGATACATGATGATCTGGCTCCAACTCCAGCTGAGTCAACGCAGCCTAATCTCAGGCACGCAGGTTCAACTCGTTTGCGTGCAATGCATCCTACTAAGGATCCCATATGGGCAATCGATCGGGAAGAAGCAATCCGTCTATGCAGAGTGTATGAAGAAGAAATTGGTTTAATGTATCCATTTTTCAATATCAACAAAATTATTTCACAGACTAATCTTCTGTACAATTTTCTTGAGGCTGCAACAAGGACTGGTTTTGCGCAGGCCCAAATGCCAGGCCTAGATGGCCTTCAGGATGATGACTCGCTCAATCTGAAGATTATTCTTGCTACAACCCTTGTACTTGAAGGAGGAGGTCAATGTGAGTTAGGACAGCAGCTCTTCGAGACCGTCAAGCTGGCCTATCACGCCAAATCACTAGAGCCTGCAAGTGTGAAGTCAATACAACTTTCCTCAGTCATGGTGAGTGAGAAAAATTCCCGTCTACTTTTTATTTTCTTCCTCTCTCCGTGTTAACGTTCGTCCTTCGCAGACCATGTACCATTTCCACACTGATAATGAGCTTGCGTCCTATCGCACCATTGGTCCGACTGCTCGGGCATGTTTCGAACTTGGATTACATCGCTGGGACACAGTGATGAAAGATTTCCCAGTCGAAGAAGACCGGGCAGAGGTCATCCGATTGTTTTGGTCGATCTATAATCTTGATCGACGGCTCAGCTTTGGTACAGGCTTACCGTTTGTAATTCAAGACGACGACATCGACCCGAACCTCCCAGAGCCAGTAAGAATGCCAATTTAGCAAAAACTTCATGACTATATAATTGGCCTGTGTAGGAAGTGTTGACGAGTTGAACAGGATGATTCGCGACCCTACTCGAAGAGCATGGTTACGTATGACCGCCTTGGCTCAAAAGTATGGTATTCCGGTGTGGGTTCCAAAGGCTCCATTGATGTCAATAGGGAGGAAATCAACTTTCTGGATTATCAGGTCTGCCAATGGTACAAGAGCACGCCGGATAATATCAAGATCTCGACCGATTCTCCCAGTAATGGTAGCGCCAATCGGGGATTTCAACGACTACGGGTGCTACTATATCTTCGAATGAACCATCTCCGCATTTTAATCTATAGATCGGTTTTGCATTCTGCTTCTAGCATTGTTGAGAACCAAGTGCACGCCCGGACGGTAGTTAATATCTCCAGAGACACAATCCGGGTTCTGGCCAGACTCAATCAGACGTCAGACATCTATAAGACACAACAGATAACTTTCAACTACTTCTTGGTGACTGCGCTTGCTGTCCTATTTCTTGCAGTTTGCCATGCTCCTGGCGAATATAGTCGCGTGGTGCGCGACGAATTCTACTTGGCACTCGACCTTGTGAGCGGCTTCAGCACTAATTCCCACATCTCGAGAAGATTATGGAATACGATAAAGGGACTGCGTAAGATTGCTGAGAAGCTTGGTGTCTTTGGGCACAGCATTGGCGCCGATGCTCGTGACCCTCATTCAAGTGCAGCTGTTGCAATGGCCGGTCTAGCCGGACATCCCATCGAGGGCATTTCTGTGTATGGAACAGCACCGTCATCATCATCATCACTAGGGACAATGTCCGAGCTCGGACACACTCCCATTAATGGTCTCCAAATCAGTCATGAATTGACGAATCTGTTCGAAGCCGTTGGAGGTACCAGTCCTTTTGGGGCAGACAATCTCAATGGTTTCATTCCTAATGACGGTGACTTGCGAAACTCTGGCGAGGGCCTAGCTGGTGTTCTCAGCAGTGACGCTGAATTCTCACGCATTCTGAGTGGTCTGCTCTGAAATGAAGATTAGCGATATTATGATACCCTTAATCAGCACTTAAAAAAGATTTTTGCCTTATCTTCTTTTTCCAACAATATGTAGTCGATCTGTAGATAAGATTTCTTATCGTCGCTCTTGATTAGCGAAGGAGAGATCGCGTTAAGTCACGTGACCGTATCACCGCTGCGGCGACTGCAACCCACAAGCCTCAGCGATACCAACGGGGCGACCACATCCCCAACCCCGTTCTGTGTCTCTCGCACTCTCTCCCAGGCTGCATCGCTATGACAATAGACGGATGAGATTTATCGATTCCTTGTGGCCATTGAAACCACGCTCCGTTTAAACCAGCACCGCAGCATCAGCATTCTTTAAAAAAGGGCACATCTTGCTTGTCTTTCCCACTACCCCGCCATTCCCAACTCAATCTCGTGCGATCCAGAAAGCTCAACGGTCGCGAGCAGTCGCTTCCTAATATATTACTATCTCTATCTTTTCGCATACTACGACTTTCCAGTCATTGTTCTTGAAGTTCGGATGAACTGTGGAGTATTGTTATTCATGAAGGACTAGTAGCGGCGCGCTTGAACATCTTCCCCGACACTACAAACGGTCCGGCACAATACTGATAAGCAATCTGTTTTGTTTTACAACGCTCGCTAGCTTCAAAGTTTGATATTTCGCTATTCAGTGAACTTTTCATCTCGAGTCATCGATTCATCCTTTGCAAGGAGCAGCAGCGATAAACATCAATTTCATATTACTCATCAATCTATGAGCAACCCCTTAAAATAATCTTATTGACTGCTTTCAAGTTATCATCGGCTCGGCTCACAAAAACACCTCGACAACGTGTCTGGAGAAACAGCACAAACACTGGCCGAGGGCCTTGAAAGGCTGGACTTGAGCTCGTTATCCACGTCCACCTTCTCGCCCGACTCTGGTTCTTTCAACATGTCGTCTTCCGAAGGGGCCCCGGAGTCATGGATCTCGTCGTTTTGCTCGCTCATGGGTCATGAGTACTTTGCTGAGGTGTCAGAGGACTTTATCGAGGACGATTTCAACTTGACCGGCTTGCAATCTCAGGTCCCCATGTACAAAGAAGCTTTGGAAATGATTCTTGATGTTGAGCCTGAAGATGATGAGGATGAGGAAGAGGAAGAGGAGGAAGAGGAGGACGAGGACGAAATACTAGGTGACGAGAAACCTATCGGGTATCGCAGAGCCGGTGACCGAAGACATATGCGGGTGGCTAGTGATCTCAGTATGATAGAGAGCTCGGCCGAATTGTTGTACGGGTTAATTCACCAACGATACATCACATCGCGAACTGGCATTCAGCAGATGCTAGAAAAATATGAAGTTCACCATTTCGGAGTCTGTCCGCGAGTCAATTGCCACGGATGCAAAGTTCTCCCCGTTGGCCGCACCGATACTCCCGGTCAGGAGACGGTCAAATTATTTTGCCCTAGCTGTTACGACATCTATACGCCGCCAAACAGTAGATTTCAATCAGTGGATGGGGCGTTCTTCGGCACGACATTTGGGTGTTTGTTCTTCATGACCTTTCCAGAGTTCGATATAGGAGGAAATAGAGCAGAAAGTGTTCTGTCACCAGCTTCACTTAGTGCCGGTAATACCTCCAATAATCGATTCCGATCATCTTGTTTCAATAACACGTCAGTTGCGCTAACATCAGCCTCCCCAACTATAGAACAACCATTGACACACCAACCGGCTCAAATAAATGGGCTATTGACATCTAATTTTGCGCCTGGTTTAGGATATAACAAAATCTATGAGCCTCGCATTTATGGGTTTCGAGTTTCAGAACGTGCCAAGTCTGGTCCGCGAATGCAGTGGCTACGCATGAAGCCGAGGGATATTAACGAACTTGATGAATCAGCGATATACCAAGCTAATCACGGGGTTGATGAGGAGGGGGGATCTGACGACGGTGATACTGAAATGGGGCTAGCAGCAGCATCTCAGCAGTCAGCGATTGGCATGAGGAGAAAAGCGCCTATGAGAAAACGCAGACATCTCCCTCCTGGCCATACGGATCAATTGTCGACTAAGAATGGAGAAGGTGGTTGAGTCAATAACTTAGGGGGCTTTTTTTTTTTTTTTTCCTATACTTTTTTGCTGTTTCTGTGGAGTCAATACCACACCCCTTTCTACTCTGTACTCTCATTTTTATTCAAAAAAGGAATCCATCATTCGTATGGGTTTTGTCCATTCTCCATTCTTTCGCTTCTTTTCAATTCGTTTTTAGTAGCGCACACTTATGGCAGCATTTCGTCTCTTGAAATTTTGTCTCTTTTCTTTTCCTCTTTCATGTCAATTTAATCATGCGGGGAGCTTGGTGTTGGTTGAACGAGGGGTGCTTGTTATTCGAATGTATCATGAGATGGCAGTGCATGATAAAGTAAGTACACGAATGTTTCTACACTTCCTAAGCCCCAAGCTCCAGGTTGTCGATATGTACATATCAGCACGCACGCGCACGCAAGCTTTAGCGATAAGTTGCTTAGTTTCGTTGTATATGATAGAAAATTTCTTTCTTTGAATCCATTCATTATAAGGTAGCTCGTCCCCCAGTCTACCAGGCCTGCAGACAAAATCCTAAACTCTGTATGCACAACTATGTACGGAGTATACCGTGATCCGTACTCTGTATAAGCTTATTGTTTGACAATGGCTAAGCCTTGGAAGCTTGAGGTAGTTAAAATTAGAAGTGGGAATAGCGCTTACACTAGTTATATATAGTTAATTAGTTATGGCTATAACTTCCCGAACGTGGCAGCAAGGACCAATAGTATGCGTGCGTATGCTATGCTGTGGAGATGGATTATATTCTACATAGTTTAGCGTTGGTACTCGGCTGCCATGCGCATCGACACAGCTACGGAGTAACGAAACTAGTAAGTTTACTAGTAACTCCCATGCCATAGTGCTGGTATTTAATATAAAAAAGAAACCATGAAACCGGATATTCGGATTTATGAAAGAGGATGTCCTATGAAGAAAGTTGCACGTAAACTCGGACTGCTGTTTTGAGATTAGTTAACGTTACCTTCCAATCATCTCTTGGTTTCAGCCCTATCAATTGTCTAGGGGCCAATTAAGAAGAAGCAAAATTTCTCAATAAGAGATTAACAGCGGAGGGGCCCCTCGAATCGAATTTATGCAGACGCATCTGGCTAGTAATACACAATATCAGAGTCATACGATACTCCTAAGATGGCCTAGACTTCCAGAGCGCTGTAGAATATTCTATAACTTAATCTAGTATCAGTTACTTTCTACGAGCTCAGAACAGCAAATATCATAATGAAAATATGCAGCAGGTACGTCAACATAAGTTGAAGTTGAAAATATAGATGGCATGATGGCATAGTGTGCAGGTAAGGATTCCGAACCTTTGCAATGCTTGCATGTTCTTGTAAAGCTTCAATGATAAGTAATTCTTAGTAATTTCTCTAGTTGCCACTGAGAAGCAGAACTATGGAGGCGATTCTCGGTTCTATACTCTATACGGAAAAAGGGAGAATGCAACGTAATAAATAAGGGTCTGCCGTTGCCAGCAGCACTGGGCAGGGATGTAAAAAATCCAAGTTGACTAACTGGGGGGATGGAATGGTCTGGTCCAGTAGGAGAATGTAATTGATGATTTAGCGAGTTAAGCTGGCTGTTAATATCTTGATTGGATTGAATTAGCGAGATGATGACACTATTATAGTATCAATATCAGACTATTCCGCACATATATGATATGATCAAATACTATATAACCGCCAGGTATAAGGAGGTACCTTGGCGGCAAATTGGTAATAATTTGCAACTAGTTGACTTAACTCAATTAGCATTTCTTCAGACTTGAATCTTCATGAACGGTCCATTCATCAATCATTATTCTGATGGTCTGATAGTACCGTCGAGACCTTCTACCTATGCAGGCCTGCATCCTTCCAGGTTATATAGATCATCCTCCATAGCAACAATAGTAGATAAGAGACGGATCGTCAAGCTAGATGTCATGCTGCTGTTTCAATCTTCATCTGACTGCATGGTAGAGTAGTATATTCAAGATACTAACTCCAACTGGCTGGGTAGTCAATTTCCGCTAACCACTTGCCGTTTAGTCTCCATTCCTTATGCGCTAGTCTCAGTACGTACATATTTTTTCCGCCCGAATACCGAAAAGGGCTTAGTTTAGTCAATCAACAAGTATTTGTCAACCGAGCATTACTTGGCTTGTTATAGCTGGTATTATAACTACTCTGTATCTATCTATGTACCTATGTTCGCGTGTTTGCGGTCAAAGTTTGCCTTCATTGCTACGCTGTATTATCATTGCATTCTTAATAATAAATTATCGAGTCTGTAAGTAGTAATTAGTGGTGGTAGTAGCAACTAAGCAGATCCGTGCAGTTTACAAATGAGCCATTTTTACAGTGGCAACAGAGACATGGATCATACCTGAAACATCAAACTCATCAAAGTGAAGGGGCAGAATTAATGTGACTAGCGGCGCTGATCAGGCATTGTTTTCTCATCCTGGCTATCAAAGACCTTTATAACGCGCAGAGAGGGAGCAGGTTCAAGGTTGTAATATACATTAGCACTACAAGTTGAATGACATAACCTAATAACACTTAAATGGTATTTAAGTTCTTCTATCGTTAGGTCATCTGCATGCATTAGCGTGGAGTTTAGCAGAGCTGGTTATTGCAGCAGTCGAAACGTGGGTGGTTGTCAGTATTTTCCTAATTCGGAAATCGCGGAAGCATGGATCCTTGTTCGTCTCGAGGATCTCAAATGCTCCCGACGATTCTTGATAGTTATCACCCACTACTATTAATAAGTTATATATGACGATATACAGATATACAGATATAGATAGGTAGATAGAAAGATAGAACTAGATGGCAAAGTTGTCAAGCAGCCTGAACGGCACCAGTTGGAAAGGAGGAATCCCAAGCATCTAATTCATCAATCTCTGCTTCACCGGACGAACGTCGTAGGTTTGCCGCCCCTAGCTTTTTGCCAAGTGACTCTGGTTGCCTGTGAGTGATAACGGCAATCACAGACTCGACCTGGTATACTCTATTGATATTCATAGTGAGGCGGGGGATGGAATTCTTTCTGTTCCACCTTTGCTGGCAGTCAGCAGTTAATCTTCACCACCATACCATAACTGGTAGTGAGTGGATGGCCCGGTAGTACTAGATTTGGGTATAGTCTATTATACTAGGGTCAGCGTGGAAATAAGCCATAAATTATTACATCGTCATTAAAATTTAATACACACCATTTCAGGGAGCTAAATAAGACTGGGGCTGAACCACCGCATAGCGATACAGCAAGTATACGCTGGGTTGCAGAGCTGAAAAAGGAAGAGAAGTATAATAAAATAAACCCCAAAAAAACACAGGGAATTACGTCGTCAGTGTCTATTTTAAATTTTTAAATGCCAAAGTTAGAAATCTACACTTGTTTCTCGTTCCGAGTTCCCGTACTGCCACAGAGAAATGATCCGCGAGACCCGAGCCACCGCCATACTCAAAGTAGACCCAATCAAGACATCCTACGACGTGGAGACTGGTGGATGGGACCCTGTTCGATGCTGCACCGTTTGACGATTGCTGGTATTAACTACGGGGCTAGTGTAAGACTAGCTGAGAGTGCGCTGCGCACGTGTACGGAGCGAGTACGGCGTAGATGCAAAGTCATAGATACAGTTAGTAGTTACTAGATACTAAATAGGTAGTTAGATACTCACCTAGGTAACTAATCAAATCGCATGTATAAATATATCTGGCTAACCTTGGGACTATATGGTGTTTACAGTTATATAACCTTACCTGACCCTCTGTGTCAGCTTAAGTCTTCCAAACTAAAGCATCCCTCTATCCATACTCTCGGGTCGTATATACATTGAGTGCCAGCACCAACAGAAATCATACCTCAAAAGCTCGGATTTCTTGTTCCACCAATATACACCATGGCCACAATGAATCAACACCTCCCATACGGCTATCCGTACCCAACTACAACTGCCACCACCTCGAATACCTTGACCGTGAGCATGGCTACTGCTACACCCAGTTACACCACGCATCATGGCACCAGCAGCGCATTCAGTGATAATGCCAATCCCAACGAAGACTGGACCAAGATCTCGGATTTGGCAGAGAGGCGGCGGATTCAGAATCGAATCGCTCAGCGTAACTACCGTGAGTATTCTGGCCGTTCCTTTTCTTCATTCTGCAGAAGAAAGGACGAGAAGTAGCTGACAGTCAACAGGCAAGAAGCTCAAGCGCCGTCTCGAAGAGCTGGAGCGCAGAGGAGCATCAGAATCTGCATCGCCAGAGCAGCCTCATGCAGAAATAGAACGAACCAAACAGCAGACTAATAAAAAGTCTCAATCATCTCGTTCTGCAAACAATAACACGCAATCTCGAAAGGCGAGATCATCAAGATCGAGCTGGAGCTCGTCTCAGGATCACCTGAGCCTGCCACAGCAGCAACAGCATTCCACCTACAATTCCATGTCCGAAGAACGGGCTGGTGGCAGTGGTGGTGAATTTTTCTACAGTCCGTATCCCTCAGCATACGGACAACTCAACGCCTATCCATCGGCACAGCCTCCTTTTCAGAATCACCACCAACCCCACCACCTGGACGCATATCAAACCTCCCCGCAACCTCATTACGGTGAACTACCTAGTCAGCATCTTTCTGATGACTCTGCTCTCAATCCTCTGTGTATCAGCTACGCTTCAATCACCGGCCTGGAGGTGCCGGCTCCCCACTTTCCGCACTACAACACTCAATTACAGGTACATTTTCCTTTTCTTTGTCTCTTCTTTTCCCTACTAAACTCGACGTCTTCTCAACAAAGAAAGAGATGAAATATTCTAACAATACCGTTTATAAAAGCTGACGGACAACAACAGTCACCGCCACTTACCAATCCCTACTCAGACGGCTACTCCACGTCATCTCCCGCCGGGTCGCTTGAGCAATATCCGCTGACTCCCGAGCCTACGCGACTGACCCCAGAACGTGTAGAGTTCTACTAAAGAATTTTCCTTGCGGATCTTCTAGTTGATGTGAAAATACGTACTAGCATTTGAGGGCGTTATGATTAAGAGTATGGGCAGGCAGTGTTGCATTTTATTCATTTCTTTCAACAAACTATCCTAACAATCGAATTTTAAACTTCGAGCACTTTGAACCTAATTTCCTATAGACTGCCAAAGTATACTACGTAGCATCCAGATTCAGACAGCGAATATCTACTGATGCTTCATTCAACTTTCAGCTTCTTGATTTTATTCTTACCCGGCTCAGCAGGTATGAGTGAGAATTTAGTCGTAGCTGTGGACACTGGACAGCGTTTATGCTTAAATGAAAAACCGCATTGAACTAACTAATTTCCTCCTTGTTCGCCACCAGTCTATGAGGAAATTAGAACACGACTGAGTTAGGCAGTTCACTGCGGAGTTTGCTTGTCAATAATTCCGCACCCTACTCTAGTCTCTAGGCAGCTCCAAAGAATGAAAGCCCTGGGTTCTAGGTTGGGTCCATCGTCCCAAAAGTGAACTTGGCTGTTGGCGAAAACTCGAAAAAATCAATTATAGTATTCACAGCCGCAGCTGTTGTCTGACGTGTTATTCTTGCTGGTGTACTTTATTTCATTTTCGACGCATCTCCGTATATATTATACTAAGGGGCATGTAAATTAAGAAACCACCGTACTATTATAATTATATTATAACTATAGCCACAGTAAGCACTGAATAATACATAAAATGAACGGAATAATTCCGTCCTCTCCAGATTGAGGACTCTCGCGAAGTTGCTATCGATTAATTATTTCTAATATAATTAAGATACGGACAAAGTTACCGAGGCATGTATTTTGATTACCAGTAGTACTCCGTACATTCTAACTATGTTCAGCCAATCTACCCCCACAAAAGCCCCAAACGCAAACTTAAAACTCAGAATTGAGCGAATAGACCAATCAACAGCCCATACACTCATAAAATCCCCACTTTTGCCGAATGTCGGTAGCAGAGCCGGTGCGTACTTGGGCGTACCGATCGTCAGGTGGTAGCCAGGTACTACGCACCCCGTACGCCGTACGGAGTAGCCGTACAGATTTATGCAATACAAACCGTTTGGAGTGTACCCCGTAGTGTAGCTAGCTATACTAATTTAGGATATAACTACCCCCTACACGGTAAGTCTCACATTACGCGGCCGGGCTTCGGCGTTTAAAACATGCTTTTTTTTTTTTAAATTTTAATCCCCGGCTACCGACTCCATAGAATTAGACTGAGCCATTTAGTTCCCACTGCCTAGGTGTTCTTTTACCAAAACCGGGCTAGTAGTTAAACCGTCTCGTCGTCTTTTTTATGTTTCAAGCTTTCAGGGTCCAGACTCGGTACCTAGGGCGTTAGGCATATGAACAGCTTTTCGGACTACGATATACTCCGTACAATGTACATTGTCATGCTCTATGGTCAATTATTACATCGATATACAAGTAAGAAGTAATTAACAGTTACGCGTACAATAGCTTTTGATTACGTGCATTCGGGAGTACTATTTCAGAAGTAGCTTAGCTCCGAACATAACCAATTGTGGATCCACACCATTGAACCTTATCTCAATATCTGTAATTAGGCCAAGAGCATTACCGGGCCGAGATAATACGTACTTATAATACCCCCGGCTGAAATATGCCGGTATTGTGGTGTGTGTATGTACACGCCGTATCATTTGCAAAGAGGTCTCGAATGTCTTTCCGTGTATATGCTATCAATGAAATAACTGCGGAGTACAACGTCTAGTTTCAGAATCAATAAAAAGGGAATATGTATCTACCAATCGATTCCTTACTTTCTCAGTCTACGACTAGTTTAGTAGATCGCTGAATCGCATCAACTAAAAGTCTAAAAATTGTACCCCAACGTTAGCCAACCCCTCACAGAAACAAGATACCTAGTTGACGGCGGACGGATACTAGGCAAATAAGAAGATTAAACACTTTGCCAAGTCTTTTAAATCCCCCACACAACCTTCCATGAAGATTCAGGGTCATGACTCGTGAGTCAAGAAACGAAGGGAATACGAAATATACTAACCCGAATACGAATACCTAGATCAGTTTAGGCCCGATATAAACGGAACTGGGTATATACTTCAGAATTAACTATGCGGTATAATAAGGATCTGACATTTTCATGTCTATATGGAGTAAACAACTGTTTCCTGCTTTGGACTAGGAATTTTCTGGGCTGACGGGACCTATCTCACAACATGTCGTTGCAGTGGAGAAATTTTGTGCTACGTAGTAGGTTTGAAGGAACCCTGGGCGTTCTGGAACAGGAACACAGGAACATGGACGGCTACGTAATAGGATACAACATAATCTAGTACGTACATAATTAGTGTCAAGCATATCATGAAATCATTCGTTGCTCCCGGGACTAGACAAGTAGCTAAAGATGATGTACAGGTATTGCATTGCTAAAATTCCCCCGAAATGCTGACGCCGACGGTAATCGATCGAGTAGATTTTAGCCGTGAAACAAGATACCCCAATGTTTATTCAGCAAAGAAATCAAATGAAAAATTCTTTTTTAGCCTTTTTTTCTTTCCCCTTCTCCGATGAATGAGTGCCTCGAATTTTAGACAAGGTAACTGTGACCATTGTGTCAGCAACCCTTTATCGGCAGAAGTAAAAGATATATTTCATCCAAGCAGAAGAAAAAATGACTTACCTCCATTCATGCTGCTCCTCGCCGTATTGTATGCCCTCGATCCAGTTCTTCATGCGAAGAGCAACGTCGCCAGCCTCCTCATGCTCTTTGAGTCCACAGTCCACCAATTGGCCCTTGTAGCTGATCTTGCGAACGGGGCTGACAATAGCCGCAGTGCCAGACCCAAAGACTTCCAACAGCCGTCCTTCAGCCGACGCTTCAGCGAGCTCTGACATTCGCACCTTGCGTTCGGACACAGCCCATCCCTCAGGGATCAGTCTTTCACGAGCAAGCGAAAGAACAGAGTCTCGTGTGACACCTTCCAAGATTGTTCCGTCCAACGGCGCGGTCAGAAGTTCCTTTTGACCCGTCTCTTTATTCTTGATGGCCATGAAAAGATTCATCGTTCCGACCTCAGTTACGTATTCCTCCTCGCCGAAGAGCCACAGGTTCTGCTGGAATCCGCGAGAAGCGGCCTCTTGCTGAGGCACAATGCAAGGGGCATAGTTAGCGCCAAGCTTCTTGTCTCCAACACCACCTGGCCAGGCGCGCACGGCGTAGTCGGTCGCCTCCAAGGACACCGCTTTGAATCCAGTGGGATAATATGGGCCAACAGGGCTAGCAATAACGAAGAGAAGTGCCGACCCAGGAGGACCCACTCCAATGGTGCGCTGAGTGCCAATCATGGTAGGTCGCAAGTATAGTGAATACCCTTTTTCCCTGCTCGGACATGAGGTTTAGCTCAATGTAATTTGGTGGAAATTTTCCATTTGACTCACTTAGGAATGAACCGGCTTTCCAGCTTAGTAAACTCTGCAATCAATTTGGTAAGGCCTTCACCATCGATGGTTGGGAGGGCAATACGCGAAGACGATTTGTTGAGACGCTCCATGTTCTTGTCGGGTCGGAACAGACGTATCTTGCCATCCTTGTCTTTATAAGCCTTCATCCCCTCAAAGCACTCGAATGCGTAGTGGAAAACACATGTTGCAGGGTCGAGACTAAGGTTCTGGTACGGAATTATGCGGGGAGTAAGCCATCCGTCAGAGGCGGTCCATTCAATCGAGAGCATGTGGTCTATACAGAAAGTACTCAAATATTAGCCATGCTTCTTAGTTGTACCGTGTTGAATGAAAGTTACAATAGGTATATAGCCAGCTTACCTGTGAACGTCTTGCCAAAAATCAATTGGTCATTGGGAGTCAATTCCTTGGGTGTGCTTGTCTTAGTAATCTCAAGCTTGGAAGGGTCAACCCCTGGTAACTCTGCTGTCTTTGAGATAGGCTTGATGCTGTATGACCTCTTCCATAGCGGCGAATACAATGACTCTGTGCATTGAACTCTGCTTGTGCGCATAAATGCATTGCGTGCGAATTGATGTGAGAGCTTCATCGTGTGGGCGGTAGGAATACGCGAGATTCTAAAAAACTTCGCGTTTGTTTGTGTAGCGAAACAAAACTGCCTAGGAGCACAATGCAAGGGATTATAAACCTAGGACAAAGGCCAACCCTCACGAGACCGAGATGAGTCACAGTATCCCCTGGACCCTAACAGCAGCACAGCGTCGTGAAGTGTGTCATAGCATCTTGGAAAAAAATATGGTGTTGACCGGAGTTGCGATTTGGCTCCGCAATTCCTGGGCGGCGCCGATGGTCGGAGCGGTTTGCCGCGGACCAAAACATCTTAATTTGGCCGTGACCCTATTGGCTACTGGCTGTTGAGCCCTATTCATAATTCTACATGTCAGGAACTCGGCCAATCCTTGTTGATCTGGTGGTTCTGATGTGAGTTAGCAAGTCACCATTATAAGATGCTTACCTAGGTAACTAACATGTTCTAGTTAACTAGTTAGTTCTACTTGTCATCATCATATATGTTGCAAGTAGTGCAGGCCAGGCCTATTCCCTGACAGGGAGATTTACGTTTTGTCGCCAGCGATGGCAGACACCTTTATACGGATACCTAGGTAGTTCTGCAAACTAAAATCTGCCTAAGCTTGCGAGTTTCTCAAATACTAATTATATGCCTATTTGAAATAGATTTATGCTCTGTTCACGTGATTCATTGATATGTATCTCAGATGGTTGCAAACAGAGCAAATATGCCAAGAAATACTTTGCGGATGGGCGCTTTCTCTGCCATCGCTTTCATGAATTCTTCTTCCATGCGACATGCTCGATCTGATGGTTTTAGCTTCTTTCTCCTTCTACTTACTTTTGCCTCTTGTGCCATCATAGATATGGCTCCCCAACCGCCCACCACGAAGAGCGGGGCCCTCTCGCTGTATGCAAACCTTCTCGACCCAGCTTCCGAGAGCTCTGCAGCTTCCGGGACGATATCAAAAGCTCCGGTCCTGTTCACCCAAAGTTCCGAGGCAGGCGCAGACAGAGAAGATGTTCCTGCTACAGATAAACAACAAATAAGTGCCGGTAGCGCAATACCCTCCCTCACATATATTCCGCGATGCCTTTTGACGTTATGATTACTCACATATGTGTATGTTGGCGTTTCCTATTCCGCAAATGCAGCATCTTTACGATTCCAGCCTATAAAGAGACCACAGTTGCCGAGTCAGAAACCAAAACCCAAGCCTACATTTCCCAAGGCTGCCTCAACTCCCGCTGCACCGGCAACTGCTACCGGCGCAATCACTTCGTCTGCGCGCCCTCAAGTGAAAACAAGTCTAGCCGACTGGGCCTCTACAGTTGACGACGATGACGATGTAAACGGCTTCTATGGAGGAGAAAAACGACAACGCGGAGGTCGCAAGAAGCGGAAGAAGAATCGAGATGCCCCGGAAATGATCACGAACTGGGATGACATCTACGATCCTTCCAGACCCAATAATTACGAGGAATACAAAAGAAGCGATGAAAAAATACGCGAAGTGAGAGATTGGAAGGATCGTTTGTATGCACATCGTATGGCGAGACGACATAGTAGTGATCCCGATAGCGACGATGAATCTCCGAGGCCCAGAAATCGTGAGTTGCATAGTTTGTTCGTTTGCTCTGGTGAATTGCTAATGAACCGTCAGGTCAATTTGCTCCCCCACCGCTTAATTTCGCGCCCCCTGCTGGCCTGAATGACACGTCGAAGATCTCAGCCAACGATAGTGGAGAAGATGTCTATTCTCAGCGTCTTCAATTGAGTCAGGACCCTGGCCAAGAAATAGAGATGGAAGACGCAGAATATCAGCCACCACCTCCGCCAGATTTGATACCTGTAGATGCTACAGGAGACGATGCTTATGCTCGGCGGCTCCAATTGAGCCAGCAGCAACAACCTCCTCCGCCACCTCCCCCCGCTCCACCTGTACAGCTACCACCACAAATTCCTAGCAAACCGCCAGCCTCATTCTTTCAACCTTCTTCCGCAACAATATCGCGTGCGCCAGTGCGGTACACACTGCCTCCTGCACCGGAAGATATACCCGCCACGGAAGAAGAGCTAGAGGCTGTCTTCGCAACAGAAGAGCCTGTTCAAGATGAGGAAGGAGATGCGGCTCGATCTCTGCGCCCAGGTCAGAAAGGCTTTGCAGAACGTCTCATGGCAAAATATGGATGGACAAAGGGAGCTGGGCTCGGTGCCACCGGTTCTGGTATTGTCAAGCCTTTACAAGTAAAGGTGGAGAAGCAGAAGAAAAAGCCAGATTCGGAAGGTGGAGGGTTTACTACCCCTGCAGGCCGTGGGAAAATTATTTCTAGCAAGAGGAAAGATGAAAATCAAGGAAAATTTGGTCCAATGAGCGAAGTCATTGTGCTCTATGGTATGCTCGATGGCATGGATCTAGATAACGAACTTGATAACAGTCAAGGCGGGGGTCTCATGCAAGAAATAGGAGAAGAATGCAACGAGAAGGTGTGTGTTCCTCCCCTTGACGTCAATCTGCAGACAAATCAGCGCTAACTTCAGCTCAAAGTATGGTCGTGTCGAGCGTGTGTTTATTCATCGAGAAAGCAGTGGTCCTATTCCAGTCTTTGTGAAATTCACCGTCCAGCTATCAGCCTTGCGTGTAAGTAGTTTATCTTGTACAATTGGTCCTTTGCCATGACTGACTGCCTATTCTCAGGCCGTCAACGCGCTAGAAGGACGAATTTTCAATGGAAATAAAATAACCGCCAGATTCTACGACACCGAGAAGTTTGAGAAGGGTGTATATCAATGAGGATTTTGTTCTTTTATATATAAAGCCCAATCTCATCAATGAATGAAATTCTAGCACATAAACACCACTATCTTGACTCCATGAGCCGTTTCACGTCATCTGAGATCAGTGTTCTAATGAGTTTGGTGGGTACAGACAAGGATCAAGAGGACCCTGCCTTGTCACTGCATCAATGCACCCCGATTTATTTTTTATGCCGAACAGGGGTTCCAGGAAATAATACTCCTGCTGTTAAGTGCTGCGGCATGTCAGGCCGAGCATCAGTTATTAACCTCTGCTCAGATCTCTTCATCTGTAGTGTATGACGAAACCCCGGGGGGTGAAGGCGGGTTTCACAGAAATACAGACAAACGAACATCTCTTACACAAGCAGCCCATACATTGCGGACTGTCATAAAATTTTACAATACTATTTGAGCACTTTTTAATGGGTAAAATATCCTCAGAAATTGGTATGATCTTAAATTTATTGAAGCTGATTACAAAAGGGTCTCGTAGCCATGTTGGTCTAACGCGGCGCAGCTTACGGCCTTAAGGTGCTGTCAGCATCAATCCTTCAGGCAGCAATATCTCCGACAGTATTCAGTTCTCCATGTATTCTACAACCCACCATCATGTCGACCGTGAGATACTTCAACGATGTTCCCCATATCGTCCGATATGGCATGCGCGATGATGAAGAAGAGCGCTGTTGGATACTTTTCTGGCGAAATGGGACTCAATTCGAGATCCATGTCGACAAACAAGATGTACACGGCACAGCATTCTATTCTGCTTGGCGACCCATGTTACGAGAGGGACTAAAGGAAGGTGAAACAATGAAGGATCACCTAGAGAATCAGTGGAATCCTTTCTGTGATCTCATCATATCCCATTCCATGGCCACACTGCAAAGACTAGCGCCAGTCGGGCCTTATTGGATCACCCTGAGCGACTACTTTCATACTCCGAGCTATGACCTGAAACTCGTTACCGACAGAGAGTCCGGTAACGTCTACGGGAAAGTTACGAATGGCCCGAAAGAACAGGCTGCATACGGGTTCCAGACTATATCCGCTGCGGCGTTCAGAAACATGCCAAAAGACATTCCACATTATGCGAGCAGCGATCTGGTGGTCGTTGACAGGGCTGAGAACTGGAAGGTACCTCCACGCAAAGTGCGCACAGTTGACGGTCACGTCTATTTCTTCAAAGCCTGCGAACGGAGTTCTACTAGTCTCGAAACTGGTGAAGTGACCAATGCGGCTCTGAACAGCATAGAAGTCTGCTTGAAATTGTTCAAATACTCGCAAGTGTCGCACAGTGCATGGGCTGCTGAAAGGCCTACAGTGCTAGGTATTGTTACAGATACATCTGCGGCACCCTCTGGATCTGCATCGGAGTACCAAGTAGCACCCGAACATGCAGTACAGGCATCTCAGCATGAAGCAGGAATGACCGAGACTCTAGTGGCTGGCATTCTGCTCCCGCCAATTCCCCGCGGTCAGACCTTAGCAGAAGTCACTGAGCAGGTCGAGAGGATGACACTGGACACGGCCATCGACCAAAGCCGACTTTGGAAATCTCAAATCGAAAAGGAAGTCGCACTGATGCATTCCCTGGGTATTTACTGGGGAGGACGAGAGGATTGGTTCTATATTAACCAACATACGATATTGGTAGATGCCAAAGGCCAAGCATCGCTGGACCTAGGGGTGGCCTCCTCAGTTAATGGTTCGGTGAGCGAAGGATTGGCCACGAGAGGCTTCGCTATGGATACCAAGGCGGTTGACGCTGTATTCGAGGAGTGGTTACCAACAGAGTTATCGAACCGAAAGTGAAGTCAAGGTCATTTAAAACTTTCACATGATATGAATTGAGTTGAGTTCTATTTAAATCTCTCGTCAGCAGTTAAATATCGGCACGTTTGGCCCTATGTCATTTGATAATCCAATTGTAGGTTGGCCTTCCTGATATGTATAGGCAGGTAATCCCGAACGCTAGGATTGAGCATACCTACTTGATGCCTAGGTAACCATGCATATATCTCAGGTCAAGTAAGTCTGTTGCATCTGGTGTGCTATGCAGATACAGAAATAAGGCAGCAAGGCGGTACAAGGCAGCTGCACGTGACATGGCATCATATCTGAAAAAGAAACGTGGGGTAAATGTGATTGGTTGCAAGCTGCGGAAGTCACGACCTGCCTTCCTCATCTGCGCCTTCCTCTTTGCCCAAGCTTGCTTGCCGCTTGACTTTTCACTCCTGCCTCCTTCCACAAGCTTTAAATGATAGACTGGCTGTTGACCCATACATCATCTTCGCATCAACCTCAAATCACCCGAGCTTTACTGTGATCGCCGTCAATACATCCACTGCGTCTTTTTCTATTTCACTTGCGCTTGACACCAAGTCGCTAGACCAAACCCAAGCCATACCGCAAGCAAAGAGAGCACACTCACAATGAGTCTCTGTCTCAATCGGCTCACTGAGGAAAGGTAAGCACCCAACACCGTCCTTTTGCTATGTACCTCTTCTTTGGGACAATTTTCTCACACGCGCTTTTTATCCACCCGCAGGAAGCAATGGCGTAAAGACCATCCGTTTGGATTTTACGCTAAGCCAAATCGTAATGCTCAAGGAGTCCTGGATATGAAAAATTGGGAGTGCGGAATCCCTGGCAAATCAAGCACTTTGTGGGAAGGCGGGTTGTTCAAACTTCAGTTGATTTTTCCAGAAGGTGCGTTTATCCCCCACCCCGCCTTAGCCCTTATGTGTATCGCAGGGATTTTGTATACTGACTTGAATCTGTGACTCAGAGTACCCTACCAAACCTCCAAAATGTTCGTCTGACCCCCTCTCTAGCCGACTTGGAATCGTTCATCGAATCGACTTCCATCTGAACAATTCCAGTTTGGTCTCCGCTATAGTTTAGAAACTTTGAAGGCTGACTCTTGGTTGCTTGTGCAGGTAAATTTGTGCCTCCTCTATTCCATCCAAACGTCTATCCTTCAGGCACTGTTTGCTTGTCGATCCTAAACGAAGAAGAGGCATGGAGGCCTGCAATTACAATCAAAGAAATCCTCCTCGGGGTTCAAGACCTTCTCAACGACCCAAACCCAGAATCTCCAGCACAGGCGGATGCTTACAACCTCTATAAAAAGGATCGCGCAGCTTATGAGAAAAAGGTACGGCAGGTCGTGCGGGACAACCCAGCACCCTGAACATACAGCGCGGTCCATGTTCAAGGCGCTATTTTGTCTCGATTTTATTCGGCTTCATTTCAATTCACTTTCACATTTTGTCGCCTGCCTGGTATCGGAGTTTAAACCGGGGTAGGGGTTTCAAACAAGTCTTTTTCATCTGGTTCATTATTTCTTCTGCGAGTGGGCATTCACGAAGAACAACGTATTCATTCCCCTATGGAAAGAAAAGCATGCATTAGCGACCTTGTAGTTTTTACATCACTAGTACCAATCGAAGATCTATTCTTCTTATCTTTCTCGCTGCAATAATGATCGCATTTGAGATGTATGCAAGCAAGCAAGGCCCAATCACGGCGGGAAGATTGCAAAGGACCGGGCAGTTCCTCTTATCTTATCGGTGTGAGTCACCCGCCACTCACGAATCGCAGTCGCTCCGATCTCGCGCTGCTTTCCCGCCCAGATCTCTCTTGGGTTTATGCCAGGCAACTTTGTGTCCTTTTTTCTCTCCTTTACTACCAGTACAGGTCTTCTCTCCTCACACTCTGCAAGTGTTCAATTGTGTCAAGTCAGACAAGATGTGTGGAATTTTCGCTTGTCACCAGTACGTTCCGATTGCCTCTTCCATCCCTTTGCTCGCATACACGCATTTTGCGGGGCACCGGCGCAAAATAAAAAAAAAAGCATATACGTCTTGAAATGCGCAGTTTCCTAACACAAACGTCTCAATTAGTCACCCCGATGTGCAGAAATTCAAGCCGACGGCTTTGCGAATGGCGAAAGCGTGAGGACAATCCAATATTCTTCCCCCAAATGTCTGATTCTATGAAGCTAATTTTTCTCTCTCCTCTGCTAGCCTTCGCCATCGAGGTCCCGATTGGAGTGAGTCATACTGCGGCGCCGTGCATTGACAATACATATGCATAACTTGGTTTGCAAAGGACTTACACTAATGTGGCAACCAAAATATCAGGTGGAAGCTTTATTGGAAACAAGACTAGTAAGAGAATGAAACGCCCTTTCGAATCTACGGATTGGCTGACTGCCTCTTTTTTTTTTTTTGTTTAGTTCTTGCGCACGAGCGTCTGAGTATTGTCGGTGTTGGTACGAAATATCAATCTGGATTTGGTTTTTGTCGTTGCCTGTCTCCTGACATGCATTAGATACTGGCTCCCAGCCCCTCATCAACGACGATGCCACCCTCGCCCTCGCCGTCAACGGAGAAATTTACAATCATCGAATCCTAAGGAAATCCCTGGATCAGCAATACAACTATAAAACACATTCAGACTGTGAAGTTATCATTCCACTGGTATGTCAGACTAAGACTTCTTCCTTCCCAGTCCTCCTACCGATTACGCTTCAGTTCACATTCTGACCGCCATCACCAGTATATGAAATATGGTATTGATGCCCCTAAACATCTCGATGGAATGTTTTCCTGGGTTCTCTACGATGCGGTTGAGGACCGTGTTGTTGCAGCCCGCGACCCCATTGGCGTTACCAGCTTCTACCAAGGCTGGTCCTCCCAGACCCCTGGAGCCGTTTATTTCGCCTCTGAACTAAAGAGCCTGCACCCGGTATGCGACAAGATTGTTGCCTTCCCACCAGGCCACGTCTACGATTCCAAGACGGACACTATGAAGCGGTATTTCGAGCCCACATGGTGGGATCCCACAAAGGTACCATCGACCCCCGTCGATTATAAGGTTATTCGCGAAACGTTCGAGCGTGCAGTTCGCAAGCGCCTGATGGCCGAGGTCCCCTATGGTGTGCTTTTGTCCGGTGGCTTGGATTCTAGTTTAGTCGCCTCCATCGCACAGCGGGAGACTCTTCGCACCAGGGGTTTGCAGAACGGTTCTTCAGCTGAGTCCGGGCTCGTTGGTATTGACGACGAGAATGACTTGTCGACCGTGCCGATCCTCGCGCAGTTGAACTCATTCTCAATTGGTTTGCCTGGAGCACCTGATACTCAGGCCGCCATCGAGGTTGCTAAGTTCCTTGGAACAAGGCATCATGCCTTTACGTTTACCATTGAAGATGGTCTCAATGCGCTATCTGATGTGATCTATCACCTTGAAACCTATGACGTGACCACAATTCGTGCCTCGACTCCGATGTATCTGTTGAGCAGAAAGATCAAAGCTCTGGGTGTGAAGATGGTTCTGAGCGGAGAGGGTAGTGATGAAATCTTTGGTGGCTACCTTTACTTTCACGCGGCGCCGAACAAGGAGGAATTCCACGCCGAGACCGTCAGAAGGGTGAAGAACCTTCATCTCGCAGACTGTCTCCGTGCGAACAAGTCGACTTCTGCCTGGGGCCTGGAGGCCCGTGTGCCCTTCTTGGATAAACAGTTCCTGGAGACCGCCATGGGCGTGGATCCACAAGACAAGATGATCACGAAAGACCGTATCGAAAAGTATATGCTGCGAAAAGCATTTGATACCTCTGATGAGCCTGACGTGGCTCCATACCTCCCGGATAACATTCTCTGGCGCCAGAAGGAGCAGTTCAGTGATGGTGTCGGATATGGGTGGATTGATGCTCTCAAGGACAACGCCGAATTGCACGTCACTGATGAGATGATGAAGAACCCTAAGCCTGAATGGGGTGATGATATTCCCACAACGAAAGAGGCGTATGTTATTTCTTTCCCAAGTCGCTGGGATCTTGACTAATTCTGTTCTCACTAGTTACTGGTACCGCACGATGTTTGACGAACACTTCCCCCCGTATTGCGCAAGCACTGTCGAGCGATGGGTACCCACTTGGTCTAAGCAGACTGATCCCAGTGGACGGTATGTATTCTTCGAGTCTCCTGTTTGTCTATAAGGAATAAGAACTACGACTAATGCAGATCCTGCAGTGCCATTTCAACTCACAACGCAAAATACGAAAATGCTGTTTAAAGAGTCAAAAAGCGTATAGATGTTACTGATGAATCCCGTGGGGAGGGGAGCTTTCTTTTGTCCTCTTCGTCTTCTTTCTCGTTCTGTGTTGAGACATTAAAATCAAAAACATCTTGTTTGGTTTTTCCGGTTTATTTTCATATATACCTAGGTACGTTGGACAATGTTTCCAGGGGGGGGCGAGACTAGATAATAGATTTCTGGATCTGGGATTCTTCAAGATCTTTTCATGTATTAGGTAGAATTGAGCTGTTACAAGCATTTATAGAGAATATAATTGAGCCTTGATCAATATAGCCTTGGCTGCCTCAGGCAGAAGAAGGGGCAATTGCGTCGTCCGACTGCTGGTCACATGACTCGGCGATTTCTGCCGGCCGGGCACTGCCTGGCCAATCAGAGGCAATACGGGCTGCCCCGTGGCTCTCCTCGGCTGGCAAGATTCGTTTGTTGAGTTCCTGGCTGGAAGTTCCCTGGCCCCAACGTCCTCTCCTCTTGTATACCTTCACGAAAGTAAACAACGCGCGCATCTGCCATCTTTTCCCCCATCATCATCTGTTTTACCTTAATATTCCTTCACAATGGCTACTCCTGCTGCTTTCTCCGACATCGCCAAGGCGGCCAATGATGTGAGCATTCCCGATGTCTTCGCACCGCGGACAACCATTGTTGTTGCATACTAATCGCGAGAAAAAAATTCAACTGTAGCTCCTGAACAAGGACTTCTACCACACCAGTCCCGGTAAGTTTTGAGGCTTTGTAAGAGATTATTTGTGCCAGCGCCAGCGGAACTGACGTGCTCCTGTTTTCTAGCCAGCATCGAGGTTAAGTCCAACGCTCCCAATGGCGTCACTTTCACCGTGAAGGGAAAGTCCACCCATGACGGCCCTATCGGCGGATCTGTAAGTCTCAATAACGCATAATTCCCGTCCAGAAGAACCAATGCTGATTCATTGTTTGCTTTGTATAGCTCGAAGCCAAATACGTTGACAAGCCCATTGGTAAAGACCCTCGGCCTTAGATTTTTGAGCTCTGGGAGCTCTAATGATTTCGCACGGCGGAAGCATCAACATTTGCTTTCATCTCGCTACCTGGAACTGAGCTCTCTTCTCAGCATTCGTAAATTTGTGCTAATCGGTTATCTTAGGCCTCACTCTTACCCAGGCCTGGACCACTGCCAATGCTCTTGACACCAAGCTTGAGCTTGACAACAACATCACCAAGGGTCTTAAGGCTGAGATCCTTACCCAGTACCTGCCCACATCGCAGTCCAAGGGTGCCAAGCTCAACCTTTACTTCAAGCAGCCCAACCTTAACGCTCGTGCTTTCTTCGACCTCTTGAAGGGCCCTACCGCCAACCTCGACCTTGTCCTTGGTCACGAGGGTTTCCTCGTTGGTGCTGAGGGTGGCTACGACGTCCAGAAGGCTGCTATCACCAAGTACTCTGCTGCTGTTGGCTACAGCCTGCCCCAGTACTCTGCTGCCATCACTGCCACCAACAACCTCTCTGTTTTCTCTGCCAGCTACTACCACCGCGTCAACGCTCAGGTTGAGGCTGGTGCCAAGGCTACCTGGGACTCCAAGGCCGGTAACACCGTCGGCCTCGAGGTTGCCAGCAAGTACCGCCTTGACCCCTCCTCTTTCGCCAAGGTACGTTTCTTCATAAAATTATCATTATTGCCGGATCAGACTCTACGTCCTCTTCATCTTGTTATGACGGGCGTATTCTCATTTTTGGTATGAAGTCAAGTCAATTTACTAATGGCATTGTTCACTTCAATAGGCCAAGATTAACGACCGTGGCATTGCCGCTCTCGCTTACAACGTCCTCCTCCGCCCCGGTGTCACCCTCGGCCTTGGTGCTTCCTTCGACACTCAAAACCTGAACCAGGCTGCCCACAAGGTTGGTGCCAGCTTCACCTTCGAGGGTTAAATGCTCTCTCTACAACAAGTGCGATACCCTGGATTAGCCGTTCGCATGGCCTCGCATCATTCGGTTAATTGCACTGTCTGCACATTCGAGTGAAAACAAAATAGTTTTTCTATCTTTTTCTTTTTCTTTTTCTTTTCACTTTCTTTGTAATCGTGATCAAAAAGCAGGCAGTTCACGTGATTGACTTGATGAAACGCGGGTGGTATTTGTTCGAGCGAAATCTAGTTACTAATTTGTAGGCAATGTCTTGATTCCCTTGCCTCTACATGCCATACCTGTATATCAAATAAATTCCAAGAACCTTTTCTTTTGTCTTAGAAAATTGATACCGATCACGTCGCAATACATGACAGATCTGTAGGAGTTAGTACCCTTAAATAAGCCCAGTCGTCACTTCGCTAAAAGCACGAACGGTCTATAAAATAAGTGCTAGAATACTATTTACAGTCAATCGTCTGACGCCTCCGCGCTGTCTTGATATATAGACACGCGCCCTGCGAGTTCAATCAATCATCACCCTTCCTCCGAGGCAGTACTTGATTATTCTTCTTCTGTGTCGGCTTCTCTAAACCACCACTGCTGCTGCTACTACTACTACCAGCCCTAAGTATGGCACCAACAAGGGAAGCAGTAGCAATCAAAATGCCCGAAACGAGAACGAAACGAAAAACAAAGCTTCCGCTCCCGCCATGACCGGTAACTTCATGTTCGATGAATTCTCGTTCCCGTCGCATTTGTTGCGACCGTCTTTGTTCTCGACGCGCATCTTCGGCTGTCTGTCTCTTGTAATGGGCCTTTGCATCGAAATGCCAAACGGGGTTATTGTTGATGAATGAGGTTGGATCCTCATCACTGCCACCATTGCGACCAGCACCCGCATAAGTAGCCCCAGGACTTGCGCGTGAAGCCCCTGTAGTACCGTATCCACCATGGGCGTAAAAACTGGGTGGAGGGCCTCTAAACGCCGCGCGTCGTTTACTCAAACCGCTTGCCGGGCGGGAGCCGGCATATGATGATCCAGCAGCCGCACTAGCACTACTATGACTGCCCATGGGATGTTGGCCGGATACACCGCTGCTATGCGTGTTTTGGACGTGAGTGGTGATTCCATGGTCGAGATCGTAGCGCGCGCGTTTGCTGCTGTCACCCAAGACTTGGTAGGCGGATGAGATGGTTGCGAAGCGCTCGGTGGCTTTTGGGTCGGAGCGATTGCGGTCTGGATGGTGTTTTAGGGAGAGCGCGTAGAATTGCCTTGATTTGTTTTTGGCGGTTTTTGGTCAATGAGTGTCGATAGAAAAGGGTGTGATTGCAGTGTTTCTTACTTTTTGATCTCGGCTGCTGTCGCAGTCACCGGTACATTGAGGATTTCATAATATGTAGGCCCGTGAGTACTGCTGCGCGCATAGTATGTTCTGGCAGTCGTGGAGAAGATGCTTATTCGAAAGGAAGACGAGGTGGCATGAGAATGGCCGGAAGAAGAAGTGAGCAAATGGCCACGGACAGAAGGTATTGGCCTTCTTCTAAGAAAGGTCGTCAAACGAGGCGGCATGCCTCATTGCGCAGCTTGTCCGAAGTCAATCCAGAGCTGCTCGTGAAGAAGTGAAGGAGTGAAGAATGTGGTGAGGTTGAATGTGCTTGGCTATTGGACACTGCGTCATCGGCTGGCGGTATTGGAATTACCAGTAACAATACCACGGCCCGCCACTATCCGTGACTATCGACGGCATTTTTACATTTGCTTCCTTACACCCCCGCCTTGTGTAGTGCTTCAAAACACTCCTCATCATGGCTGCTCAGGCGGATGAAGAGCTGAAAAAGCTCGACCGTGGGTCTTCAGATGCCGTTTCTAATTACTTATTTTTGGCTTTGGCTGACTTCTCTCGAATCGTGGCAAATAGTGAAAGGCCAGAATGGTCATGCCAAAGAAGCAGTAGGCGCATCCGCAGATGATGCAGCAGACAATGACGACTCGGACGACGATGAAAAGGAAGAAGAGGGTGCTGGGGAGGGTGCTGGATCTGGAGGTTTGTATATTTTCCTTATCTACCAGTGATCTCTGGTTTCATATATAGTTTAAAGATTATGCAAAGATGTGATATGTGATATAAGCTCACACGACCTCCCTCGGTAATACAGCAGCGAAGAAAAAGAAGAAGCGCAAGCCCAAGAAGAAGAAGAAAGGAGGCGCCAAAAAACAGTCATCGCCTCCTCGAGTTCCCATATCAGAACTGTTCCCCAATAATCAATACCCAGAAGGAGAAATTGTCGAGTATAAAGATGAGAACAACTACCGTACTACCAACGAAGAGAAAAGGTATCTTGATCGCATGAACAACGATTTCTTGCAGGAATATCGCCAAGGTGCCGAGGTCCACCGACAGGTTCGTCAATATGCGCAGCAGAATATCAAACCGGGCCAAACCTTGACCGAAATCGCGGAGGGCATTGAAGATTCTGTTCGTGCTCTTACGGGTCACCAAGGTCTGGAAGAGGGGGACAACATAAAAGGAGGAATGGGCTTTCCATGCGGTCTTAGTATCAACCACTGTGCAGCCCATTATACGCCCAACGCTGGCAATAAGATGATTCTGCAACAAGGCGACGTCATGAAGATTGATTTCGGTTCGCAAATCAATGGACGAATCGTTGACAGTGCCTTTACCATGACTTTTGACCCCGTCTACGACAATCTCTTGGCTGCAGTGAAGGATGCAACCAACACCGGTATCCGGGTATGGTCATATGCCTATGCTTGCTGTATCTTTGTTGAGCGTAGTTTCAATCGGATTGTTTTCGTTACTGACCCATATTATCTGTATAGGAAGCTGGTATCGATGTTCGGATGAGTGATATTGGAGCGGCTATCCAAGAGGCAATGGAGAGTTATGAGGTTGAAATTAACGGAACTTCGTTCCCTGTTAAATGTATCCGTAACCTGAACGGACACAACATCGATCAGCACATCATTCACGGCGGCAAAAGCGTGCCTATCGTGAAAGGCGGAGATCAAACTAAAATGGAGGAAGGCGAAGTCTTTGCTATTGAGACTTTCGGAAGCACTGGAAAAGGTTACGTGAGAGAAGATGTTCGTATTCCTTGATTCCACACACTTTCGTTTTCTCCTTTCCTTTGCATCGTCTAACCTACTGCGACACAGATGGAAACCTCTCATTATGCCAAGGTCCCAGACGCTACGAATGTGTCTCTTCGCCTGTCTTCTGCGAAAAATCTTTTGAATGTCATCAACAAAAACTTTGGCACGTTGCCTTTCTGTCGTCGATACCTCGATCGTCTGGGTCAAGAAAAGTACCTTCTTGGAGTAAGTTTGCAGCTCTTATATTGACGGGGATAGAAACTAACTAGCCAATGATTTAGTTGAACAATTTGGTCTCTGCCGGAATTGTCCAGGACTATCCCCCATTGTGCGATATCAAGGGCTCATACACTGCGCAATTTGAACATGTAAGTTCTACATGATGACACGAATTTCTTGCTAAATCCGTGCCCTTCTGACTTAAATCTAGACCATCGTTCTTCGACCGACTGTAAAGGAGGTCATAAGTCGGGGGGATGATTATTAAATGGGCGATTTATCTGTTCTTTGGTCTATATGTTCTATATAAGTAGCTCTGATTGTTTTCTATGGTATGTGGCTGTGAGAAGGAGGGGAGTTCTTATTCCCCCCTAGGAATGAAAAGATAGGGATCAGCAATCATTTTGGTGAATTTCCCCCCCCCCCTCATGCCTGTACAAACGGTGTTTGCTATATAACCTATGTATGTTTCCCTATAAAACTAGGGCTAGCATGATCAGCCGCTTGGTGTAGCCCCACGTGCAGCCACGGGCATCCGATTCCGTGCCTGAACGGTCCATCGACTGCTTCCTCCACTAGCAGTCCATCGCCTGATGCGACCACTATAAATCCAACACAATACTCCCACATCCCTCTTCACATGGATCAGTAACGGCGAATTGAATTTTTTTTCCCTCTTTCTTCTTCTTCCCAATGGCGTCTGTTACCTCAACATCCACTCCGTCCCTCAGGGTGAACGGCAGTGCTGCGAAGGGAGCAAAACAGCCACAGCCACAGGCTGCAAGAGTAGAACCACCTGAGGGTTCTGCCTCTTATGACCATTTCTTCTGGACATATACTGAAGAGCCTCATCGATCAAGGCGTCTAGCGATTATCAAAGCTCACCCAGAGGTATGGCGCCAAAAAAAATATAGACAATATTCAGTTGAAAGCTCAATCCACTTCGCAAAATAGGTGACCAAATTATGTGGCCCAGAGCCTCTGACCAAATACGTCGTTCTCGCCGTCGTTTTCCTTCAAATTTCCTGCGCCTACCTACTTCGTGATACGCCTATGTTTTCGTGGAAATTTCTCCTCACCGCATATGTGATCGGAGCTACCGCCAACCAAAACCTCTTTCTCGCCATTCATGAAATCTCTCATAATCTAGCCTTCCGCTCTGCTTTCGCAAATCGCCTGCTTGCTATATTTGCCAATCTTCCTATTGGCATACCCTACAGTGCTTCCTTCCGGGTTAGTCTTTTTTCACCATTGCCGTGCGCCTAGTGGAAGTATTAGTACAACTTGCTGACGCTTTCTTCTTTCCTGTCTACAGCCGTATCATCTTACCCATCACAAGTCGCTAGGTGTCGCGGGCCTGGACACCGACTTACCAACGGCCTTCGAGGCATTCCTTCTAGACTCTTTGCTGGGCAAAGCGTTCTTTTGCACCTTTCAGATTTTCTTCTACGCTCTTCGGCCTATGTTTGTATACAGCCCGCCGTTCACTTCGATTCACCTACTCAATGTGATCATACAACTTGCCTTTGACTACGCCCTCACTCAATTCTGTGGCGGATCCTTACAACCTTTTTACTACCTCGTATGGAGCTCTTTTCTTGCGGGCTCCTTGCACCCCTGCGCAGGCCATTTCATTGCCGAGCATTACTTCTTTTCAGAAATTAAAACCGGTGGCACCGAGTCCTTGTCTGAAGTGAAGAAGACGGCCAAGTCTACAAGCACCACCAAAATAGAACCGAGTCCCCTTGACTCCCTGCGCCCTCCAGAGACATATTCCTACTACGGACCGCTCAATATATTAACATACAACGTTGGCTTACATAACGAGCATCACGACTTTCCCGCCATCCCGTGGACACGCTTGCCCGAAGTCCACCGCATCGCGAGTGAATTCTACGAGCCTCTTCCGTGCCACCGAAGCTGGGTATGGGTTATCTGGACTTTCGTTCTAGACAAGAACGTCGGACTGTGGTGTCGAGTCAAGAGAGCCGAAGGCGGCAGGATTGTCGGCGGGCTCTCTAAAAGGGCTGGACGGGGCGGCGAAGGCATTTCAGCTACTTCCGGAAAAGAGGATGATGAGGAGGGGGATGATGGGTGGAAGGAAAGTGAGATTCAAAATTAGGTCAGGACTTTGTATTGCTCCTCCCACTTATTTTGGTTTTCATACTCGATTTATGAAAAGCCGTGTAACAACATACCATATACTCGAGCATGTTGAACATGAATAGGGATACTAGACGATCATGATAGAAAGGATCTGTATATAAGTACATCAAAAGCCAATGTTTATGAAAGTACATAGTGACCTCTGGTTCTAAGAACTATAATTTAGTCCAAACACAGACACAGTAAATCAATGGCATGGTTAATCGTTTATCAACAGGACATTCAGTAGTCAAAAATAGGAGAAAAGCTCTTGATGCACCGAATAGAAAGTCAACAACATCAAATAAGTGACTAAATTTCTAGAAACAGTTTCAAAGTTACCAGTATCGAAAATAGGAGTCATATCAGACCATCTGCGGGGTTGATAGATGTATTGAGTCGTTGAGAAGAGCGAAAACGAACCATGCATTGCGCAATAAACGCTTTAAAAAATAATAACAAAAAGGGGGACATGTAGAAGGAAGACAACAATAAAAAAGGCTAAAAAATATTCACCCATGTCAGGCAAACAAAAGATAAAACACATGAACAGACAAGAAGTAATAGCAAAGAGAACACGCTCCGAAAGAAAAAAAAAAAAGAAAGGGGAAAGGAATTATAGACTAGCATAAATAAACGAGGATTTGTCCCATTAGAAACAGAAAATGGTTAGAAGAAAAAGTAGGCAAGCAGGAAACTAAGTAAGCACAATGCCGCAACAATCTGCACTGGCACTCCCACTTCTGCTGCAGGTTGGGCAATTTGTTGCTGTAGCGTATTGCCTCCCTTTGTTGTTGAAGATGGTGCGCCTTCGGCTTTCCGTTGACGGAGACCTTGCTCGGAAAGTTGGGCTTTTAGCCTTTGAATCTGCGCTAGTGCATCTGAGAGTTGCTCTCTAGTGTCGTCAACGCTAGGTTTAGATGCCGGTTCTGTAGCAGCTGCCGGAACATTTTCGACTGTAGATGACGGAGCAGCCTCCCTCTTGATCTCTGGTGATTCTACTTTGGGGGACTTTTCAAAATTCGGCGGAGCAATAGGGGAGGTATTATCAAATGTCTTGGAAGAGGTTGGCGCTGGTGTTTCAAAAGCACCACCCGGTGACGAGTACGCAGGGAGCTCTTCCTCGGTGGGGGCCTGGAATTTATGAGAAAAGTAAATGAGTTTTGTAGTTCTTTTCTTATAGATATCCAATAACGATGATGATGATGTTTGGAACGTACAACTCCATTGGCAGCCTCGGCAGGCAGATAGTTTACTCTAATCTTTCGTTCCTGAATCGATGCCTTCGGTGCATTCTCGAACTTCACGACTCATAAGTCAGTATTTCAAAATTTCTTGAAATGGGCCTGGCAAGAAGGGAAGTGAACTCACAATCGATGTGACGTTGGAGAATTCCAAATCTCCGGTGACAGCAACAGACTGAACGAGGAATTTATCTTTGCATTTCGCATCCGCGGGGGGATCCTCCTTCATCGCCTGCAGCAAAACTACTCACGGTGTTATTATCTGGTCCATATAGCAAATACTTGCGCACACCACATATAACCAACCTTGCACTTCAACATGTTTCCCCGGCTCTATACGACCCGAGTTGGGCCGCACACAATAGCTGTACGTGGGTTAGCGGCTGAATGATGGTCGTTACGGGCTCGAAACGAGAATACATACTGCTTGGGAGCGGTGGTTTTGACCTGTGCACGTAATAATCTAGAATCAGCATCTGCCGGGTAGAGAACAAGCACCACATAACAAGGAGACCGACCTTAAATGCGACGGGATTGTCTTGCGGGTTGCGAATATGTAGAACCTCGCTTACTTCACGATTAAAGGGGCCTTTTGAACATATTAATACCCATGCCGGCTTGGTGATGACAAATGCGGATTCTTACGGCGGAAACCAAGATCACCGGGCTCGAGGTCGACGGACATGATGTGTGAGGGGAGGAGACCAAGGTCGCTAATCAAATAACCCCGCGGATCGAAAGAATCAAATTGGCAGTAGCGAGGAAGTGTTGAAAGCACAGACTTCGAATAGACGTCGGTCGTCTGGCAGTCTAAATCGCGAGGCGAGGAAGGAGAGTTGGTGTGTGGTGTCGGAGAGTTCCCTTACTGATGGACGTCGAAATGTGTCTGGCTGGATGTCACGGCCATACTGCTTAGATAAGCGGGTTTGGCGGTGGCTTGGCGGTAATTTACGGTATCTCTGTATGAGCGAGCGGGTGATGTCATCTAAATATGCCGCCCTGTACACACTCAATACACAGCGTTTTGCGTCCTGACATCTGGTCTTTCCACTCAGAAATATCTCAAGCAAAATGCTAGAATAAATGCCAATCCAGGTGTGAATGCTGGCTGCAAATAGGCAGAGATCATCCAGAGGCTGGCATCCTAGTTTTGTCTTTGGCAGGTTGGCCTTTGTCGGGAGGCTAGAACAATTCGCAGACTCTGAGACAGTATTGGCGCACAGCTAGTTAGTTATCTGAGCTGATTATAAAATAGGGCACAACAATATAGAAAGCTATTTAGCCTAGCTGAAAAGTGATTGGTTCAGACCATCAGAACTGGAACAATAGTAGATACAACAAGGCGACGATAAGATAGCCCTCACAATCCCCACATGCGCTGCCGTGGCCTCTTTAGGAACATCTTGGCCAAAGTGCTTAACTTCCGTCCAAAACATACCACCTGAGCTACTACGACTATTCCACCGACATTACTTCTCGCTACCTAATTCCCAGTACGATAGTGGTGTCTGCCTGTGTGGGATTCTTCTACTCTGCACATCTAATCGAGCTTGCCTTTCTAACACCCCCGCTATCCGCATCCTAAGGCCGGCCTGTCTGGTCTTGCTCAATACAAACACGATGACTGCTTCCGACCTTGAGCAGCTCCTTGAAATGGGCTTTGACAAGGAGCGGGCGGAACTTGCAATATCAAAGACTGGAGGCCGTGCGTCCACCTTCAACTTGAAATTCCACCTCTAATTGCTAATGCGAAGCTACAGTCCAACCTGCCCTTGAATGGCTCGAAGCGAACCAAGACAAATCACTTGACGAAATCAAAGCCACTACCGCCGATACAACACAAGATGAAGAAGGCCCGGCTCTCAAAGAAGGCGAAGAGCCTCGCAGTCTAGTCTGCAACGTGTGTGGAAAAAAGTTCAGGAGCCATGCACAGGCGGAATTTCATGCGTCAAAGACAGAACATGTTGACTTCTCTGAGTCCACCGAGGAAATTGCCCCTTTGACAGAGGAAGAGAAGAAGGCACGCCTGGAAGAACTACGACAAAAGCTAGCTGCAAAACGCGCCGTACAATCAGAGCAGGATAAAGCTGATAAAAAGAGAAACGAGGTGGGTAATACGCTAGTAGGATTCCAAACTCCGCCCTGACCTTCTATTTGGCATAGGAAATTCGCCGAAAACATACCAAGGAATCGCAGGATATTAAGGAAGAGTTACAGAAGAAAGAACGACTCAAGGAAGCTGCACAGAAGCGAAAGGAGAAACAAGATGAGATAGAAGCAAAGGCACGCATTCGAGCTAAGATAGCTGCGGACAAGGAAGAACGACGATTGAGAGCCGAAAGGGAAAAGGCTGAACGAGCAGGTAAAGCTCCTCCACCGCAGCCTGCGGCGGCGCCTCTTCCAACCACGTCTGATGCTGTAACTTCCAAGCCGGCTTCAGCGTACACGGAAACTCGCCTACGTCTACAGACAAGAAAAGGCAATATCTTGAAAACGTTCCCAGTCGAAACGACATTGTTCGAAGTTGTTGCAGCGCTGAGCAAGGATGATGGAGTGGATGTGCAAACTTTCACCCAAAATTTCCCTCGAAAGACTTTCAACAGTGAATACTTTGGGGAATCGCTCAAAGATCTAGGACTTATCCCTAGTGCTAGCCTTGTAGCAAATTGATGCGACACAGGCATGGCGTTATCTGGAAGGATATTAGGGCTTGGATATTCACCATAGTTATAGAGACGATAGTGATGATCTGATCTTGCAAGTGCGGCAAATTACGAGAGGACCACGAAGATAATGCGAAAAAAGAAAAAAAGATTTTTTTTCTTACTTTGGAAATCAATCATATTCCGTTCAGAAATAACCACCGTAGAATATAGCATCCGAGTCACGTGAGTTGGCGTCGGTGACATAAGCACGCGTTTATGGAATCGCGTCGCCCAGCTGCCATGCCCAAGCATCTACAACTATAGACAGACGGACGCTGTGAATTGTCAGACCTGATGAGGATTTATTTTTGAGTTATTCAATCTCAATATGCCTGCGTAAGCCCTGCTATCTATCGATTGTGCTTAGTGGTCTTGATACTAACGACAACAATGGATGAATAGAGTGGGCGACCAACACCGCGATCCTTCTAGCACGACGGCCGTTACTGCGAATCCGTTTGATGAAGGGCCACGACGCATGAGCGAGTATACGGCTCGTGATGTAGCCACACTTCAGTCACGTCTCGACAAACAGCTGGGCCCGGAGTATATTTCCTCACGTGCAGGACCCTCGGGACAGAAAGTGCATTATCTCGCAGCAGAGAAATGTATCAATCTCGCGAATGAGGTGTTTGGGTTCAACGGCTGGTCTAGTTCCATCCAAAACATCCAAATAGATTTTGTTAGTGCGACGACATTGCGGTCTTTGACAGAACTGATATTAAAGTGTTTTAAAAGGTCGATGAGAGTCCGAATACGGGGAAGATAAGTCTGGGGCTATCGGTCATCGTGCGAGTCACACTTAAAGACGGTACTTATCATGAGGTACGAATGATATCAAATCTAGTGAATCTTTGCAGCTCGCAGCAAAATAACAAGATTAGGATGTCGGGTATGGTCACATTGAAAATTGCAAAGGCAAAGCGGCGGCCTTTGAAAAGGCCAAAAAGGAGGGAACAACAGACGGCCTTAAACGAGCTCTAAGGACATTCGGAAACGTGCTGGGTAACTGTATCTATGATAAGGACTACCTCGCTAAAGTTACCAGACTTAAGATCACACCGGTAAGCCGTGTCAAATACGGTCACAATATAGCATGTTCTCTGACAGAAACAGAGTAAATGGGATGCCGACAATCTACATCGCCATCCAGACTATGCCCCTGTTAAGAAAGAGCCCGTGCAGGCAAAGAAGATATCGGAGGATGTTGAACTTCCTCCACGCCCAGTTGAATTAAATACTCGGAAGGAAAACAACATAGCGCATGATACCTCTGCAACATTCGATGGGGACGGTGAATTTGGCAGTGAGAACCCCATTCTTCACGCAACAATTTTTCTTTTCATATCTAATTACCTAATGGATCACTAGGCGATGTATTCGACGAGGCGGATTTTGTAGCAACGACCGCCGGAAACCCTGACGAGGTCTCCTTGGATGTCGACACTCCACAACAGTTACAGCGGCCCCAGGCTAAACAGCCATTACCTCCGCTTCAGCAAAGGCAACAAGGGTATCAAGCGCGCCCTGCCCCCAGTGGTGCAATTGTCACTCCCTCCAAGCCGGAAAGGTCATGGGCCACTGGTCCTGCTGCGGCAGGTCATGCAGCACATCATCAGAACGCAGCTCATTTCTCCACCGCTCAACCTGGTGCACCTGCAGGAAATCCGCAATCAATGGTGCAAGGAAACTCTACTGGAGACAACAAGCTCAGCCAAGAATTCCAGCGACCAAATAACTCCATTAGCATCAAAATCGAAAACACAACCACAGCATCCAACCCACCAGGCACGAATCTAGTACCTATGAACAATGAGCAGAATATATCTAGGAATGGACCAAATGACGCATCTGTTGGGTTCTATTCAGCCCGCGCAGTGGAGATGCTTCGTGAAAACCCTCGAGGGTCGCCAATGGCGCCCAAATTTGACCCCCATGCAGAAAGTCCCTCAATCCGCAAAACAGCTGGAATAGACCATACAAAGAGCCTTGCTGTCTCGAAACCAATGCTATTTGGCGCATCGCAGTCACCGGTTCCTGCCACTCGAAACTTCATTAATCCTTCGATGGAAGTTCACCGACGAATAGGAGCGCCAGGCGGCAACGGCGGAATAGCTAGCCCTATGAATAAGGGATTCACAACATCCTCTTACCGTCCCTTGACAAGGCCAGTAGTTGACAACAACAACAACAACAACAACAACAATACTAACAGCAACTCATCAACGACAACGCAAGACCCGGGACTCAAGCGACCACCTCTAAACGATGTGACCAACGCGCCGTCGTTCTCAACTAGCGGTGCCGGTGGTCCCGGAGACATCAAAAGGCCGCGACTGACTAATAATGGAAGCGCTCACAACGTGACGCCTCACTAAAATCAACAGCAATAAAGAACACACATACTATATCTACAGATCTCTAGCGGACCTGCTCTCCGTTTACTTTGCCGAATCAACCACCTTATATCAATGGTTTTGGTGTGTTCTCCGCAAAAACTAACGTCTGCACAATAAATGGCGTTTGTGTTTTTACTTTTTTCAGGGCATCAGGGATCAATTGAAAATGAATTCAAGAGGAAGGTAATCGGAGTTAAAGGATTATTTACTTGGGCTATCAGCGATAACAGGCTATATACTACCATCGTTCTTACGAGGAACTTGATCACTCTCTGTCAACATTAATATTTGAATGAGTATTGATATGCTTGCATAGCATAGATTTACTATCCTCCGGTTTCCATTATCTATTTTGAGTATTTACCTTTATTCTCTCTTTCTTTGTTAGAAAGCGAGGCTGATTGCATTTCATATGGATGCCAATAACAATAAATCCTCTTGGTACCTAGGTAATTAAGCTACAGCAAACAATTCAGGTACGGAAGGAAATAAAAACACAATTAAAAATGAAGCAAGCAGACGCGATACCTACCTAGGTGAGTAAGGGTGTTTACCAAGTCGGCCGTGGTCAGATCGAGATTTCATGAAAATTACAAACGATGCAACCTCATGTGCCCTGTATGCAGTTCATAAGAAAGAGAGTGTGAAAGCAACCCAACTAGTATGTAACTACAAAGGAAGAAGTGTCAAAACATATTCAAGAATCTTAGGTCACTACGCAGCTTGAGATGTCAGTCTATTCGCTATCTAGCATAAAAAATCTTGACAGAAATAGAGCAAGACTTCGCCGCTCTTAGTCTTGACAAAAAGTGAAGCAGTTTTACCTAGCGAAGTCCTCGTGAAAGCTAAGAAATGCTTTCGACAATTGACTTCATGAGCGGTGACTGTAGAATTCGAGAGAGAAGGAAAATGGAATTTAGCTACAAACACATATCTCCATTTATTGATATTCGCGAGATGAGTCGGTAACCGCTTGCTTTCAACAAGCATAGCGAGACTCATACAAGGACTTGCTGTTTGTTTTGGACGGAGGAGAGGCGTCGACTTTCTTCTGTTGTTTGGAAACCGTCAATGGTGCGCTGGAATTGTTGTCGGACTGCTTCGAAGACACTCTCTTAGGCAATGTTTTCTGCCAATAATCGATAGAGTTATCTGTAGCCTCTTTGGACTTGTCGTTTGCTTCGTCCACATTGATTCTCGATGGAGCATATCTGGAGGCTTCCATGCCTAATGGTCTACGGACACTGGCTCCGAGACCAACGGATTTGGGTAGAGGCACAAATAGTTGAGCTTTGACTGATTTTTGCAATGGAGACGCCACTGGCTCAGCCTTCTTCTCATGTTGTTTTGTCACCTGTGAATTGTCGTTCTTCTTCGTTAAGGCTGCATTAAGCATGGTTACAAGTTGATCCTTCCTTTCTGTAAGCGCCTTCTTTTGGTTAACGTTGGAGAAATCGAAGTCTGCCAGTGTGTCATTTATAACACCGAGTTCTTGCAGCCATCTGAAAATATTATCCTGAGTGGTTGACGCGACTGTATCGTCAACCAGGCTTGCCTCATCAAGATCTATTAGGTCTGACACTGTGTTAGGTTTCAGCACTCCTAATTGAATCTTCTCGGGGGTGGCGTCAAAAGCAAGCAATAAATCCTCTTCCGGGTCATGCTGTGACTGTGCTTGTGATTGCGACTTTGAATTGCTTGTTAGAGGTTTAGGAAGATTAGATCTTATAAATTGTTTCTCGAAATTCGTGACTGGCTGGATTCTCGTAGGAGACTTGGGTTTCAATGGAGTTGGCTGATTTGGTTGATCAGGATGAGTAGGTTCCTCAGGACGACTAGGCTGAACGGATTGGACAGGTTGAATGGTTTGAACAGGCTCCTCAAGCCGTGTAGGCTGTAAGGGCTGCACAAGTTGAATAGGTTGAACAGATTCCTCCTCAGGCTGAGTGGACTTATCAGATTGGCTTGACAACTTTCGCCTGGCATCTTCCAACCAAGCAGATGGATCAACTAGGCCACCGATGTATTCACTATTCGAAAGATAAGCTACAGAAAGCTGGAGATATTCTCAAAGGATTCTCACTGGGAAGGACGACGTGCAGGCCGTCTCTGGATTCTTATTGCCCTGCCCCTCATTTGCATGCCGCTAGCGGACCTTGAAGGAGACTGAGAATGATTTACTGCAGGGTCTAGGAGGCTTTTTGTTTTATGGCGAGAAGTCGAAGGGCCATGATATGCACCCGAGGCACTTGTGAGCATCATTTTGTTAGTGAGATTAAGAAACGTGACTGAAAAATACAGAAAGACTTACCGTCCTGCTGAGGTGTCTTGACCAAATCCCTGCATGTAACTGGCTCGAGGAGCCTGCGGTGGTGCCATCCTTTGGACTGCCGTAGTTATCTGCGCTCCCTTGTTTCGCATTTCAAAATGAAGGCGAGCACGATGACTCTGCCCATTCATTAAATCTGGGAGGTCCTTTTCCGCGTCTTCGACAGTTTCGTGGAATTCTTTGCAGTGTAAGAAGTTTATAGGCCACGGTAAGAAGAGAGGAAAGCTTACTAGACCATCTAGCAAGATGAGCTTGGTTCTCTTTTTGGAGCTGAAACGTCTGAGCGTTCTGCACCGAGTCACGAAAGGCCACCAGATCTCGTTCAGTATACCCAATGAACGGATCATAATCCCTATCCTCGGCGGTTGTTATTTCGAATCTCCTCTCACTACCAAGGTCGGCCTGAGACGGTGGACTGTTAGAAATTAAAAATGTATCTTTCTGGTATAAAACCTGCTTACCAGCTGTCTGTTTCTTTGCACGCGAGCCTCGCTTGTGTCATACTTGTTGGCATCAGCAGCCATGATCTTTCTTGTCAAGCGGCTTCGACGGTATCCTTTTCTCTATGATCGTTCGCAAGGAAGAAAAAGGTGTGTTAATTGGACGTGTTTTGGGCTTGAAAAACTCAATTGAAAGCACCCATCCAAACACTCACAAATGAACAGAAGCGAAAGGAAGCCTGTAATTCTGGGATTGATTGATATGTACTGACCAGGACAAGCTATGCCAACTAGCGGAAGTCTGAGACAGAGAAGTATCTAGGTAGAGTGAAGAGAGAAAAGTTGAGAGAGAAAATTAACGAAGAGATGAGAAGATGAGCAGGCAGGAGAGGAAGGAGCACAACAACCCAGCAAACAAAGGAAGGAAGGCAGAGCATCTCTGGGCAAGCTCCAGCGTGAATCTGATTGGTGGCTGGCCATGTGCCACTTCATATAGCGTCAAAAGCCCAGACTAGCTGGACCCAGACAAACGCTGCCTGTGCTATGAGATATGCCACAACAATGAGAATGCAATTCTGGGAATACATCTAGAGGAACAGAGCAGAAGAATAAAGGCAGTGCTACTGATCAGCAGTTCACAGAGAAAGAGAGAAAACCAAATACTGCACAACCCATGATTGTATGCAAAAACAAGCTTGAAGCTTTGTTACGTGTATTGTAGTTATTGTATGTACAGAGTGTAGGGGAGTGCACGTCTGGGACCTCACATAAGTTGGATGATCAGGGACGAATCGACTGAGCTCCTTACTGGAGAAAAGACTATACAACACCACTGCAAGTCTGAGCAGCACCTTCATCTGTTGTAGACTCATGTCAGTGGGCCAGCTGCTTTATTGTTTATAAGGTCTGGCAAAGGATTGCTTACTCCTGATTATTCTACCTATGGCCTGAAGGAGGCTAATTCCCATCACAACTGTGCCAAACACGATGCAGGCATAAGCTGGGATTTTGGCTTTGTGGCTGGAATTGCTCAATTTGACATAACAGAGCGGTGGCAGGACATAGGCTAAGGCTGCGGCACTGGTGGCACCGATCAACTCGAATACTGCACCGAGATCGCAAGTTATTAACGCCAAGAACATGGAAGCAAGAACAAGGACGGTGGTAAAGTATATATGGCGAGTTGGGTGGAAGGGCTCGTCAGGAAAATAATATGTGGTCATAACGGAGCGGCAGACAAAGGCTTCCAGAGGTAAAGTAGTGAGCATATTGAGGCCAAAACAACTACACCCACATATGTCAGCTTGTGCCCATGAGCTATGTTTTTGTTACTCACAGTCGTGCTATGTTCACCATGATATTACTGGATGGGAAGTTGTTGAGTACATTGCCTTGAGTCTTCGATCCAAACGACAGGAAACCAGCAATGGCCATTACTAAACACATAACCATCGAGACTCCGGTAGAATAGTGTGTCACCTTGGCGAATCGATCTAGGGTTGGTTTTTTCAAAGATCCGTAGATCAGCAGGCTATTATGGTCTAACAATCAAGGTCAGATTGCACGTTGCGGGTATTCAGGAATATTCTTACGTACGGCACACAAACGCTGGGAAACGTTAGTCAGGAAGTTCATTGCAAAAGGAAACGCACCTACAGCTACTTACCAAAAGATATAACTCCGACAGCTTGGAAAAAACCAGAGTTGATGAAAAGGTTTCCTTTCAAATCGCCTCTCAATTCCGAGGGGACACGGAAGCCCTGAATGACAACGGTAACTACAATTACAAGCATGCTAACTAGGGCTAGCGCTGAGGCTTTTGCAAGCTACAACCGTTAGCACACATGAAGATCTTCTCCAGTTGTGTAAACTAACCTTGGCAATGTCCCGGTAGAGAGACAGAGGAAACGAGATGCACAGTATGAAAAGAACAATCACAGCTCTTCGATCCGTGAGAAGCCACAAAAACGGCATATCTCTTAGAGACGGAAACAACGCCGCAAAGACATGAGGGATGGTATCACCCACGATGATGCAAAATGCAACCATGCCCCCAAATGCAAACGCCCATTGAGCAACGGATATCGCAATCAAGCCGCTTCTTCCAAAGCAATGCTGCATGGTAGCTTGAAAAGAATCTGCGCCGCTCATCTTGGAATTGATGACAATAAGTCGAATGGTCCAATCGACCGTGATAGTCAACAAAACCAGAAGCACTATGCCCGTGACCATGCCAGCTTGTCGTAGAGCGTATGGCTGGCCAATAATACCGGCGCCAATAATGCTGTTGGCCATATTCATAAATGCCATGCGCATGCCGCTGCGAGGCCGGGCATCCTCCAAGTGATCTTCGAGGAACAAGTCGTCCGACGTCGCCAGCGTGACAATTGGAGCTTCAATATCTGTAAGCAAGGGCGCCATCTGCCCGGTACTACTACGAAAGCGCTGCGATCCGTCTGCCATATAATCTTCCTCTTCTAGCCAAAAGTCGTCATCCTGTCCAGGCCGGACGTGGCCGTGGGCTGGCGTGTCATCTTCGGCAACCTGATCGGAGAGGTCGAAGCGAACGCGATTTGGAGTTCGAGGGGTACGCCGTTGTCCGTCGGGAGCTGGGCGAGAAATTGAGGACTGGCGAGGAATATGTGGTCTTGGAGGGGTTGGACGTGTTTGCTGTTGCTGTGCTTGCTGATCGGTGTTGCCGGGAACGACTACCAAGTCATCGTCGTCGTCGTAACTATCATCGTGGACAGAGTCGTTCGAGAGAAGGGCACGAGCTTCTTCATCACTCGCGCCGCTTCGCTCGGCATGACGAGCAGTGACTACCTCATCATTTGGCATCTCTGTCAATTGCTGGTAAGGAGACACCGTTGCATCAGCCCAGCTCCTTTGTCCATTCGGCATTCGCTGATAACGATAAGGGCAATCCACGTGACTTTCCGGCCTTCTACATTGTATCAACAGCCAATCAGAATTTCAGACGCGCGTATACACTAAACATGAATATGCTTCTGCTCTGAGGATACTGATACATAATAGATGGCTATAGTCAAGTGCAAAACGAGGCCCAAGCAGTTGTTCTCTATTAGACGTCTGACTCTGACGGTTGCCGCCTGCTCCCTGGGATGGCTCCTTCCCTTTTTGTCCACACTGCGTTCCAAGCGCGGAGAAGTCATCAGAAGCTCCTTCTGCTGCGTTTAATTGTTCCATCATATTCGATCCTCCTTGGACTTTGGCATCTCGACTGTCTTTTTGTGGCCCTTAATGACGCAGGTTGTTGATCTTGGCATTCAATCCTTCAGGCAAATACCTCCAGGCGGGCAATGCTTGTTATCAAGAGCAACTGCCACGCTGATGTTCGGAGACAATATACGTAAAATATGCCCTACAACCAGGCGAGCTGCCAATCTCGGTGATGTCTGGGTTACCTTGAAGCGAGAGCTAAGTGTGGACTTATATATTGAAACATATTTGGACCACTCAATGGCTATAACAAATTTTGTCAAAGAAGCCGTGGAAACTATGCAAAACTCACTGGTGAGTTATCAGTGAGAACTAAGAAGTGACCATTACTTTTCTGATGTTTTTTTTTTTTTTTTTTTTTTTTTCTCGTTTTTGAACAGATCTGTCGCGGTGAATATCTCCAAGTTTCAAGGATATCCCACGGCTATCACAGCTCAGCAGATATGCTCACCCTCCACGTTTCTGTCATCTTGTGTGAAGAACCCCATAGATCTCCACGAAGCCTGCCGGGAAAATTGCCTCGCACAGTGCGAGGGTGTGCAGTTGATCCGCATCCACCGCCTGGAATTGACAGGGCAACGTTGTCTCACATTGAAATTCATATGAAAAGTCCCAAGCATTGTACCACTTGGAGCGTATTTTTGACAAAGCTGTGGCTGAAAGACCTTCCTAATGCACAGCTTTTGGAGAGCAGCGATGAAGATGAGACCAATTCCATGAAAGATACCTATATAGTTTCTCTGCGCCCGGATCATTCATCGTTGTTATCATCGCTGAGGCCTCGTGACAACTTAGACATACCCGTCGAAGATACCAGATGTCTGATTACTCAGAACAGGTTCCGTTGCCAGCCTTCTGATAAATGCTTGAGAGATAGTGGAAGCGAGTTGTTCGAGAGAAGCAGGAACTTAAATGAACTGCTGGGTCTTTCGATTCTATCGCTGCTCGCAAAACCTTCTCGCTCGCCGCATAATGAAGTGTACAGGACCGCATCTGAAAAAGGGCCTAGATTGTCTGAAATAGCTCCTGTCTTATTTAGATCTAGTTACTATGAGGTAAGTCCCTCGTTTAACAGCATTGCATTGATGGCTCATATATTGATCATTTCATATTAGAACGTTCAGCATAGGGCCGGACTCGTACCAGTAGTGGCCAAATCCATGGCCATGTTAATTCGGAGTCCTCTAAGCCCCGGCTCTAGGCACAAGATTGCTTCTATCGAGAGGAATCTAAATGCTCGGTATGAAGGTTGTGTCAATGCGGCAGATACAGACTGTGGGTCTGACTTTCGATCACTGACAAGATGCGTCGTGTGGACAGCTCTCCAAAAAGGCGCATACAAAGTCGGACAGTCCGCAAGGTCCATCAGAAAAAACTCTTCTATCATCCCCTCTGACGATGATAGCTGCCTTTTAACGGAGGGATCGGATTGTGGCTATATCTCTGGAGAAGACATGTTGCCCTCTACCATAGGTTCAGTGACTGGTGGCGATGATATTTTATCGGATGCAGATAATGAGAACGAACAAGATTCCGGCTATTGCAGTATTCCCTCAGCAAAATGGATATTCAATTCATCATCGGGCTTGAATGATCTCAGTGATGAAGAACGGGAAGAAATATTGGCAACCGATGAATCGGCATTAGAAGATTCTCAGCCTGACTTTTTTACGCTAGCAGATAGCGATGGCGAAGAAATTATATTCGGCTCTTCTTCGCTGGTGTACCGAACGGCATCAGACATGGTCACGGAGAGTGATGCAGCTAGTGAGACTTTCTTTCTTTCTGAACCAACTAGTCAACAGAATGCATGGGGGAACGAAAATCATGAAGCTATTATAGACGATTCATCCTCTATATCGATTCTTGCTTCTCCAATAAACCAGCATGCACTGGAAGATCTATACTGATATATAGGAGAAAGCAGAAGCTACTGGGCGCCGTTGTATGGTATTCCACCGACATGTGAGATTGAAGATATACAAATGGTGTCAAGATATATGTAAGTAGTTAGAATACCTAGGTAAATGAGACTTTGAAATTAGACTCATACAAAGAATCGGTCGGTGGTGGATCTAAGTACTTTGTATTTCCTTCATGATGGTTTCTGAGATCAAAGCCTAGGTATTAATCAGATTCCAAGGTTGATGAGAGATACAGCTTTTCCTAACCTCAGCTTTCTGTCCACAGAAGAAGAAAATGCTGTAAGCCAATATACACAGTCGTACAACGTCTAATCTGCATCCCCCATGTACCTCGGTACACCCAAGTTTCAAAATGAACAGTCTTCATAATTACAATCGTGCAAGATGAACGCACGTGGCGCCGTCAGTATAAAAAAATATTTCAAGTACTTTCGAAATACGTTTCTAACTTTTAGGCTAAGGAGAGGTTATAATAGGATCAGTTATTCAACTCTCCAAGACCGAACATCTTGATCGAATTATTCCATGCCCTGAACCAGAGGAGTTAGTGATGGCTGATCTTCAAGACTTTCATGATAAGATTGATGAATAATACGTACGCTTCACAAACTTCCTCGACTGAGACACCTTTAACCCTCGCGATAACATGCGCAACATGGGCGATTGCAGCAGGCTCATTACGACCCTTAACCATATACCCTTTCTGCCACTTCTCCTTCTTAACGGCCTTGGGCAAAGGCGGCGCATCAGTCAAATATTTAGCCGAAGCATGCGACGGTCTAATCTCACACCACGGACCGTCCGTCTCAATCTGTATACGGTCCAGAGGGATATGCTTGACAACCTCAAGATTCTCCTCCGTCTTCAGACTGCACCCATTCACACCAATATCCAGGCCCAGCTCAATCATTCGCTGCATCTCCTCTTTTGTGCCTGTAAAACTATGCACCAGTCCCCCCTTCGGTAATTGGGCAAGTCTTGGTTTTAAGAGTCGTTCGAAGTCGTCACTCGCTGCTCGCGAATGCAGGAATAGGGGTAGCTGGATTTCAACGGCAAGGTCGAGTTGTGCCTCAAACCATTTTAGTTGGGACTCCTTGGGGCTGAGGAATAGGCGATCGTAGTCGAGCCCAATCTCGCCAAAGGCTACTGTTTGTCCGGATTGTTTGGAGCTGAGCGCTAGGTCTCGGAGCTCGGCAAGGAGTTTTGATGGGCCTTCAGGATGCTCATCGAAGTGTTTGGCTTGACATGGATGGACGCCAACAGTGGCGTAACAAAATCCGGCTGTGTTTAGGGTCAGCGGAAGGAAAAGAAGAGGAGGTGAATCATGACATACGATAATCCTTCGAGATTTGAACTGCATGCTCTGATTCTTTCAAATCAGATCCAGTTACCATGAATTTGGCACAGCCTATACTTTGGGCTCGCTCTATGATATCTGCCAGATCGTCTTCGTGGGCTTGTTTACCATGATAGTTCCCTCTGAAAACGGGATCTCCTAAGTTGATGCCGATCTAGAGATAATTAGTATATTAATACATTCCTTGAATTTTTGAAGATACAAGAGAAGAAATGTATCATGCATACATCAACATATTTCAATGGCCTAATGGTGGTATTAGTTTCAGTGTCTCCCATTTTGGACACAGGGCGGCTCTGTTTCGAGGCAAAGGGTCTGGTGGCGTGTTTGTTTGGATAATTTACTCTACGATGCTGAAATATAGACTCCTGGTAAATATGGCCTGGGTTGAGATATGTGAGTTATACTCTGTCATTTCCCCAAGGAGAGAGGAGAGGAAACGTACTCTTGGAAGACAGCAGTAAAGACGTCAAAATTACTCGAGATCCCAAAGTAGAGGACGACGCAGCACCATGTAACAACACTATGTGATGGGGAAGTATAGGCATGAGAAAAAAAATGCACTAGGTAATAAGCAAGCTGGCTAGGATAAAATGCAATAATAGAGAAAGCAAAAGTAGGTCTTGTGCAGTCACGGGATCATGCTGCCAATTACCCAGGTAGGCAAAAATCAATTCTCTGTCTGTCTCTCAGTGAAAAAGTCAAAGCTCGGTTTTTGCGGGGGTTGTTCTCAAGCTAGCCGATTTGGGACAAGGTGCGTGCCTGCTTGCTGGGGAAACGTTTGATTGGCTCGTTTCATGTCAAGCAAATATTTACCTTCAATTTCGAGCTCCATCCCTACTACGTTTTTCCTTCATATGACAAAGGGTGTGAGTACCTAGGTAGTCTGCTATCATATATTTTTATATATTTTCAGCTTGTGCATTGCGAACAGAGACAACATCTTAACGACATGGCAGAGAAAATGCTAACAACCAACGCGTCGGAGAAAGTGCGATGATATATCGGTGAGCTCTCCGACCAACCCCATGTCTCCGCGCGCGCCAGATGTTGGGACGCTATGCTACCTAGGTATATCTACTTGAACGACATACCGTTTGTCAGAATTCATCTTTGAAGGGCTCTCATGTTTTGAACGATCTTCTCTTCTTCTTCTTATTGGCGATTGGAGTTCCATTTGCTTGCGATAATTGATCATCCGAGTACCTACTATAGTCACCAGCGAGCCTTATTGTTTTCAGATGACGTGGTAATTCAATTGTCCGAAGTAACAAGAATGGCGGCGAGCAAGCTACTTTCTGTTACCGAAATTGGAACACACAACACGCCCTCTGACTGCTGGCTTGTTGTCCAAGGCCAGGTTTGGGATCTAACTGAGTTCCATCACGAGCATCCCGGAGGTTCTGCTAGTAAGTCAGATATGATTTGTACGAACTAAGTTAGTAATCTGATATAGCAGCTAATTAGAGGCGAGGAATAAAAAGTCATTCTGAAATATGCCGGACGCGACGCTACAAAAGCATATAGTGAAGTACATTCACCATCCGTGATACGCAAACATTTACAGCCGGACAAACTCAAGGGAGCCCTGGATACATCTACGGTTGATGACGAATGGCTATCGCTATCATTATCGGAAAGTGGGAACACGCAGGGCATGGCGGATGGTGTTGAAGGGCCAAAGCCACCATTAGAGACAGTCATCAGTTCTCATGACTTTGAAGTTGTGGCCTCAAATACCGCAAGTAAAAAGGCGTGGGCATTTTATTCTAGTGCTGCTACGGATCTGGTCACGCGAGACGCAAACAATTTCTGCTTCAATCGGATATGGTTTCGTCCGCGAGTCATGAAAAATGTGCGGTCTGTCGATACACGGACGAGTATCATGGGTGTTGAATGTAGTCTGCCCTTATTTGCAAGTCCAGCAGCCATGGCAAAATTGATCCATGTGGACGGGGAATGCGCTATTGCCAAGGCATGTGAGCGTAAAGGAATATTGCAAGGGGTATGTACGACAAACAGATAACACCAGTGACTATAACAATCTCTCATGATTCTCTTCTTCTTTGCAGGTGTCAAATAATTCTTCCTTCTCCATCGAAGAGTTAGCCCAAGCGGCACCGAATGGCAAATTCTTTTTCCAATTATATGTAAGCCCAGACCGCGAAAAGTCAGCAGCACTCGTACGGCAAGTATCTTTGCTACCCCAATTCAAAGCCATACATATCACCGTCGATGCCGCGTGCCCGGGCAAGCGCGAGGCAGACGAGCGAGTCAAGGCAGATGAGAGCACCTCGGTGCCAATGTCCGATGCCCGGGCGAAGAACGACAAGAAAGGCGGAGGTTTTGGTCGCTTGATGGCTGGCCATATTGACCCTGGCTTGACATGGGATGATATTGCCTTTGTGCGAAAACACACGCATTTGCCAGTGTGCTTGAAAGGTATCATGTCAGCGGACGACGCCATATTGGCAATGAAGGCGGGCGTCGATGGTATTCTTTTGAGTAATCATGGTGGTCGTAATCTTGATACCAGCCCTCCGTCTATCATCACGCTACTTGAGCTTCAGAGACGTGCCCCCAACATCTTCGACCGCATGGAGGTCTATGTAGACAGTGGCATTCGACGTGGAACCGATATACTGAAAGCTGTAGCCTTGGGAGCGACGGCAGTTGGGATGGGTCGTAGCGTGTTGTTTGCAACGAATTATGGTCAGGAAGGCGTTGAGCACTTGATTGATAGTAAGTACACAAAGCCTTCAGTCTATTTCATTTTGACTTATTGCAATGTTTACTACCTAGTCATGAGAGACGAACTGGAAACCACCATGAGAAATACTGGATTAACCTCCTTGGACGAGGCGAGTCCCGAACTGGTCCATACCGGAGATGTAGACCATCTCGTTCCTACGAGTCGTCTACATCCATATGCGAGGAAGGTGGCCAAGTCGAGACAAAGGGGAACAGCCAAGCTGTAGTTACTTTGATAGAGCCAATAGAGACACGTAGTCATACTGAATAGACTTTGGTCTTGAGTGGACATTTCTCCGCCCAAACCATCGTATAACTAGAGACTATTGGCCTGTAGTCTACTCAAGATTCTTGAACAGCGGACGGGTGGAAGTTTTGTTGACCTTCCTGAGAATTATGGAGTACACAGCCACATACTCCGTAGGGCGCTTGTATAACGTAAATTATACCACGTCCAGAGCCAAATCTGGGGAAACACCACGTTGGTGATGGTGTCTGTGACACTGGTTTGAATAGCGCGTGACCAACCAGTCAACAGGCTTCGTTCACCGCCTCTATTTAGCTGCTTCCAGTATTTGTTTCAGACAATTCATAGAGTCATACAGACATTAAATTGATGTGTCTACCAGTTACGGAGTACGAGTTGCAAGTTTGTAAGCTAGTTGATCGGCGCCTTGTTTTCTAGGCTGCACAATATTGATCTACCCCAAGTCTGACTACGTAATGTATTTATGAATGCGGTCTCAAACTCTCAGCAATGCGTTGAATACCTTTGTGCAGCCAATCATGGACCAGGCTTTCTGTAATAATACGAACGGTAATTACGGATGGGTGATCCGCGCCAAAACGGAAAAGATCTCGCTGCCAAATCCCCGCACTGGGCCTCGGAAGCTCGCTCTGATTGGCCACATGCGCCCAGACACCGCTCCATTGTCCAATATCCATAAATAATACTCCGCACTGGTGGACGCAGGCTATTGATTTGTGCCCTCGATAGCTCGTGTTTCAAGAGTCAGAGAGGCGATAAAACAAGAGAGTGCTCTTTATGCCATACCTTTACGCCGGTCTGACAGAGATAAGGGTTCCTTTATAGGGAGAAGGATTGTGGCATTGCTTTGGGGGCCTCGGAGTAAGGAGGCCGGAAGTCCGACAGGCATAATTGCTACACAGTAGGAACTACCACATGCTGACGGACTCGGGTAGTTAGATTCTTGGATTGATTACATACTACGCAGTTAAATTTTGCTCCTCGGTGTACGGAAAGGATGATATGTAATTCCCGCGGTACCAGGGCATGTTTCCCGACATGTAACTATGAGTAATGTACGGTGCTTATGCACGTCGTGCTGTACAACTGACAGGCATTACCTATGTAGGGAATATAATGTGAATGACGAAGCCGCCATTCTTCAGTCTGATCCTTGGAGAGCAAACCATGGGAATGTTTCATTGGATCAAGCATGCAGACGAATGGACACACCACCACCCTCCATCTTGTCACCCAGACCACAACGCTAAATAGCCAATCGTCGATAATCATGTACCACTGTTTTGTGACTTGGCTATCGGCGTCCTTCTAATATCTCCTGTGCTTCCATTGGCCTACCAAAGCGCTCACCGATAGAGCCGGCATTTTCTCACCACTGAGCCCGTAAGAGAATTAGCCAGGTGTAAAATCATTGAATAATGCATATTGCGATAACTAGCCAGCAGCAGGATTGATTGCTAAAGCGGAATTCCTGGGCAGCGCCCCCCCCCCCCTCCCTTCTTTGCATAGAGTCATTCCACCCGGATGCTCGAAAGGGACTTGGCGGCGTTCGCATTCGGCGAGACCTTCTTTTTGTCGCCTGACTTTTCGGGCTTCTAGATTGCGCCCGCCTGGCTCCAATCGCCCCACTCCAGGTCTCCACCCAGCAGCTTACTTACTCCGTCCTAGTTGCATCTCGCCCTCCCCCAACTGTTGAATGCTGAGCATATCTTCCCTGTTCCTTTCCTCTCTTCTTCTTTTCTCTTGTCTCCTGCTGTCTGCTCGTAGCACTCTCCTTCATCAGAACTCATCACGCTGTATACCACATACATACGCATCAGGTATGTCATTGCCGATACATAGTCATGCATTTGACTGCTAACCTCGATCATTGAAATATTTGGCAGGTCTTAAATATTTTCTGAAGATTATCAATCTCAATGGCTGCTCCTCGCTCAACGTCCCTGCGTGCCTTGCGTGCTCTTTCGCAGCACCACACCCCTGCTACGACGCTTTACTGCCGTCGCCGCCTGCACATTACTGGTGCCTATTCCGCCCAGCCTGTTGATGGCTCCGACAAGTCTGCCGCATATGGCTCTCGTACCCTGGCGGACCTCAAGAATGAGTGCCAGAGACGAGGACTGAGAACCAACGGTTCGAAGTCCGAGGTATGTGATGTCGACATCAAAGCTTGGATTGGAAGAAGCAAATCAAAATAACTTACCATTTCATTTCCCCCATCAGCTCGTTGACCGTCTCTCGAACAATGACGTGCTCTACACCCGGGCCTTCAACATTGCCAAGACCCGAATCAATGGCAGTGTCTTTGGCGGGTACGTACTACTCTCATCACCCGTGGCTTAGATATAGTTATATAGGGCTGTGCATTAACGGCATCCAGACCCGCCGAGACCCGCTCCTTCAATACCTCACGCGCCAGCAAAGCTGTCAATGACTCATCCACCCTCGACTTCGTGTACATGCCGTCCATTGCCTCCCTTGAGGCAGAGCCAAGCGTATCCCAAGCCGTCCCCATTCTCGGCGACAGCAGCAGCGCATATGGCTCCGAATCTTCCAATCAGCCCTTTGGCTGGGCACCCATGAAACCGCAAATCCATGCCATTGGCGAAACCGGCCCTGATCTAGCTGCCAGTCCCATGAGCGAAGTCGTGGACAATCATGCGCTAGACATCGATCCGTTCAAACTCACCGAAACCGTGGGCCGTTCGCGCGCAGGCGAGAACGAAATGAGAGAGAAAAAGAGGCTTTTGGCTGGCCAGGGTGATGAAAAAGGCGTCATTGGCGAATTGTTTAGTGGTATGGTTGACGACATTTTAGGTGGCTCTAAACCTGCTACTAGGACTACCAAATAAATCATACCGTACCTTTTGGGAAGCTTGGTCACTCCCTTTCTGTTTGTCATTGATTGTTGTGTTCTTATGTTCTTTTACATATACACTTAACTACACAACAGTTTTCTGATGTCATGCTCGCAGAGATGATGATTGCCATCGTTGATCTCTGCAGGAGTGATCTGACAGTTTCGGTGCTATGCTGCATCTGATTATCTGAACTCGTTTTTTGGAAGAGAAAGAAGACGATGAAAGATTGACATTGATTGACTCTGTGGCTTGTGAAGTTTACTCTGACATAAGTCAAAGAAGTACAAACTACATATTAAAAATATTAATTCTTAAATAAATTAATCATTTCTACTGGCATTACCTATATACATCGCATTCATGACAGATAAATACTCAGCAAAACAGAACGATACCAAATGCTTCTAAGACAAGAAGATACAAGCGCATGTCAATCTCAAAAAAAAGAAAAAAAAAAAAAAAAAAAAAAAGGAAAAAAAAAAAAAAAAAAAAAGGTTCGCATGGGAAGACCAAGATAATAGTTAGCGCTGCATGGCTAAACAGGAGGTGTATGTTAAATGGGGTGCAATGAAGAGAGAAACAGCGCAAAATATATCAGAGGTAATAGTATTCAGATACAAGCTGCAACGCCATAGGTCGTAGAGTGAAAGCAAGAGGGAAAAAGGGCCGTGAGATGTAGAGGATATTGGTAGTAGGAGGATGGATTAATCGAGGTATATGTATAATTGAGCACGGGAAGCGATGTCACAGTATAATATAAAAGCTGATGCAACTCGGAGGTGAATCTTCTCTATCCGAGTACGGCAGCAAGGATAATGACCGTCAAAATAATAGCAAGGATGATCAGGAGACAGCACATCTTATTCCGGGCATTCTTCTGGTACCGACTCGCACTGCGCAGCTCGACGTTCGCCCCGCGTGTGTCAGTGGTAACATTTTCGACATTCTCACTGATAACGTCGAGCTGACCGCCTTGTTCATGCACTATATGTGCCACATCGCGGAATAGTTCATTCAATTCGCCGACGCTCTGTTCGATATTCCGAATCTCAGACTCACGCTCAATGATTAGAGACTCTTGGAAATCGACCTCATCCTGGTTCGCCAATCGAGGTTGCTGTTCAAGTTGCTGTAGCTGCTGCTGTTCCCGGCCTTCTATTGTCGCATGATGATCGCCACCTTCTTGCAACGCGGCCCTTGTAGCAACCGCTGAAGCTCGCTGCTTTTCTAGAGCACGGCGTTGGACAGTCTGGAACTCGTCCAACGCGGCTTTGAACTCGGACGAAAGCTTTTGTTGAGTCCATTTTTGAGAAGGCTATAATTGTTAGTTAATGTTAAGAGACGAGCACAGATAATTGACAAATACATTTTCCAAGACTTACATTGACATCTTCCCACGTCTGCACCTTCTTGATGCCCTCTCCTGCGTCCTTGAATCCAGATCGCGTCTCTTCCAGAAGGTTGTGAACTCGCTCCCGCACTCTGTCCGTATCACGTTTGGTACCAAGCAGTGCAATCTGCCTGGACAAATTCGAAATATTCGACGTCAGCGTGAAGAGTTGGTTGGAAAGGTTCTCAGTAAACCGCGCAAATTCCGGGTCATCCTGATACTGAGGATCGTCATCCCGCCGCCAGGTTGTCGGCTGCGATTCCAAGGAGTTGAGGCGGTCGTAAGACATGATCAAAGAAAGTGGGAAATAAATCGTGAGGAAATGCTGCACCGCTGAAACAGTAGGATAATATGAGGTTCTTTTGTTGTTGCCTCGATCTCCTGCTGATAGAGCAACCGCCTGGCCCGCTCAGGTGACGTTGGAACTTGGAAGCGGCTCGACAGGATCCGCGCTATGCTTCTTCAAGACTAGACTATCATCTCGCTGCGCAATTCACGTGACATAGCTTGTTGCTGTTTTGGTTTCCATCCCGCAAAAAAGTATCCGCATAATAAATAGCTTCACACGCTCGTTTTCACTGCTCTGGTGCTCGCTGTCTATCCAACATTGGCCATTGTGCCATATCGCAAACTTCGTTGGGCTAGCTGTCTGGCTATAACATACTTGGATCATGCGATGACTGATTGCCTCAGATAAACTGCATCCTGCGCTCTTAAAATGGCTGCTCCGCCTCCCAGGCCGTACAGGCGAATTTTGACTTCGGCCTTACACCGAAGATTTGTCCATGCCTCGGCTATGACCCTGCTTATGGACTATATTGTCGCTTTTGTCATTGGAACAAAGACATCATGTTGGTCTCCCATGTTTCTGTACTCGTAAATAATGCTCAAGGCTAATGCAATATCTTCATACTAGTATTCTGGTCATGGTTCCCTCTCGGAGCCTGTGGCATACGTGCTCTCCTCCTTTTTATCTCTACGTTGGCCGTATTTTTCATTCGGGTTGCTCAAATGCACACTGGTCCTCGAACTACGGCTTCCCCGATATCTGCCTTGCGCTACACATTCCCGCTGCATGCTTTGCAAACCCTAGGGTGGTACCTCTTCTCAGCGTGGTGGTTCAGTGAAATTTACCTGTGGTCGGCTCCAGCCGAAGCTGATTTAGGATGGGTTAAGACAGGCGGGTAGGTACTCCTGCTTTTATTGCGTGCAACCCTCACCAGCTAGGTAGCTAACAAATTCATCAGACTCAATAGCCGAACGACTCTTAACGAAAGGTCGATATACCTTCACACGTACCATATGATGCTGGCAATTTCTCAAGCCGCCATTCACTTGTATTGCGATTATGATCATCTTCCTATCCCGGTAGTCAAACGCAGTCCCGAGTCAAAGGATCAGTCCACGCACCCCGTACAGCCGGTCATGAAGAGAATACGGGGCAGCGTAATTGGAATCATGATTGACGCTCTAAGAAAAGGATTGGTTGTCACCTTAGCCAGCCCGTTTATCTACGTTCTTTTTCTGCGACGCTCGGCATGGAGCTTTTCTCTCTACTTTGCGAAACTGTTTTGGAACTTCTCCAGAACAGCAGCAGATCCCCCAGGGACGGTGCCTCCGGCATTCTATACACTTTTTATTCGTCAGATAATTTCAGGAGGTTGCCTTGTCTTCCTGTGGCAGATGGCGAACTTGTTTTTCACGGTGTTCATCGCTCAAGGACCTATAAAGAGAGGACAGCCGCTCACTATTGATTCGAAGGACCCCAATGGAAGCTTGATCAATGGACTGAAAGCCAAGAAAGATATCGTCAAAAGTTACGCTTTTTGGGAGCTCTGCTTCATAAGCCAGCGTTTCGCTGACCGCCGCAAAGTAATCTTTAATGACATTGAGCGTGACGGCGGGCCTGCCTGGAAGCAAATGCTAGAGGTGTCAGTTGAAAACATCAATGGCATTACTAGTCGAATCAACCATTACAAAAATCCAGTGTTACCGACAGCGGCTAAAGACCCAAGCATCACATACCCTCAAATCCAATCTCTACCCCAATTGACTGAGGCGCCGAAGCAGGATAATATATTTGCTCCTTCGCCTAAGGCAAATGGGTTTGGGCAATCTTTTGGAGCGACAGCGAAGTCTTTTGGGCAATCGCCTGACTGGACTCCGGTCGCAAGAGCCAGAGCCAAAGACGCATTCAGCCAAGCATCCAATGCGATCTTCAGTCCAGAACGAAAGAAAAGACTTCTAGGGGGAACTGATGAAGTAAAAATGCTCACTGGACCGCAGGCAACATCAAAATCATCTTTCAATTTATCTTCAATTCCATTCGTCGCACAATTTCTGCGGTCCCCAATTGGCACACCTTTCAGACAAACATATGCCCAACGTCTGCGAGGCATTGTCTTTGGCGAGCCCCACGGTCAAGTTGCATGTATTGTTGATGCAATCGAATCCGTAACCCGCCTCCTAATTGCCAGTTTAGAAGAAGATAGGCTTGGCCAGGTTCAAACCGATGTACCAGGAGTTGTCCGTCTCTTCACCGAAACCATCCTAACACTGGAAGATTTCGTCCAGAACGGACTCGGTATTCACTGGAGCGATGTTACTTTTCCGTCACCCAATAATAGTGACCCCGATGCCCAGAAGAGGGCTAAGTATGTCCCTGAGGTTGACATTGTTTTGACCTTGCTCAGGACCTCTCTTTCCGATCTGCTCGCTTCCTTTGAAAGATACAGTCGCGGCATAAGGTTACAAGCGAAAGATATTAGACTTGCAAAAGCAGCGGCGGGATTGTTAGACAAGGGAGATGATGACCATGATGACCGTGATGATCCATTCACATCAAAGCATTGAAAAATGCTCAGGGAAAAAAACATTTCTGAAACTTATTCATACAGTTGGGATACTGTAAGCATACGAGACGAGATAATTGATAGCATGTAGAAGACCAAAAAGATTATAATCAACTGTACTACTATTCGTCACATTGCGAATACCACTCGATTGTATTCCAAATATTCCATGCTTGTCTTTGAGTCGGCTGCATATACAAGCAAAACATCTACACAGGTTCACAATGTGTACCTACAAGCGAAATAACAATCTTTATATTGCCTTTCTTGTAGTGATCAGCGTTTAATGGTCTTACTCAAGGATATTGTATGACTTTGGATACGACTCTGAAATTCGTGTCAGATTCTAGTCATGTAAGCAGATAGGTAAGGCTGAAAGAAACATACCGAGGATAGACCGATCAAATTCTTTCACGTTCGTGAATCCACCAACAGCCATGAGAATATCCAAATCTGCCAATAACGACTTCATCACATGTCGCACGCCTTCCTCGCCCATAATACTCAGTCCCCAAACCCATAAGCGGCCAACGAAGACGAACTTGGCGCCCAGAGCAAGCGCCTTGACCACATCACTGGCGCCACGTACTCCAGAGTCAAACATGATATATATCTTGTCACCTACAGCGTCGACAATCTTCTCTAGCGCATCCAAACTCGCAATTGCGCCATCCACCTGTCGACCAGCATGATTGCTCACGACTATGCCATCGACGCCGTACTCAACCGCCTTCTTCGCATCAGCTACGGACTGGATACCCTTCAATGCAAAGGGACGACCGTTAGAGATTCTCTTCCATTGCTGAATGAGCCAGGGAATTTTTTCCCATGACCATGCCCTTCCGTGCCAGATAGAGTCAATCCACAAAGTTGACGCCGCAACAGGATCCTTCTTGATATCGATACCTTTCTCTCGACAACGTTTCTGAAATACGGGGTTGCTGAGCCCTAGTCCTGCACCCATTCCACGGTAAAAGGCATAGTTCGAATTAGCGACATCGTCATGTCGCCAGCCCAGCTGCCATGTGTCGGTGGTGAGAATGAGGGCGTCAAAGCCTGACTTCCAAGCCCTTTCCATTAACGATATAGTCAACTCATCGTCATGGGGCATGTACAATTGGAAGAAACGTGGTCCCTTGTCACCGTTTGCGGCTCCAACATCCTCAATGGCTGTACTACCTGCCGTCGAGAGGCAATAGGGTAGATTAAGTTCGCCGGCGACTTTTGCTACTGGTATTTCGGCGGATGAGTTGTAAATAACATTGATGCCGATGGGAGCAAATCCAATAGGGGCTGATACTTTGTGGCCCCAGATTTCGGTGGTCGTGTCGCGTAGGTTGGTGTCGACTAACATACGAGGAATGATTTGATGACGATAGAAGGCTTGACGGTTGGCGGTGTGTGTTGTCGAAAGACCTGCATTAGAAGATGCATAGTACCTGTAATGTATTAGATACAGCATAGTTGTAGTATCAACATGTCAACTGAAAATTACCACCCGCCCAGACTAAGTTTCTCTTTCGCTTTTTCCTCTAATGCCTTGGGATCTATAACGATCGGACGACTTCATTAGCCTTTATGATCTCAGCGGCTTCTCCTCAAGACTAGATCATAATAGCTCACGTGTATTGAAAGGCGGTGTCAGTCCTTCATTTGCTTTCCAGAAATTCTCCCTCTGATAGAGAGCCCATTGTGGCGTGGATCGTTTCTGGATGTTCGGGTTTAATGGATCGCTCATGTTTATTATGGTAGTTCAAGATAGCAATAGTGTCGTTATTGAAGTGTTGGCGAGAGATCAAAATCGAAGCAGGGACATGAGTGTATGATTTTATATACACATACCTAGCTGTTGTGTATGTCTATGTACATCAATGACTTCATTCCGACGCGTTTTCTACAAGTCCCGTGCATGATGTAACCCTAAATAATTTCCTAGAAAGGCAATGCCAGACTCTGATAATGTGTTTCATGAATCTACCGATCACCCGCTATTACCGACCATCCGCCACAACCAATCACTGCTGTATGACATAGTAAATGGCCATCTTTTCACATAGCTATGTAATACAGAGTGATTGGTTGTGGCGGATGGTCGGTAATAGCGGGTGATCGGTAGCACCGTGGGACTACGTTGATTTGAAGTCCTCATCCTACTTTCCCCTTTTTCCTGTGGTTTTAAGAGCCACGAGTCAAATAGTTAGTATCTTATCAGACACAGTCCTGCTCATCCAACTCAGCAGTATATAAGATGACGTCATTGAGAGATGTCCGTGCAAAGAAACCTTCGTTCGGGAAATATCGGCACAACCCTAATCCGAGCCGATTTTGACCCGAATTTATTCAACATTTTAATATGCATCGCCAAGACTCAAGTCTCCATATATCATAAACGACTTTTGATATACAGGGTCAGATCCTGCGATTGTATAAGGAAAACAGTGCAATCATGCTGTCCCCCGCGCGAAAAATAGCTCTTAGGAGCTCCAGGTCTGCTACATCCCGTGCAGTGAGGAAACCAACGACGGCACCAGTTTGCGCAAAGCAAACAGAGGTAGCTAAGCGTTGCTTTCATGCGAGCCCCTCGACTTCTTTCTACAAGCAAGCATGGAAGCCAATGCGTGTCAAAATCCCCTGGGTCGATGCTCTAGCTCAAAGTCAAGAACAGGCGCGAGCAGGTAGAGCGGCCTCAAAAAGTCAGGAAGAAGAGCCCTTACAGCTAGACCTGACACCGAAAAGGATGTCTGATAGTTACTTTTCTGCTGTAAGCCAAAGGGATGCCCTGGGTACAATTTTAGTGTGCTCTACTAACAAGCACTCGTTAGGTACTCCCACTCGCTGAGGATAAATGGCTGTTGGATACATATCTCAATGCCTCTGGGCGCATTCGGTAAGGACGGACTATATCTATCCGTTTTGAAAAAAAAAGGCATTTATGATTTACAGCATACAAGGCTAGGTACACTTTTCATGGATTTGGATGCCCTGGCTGGCGTTGTTGCCTATAGGCACACTGGTGATTCAGTGGCAACTGTTACAGCCGCTGTTGACCGGATCACTCTCCTCAATCCATTGAAAGAAATTTGCAATCTTAAATTGAGCGGCCAAGTGACTTATGCCACGGGAAGGTCAAGTATGGAGATTTCTCTACAGGTCGCCAAGGCTCCTGCTAAAGGAGAGGAGGTAAAACCTGAAGATGTCTTGATTACGTGTGCTTTTACTATGGTATCACTGGATCCGAAAACAAAGAAGTAAGCAAGAATTCTTCTCTTTTACTTCAGAGCTTTGCTAATCGAATAGCAGGCCCGTTGCTGTTGCACCTCTCCTTCTTGAAACAGAAGAAGAGCGCCAACTGTTTCAGAGAGGTGAAGAAAATTATAATGCAAAGAAAGCTTTACGCAAAAGAAGCCCTGTTGAACAGGCGCCTGACCAACATGAAAGCAAAATGATTCATTCTATGTGGACAGCACTATCCCCGTATCAAAGTAAGTTAGATAAATAAACTTCCCCGCCAAACCCCCCCTCCTTTCTCCCTTGTCAAGCTGGTAGCAATTGAGTTATTGTTGTTAAATCTACATGTCTAACTTCTCAATCCTTAGCTCCGGGAACATCACTTGAAGGATCATCGCGTATCCAAAACATGGACAGAACAATACTGAGATCAGCCATGATTATGCAGCCCGAAGATCGCAATCGACACAACTTCATGATATTTGGCGGATTTCTTCTCCAGCAGACATTCGAGCTTGCTTTCTGCTGCGCTGCCTCCTTCTCCCACACTCGCCCAACCTTTGTGTCTCTTGATCCCAGCACCTTCGAGAACCCCGTCCCTGTAGGCAGTGTACTTTACCTGAGTGCAACAGTGGCTTACACGGAACCGCTTATACGAACTAACAACCAAGACAACAACAGGACAACACCATACACGAAAGTTCATGTGCGTGTAGACTCAAAGGTTCGTGATGTCGAGCATGCAACCAAAAAGTCCACCGGTGTTTTCCATTATACTTTCCTTGTGCCCAATGAAGTCCAGGTTATGCCGACCAAGTATGCCGAGTATATGGTTTGGCTTGATGCACGCCGTAGGGCACATGATCTTGATCCGATTATTGCTTCTCGGTTCACAGAGGACTCTGCTTCGGCGCGCATGGATGGTGTTACCGAGTAGGTAATTCGGGGCGGACTTTTACTTGTGACAATGTTGTTTTTAGTACTATATTAATATGTTTTATATCTGTATTCTTATATTATCTTCTCACCATCTTTCAGCCTTATTTCAATTACTTGCCATACCTACAAAAGATCACTCTTATGACTCCCGGCTCTTCTAAGCAAAGGCTAAGAATATAAGCTGAATATAAATTTCTGGCAAGGTTAGTAGTCGCTGTATAGCTCTTTCGAATACAGAACGGAGCTGATACTATACATCTATTTTAATAGTCGCCGGGGGTAATAGTTAGGTCTTCCTTCCAAGATAACCTACGCTTGTTCTACGACTAGAAGCAACACGCGACAACCGTGCGTAAATCGCCGGTTGGTGCCCACTATTCACACTGGATGAATTCGGACAAAGAAGCCATTGACTCTGCTGCGGAGGCTTGTCTGTTGTGGTTTCTTTATTCACTTGGGAGAAAGTCCAGACCTGCGGGGCTCGAGGGCTATGAAGGCACTTATACGTACTTATTTCTCCTACTGCAACTTGATTGAAGCCATTCTTCTCATTCAAAAAGTCTGATTTCTCTATGAGATATATTAAGCAAGATGGATGCTATCGTTGCTCGGGTCAAAGAATGGGCTACAACTGCCAATGAGGCAGACCGCAAGAAAGTGATAAGCATTTTGCGCAATTTGAGCTACGCTATTGACACACCGTATGTCGGTCTGGTAAGCCAATTATATCTTCAAATACCATATTGGGGGAGCTGGTCACTTATTTCTGAAGCACCTTCAAATCACGGTTGCTCGTTTTGGCATTGAGCTGGGCATCTTCGCAGCTCTAAACGAAGCAAAGGAACCGCTCAGTATAGCAACCCTAACCCAGAAGTCTAGATCTGCTCCAGAAATTCTCAGTATGATGATAGAAATCAAAAGGTTTACTTGGACTATGGATCTGAATTATGTATAGGTCGTATCCTGCGTTTTCTGGCCTCTTACGGTCAAATAAATGAGACCAGCAAGGATCACTTTAGCTCAAAAAATTTACCAGGGGATATCCATCATTCATGAAAGCCTTCATCCATTCATCTTATCATAACAGGTTATTGCGGTCTAACCAAGATATACAGATTTGACACCGTAGGACCTGTTCTGCACCAATTGCCAGATTTCCTTGCTGAGACGAAGTACGAGGATGTCACAGAGAATGACAAAATAGCATTGCAGAAGGCATTTGGTACAGATCTCACTGGCTTTATTTGGTTTCCGAACCAGCCCCAGCGCTTTGGATACTTTTAACAAACAGGCCATGACAGTCCAACGTGCTGGTGCTGTCAACTGGCTGTCTGCATTCCCATTTTAAGACCAATAAGGCAAGATTCAGAGCAATAATGTATTTTTAATTATTTGAGATGGCTTTGGGCATCAAGCACTTGCAGTCGAGGAAGCATTTTTAGAACTTGCAGGCAAAATAATGCTTCAGGACCTCCTCCAGACCCCTGCATAGGTACCAGCCATTGATGGCATTTCCTACGAACTGCAGGTGGTATAAGGTATGGGGTATCACACAACTAATTTCCATATTCTCGTTTAGACTAATGACACTGGACAGGCTCCAAGTTCTACTACCTTGGCAACATCCTACATGACTGGCCAGATGACAAGTCAGTCGTATTCTGAAGAAGATTAGTCCTGCCCTCGGTCCAAACTCCTGTATCCTCATGAATGATATGGTACTTTCTAATGAAAATGGTTCACTGCAAGCAACACAGACGGATTTGACCACGATGGCTGCCTTTGGCCCTAGGGACCGTACAGACGAACAGTCGCGTACTATACTTGACGAGGCTGGACTGCGAACCCTTGAAAATTTCCCGTATACAACACCACTGGATGACTCATTTATTGTCGCTTTGCCAAAATAGAGCTTAAGAATTGTGGTCATTCTATAATTCTCCTTTCTACTTTCTTTTTGTGGTCAGTAATGACGAGTTGGGTGGTTCGATTAGCGGTAGCAAGAACTGTCTTCATGCTTTTTTCTGATTTTTTCGAATATATTAAACTTCATACCAAATCACGCTATTGTGTAATATATCCCCTAGGTATCAAATGCCTATTCCATAATAGGTCGATTCAGTAAGTTTCGGCCGGCCCGATCCGTACCTAATCGACCGCCAAATTTTTAAACTAACATCGTAATTCGTATGTACTACGATACTTAGTATTATATAGGACAATACCTGAATCATAAAGCATATGGTGAGTTTTCCGGGGTGGCATACACGGCGAGAATTCAAATCTTAAACCGAGTAATGTATGCTAAATCCCCTTTTCCCACTTCACTCCCACAGTTCTTTAGAATTTTATTCTTAATGATCCATTTGTTGCAAGTGCATCAAGTATGTAACCAGGGAGAATGCGAGTTTGGATCAAGACAGGAAATTCAACATTTCATGATAGAAGCAGCAATGCAAGGATTGGCAGCGCACGATACCCAAGAGATCTTTCTTTGTAAAGTTTGCGGCAAGACAGGAAACGTGAAGAGATGCGAAAGGTGTAAAGTGATGGCTTATTGTGGAAAGGACCATCAAAAGCCAGACTGAAAAGTTCACAAGAGTATTTGCAAAGTATTGTAAAGGTATGTTTTCTACTGAATCATATCTTTGTGTGGTTCTTAACACCTGAGCTTGCAGGGAACAAATACTATACATAACGGTGAACAAGACACGACAAGAAAGCTTGAATTCTGGGAACTGGCTATGATTGCTCAATTTTTCCGATGGGGCTATCGAATACTAGTCTTTCACGATATCAGGGGTCGATCTTCAATCTTAAAGGCTATTCCATGCGAGGAAGTTGATACACCGGAGATAGAATTGGTCGACAAAATAATGCACCAGCTAAGGTCTGCTGAACAGGGGATCGGAGCATGACGAATTTCTTTCTTCCTTTTCTCTCATTAGTATTGATTGATTGGTTTATTTGCTGTTTGAGCATCGTACTATTAGAATATACCTATGTGATGCCTATCTCTGTCACTCACGTTCTGTGCTTGGATATTCTTGTTTGCTTTTTTGGTCTGTTTTCCTACAGTTTATTTGTAAAGAATGCGACATTTCTATTAGGCAGGGATTATGCTGCGGGAAAGCGTGTTTTCCGATAGAACACCAGTGGTCATAATGTTCAGTGTAGTATTTCTCCAGTAACCGCGCATATGACAATGCCTAATGCACTTTACATTCTAGCCATATATCCTCCATTTCGTTGGCGCCTCTCCATCCTGAGGAGTCTCTGGCCCCGGCAAAATCTCTCTTAAGAGCTCATTAACTCCCAAATTCATCTCAGCACAGGCCTTCCACTGTCGCGGATACCCAAGACTAACCTCCTCGAACCGGCATCCATTTTTCCAGTCCGTCCGCCGGATATGCAAATGCCCACTTATAACCACCTTTGCATTAAACCTCTGATGCCAGTCATTCGTCAAAACTGTACCACACCATATAGTAAAGCGTGGGATATATTTAAGATTTACAAGGTCCTTCCGAAGCGGCCAGTGATTGGCAATAATAAAAGGCAGCGATGGGAACCGCGACTTTGCAGCCTCAAGCTTGCTTTCGAACTTTTCAACGAGAATTTTGCACCACTCCTCGCGACTGGGGTGAGGGTCTGGATGGAGCAAATATTCATCTGTTGCCTCGATGTTGTGCTCTCTTGCCCACGGAACTGCGTCTGTAGAGCAATCAGTATCACTGTGCGCTGCTGGTTTGTTTATGATACGAGCAGTTGACTGATACACACAACCTCGCAGGTAGATACAATCTTAAGAGCTCACTCATCTCTTATAGAGAAACCTCTTCAAGCATGTATCGAGAGATGCATTAAGAATCACAGGCAGAAACTCGACGTACTCTGTAAAGTCACATCACTAGGCCTGAACGAATAGTCGTACAAAGTAAAAATCGGCGCAACCACAGCGGGACCACCCTGGCCTTCCCACACGACAAAATCGTCTTCAGGAGTAAGAACGTCATATAAGCGCGCTACTTCAACGCATTGCTGATACTTGTTCTCGCCACGGACATCAGCACTAGATCCCGATGGCAGCGAGTACAGCTCGTGGTTGCCGGGACACCACCATACGGTGTCGAAGCACTTAGTGGCTATAGAGAATGCTACTTGCAGATGCTCAATGGTCTCTCCGATGTCGCCGCATAGAATGAGGCCATCGCCGGGATGCGGCTCTAGGTCCGACCAGGCTGTTCGGTTGCTGGGGAATGAGACGTGGATATCGGCAATGGCGTATAGCTTGCCGGTTGGGGCTTTTCGTTTTTGGTGAGTCTCTGGGCTATTAGACATCTTGTCTTCCCGACTCTGTTTATTTGAATAGGTGAATGATAATGATGAATGAATGACACGTCAACCCGCCCTTGCAGCAAATGTATATCCACTAGGCCAATTTGGGGCTTAGTATATAGTTGGCGATAAGTTTTCAGCACGTGCTGGGTTCGAAATCGGAAGATTAATTTACTACGTAACTTGTGAATGCATAGCTGCTATGTAGTTAAAGTGCTTCTATGTAGATAACCAAGTAATGATATAGTCATCTATGTATAATCGAGTATGTAATATGTACAATTCACCCTCAACCAATCCTAATATAATGTAGCACCACCCGCCCTTCAACAAAAACAACACTTTTATAGATTGATCCATTTTATGATCCCTTGCACAACAGATCAGGTGACGGCCTTTAAAGTATATATGTATATATAAAATGGTCGACTTCTTTTCTTATCGTAATTGTCGAAAAGTCATTGTGTTGTGTTGTGTTCATCATCTTGTGTCTCAATCAGACACAAATCGGCCGTAGAGCAAGAAGCCCATGCCTATATGCTGGCTCTTTTTCCAAGTATAAATAAATCTCGCGTATAATCAACATCCATATCGTTAATAGCTAGGCTAGATGATCAAAGCCTTGACTGCAGCCAAGTCGCACCAATTTTCAGAATCACGTACACCAATGGATACGTATGAAGAGAGATAAAAAACTGCATAAATGCATTTGTTGAAAATCAGGATGAATAATCAGGTAAAACTCAAGTAGTTTAAGATTCGTTCATAACTTCGTTAATTGTGCTTGATGATAACTTTGTGGAGCCTGCTCCATTCGCATCAGACCTCGTGCTGCTGCCTTTTTCGCTGATAATCTCAAGTCTCGACTCCGACTGAGGCGGTTCCTCTTTCATGCAAGCATTTTCGAGAATGTTGGTCCACTTTCCTGGCGTGCCTGCGTGACTATGCTTGAGATGTTGTCGGAAATGGTCCGCGCGGAAGAACTTTTTAACGTTATTGCATTCGCCAAACTTGTGCATGCTGGTCAAATGCTCAAACCGCTGATCCCAGTCCGGCTGAGGATTGTTGGGAAATTCCTCGCCACAGTAACCACATGTGTCGTGAGAGGCGCCCATGCTCGTCTGAGCTGCAGGTGATGTTGAAGGATGGAAAGCGGATTGGTAGCTCGAGAGTGCCGCACAAGACCACGAATGACGTCGTAGGTGCAGTGAATTTTGGTGACGCTCTGCCTCATTTTTGTTCTTAAACCGGTTCTTGCAAAATTGGCATGTGTACTGTTTTTCCAACTCGTGGGTCCTACGGCACACAAAATTAGCCCACCGTCGGGAACGGAAAGAGGATCATTTATAGCTTACCGGAGCTCCTCTTGAGTTTCAAATTTCTTGGGCTTCTTCGGGCAACAATCGCAAATGTACAAACCTCCCATTTTGGAACCACCGCTCCTCGAGCCGCCGATCCCTGATTGCAAGGAAATCTTACGGTTCGATAGGGATGTCTTTGAATCTCCTCCGTTGTAATATGACACCTTAGAACCAGGCAAACCGTGAATGGATCCGCCGGGACTGGGCTGATTCAAGGCTGTTTTATCATGAAAGTGGTCGCTCTCTGACTTGGGAGAAAGCCCTCCAGAGGACATACGATCATATGAGGAGACACTTGTAGCTGCTGAGAGTCCGCTTGAAGAGCTTAGGGACGCAGATGTTCGCCAACTGCCGGAAGACATAGAGGATAATGAACCGTGACTCGGTAGATGTCGCGAACTTGGAGGAATATGACTTGTGAATAGATTTCCGCCTGCTCGTCGTTGCGCAAGATCGCTATTGCTAGTCGCCTTGTGAAGAGCGTGACGGGTTTCGATAATAGGTTCACGTGGCGGTGACGACGCTCTCCGTTTCATTCCGTGCTGTCTAGACATAATATCAACGGCTGTATGCGTATGGTCGGTCAAATGTTGGCGTAATTGATCATTGTCGTCCTCGCATTCAACATCTGGGAATACGCTCTGTTCTTGGTACGGTCGACCAGAACGAGAGAAAAATGAGAAGGTATCTTCCGATTGAGGAGTCACAGTCCCCGTCTGTCTTCGGGTCGAGTAGCTGTCGAGCTCAATACCTGTAGATGGCGCGCTGCTTTCGACACTGGGGCTGCGATATTCCACGGTATCTTTCCATGAAGCTTTTGATCTTGGCGAATGACCACCCGGGGAAACCGCATAATTCACGAGACTATTAGACTGTTCAAACATCGAAGATGGCTGATAGCTTGTTCCTAAGCTGGTGGAATGAGAAAGTGATGCAGCAGTTTGACCTCTGGATTCGAATGCCGGTACATTCGATGCGCGATGTGGAGAATTAGTTTTGCCAATCTTAGACAATAGGTGTCGATCGTAGCTGTCTGAAGAGCTCATAACACATCGCCGGGAAAAATCACGTTCACCCTGTAGACTTTTTCTTCCCAGATCTATTAGCCTACAGACATTAAATATATTGATTATCATGGCGTTTATATCTTTTGCGGCATACGTAGATTGCATGATATACTTTAGGTAAGTAAGTTGGAGTAGGGGGCAGGAAAAAGATCCACTTACATTGGTTCCGAGAAATTTGATGAATAGGATGATTGAAAAGTATGCTGTTTTGGGAGCTCGATCTTAACATGGTCATCCAATGACATTCTCTCGATGCGTGGAATAGGTTCTGGAGGACGATGACCCCCCAAAAGACTCGATCCCGGATTGATCGGGGCTAGCTTGGTGATGTCAGGTCGGCCCATCCCGTTGGCATGAAGCCAACCCACGTCATGACCATTTTCAAGATCGTTTATCCGCTGCGGTGGAGGTAATGGAGGGGGGGCAAAGGCCTCGACGGTTTTATTTGGGATTCGCATTGGACCGGGCGACGCGAATGAATGTGAGGGCATATTTCGTTCGTAGTTCACGGACGGAGAAGTCGACAACCTGGGAAAATCCATATTCGATACCACGAGCACCTTCAGCCTTGGTTCGTTTCAATGAAAGTCGGTGTGTTCCAGACGACGCCGACAATGAGTACACGCAACTCGAAAACTTTGCTCGACGAAGAGAAAAGAACGTTCCGAATTTCACGAGCACAGACTACTTAACATAGCTTGACGATATTCTGAGACGTGAACACGAGAGCAGTATGGCGAACGTCAATGGTCCTGCAGCAGAAGTGTATATAAAGCGTAGCAGAAAGGGCAGCAATGAGAAAGTGGTGATCATATGCATTAAGCAGAACAAGCAACCCAGGTCTGCAGAGGAATTCAAAAGTTTCGACAAGATAAAATGCGAAGAACTGAGTTTTCTGTCTTTCGTTTTTTGCAGTTCACAGTCACAACCACAGTCAGGGTTACTGTGGCTGGCGTATGCGATATGAAGAGCGCATGCAAACTGGCTCGGTTAACTGCGACCTGTCGAGACGGACATTGGTCGGTGGTCTGATGTCTTTGCTTCTTCTCTTTTTTCTTTTTATTTCTCTCTCTCTCTCTCTCTCTCTCTTTCTTTCACTTTGATTCGAAATTGGTTATGCTGAGTCGGCCAGGGGAGAAAGAGGGGGAAAGGAAGAGAGAGATGGGAGGGAAAAAGAAAGAAACAGGTCCTGATTACCCGCCGTGGCGTCCAGAGGAGAAAAGAAAAAGAAAAAAGGAAGGCGCTGCAGGAAAAAGGGCAGGAGCGATGCAGGATGCGGTAATCGGCACTCAGAGTAGGGCGGAGGGCGTGGTGGTGACCATATCCAATACGACGCAAATGGGGAGAAGAGAGGAGGCCATGGGAGAGGTAGCAGGCGAACCCACGGTAGTAATATTATTATTATAATAATAACAGCAGCAGCAACAATGGGAATAAGAAAAATAAAAAGGACAACAATAATAATAATCAAACTAAGGGTATAACAGGAGGTAATATAAACAAAATATATATTTGGGAGGAAAGCGTGATAATTAATAATAAACAGCGATGAAGAAAAGGCATAAGGCTTATAATAACGACTTGGCTGTTATTAACCGCCAGGAGGGGCGGGGAAGAGGAGTTGCTAGCTAGAACTTAGTGCTCCGTAGTAACCTAATAAGGGTAAACACTAGAAGACCGATTGAACAGTGCAAACCATGGCAGGTCCAACATACTCTACAGTGTAGTAAGCAGTAAGTCCAGCCTGCAGCTGTTGCTGCAGCTATTCCAGTCAAGACGCTGCAAGTCGTCCGGTGGGGCTGGTCACTAAATAAAGGGTCGTTGTCCATGATTGGCTCGTGTTATGTACGTATTTGCCATTACATATCCTCCCACGGATGATTAGCTGATACGTATTTGGTATTCAGTATCCGGTATTTGTATAGTACCCGTTGTATATACCGACGTATGCAATTAGAGGTAATAGCGACAAAATTAATATGATAAACCATGTTGGTTCTGGTAGACACTAAAGTCGGCTCGTATCCATATGAAGATAGAGTGTCTCCGTACAGTGAGAGACGTAGTAAGTTCGTCAATTACGTGTGGAATAAGACTGGACAGCATGGAAACAGCCGCCGTTCCGTACTTTAGGGCGTGGGTGTCCGCTTCCAGCAGCCCACCGCCAATCCGCGGGCGCCAAAGTAATTATCAATATCCAGTGGCCACATGTGAGCCTGAGGCGTCTGTCCCCACTAAGCCCGGTGGGCGCGCAGTAATTACCAAGTTAATGAAGATAGATGCGGGTCGCAACAGTCCCTGGGTCAATTCAATTCAGTGTAGTTAAGTTTAACCGTGGCGTGATGGCCTGGTGCTAGTCTGTCACTGGCGGCTGGTTATTGGTCTCCCTTACGACATAGTATAAGGCATTCTTCCTCCTCAGCTCTGTTGCCAACGCCGCGACGGTAGACTTTCTACGGGCCAGCCATTGGCATGTATCAACTATGAGCTGTTGGGCTAGTAACAGCCCCCTATCTAACTACGAGCCAGCCCTCTCTCGACCGATAAACAAGATAAGTAGTTATCTCCTCGATTCTAATTCCTTAGCTTCGTGGGACGCCTTGGGCGGTACGGAGTTTCCCTCGTGCATTATTATATATTACGGTGTACTAAATACTACGGTACCAGTACTTGGTATTGATACGATACGTAAGATGCTCACTCACCAATCACACATGGCGCCCCCCTCAGCCTGGCCGGGTCGGTGTCGTAGGGCAGACTCCGCCACTGGGAGTTTTCGTCCAATCATTCGCGGTAGCGCTACATCCCGGTTAGGTCCTTGCATCTTGTGCGAAGTATGTGCTATGTAGCACCAAGTATAATTTAGCATAGAATGGTACGTACTCGTAATGGTTCTCAAGAATAGAAGCATCGTCAGCCTGCATCCAGTATGTTATTTTTAACGCAGAGCAATACGAAATATAGACCAGCGATTGACAAATCGAGCACAAGTGATGAAACGAGGCTTACTCTCGTCTTCCCTTCATACATAGTTACCTACCGAGGTAGTATTGCTTATTATTTACTGTTCAAGGTAAGACGCTGGGGCTGAGCAGATGCATGTCCGGCAATCTTTGCCTTAGGCATGACTCGGCTTGCTTTCAAGGCCCATCATCACGCAGGTATATCTAACTATGTTTAAGTACGGTGGGGAAACTATTAGTTAGTTGACTTTGTTGGTGAGTTTTAATATATATTGTAGGCTACTGTATAACCGTTCAACTATATTCATAGTTAACTATTCAGCGAGATTAGAGCTTGTTAAGTGGTACACTACGTAGAGCGTATGGATGGAAACGAACACCTAAATCACAGCATCGCATCATGTCTATCCAACAGGCAACCTATCAACTTCTCAAAGCAGCCTTGTCAAGTCGAGATATATTTTCCATAGTTTAAATAAAGACTTCGGTGTGGCCAATCAGTTGTTGGCAACCCCACTCTACGGAAATGCTGGTCAGGTTGATTAGCGGTGAGGGGGAGCTAGCTACACTTTGGGACATGGGACCACGGAGTATTTCCTGTCGTTACTAAACTATTTAGCCCTAAATTTAATATGAGTCAAGAAATCTGAAGACTACGGGGTACTGCTGACTAGTATTTAAGGAGTAATCACAAGTTAGTACGTTACGATCGAATTTAAAAGTAAGTTGATACTGGGAGCGAGAAGAGGCAAGCTCTAGCTGTATAGAATTGGTATCATAATTACATTACATGCTATATAGTTAACGGAGGACCAAATTGCTAATTAACAACGGAGTTCACATCGAAGTGGTACGTACTTCGCAGTGAGTTAAATTCCACTTCTGTTCATCGAGCTCGTCCATAACCCACGTCAATATGCGCATTGAACATCTGTCCTTTGGCCTATATAACTCGGACGAATATTTCCACATCCTTGGGGGGGAAAACGGTGGCTATGAAGTTCATTGGGGTTGAGCGACACGAGAAAAAGAAACAATATATGCAGATCACCGCCTTCCAGATGCACATCGCTTACTATGCTAGTATCCCGTAGTTAACCTCCGTACCGTGCACCAGTGCAGTCGGCTAAATCCAGCCTCAAGATTTTAAGATCAAACTACTTTGAGAGATGTTGTTATGATTCGCATATTACAGTAAGAATACGCAGCTACGTAATAATACGTCGTCATCTGTGAACACTGTATCGGTAATTTTACGCCGTTGAAAAGTTAACTGCCTGTTTTCGGGCTTAGCGTCCGTCCCATGCCCATGGCCCGTGGGCCATGGTCCGTTCTCAGCCTTAGAAGGCGAGGCTGCCACGCCTTACCTGTTACGGAATAGTGCACAGGTCAGAAGGTCCCGCCTCGGGTTTGCTAAATACGGAATAGCGTTACTTAGCAGCTAGCTAACGGTATCTTACTGCATGCATGAATTCAACAATTTAAAATCGGCAGTCGGAATGGAAAAAAAAATTTTTTTCTTTTTTTCGGTGGCTTAATCTGGCGTTTTTTCTACTTCTTTGCTGGAAGGTTGAGAATGATGAAATGTGCTCCGTAAGGTGTAAATTCATATAATTTCGGCATTTGCCAAGCTCCATGGTTTGGAGAAGACTGGGAGTCCACTTGGTGGGTTCTCATTGGGGCGCTTTGGAGAAGAGCGTCGCCGCGTCTCTTTCACTTCGACTTATACATTGACATTCAACAAGTTTATAGCTAACTTAAACCTCTCTGACATCTGTAGCTTTGTTTAACAGCTCTCTGCTCTCTGCTCAATTATTGACCATTTCTTGGCCCGTTCGGACTGCGCTAGCGGCGGCACTTATCTTCTTCCAACACACAGGTTAAGGGCCTAACCTAGCGCTAGTCAGTATCTTAAAAAAAAAAATTTTTCCCACACATACAGCGTACTCCATAATTCATAGTCCGTAGGAGAAAAAGCAAAAAATCTCCGATCCCCAAAGCAGGAGGAGAAGCAAATGAACCTTGAAGGATTGTCAGAAATGACGAGGCAAAAAATATTGTGGAGTTTGCAAATCCCGGGGGCATCAGAACGTCAATCAAAACGTCAAAACATCGTTAAAGAGAGTTCTTCAGATGGGGGATTCATCTAGACTTAACTAATTCCACTGTTGGCACTGACTCTACGCTTCTCTATTTAAGTTACCGTATGTACTGAATATTCTGTGGTTCTGACGAACTTTGGCGAGTACGACCACCTGGTCAGTGGAGCAGTGTATCTGCTGGAGTCCGAGTGAAATACTTGATACCGATAGTCGAGTACTACTAGTCCAACTTTCTAATCCAGTGGTTTGACGTCAAGACAGCTGTCTATTACCGAATAACAACCCACTAGGTATACCATAAGCCTTGAAAGTTAAGGCAAGGCTACGGAGCCAGAACACGGACATTCTGGAAATCACTTGTTTGGGGCTGCGATAGTCTGCGACGAAGAGGGTCTGCCCTACGAAGCTATTCCAGCCACTTCCATATTGGGAAAGTATACAGATACGGTTAGACCAGCCGCCACCCTATACCACTCTAAGACTAGTCTCCACATACGATCTCCCATTGCTCAACGTGGCTAAAGTCTGTTATTAAGATTCTTACTCTTAGTCTCATTCACCCCTCAGCCTGGTGCCATCATAATATCAGACATAGACACAAACAGAGCAGAGCGAGGTCACATAGCATATGACTTGTGCAGGCACCTGAACGGCACTAATATTCGACGCCAACGTTAGTGCCCTCAAAATACACACGGTGGGAAAAAAAGATTATCTATCGATAAGAACGGCCATCATGGCTCTGGATCGTATTGAGGGCCTCAATCTCTATATCGGCGGGTTGGTTGTCTTTTCTTTTCTTTCCCTCGTATTCGTCCTCATTGCCTTTCCGGGTTTCCCGGTTCAAGTGTCGCGTCCCACATTACATGACATGGCATGGCATGACATTGCTCAATGCTAATTGCTTTTCTTTTCTCCACTTCCTATTCTAGTGTGATCTCTCTCAGAAACAAAGCCGCGCTACAGCAAGCCAACATCACCCATGTGGTTTCGGTATTGCGCATGCGTCCCGATGAGACGCTTACCGAGAGCTTTCAGAACTTCAGAATCGAGGTAGATGATGTAGAAGATGAAGATCTTCTGCAGCATCTTGCTTCTGCCAATGCCTTTATTCAGTCGGGACTAGATGCAGGCGGTGGTGTTTTAGTTCATTGGTTCGTTTCTCCCCATCCCCGCTCTTGCATATCATTGCAGACTTTGGCATCTTGTCCACTGTTCGTACCTTGCACTGTACCACTTGAAGTGTCCACTGTCTTGTATTAAATAATCTAGCGTTTACCGCGTTTGCATTCATTGAGTGATGGGCTGATCCCTACGTCTGTGGCTGGTGACCGCCAATCCTAGCTACATGATTGGCTACCTTTTTTATACAGCCATATGTTTCATGTTTGCTAACCTTTTTGAGTTGAATCTCGACTGAGATAGTGCGATGGGCAAGTCTCGTTCTGCAGCCATATGTATTGCCTACCTACTACATAGCCAGGCACCCAAACTTGACCCGGATTCGGCCCTGGAACTGGTTCGCAAGAGTCGTTCAATAGCAGAGCCAAACGAAGATTTTATGAAGCAGCTGTGGCTATATCATGAGATGGGATGTCCGGATGACGTTGTAAATCATCCTACTTACCTGCGTTGGCTGTCGCACCGTCAGATAGAGCTCAGTGCGGCATGCGGCAGGGCGCCAGAGCTAGACGCGGTTCGCTTCGAAGATGAGCTGCCGTCTTCGCATGAGACCGGATCTACAGAGCCAGAGACGGAGATTCGATGTCGCAAATGTCGGTACGTAATATCTGTGACCAAATATATCTCGAAAAGAAAGCGGCAAAAGCTAACCAAAGAGAAAACCAGACGCATGCTTGCTACAACACCTTTCATTATCACCCACGACAAAGATGACAAGAAATCTTCATCTAGAGGACCAAAAGAAGGAGTAGACTGTGCACACATTTTCCTCCATCCATTGACATGGATGCGACCATCCCTCTTCCCTGGCATTGCTCATCAAGAAGCAGGCACAGGTACCAGTGGCGATGACGGCGACGCACCATTATCAGGTCGATTAACATGTCCCAACCCCAAATGTGAAGCCAACGTAGGGAAATTTGCCTGGCAAGGGCTACAATGCAGCTGCAGTAAATGGGTTGTGCCCGCTATTGGCGTTGCTCGCGCCAGAGTTGATGTCACTGAAAGAAGAATCGATGTGCCTAGTCTTTCTTCTGCTGCTGCCACAGCAAACAGCACTACTAGTAGCAGATTGGGGGCTATGGGCATTCGATTACCGCCTCATATGCGCGGGGCAGGCACCAGCCCGGGTAATAATGATCAAACTCGGAGAAATAATCTCTAGATAGATTGGGATGCTTCCATTTTGACACCCTAAACGAAAAGGAACTTTGTGTGTACATAAAACCATCTACAATAATGCATAAAATAATGCCCGTCCCAAATAATAATAACTATGGAACATGCGCTTCATAATTATACTCGGCACTTAAGTTAGCGTGTCTACTTTGACATGTAGTAATACGAGAAATACATACTACATAGGATGCAATAAAGAATTCCAATCCACCTCGAACAAGTTTGCCCCGTACGCCACCCTACGTTTCCCGCAGTTAATACTATGTCTGTCATCATACATACCGGCTAGTATGCACGATAGTCTTTTATTTTGTATTTTTTTTTTTTTTTTTTCCGCGGAAAGCAACCCTCTTTGCCTTCTTGCATGGATTAAGTAGCTAATTAGCTAGTTACTTTAGTACGCACTATAATAACTGTGGACGCCGTTCCAATATCTTAGCTGATAGACCACATATTAGCTAAGTTGTGTTAATTGAGTCTAATCAAACATAAATTCTCCGTTCCGTGTGGCTACTACGTAGATAATTAAATTCAATCAATCAGTTAACTAGTCGTGTTACAGATATAATATAGTCCAACGGTGCCTTGTACTGCACTGCTGGTCTAGGCCACCCGTCTGGGCGGCCCCTGACGGGCCGTGCCTAAATTAGGATTTGTACTCTCGTCTACTCCAGGTATGTAGTAACAAAGGCATCAAGGAATTCCATGCGTATTCATTGTTCAATAAGGCTAGATAGTCAAACACTAAAACGCTTTATCATAGGGCTATTCTCAATAGGCTTCGTGGTTTATTAGTGATGCTACGGATAACACGGCCTCACCGCTAGCTTTTTTAGCTTCTTCCTTTCTTTTAGAATCATGGTACTTTTGATGACAAGGACGAATGTAACTATGGCAGGACACGAGTCATATCATTACTTAGTTGGTACATATAGACTTATGGTATATAAAAACATGGGTTGAACATGTGGCTAAGTGCAAGGTCGTTGTTACTGTAACGGCGTTTCTTCTATTCATGGGTGCTAATTGAACAATGAACAGCCTAACTATGTAACCTGGGCAGATCCTTTCAAAAAAAATATAGAGGTAACTAAAGGTGTTAAAGTCCCCCGTATGCCAGTAAAATTCAGTGACACGGACAACAACCTAGGAAGTAAACATCCTAAACTCATTAATTTACTTGACTATATCAGACTAGTTACTTGATTGATTAGATGACCGTGATTTAAGTTAGTGAAGTAACTGGTTACTACAAAACTAATAGTTACGTACAATCAAGCAAAGCACCGACCAACTCAGAATTGTCGAATGCTTAGCTGCATTAGTTTCGTCCAACCCTTACGTTGCCCTAAGTATAAAGTCCCCGGCACTTTTTTCCTTTTTTGGCCTGCCTCTTTTGTTTTTTCGAACTTTAATACTACAGACTATATCGTTATGTTCTACGTAGCTCTTCTAGACGTTTGTTATGTGGGATTTGTTATATTGGAATACATGTTGAATTAAACAGCATTTGAAACTCGGGTCCTTGCACATTGCTGTGCACGTTCTTAGTACTACTGTACATACAAGGTAACTACTATTTTAGTACAATGTGCTTTGTGTAGTTGCTCAAACCCGGCCGTGTCAGCCCTACAATAGCCAAGTCTATAGGCTAAAAAGGTACCGAGGGGGGCAGAACTTGTACGACGTACAGGATCCTACTGGAGTTATTCATGTAAATACAACTAAGTTCTAACTACTGCACTCGGGTGACCGAGATAGTATAATGATAGTGTGGGTAAATATATTGGCGTCACATGCAAGCCCCCAGGCCAGTGGGCTGTCAATTTTTTTTTTCTGGCGTTGACCAGCTGCTTATAGCTTTGACCATTTGTGATACGCATAATAATATTACCTGATTTCTTGTGCTTAGGCATGTAATATCCTAGTTTATGCAGTAGCCTAAGTAATGCTGTAGTGTATGTACTCGGATACTACTTGCTTGTAATGCCGTGCGCAACTAATGCAGCTGGCAGGTCATCGGGCTTATAGCTTCGTAAAATCTTACATGAAACACTTGTCTACTTTTATCGCATAATTGTTATTTCTAGTTTTCTGCGCTTTAACTTGAACAGGAGCTAGTAATTTCATAAGACGTATATTACACAGCTTTTATTTTTGCAATGCTGATTTGATTTTTCAATTTCCCATTATTGCCTCAGATCCCTGAAATTGGTCGGTGTAATGAGTATCAATTGGCGATTGTTGGGATGCCCCATTCCGCCGGCGATTCGCTGTTATCAGTGGACGTCTGCAACCACATGAGAATATCTTTAACATGGCCTACAGTAGTGTCAAAGTTTATCACATCTTTTATATCAGAGTCATCATCAGAATCCAGATAGTATTGTGCTTCCGCAGCGCCACTCATGGCTGCAATCCGCTGAAGATGCCACTGCATTTCGAGGAGTGGCCAACTTGGTAGTGGCAACTGATCGGGATCAGGTGTAGTCAGAGTGAAAATATCACCAGAAGCAATAGCTTTATACTCTGGCTCCCCATTATCCTTATATGTGCCAGTCAGAGTTGGTAAATGATCCGGCTCACCATACAGCCCACGAGTAGATTCAGGCGCCGTTAGGAGTCTGATTTCGGTTACCCCATCCGATGAATTTTTTTGCCAATAGAATTGAACCTTCAGTGTCGTCGAATTAGGCTTCTCGATTGGGCGAAGAGCAAAGCGGCCAGATCCCCATAGTGTGTGTGGGTATTGGCTAAGACTTAGCATATTTAAACATGTATCCTGGGGGTTCCGCAAGTCCAGTTCATTGCCAAATATATCTTTTGGCCATTGCTTAACACGATCGTCCTCCCAAAATAGCTTCATGGTATTCCAGAATGTTGCCACCACGGTTGGTTCACGAGTAGAGGCCTTGATGAGACAGAATGGGTAAATATGAGCAGCATCTGACTCTGATTGCCCAGTCAGAACGCACTTGTAATTTTCTCGCTTTTTGCACTATTCCAGGTATTAGCAAAGCCCGAATGAGTATATGCCAAGTGACGAACATTACTGATTGCTGTATTGGAGCGCTGCGAATAATTTGTACTGGGGGCTGAACTCTTAACATCCACGTTTTGAAGCCCTAAGGAAGAGCTAATTTCAGGAAACTTGTTGATTGAGTAGAGTTGTAAGAAACTTACATCGTGAAATTACCTCATGGCAACGATTAATGTTTGGCTCTAGGATACCTGTCGCTACTGCAGGCTCAAGCGGCTCTACCGTAGCGATGAGTGCGTTCAGTTTGGAAACATCAGCAACCTGGCAGAATGCCCAGAACTCAGGAGGAACCATGTCACTGCCAGTTTTGTCTTTAATACCTGCCTCAATGCGATATAGAACCTCCGTCCGAACATCTGACCGCTCATTGAAGCACCCGTTGCCAATATCAGACGGCGGCATAGGCTCAAAGCGTGAGGATATGATAGTACAGCAACTAAAGCAAGATAAACCGTTCGTAACCTAAGTGGAGAATAATCAAGATCAGTGTTCGTAGGCGTACTTTTATTAATAAATGAGGTGAGGCCCTTACCAGAGTCAACGTGTAATTGTGAAGTGGAGTCAGCTGAGACAAGCAACTGTGAAGTAACAGGAACTATCCTCCAAAGTAGCTGAGGTGAACTGGGCGGACATATTGCTGCGAGAAATTAGACTCCGTTTGGGACCGATCAAATGGCAAAACTGGACAAATGGACACAGACTGTAGATAGGACGTGGATGAGGATGAGAATGATTGATGGTCATATGATAGCCTACCCTTGCGTCAAATAGGGGAGCTGAGGCTCGAATTTGAAGACAAGTATTAGATTTCCTTTGCTTGAGGGGGAATAGAGCTCAAGTTGGAAGTAGTCGAGGAGGAAAGAGTGTAGCCCTAGGGATATTGGGGAAAAGAATGAGAGTTGAACAAGGAAAGAACAAGAGGGGAAGCCAGCCACGTGACCATTTGACATGATTAGATCCTGGATGTTGAATCGCAAACCACTATGTCAAAAAGGCACCCCTTAGTGGATTTCTCTGTATCTGCGTAATCTTGACTATATATCCCCACTTTTCAATTCAACTGGAGTGCTGACGTTCTTCTTCTCCCTTGCCAAATGTGTCGGTGGTGATACAGCTTTAGTTCTTCCAATACGATCGTGTTCAGACTTCCAGCAAGGAAACTTGGCTGATATCAGCGCAGCACAGACCGCTGACTGGCAGCGATCAAGTATGTGCTTTGTGATATGTAGTGTGAAAACAACTTGTTGTGTCTCACGGCATCTACAAAGTATCCCTGATACCTCAGGTCAATATGTTGCCCTTGAAAGAGATATTACTTATCCAGGTAATCCCACGTCGCACAGCTTTTCCACATAGTACACGCATAGCCTTTTGACTGCCTGCATATTCATGTAGAGTAGGTTAGAGCATTATTATACTCCTTTTATACCTATGTACAACTGCCAAATACAGGCAGAAGCTATCAAATAGCTTCAAATAACCAATTCTTGAGATTAACAAATCGACCGACAACATCTTATAAGTTTATAAGTAGGCAACTATTTTAAAGTGCCTACTTAACCAGCCCTGTTTTGTTCCATTCACTATTGGCTATATGTACATTATAAATCCCCCTTTGGAACAGATGGTAATGACGTTGGATCTCTTAGGCGTTCGGCATTTCTCTTCGCTAATTCATTATTTCGTATGCGATTGATGCGCATTTGATAGAAATTCCTGTATGTAATAAAATCAATCATCTTTCGTTGGTGCAAAAGGCAGTAAACGTACTTGTGCAAAGCAAATATCCGCGGAGAGCCATCATCTTGTTTTGACTCTGCTGCTTTGCGAAGTTCATTGATCTGTTTCTCATTAGAATGTCAAAAGAAAACAACAACTCAGGTAGCCAAGTAAGTACCTTTTGAGTCTTTTCCTTTTCCGCATTTTTATCACTGTCTTCGGGCTTTCCTTTTTCTTTATCCTCCTCTTCTTTTCCCTTCTCCTTCTCCTTCTCTTTCCTCTTCTTCTGCTTCTCCTCATACTCGCGCTTCACATTCTCAATTTCCCGCGCCAATTCCTCATCTCTTTTCATTTTGGCATCTTGCTCTTCGTCCACAATGGGAGAACAGAACCCGCGGTCCTTAAGGTGAATCGGACATACATAAAAGAAGTCCTTTGTGTTGTTTGTAGATTGATAATGACGCAACTGGTTAGCAAAAATACTATCAAACTAAGTTCTAATTATCTCGAACAACTTTCAACTCGAGGTCTTTTACTAGTGATGTATGTTTCGCTCCTTACTTTGTTATCAGGTGTAATCAAAACGCTCGTTGATGGCTTGTAGCAAACGGTGCATGCTTTCGAGGCTGTATCAGCGACACGGCGGAGGTGCCACACGTTTTGGAGAGACATGTTAAAAATGACAAAGAAATCAACTTGAGATGACAATGGCATAGATGAAACAGATTTCGTTGTGTTGATACACTAGTTGTGTGTGATATGATGGGATGACTGGAAATTGATTAAGCCTGGATACGGCGGTCTATCTATCAACCTTGCCAAAATCCGTTTTGTAATTTCACATCCTTTCTTTCCACAGGGACCAAAACAATTCTCTTTTACATAATTGAGCTGTTCCTGTAATGTACCCAATATGATTTTATTTTGGCGTTGTGTCGGCCAGTTGGCGCAATGGTAGCGCGTCACTTTCCGGTGGTGAAGGTTGCGTGTTCGAGTCACGCATTGGTCGCTTATAGATTTTTTGCTTTGATTTTTTGGACCGCAGTAGTGATGGTCAGTCATGAGTTGCAAATCAAAACAGGTCTGTGATTTTTGAGGATTCAATATATTTGTTGCCCACCAGTTTATTGGCCGAGCAATTAACATAAGTGAATGGATCCATGTCGACCTCGGCTTAGGAGGGTGAAGGGAGGGATGGAGTTTTTCATGGCCTATGGATGGTGATCCAATTGTCCAGCAACACGCGCCGTATCGGGACAGCTAGTCGGCAAGATTAGTTGCTGCATTGCTAATCGTGTCGTAAATGAGGGCTTCTAGTCACGGCTAAGAGTGTTGCTCGACAGGGTGCTAAATCGTTTGATATCCTTGAGCTGGTCTATGATACCGCATCGGCTAGTGCCGAGTGGCATGTCTCAATTGATAGGGTTGGCCTATTAGTAGGCGCAGATCGAGCTGGTTTTTTCATAGCCTCACGAACCGACGGTCATTCTTGGATATCTATATTTGGTGATTCTTGAAGTTTATGACTGAAATTCGCGTCTTCTGGATGAGCTTAGATGAACAGACTGGAGGGTTGGAGGCACTATATTCAAAGCAAGCGTTGAATAAGGCTGTGCTTGATTGAGTGCCTTAGAATAACATGGAAGAGTCTGGAAAACTCGGCACATCACCATTCCCAGAATGTTATTATGAACTGCAGGGACATCTTTACCTTCCCCTTCCTCTATTTTCCAAAGCATTATAAAGTTTGCGCTTCGATGGCCCCGACCCTTCCACACCACGTGATAATGAAGTGTATCATGCTGCCCTTGCAAAGATATGGTCAATGAGTCTATTAATTAAGCTTCTGACTGACCGACATATCCTTTCCAGTAACTCTGACAGCGTTGGTCTGTGACAAAATCAAAGTAGCCGCCAGTATTTTGAATATATTCCCTTATGTGTGTGTCATCTTATTATGTTGGATCAGATTTAGTCTGCGATCGTTCATCAGTATTTCGTATCTGCATAAACTATAGGTGGTGTTCATACCTGTCAATAGTTATTTCCATTTCTTGTAATATCTCAATGTTGTCGAATATGCATTTGAAATGCTTTTCCGTCGTTGCTTCGACACCCCTGAAGCCTCAATTACTTCGGCACAAGGCACTCCTTTTGATTCGGCTGGCTCGCGCAGAATATGCTGGATGACCTGTGTTATGGTCTGCTTGAGATCGGGGGCCATTACAGATGATGAAATTTGCAGTGACATCTATTGATTGTCAGTACATCAGCCAATGTGGTGAATAATTGGATGACTACCTGTCCTTCTGTCTATGGTTCCTGGGCCAGAGGCTGTTGGGGTGTCACTTCCGTAGCTTGACTCAGCGGTTGCATCAGTTGACGGGGTAGATGTGAACGCTGTGTAGTTCCTGCAGCTTTTGTTGTCTATGGACGCTACTGAGGACGCCTATGCTCTTCTGTATGCCGGCTTGGGATGATTTCATTTGCATCGCTTTCAGGGATTGCTGGAGACCGTTTCTCTGGATGCTCCTGAGCCTGCCGTGGACCATTACACAGTCGTTCCAACTGTCTCTGGTGTGATTTTTGGAGGCTGAAGAGGCTGAAACTGCGTTTCCGACTCGACCGGGATCTTTGCACGTCTTGTGGTTGCAAAGAAAAAACATTAATATTTGCACATCCCATCGTTGCTGGCGCCATCAGAGATTCATGTCTAGCTGATGCATGTGAGTAGGCTCCTGCAAAGACAACGGCCTTTTCTGATCTATTTGTCTTCTCAGGAATAATCACGATGGTGACACGGGAGGGTACTGTAACGCTTGACGATGTAGCCTGCCAGAGCTATACTGCTGGCGTGACCGCTGCATGCTGTTTATGCTTGAGGAGGCGGCACTGCACCCCCAAGTCACCAATCTTAATGTTATCGAGTTGCTGTTTTGACATTTAGTAGGCATATTTCACTGACAGTGCTTATTTTGGTGCGGGTTTCGGTTTCTCTAGACGATGTAGCGAGTCTGAAAAGACGCAAGATTGTTACGAGTTACAAATCTGAAGACCTCGTAATTGGAGAGATAAAAGATACGAAGAGAGCTTCTGGCGGTGCCCAATTAAGGACGCCTTGCCTACACCGAGATCTGACTGAGGCGGACCTTCCCGTCAACATTATTTATTATCCTATGCGAGCCATGGGGTGTCGCGGAAAGTACAGGCAGCAAGCAACTGATATCACTGTCACTTATTTAAATGATTATCATTAAACTGAGGCAATAGTTGACCCCTTATAATAGCATTAGCTGTCCGTTTACATCTTTAGGCGACCTGGGCTTCATAGTTGTTCATATCGGAAAATTATTTATGTCGTCGCCTATACAGCATATCAAGATCTTACAAAATTGCTAACGTTTTTGAGTGCTAGAAAGACTAGCACAACGACTCAAGGATCTCTCGTGCTGTAAAATTAGCCCTCCTACCTGATTAGGAAACAAGTTTGGGGGTTTTTTACGAGCAACGTACGAATGCCTGCGCATCATGCAGAGCCTCAGAAATCTATGATCCTATATTTGAAAGACCTAAATAACTCGCACTTCTACTTAACGACACTATTGTGAACGTCACTATATAGGATTTGTAGACATACAGAATTTTACATCTGCTAGCATAGGTATCCCCCCTCCGTTCCAAGTTTCATATCGGGATCAGAGTCAAGGGCTCATGTTTAAGGATCGTCTTATCGGGTTATCCGTTCGGTTTCTGCCTAAGTATGTCAATGAACGCGCCAGCTGCCCTAATGTGTATGTGTACGTATATATCTTCAATGCCCACCCGTAGGTCCGCCTTAACAATTATTAATAGGTATACTTAACTGCACCGTCAATGAGCTACAAGTTGCATAACTCCAAAAAACCCCCAGAAGATTTTTGTTCCATAAGTTTCACATCCTGCGAATGGCTTCGGTACAGGGCTTTGTTTTTGGGTTCGTTGCATGGGGTTGTTTGGGAGATTTGAATGCATAAGTTGGCATGCTTTGTTAGAAGTCATGGCCCGAAGCAAACTAGCACGACGTGAGCTGAAGACAAAAAAAAAACACCTAGGTAATCTACGTGGGAGCAAGCCCGTATTTGTCCCTACACCATACAAGTAAGTCTTAGTCGAGCGTATGCTGATGAAAAGAATACCACGCCGCGGTACAAGACTAGTTAGTCACATTGCATGCTATGAAGAACCGTCATCTATGCTACAAAAGAAAGATCCAGCAATCGGCCGCGTGGCGCAATGGTTAGCGCATTGGTTTTCGGTTATCTTGAGACTGAAGATTTATTATTAAATCGCTCACCAAAGGTTGTGGATTCGAGTCCCACCGTGGTCGTTTTTTTGATTGTTTTCTCGTTATCACGTCCTCAATTTTTCCCCAACGGAAACCAGCAACAGTCGGCCGCGTGGCGCAATGGTTAGCGCATTGGTTTTCGGTTAGTTAATGACTAAAGATCTATCAATAGATCGCTCACCAAAGGTTGTGGATTCGAGTCCCACCGTGGTCGTTTTTTTTTTTATATTTCCCCCTTGTTAACATTATCATCATTTTCACTGTAAGTGTTTCAGTTTACCCTTCCAATTGACTGGCCTTAGCCATAACTCAAGTCGGACTTGGGTCGGCGAGATGCTGGCTTTTGCAAGGGCAAGCTGGGGTCGCTGGACCATATATTGGCTAAGAATGCATCTTTTGTATATCTGGAAGTTTGTGTTTATTAACTTTGTAACTATGGACTACCGCCGTCAAATCGAAATTATAACACCGCTGATGGACGGTGGATTGACTGACTTGCTGGCAAACGACCCTTCTTGTGAAAAATTAGCAGAAACCAGCGGCAGATTAAACAATATAATACAGCTCATAGAAGCAGAAAGTGAGACACAATGACAGGTGAAGAGACTAATTAGCTGACGGAAGGAAACCTTCTGCCCCATAATAGGAGGAAGATCAAAAACGAATGCTATTTGTAGGGTATCCGTAACGACTGAAATGAGAAATGAACAAGAATAAAGACCGGCAATGTTGGAGGATGCAGTTAGAGAGCATCATAGACTAAACAGAGAATACAAGCCTAGAGAAGCGGCCAAAGTAACAATGTTGGCCAAGAATGGAAGTGCTAATGTGGTAGCACTGCCGGAAGTTGACCTGCTCTGGGTCGCACTGACTACCTGGGTAGTGCTTGACGTAGAACCTGTGGAAGTCCCGGTTGCTGCTGAATTAGGAGATGCGGAACCTGATGAAGTATCGGTAGTGCCTGCTGTACCATTACGGGAAGCAAAGCCAATTCGGTTTTGATCAAAATCAAAAACGCTGTACACATTTTTCATGAAAGTATCACCCAAAAGCCAATCATCGGGACCTAGTGTTTGAACGCCAATGATATTTGAGTAGCAAGTCGTCCCAGAGCTGTTTGTTGCCGAACCAACGTAATCCTGAGATGACACACTGTACGATACCCCCGAGAACGTGAATTGCACAGTCGTATTGGTCGAGCATGGGATCTCGAAATTGTCACCTGCAGCTGTCGATCCAGGAATCAACGCGTGTAGAGCGCTAGCGTCGTTTGGGGGAAGAAAAATGTACGTTGTTCCAGTATCGATGATAGCCGATTTGCCAGTGAAGTTGAGTGGAGTTCCGCCAACGACAGCATCATCCAGGGGTATCTCCCACCGATCTGTGCTCGTGCTCGTGCTGGTATATGAGATGCTACCCTCAAATTTCGTGGTATCCACACCGCCGAAGGTGAGTTCCCCGTCCGTGGTGTTATCGACCGCTCTCTGCAAACTGACTGCGACGATGTTCGATTGTAAAAGGTGGTCTTTGGCTATGGTCTCCATAACTGTCGATGTTCCTATCGTAGTCGAATTCGAGCGCCCTAATCCTAGGATGCCGTCCATGGGGTAATTCACGAAATCGCTAGACGCATTGTTGGCGAGACCAAATGTGAGTTCCAAGCTGAAGTTGGCAATTTTGACTCTGTCGGTGCCCGAAAGACCGGACACTGTTCCGGATCCGTAACCGACACTAAATGTATCACCAGACATCTTCAAGGTTGTTGAATTATCCTGACCAAAGGTATGGTGCAATTCACAGGCTTCGACTGTGCAATTCGTACCGAATACCCAGGTATTAGTGCCGCCCGTATCAAACAACATCCACATCGATTCATTGCTTGAGCCAAAGTCCATCGAAAAGAAGTAAGAGAAGTCATTGCCGTCCTCGTCGACTGTTACACTGTTCGGAGTAGTTGCTGGGCTTCCCATGTCAACAGGATAGTTGTATGCTCGGCGACTCTGTCAGACTTGTCAGTACAGATGTCAAGTAGGATCAGTTGGTGCGGCATATACCAATGTCGGGCGCCTCTTGAGCGGCAGGGTCAAAAGCGAATCATCGTTTGCAGAACTCCCCAAGCGATAGGGATAGAATCGATTGACAAGCCGGCTGGTTAATGACGAAGATGAGCCTGAAGAGCGTATGTAAGGATAGAAGGCATCGACGCCTGTCGATAGAATAGCTGCAGGGAACACATATTGAGAAAGATGCATGATCCTAGGTGAGGATCGAGAAGGTGCAGCCTGTCGGACGCTTCATGGGTGCCTGCGAGTTGTAACGCTGATCGATTTGTCCCTTTGTTGTCAAAGTTGTCAAAATGTTGTTGTTAAACTGCAAAAGTTCTGTGTTGGTGATGATTAAACGCTGCAATCGATGGCTTCACACATGCATTTGGAATTAAAGTCGATGAACGAGAAGACGAGGAAGAAACATAGGAAAGCCAGCAATCGAAGTACAACGGCACAAGCAGCTCTTTCACGCCAGCCCGAGAGAACAGAACAAAACAGAAAAAAGAAAAGGCTGGAGGAGAGCAACGAAGAGAGATGGAGTGAGGAAGGAAGGCGAGCAAGGCCGGGATGCAATGGGGGAAGCTACGACTGGCCATTGCCTTTCCGGGATTAGATCGGCCGTGGGAAAGAAGTTCGCTTGCAACTTCAACTCTCTGCAGCTAATCACAGTCCCCGACGAACCTGGCGATCCAGCAGACTAGCAGCTTAGCAGCTCTGGGGGGAGTGGGCAATGGGCATCCGTTCGTACCATTTCAGCCCCTGACTGCTGGTCTGTGCTCTTACTTGCCATGAGTGTCGACGACGACCACCGACTGTGCAACGCTGCAACGCGAGTTGGTAATGCTACTGTGAGACGCCACACGGATTGCTGGAAGCAGACTCTGCTGTCTGGCATCGTCCATTACGAGCACGCCTACGGTATAGCAGCCCCCGAGAGTCGAAGAAGTCGTCGAAGATAAGAACAGGAAGAATGTCCTACCCTGGCCAAGCCGCCCCGCGCAGGTGCCACCTTTCTCAGGGCCCATCGTTTTAGCGCCTTGGTGCCTGCAGCACAACCCGCGACGTTCCGTCCATTGTTCGTTCTACTTCTCGCCGAACTACACGTCTTCTTGATGTGAGACTATCATAGCAGTACGTCCGGGTCTGTATGGGTTTACAATTCAAGGCTAAATTCCGCTTCCAACTTCCAAGTATGCATCGTGCAGCAAGACAACGGTTTACCGTGCATTTCGGTGAAAATTCCTTGGTTGCTCAGTTTTCGCCCCGATCCTGGCACAGTAAAGTAGCATCAGTTGAGCTTTCGAACCAATCGCGTGGACCTTTTGGGTTATCTGACCGCGTCAAGGGATATAGTAAGTAGCGAGATGGGATTCCCCTATACGGAGTACACACACACACACACATCGATATATATCGACAGACGACCATAATATACAGATTTCTAATGTACATGAATAATGAATGCTATGTTAGTCTAGCAGGAAGCCCAGGCAAATTCCGCAAAACTCAAATCCCTTTGCAAAGAAAAAGCCCCAAACAATGCTTTATAATCCCCAGTATCTATTAAATCTCATGCGCCACCCTTCAACGCTGTTCAGCTTGGGTCGCACGTCAAGGTAGAAGCTCAACTTCCCGGGCCCTGTGGCATTCATGATTCCTGACCCGTTCTCCGGTTGCGATGAAGCAGATGATGCGACTGGCTTCCCCTGGTAAAAATCAATCACATATTCCACCCTCTCGCCCCCGCAGCGCTCAACAACCCAGTCATGACGATCAAAAGGTAGCTGATAACCCATCAACCCATTGAGACGAGCTCGAGGGCTCACGAATTGAGACTCGGTCCCCAGCCCGCGAAAGGCATATAATTTTGGACCACCGCACTTGTTGCTACCGGGATCGGAGGACGGCGCACGACTTTCCCATTTAAGAATCTCTTGCCACGCCTTTTCATTCACAGCATTATGTATCGGTATTATAGATGCGACAGAAGTTGCTAGTTCTTTGGCCGACTTCGTGGAGCCTGGTACGTTGCTTTTGCGCACCAGCGCATCGAAGAATTGGCGTTCGGAGGGATAGACCCAATTGCCCGTGGCGGGATCGTGGCCCGTTTCTGACTCGGAATTAGAAGGAGATGAATGTGAAGCAGTTGATTGAGCTGCATATGGTGACGGTATTGTTTGTTGCTGTTGGCTGTTGGCTGTGTCGGAAGGATTGGCATCGAAGGCTCGCGGTATGCTGCTGATTTCGCGATCATTTGATAACTGTCGCTGCTTCGTGCCCGCGTTTTCATTGATCACTTTGCCGTTGTCATCGAGCTTATGGGGGATTGGGTGAGGAGCTCCGCCGGCAGAGCCTTGGTGTTGCTGTAACCAGATTTCTCGAGTCTTGTGGTCAACAGGGCATTGCGACTCCGGATGAACTGAAGGGGTGCTGGCACTAGCACCCATGTTCGCCTATTGCAGGTCGAATGTGCAATATAATAAGTGCCTTGTTTTTGATCAGAAGGAAAAGAATCTCACGACGACAGCGGCCCTCACCTTGCAATTGAAGCTTGCTTGTTCTCCCAGAGATGGGTTGGTAATCCAAAAAAAGTTACAAGCGGCCTAGCGGAGTATCAGCTCTCACCGCCTTTGGGTGCTGCATGGACGGTTCCTGCAAGGGATGCCCCTCATACAACAAATAAATCCCTAGTCTTCCCTCTTTTGACCTCGTGCAATTTGTGTTCTATAAAAGTTCCTTGGAGGTACTAGGGCTCTATCAATCGGTTGTTCACCATGGCTGACAGCAATGTATTCCGTGCTACCACGACTGCCCCAGTCAACATTGCCGTCATTAAGTATGCCCAAAACAAACCCCCCCCCC